TGTGTGGTGTGTGTGGTGTGTGTGGTGTGTGTAGTGTGTGTGGTGTGTGTGGTGTGTGTGGTGTTCGTGGTGTGTGTGTGGTGTAGTGTGCGTGGTGTGTGTGATGTATGTGTGTGTGGTGTGTGTGTGCGGTGTGTGTGGTATGCATGGGGTGTGCGGTGTTTGTGTGTGGTGTGTGCGCTGTGTGTGTGTGTGGTGTGTGTGGTGTGTGTGTGGTGTGTGTGGTGTGTGTGGTGTGTGTGTGGTGTGTGTGTGGTGTGTGTGTGGTGTGTGTGTGTGGTGTGTGTGGTGTGTGTGTGGTGTGTGTGGGGTGTGTGGTGTGTGTGTAGTGTGTGTGGTGTGTGTGTGGTGTGTGCGGTGTGTGTGCGGTGTGTGCGGTGTGTGTGGTGTGTGCGGTGTGTGTGGTGTGCGTGGGGTGTGTGGTGTGTGTGTGTGGTGTGTGCGGTGTGTGTGGTGTGGTGTGTGTGGTGTGTGTAGTGTGTGTGGTGTGTGTGGTGTGTGTGGTGTGTGTGTGGTGTGTGTGGTGTGTGTGTGGTGTGCGTAGTGTGTGCGGTGTGTGCGGTGTGTGCGGGGTGTGTGATGTGTGTAGTGTGTGGTGTGTGTAGTGTGTGTGGTGTGTGTGGCGTGCGTGGTGTGTGTGTGGTGTAGTGTGCGTGGTGTGTGTGGTGTGTGTGTGGTGTGTGTGTGTGGTGTGCATGGTGTGTGCGGTGTTTGTGTGTGGTGTGTGCGGTGTGTGTGTGATGTGTGTGGTGTGTGTGGTGTGTGTAGTGTGTGTGGTGTGTGTGGTGTGCGTGGTGTGTGTGGTGTGCGTGGTGTGTGTGGTGCGTGCGGTGTGTGTGGTGTGTGTGTGGTGTGCGTGGTGTGTGTGGTGTGTGTGGTGTGTGTGGTGTGTGTGGTGTGTGCGGTGTGTGTGGTGTGTGTGGTGTGTGTGGTGTGTGTGGTGTGCGTGGTGTGTGTGGTGTGTGCGGTGTGTGTGTGTGGTGTGTGCGGTGTGTGCGGTGTGTGCGGTGTGGGGTGTGTGGTGTGCGTGGTGTGTGTGGTGTGTGCGTATGTACAGAGACCCACACCACACACACGCACTCACTCACGTCTCTCGGTGTGTGCGTGTGTGTGCCTTTTGTGTCCTTGTCAATGTCTATCTGCATGTCTGTTAAGGCTGTACGTTGGGAATCATTGTCAATGTCTATACTGTGTTTGTCTGCGTGTTGATGCATCCATATCTGTATTATACAAACACACACGTCTGTCTGTCTGTGTGTGAATGTGAGGAGATACAGACACATAACAATTGCGTTTCGGGAAATTGTCCTTCATTACCCGAACCACCGCAGCTACGTGCTATGAAGAAGGGCCATTTCCCGAAACGGCGACTATGTTGCCATTAACTTTGCTTCTGCACCATTGCCAACGCAGCACCCACAGCATCACCAACTCTGTATGTGTGTCATTTCTCGCTAACAGCACTTGCCCCAACAGTCTGTTAAGCTGCGTGTATGTCTGGGTATCTTTAAATATGTGTGTATGTCTATATAAATGTGTATTCAATTGTCTAAGCATGTACATGTACACATGTTAGTAGGTTTGTACGTATAGAGCATGCCTTTGAGTACAACTGAACTGTATACGTATGCTATTCATAGCTATATTATGTCTAAAGATACGTATGTGTCTAAATATATGTGTGTGTCTTCCATCATAGGTGCTCGCAAACAGCACTTGCTCAAACAGTCTGTTAAAAGGCTATACGGGGGATCTTTATCTTTGTGTCAGTGTGTGGGCGAGTGGTGGTGCAGTGGGCAGCGTACTGCACCACAAACCCGGCCACCCGAGTTTGATTCCCGCTCACAGCCACAACATCAGTGACGAATATCTCAACCGGTAGGGTGCCTCCCCCTCCCCCTAGGTCGACTCAGCCTTAAATAAATACCTGGTGCGTTGTGTGTAAACGTCAGCCACTGGAGAGACTAAAGCGACTGAGCGTTCTGCTGGCCACCCACCCCAGCACGTTACACTGCCCAGGGACATCAGCCATCCAGTGTTTTTTGCGGAAGCCTTAAATAGGTTCAAGACTCGAGGCGTCGAGGCGTCATTGCTGCCCCTGCGCTATCGGTGAAACTCAACGATTAACGCCCCGCGTCGTAATATTCGGGGTCTCTACAATCAGCAGAGTCCACTTCAACTTTCTTAGCACCTGCCCCTTAGAAACCATCTCTAGACCTTACCGCTCAAGACTCCTGCTTATATCGATATACAGACTACTGCTGCTGCTGCTGCTACTCCGCAGGTTGCTGTTAGCAAAGTACTTAATCAAAGCGTGGTGCGGTCACCGCCACACCACGCCCGACCGCCTTCGTCTCCCCCAGTGGCGATGACGTTCATAGCAGCAGCAGCACCGCCACGTTCTCAATTTAGGCTGAGTTGACCTAAAGGCATCACGAGCTTACATTCATATTTACATTTCCACCAGAGACAATCAGTATCGTGGTTCGGAATTGAACCCAGGTCACCGACTCGTGTCTTTATTACTGTGTCTGTTTATCGCTGAAGTTGTTGATGTTGTTGTTGTTGTTTGTGCTAAATCTCGCAACTGACAGCAACATGCCAAGCTGCCCACGGTTCTTTGCTGTCAAAGGTCGTATTGATTGACCTGGGTCCCTCGTGCTCACACCTACACAGACGCGAGCTCGCAAAGCAAAACACCGCGCACGTGTGTACAGGGCACGTGTCTGTGCGTATATCGCTAAGGGAGCGGTGGCGCAGTGCACTAACCACTGCGCTACCCACCCGGCCACCTGAGTTCGATTCCCCCTCATGGCTAACACCGGTGACGCTTATCTGAACCGGTCTTGGGCCTCCCCTAGGTCGACTCAGCCTTATATGAGTACCTAGTGCGGTGTGTAAACATCAGCACTGGGGAGATAAAGGTGACCTGGCGCTGTATTGGCCACCCAACTCCTTAGTGTGCCCTGTTGGCCTTTATAGGTTCTCGTTGACGGCACTTGCCCCAATAGTCTGTTAACGGCTATACGGGGGATCGTTCTATTCATGTGGATTCGTCAGTGTGTGTGTGTGTGATCATGTGTATCTGTGTGTACACGTTTTTATGCCACCGTGCCAGTGTGTGTTGATGACTTATTGTACATGTAGGTGTCATGGAGTGTGTGTTGATATGTACGTCTTTGTTGTGTATGGATCAGTGGTTGGCTGAGTTGTGTTTATGCAATTGTGTGAATCTTACCAATTTAACACGTAGGCTTTCGCGACCATAATAGAGGGGTTTTTTTAGGTTAGATCGCGTAAATATATAAATGTGTCGTTAAAACCCGCCACCACCCGACACAGCCAACTAGTAAGGGTTGTCACGGAAACAGAACGTGGCCAATTCGCCACTAGTACAGCACTAACCGGTGTGTTGGAGAGCCGAGCCACAATATTTACAATCTGAGTACGACGTTTCTGTTTACGTGGCAACCCTTACCAGTTGGCGATTTTGGTTTTACGCGATCTAACCCCCCCCAAAAAAACCCCCTCTATCATGGATGAGTCATGCCAGTCTGTGCCATTGTCAGTGTGTTGGTGTGTTTGCGCAATTGCGTGCGTGTGTTATATCTATCCACGTTATGCATACGCGCGTGTGTGGTTATTGAGGTTCTCGCGCTGTGCAGAGTCAAAACGGTTATCGGAACCTGCGCCTGTTTCTCCCCAGCTTTACAAGAGTAGCGCGTGCGGCGCGGTGCAGATCAGCGCCGGGAAGACAAAGACGGCCGGGCGTGATGATGATCATACCACCGCTCCTCGCGTGCCATTTCGACCAAAATAGGTGCTCGCTGACAGCACTGACCTTGCACTCTTCAAGCCTGTGCTGACGACAATGCCGTGCGCGTGCCTGGGGCACGCGCACGGCATTCAGCACCACGGACAGCTCCGCGCTGTTGGCCCGCGTCCTGCGATCTGTCTTAACCAGCGGCGTACAATTCCACGTTATTATGACCGGGGTACACTTATATTTTAAATGTCATACCACAACAACAACGAGTCGTAACGTTACAGAAGAGCGTTGTAACACAGCCTGCACCGGGAGAGTGCTTGTTTGACAAATGCGAAATGACGATAATGATGATGTTGGTGATGATGGTGATTTTGATCACGGGTGATGGGGCTTGCATGGACCTTCTCTGTACACGCTTGCGTGCCATGTAGCGGGTTTTTTCGGTATATTCCGATTCCTGCCATAGGAATGTGTAATTTCCACCACTCGACCTGTTTTTTTTTATCTTCCTTGTCGCATCATTTGCTTTTCGGCCCCATGTCTCCCTTGCAAAAGAGACCGCGGTCTGGAATCGCTGAACCTGATTTATCATTTGCGCTCTCTCTCTCTCACCTCTCGGTCTATGGGTGGCGCGATTCACACACAACCCCGTGCCCTGCCGCATCCCTAACTCCTTCACCTCCCCCACTCCACAATCACAGCTCGCGCCGTGCCCCCCCCCCCCCCCCCCCCCCCCCAGCCCCGTAGCCGTCCTCTCCACGTAGCAGCAGCTCTCTCGTCATTCCTCGCTCACTCCCCACCTCTACCCGCCCTCCCCTCCCACCCACTCCTCGTGCAGCATCAACATCCCCACGTGCGGCTCCCACTATAAAAGCTCGGCCGAGCGCGCGAGCCCGGAGCAAGGAGCTGCATCATCGATATCGAGACAGCTGCACGCGAGACCCCCTCCCCCGACCCCAATGCGTAGACCGCGGGTCCCCTCCTGGTCCCCCTCGCTGAACGCGGCCTCCCACAAACTTCAACTTAGCGCAACCGCCTCCACCCACTACCTAATAATAGCACAACCTCCACCCACTACCTAATAATACCACCACCATCTCCACCACCCACTACCTAATAATACCACCACCATCTCCACCACCCACTACCTAATAATACCACCACCATCTCCTCCTCCACCCACTACCTAATAATACCACCACCATCTCCACCACCAACTACCTAATAATACCACCACCATCTCCTCCTCCACCCACTACCTCATAATAGCACCACCACCCACACCTTGAATTACACAACCACCACCTACCAGCCGATGATACCACCACCAACTCCCGAATACCACCGCCTCTACTACCTTGCATCATAACACCACCACAGCTCCAACCACCACCTGCCCACACTCTTTAACTCCCGCCATCACCTCCTCCTTTCGAACACCGCCACCACCACCAACCAACCATCGCCACCGCCGTCTCCATCGCCAGGTTCTCCTCGCTGCTGGAGACCTGGGCTCCCAGCGCAGCAGTCCCCATGGCCCGATCCCCTCCGGGTGCTCTCACTGTGCCCACGGCCATCCAAGCGCAGCCGGGAGGAGGGAACTCACCGCCGCAGTCTGAGCCGCCTCCAGTTAGGCACCACCACCACCAGCAGCAGCAGCAGCAGCCTCGCTCCACCAAAGGCGCGTCGAAGGCTCGCAGGGATCTGATCAACGCCGAGATTCGGAGAATCCGTGAGCTGCTGCCGCTGAGTGATGCGGACAAAGCTCGACTCTCGTACCTGCACGTCATGGCGCTGGCGTGCGTGTACACGCGGAGGGGACTCGCCTTCCCTGCGGGTGAGTGTGCGTGGCGAGCAAGTGAGTGTGAGCGAGTGTATCGGTGAGAGCGGAGTGCTCTTCAGTGCTCGCTAACAGAACTTGCCCTAAACGCGTGCGAGCGGAGTGTGGTGTGGGTGCGGTGGCGCAGTGCTGCGGCCACACTCGGCGACCCCAGATCGATTTCCCGTTCACGGCCGTCATTGACCGATTACCCGGTGCGATGTGTAAACATCGCCACGAGGAAGACAAAGGCGTCCGGGCAAAGGTGTTGGGTCACCCACCCCCTCGTGCGCCGTGCCGGCCTTCATAGGTCCTCGCTTACAGCACTTGCCCCTGAAGTCAGTGAAAGCCTATAGGGGATACCTTTGTATTTGTGAGTGTGTACATGAGTGAACTATGGGAGTGGTAGTGTAGCGGTTAGGGCGCTGCGATACGAACTCGGCCACCTGAGTTCGATTCCCGCTCACGGCGAACACCATTGACGATTATCTGAACCGGTCCTAGGCTTCCTCCCCTATGTCGACTCAATCTGAAAGGAGTACCTGGTGCGGTGTGTAAACATCTCCGCTGGGGAGACAAAGGCGGCCGGGCGCTGCCCCCTCGCGTGCCGTGCCGGCCTTCAGAGGTGCTCGCAAACAGCACTTGCCCCAACAGTCTGTTAAGGCTATACGGGGGATCTTTGTAATTGTTCGTGTGTAAATGACAATTTGGGGGGCGCGTGTGTTGGTAGGTGAGGTATGCGCACGAGGATGAGCACGCATTGGGTGTATGGGAAGTGTGAGGCGCGGTGGTGCTGTGGTTAGTGTGCTTCACTCCAAACTCGGCATTCAGAGTTCGATTCCCGCTCACGACCAAATAACGAGTGGTGAATATTTGAACCGCTGATGGGCCTCCCCATAGGTCGACTCAGCCTTCAATGAATACCTGCTTCAGTGTGGTAAACGTGAGCCCTGGGGAGACAAAGGCGGCCGGTCTCGGTGATTGAGACGTCACCCCTCGTGTGCAGTTTCAGCCTTAAGTAGGTGCTCGCTATCAGCACTGGCCCCAGCAATCTATGCAGGGTACACAATAAATCTTCGCATATCGTTTGCTAAGCGTGTAACTATGGCCGGGTGCTTCAGTGGGCACCTACTGGCGATGTGAGAGTCACTCAACAAGCCAGCCTAGCTGGGCACATGAGTTCGAATCCGAGTTTAGGTCACCCGCGATGAGAGCAAGTCGGCAGGCCCCCACTGCCGGCGACGAGCCAGGCAGGGCACGTGGCCACGTTTGTTGACGTGGCGAGGTGCTTTCCTCACCGTTCGCGAATGTAATTACACCCGACTGGAAATTCCACATTGCTTAGGTGAGGGGCCATATCCAGCATAATTGTGGTCTTCAAATGAAAAGTGATGGACACTAAAATGATCGGCCACAGCAGATTAATGGTGGTGATTATGATGCTGCTGAGGATGACAGTGTTGGTGATTTTGAGTATCATGATTACGATTGTCGTGATGCCGATGTTCATGGTGGTGGCAATGATAATGACAAACTCAATTGCTGTTCACTTTAATCAGCCAGACTCGGCTGGCTTGTCAATGCCCATCTCAATGAAAAAAATATCAACGTGCTGCTATTCACCCCCCCCCCCCCTTCCCTCTATTCCATGCCTCCCCCTGGCTGACGGAGAAGGCTGGAGCGGAGAAGGAGCGAGGCGAGTTGGAGGAGATGGAGAAGACTCTGCATGGGGGGCAGTCGCTCCGGGATGGAGCCACTCGCTGCCCGGCTTCGTGCTCGTGATGACCCGGGAGGCACGCCTCATCTACCTCTCGGACAACGTGAGCGACGTCCTGGGATACTCCATGGTGAGGCGTCGCGTTTCCTCACGTGTAGGAGCCATCATCATCATCGTTATCATCGTCGCGTTCTCCATCGCCAGATCGAGCACGAGTTATCATCATATCTATGGGATACCATTTTGACAGTATCAAAATGATGAAGAAAAATAAGAATAGGTTTTTACCCTTTCTGGCAATGAAACAGGTGTTACGATGTTCAAAACACCAGAGAGAAACCTTTTGCAAGGTATCTATTGCACTGTTCGCCCTTTCGACGTTCTCTGGCCGAGCACCCGTGAGAGAGACTGAGTCATACAGAAGGTTGCCGTCTCTGGCGTAGCCCAATCGATTTCAAAGACAATGCCAGTACATTCTTATCGGAGCATGTTTCTTTGCATGTTTTATGTGTGGTTAATGCAGACTTGATGCCTTCCAAAAGGTTTCTATTTGCTGTCTGAACATCCGAACATCACCTGTTTTATTGGCACAAAGGGTAAACCTATTATGAGTGTCGTAATTTGCGTCATCGTCAGCAGAAGCAGCAGCAGCAGCAACAACAGTGTTAGTATCATCGTCAGCACTATCGACATGATTTTCATGAGCGGCATAAGCCATAGTTATCACCATCACCAGCATAATAGTCACCACACCTGACCCTGTGACCCTTGTGACCCGAGTGATCCGTGTGACCTCCGTAACCCATGTGACCTCCGTAACCCATGTGACCTCCGTAACCCACGTGACCCATTCTACCAATGGTACCCGTGTGACCTGTGGATCGGTGGAGCGAGATGCTGACCGTCGCGGCTGCTCTAACCCGTTCAGGTGGACCTGGTCGCACAGGGGGACAGCTTCTACGACATCGTCGACGAGGAGGACCGGGCGCAGGTGCAGGCCAAGCTGCAGGGGCACGGCGAGTGCACAGGTGAGAGAGCGACCATCGTCAGCATCGTCATCATCATCATCATCAATGCTATAAACTTCATCCTCATGATCATTGCCATCAATCATCTCGAGTACCGCCTTCAAAACCGCCACCATCATCACCATCATCATCACGACCAAACAAAGACAAAGTTTCCCCCCGATAGCCTTAACAGACTGTTGGGGGCAAGTGCTGTTCGACAGCACGGTCGGTGGCCATCACCACGCCCGACCGCTTTCGTCTCCCCAGTTGGCGTTGTTTACAACACACCGCACCAGCGACTCATTTGACGGCTGAGTCGACCTAAGTGAGGAAGCCCAGGACCGGTTCAGATAATATAATCGTCACCAGTGTTGTTGGCCGCGAGCGGGAATAGTGAACTCTGTTCCCTCCGGGTTCGTGGGCGCAGAGCGCGCTAACCGCTGCGCCTCCGCTCTCTCGCCCTCCCTCGCACGCAGAGGTCTCCTTCGTGTGCCGCGTGAGTACGGCGAGGGCGCTCCGCCGGCAGGGCTCCAACCGCGCCCTTGCCGTGCGCTCGCGCTCGGCCCCCGCCCCGCCGGGCTGCGCGTGGCAGCAGCAGCAGCGGCGGCAGCTCCTGTGGCTGCTGTGCTGCCCGGCCGAGGACGTCAATGCCGCCGGCTCTCAGCTGCGAAGTCGCCTCGCCGCCGCCGCCGCCTCCTCCTCCTCCTCGTCGTCGTCGTCTCCCCACGGCCACCAGCAGCAGCAGCTACTACAGCCGCAGCCGCAGCAGCGGTGGCAGGAGAATGGCTTCGCGTCCAGTCACTCTCGAGACATGCGCTGGATCTCCGCCGAGCGCAGGTGAGAGAGGAGGATGAGGCGGAGGCACGCACATTCTGGGGATTCCCCACCGATCATCGTCTCTCGTTGCCGAGATCCTTCGACAAATAACCTTCGCTCAATCCGACAAACGTGTTGTTGTTGTTGCGTACTCTTTGTCGATTACAATCGTTGACGTCGGTACCATTGGGCCCTGTGCTAAGCAACTGTGTTAAACATTTTTTTTAACACATAATATATATACAGGGTGGCCCTAAAGTCAGGACACGTAGGTTTATTATATTTATTTTAACAAATGATCAAACTGACATGCATTAACATTAATGCATGCATGAGTTCTCTTTTGAAATTAATTTAGGACTTTTTAAATATTTTAACGTGAATAAATTCTTTATTTGTCTGCATTCATTCGGAGTTCCTGATCGAGTTTTGTAAATGTCATCTGAAAAGGAAGAAGAGAAAATAGATGTTGATGATGCGAATAGATTAAACATTAACTTAAACAAGAAACAATTAACAATGTTTTAATGTCAATGTGAATATAAAGTAAACACCCTATCTGTCCTGGCTTTCGGACCATCCGGTATACACTCATACATTCACAAATACACACTGCTACACACACACCCTGGCCTGGTGTGTGACCTGGCGTGTGACCTGGCCTGGTGTGTGACCTGACGTGGTGTGTGACCTGGCCTGGCGTGTGACCTGGCCTGGCGTGTGACCTGGCCTGGTGTGTGACCTGACGTGGTGTGTGACCTGGCGTGTGACCTGGCCTGGTGTGTGACCTGACGTGGTGTGTGACCTGGCGTGGTGTGTGACCTAGCCTGGCGTGTGACCTGGCCTGGTGTGTGACCTGACGTGGTGTGTGACCTGGCGTGTGACCTGGCCTGGTGTGTGACCTGGCGTGGCGTGTGACCTGGCGTGGTGTGTGACCTAGCCTGGCGTGTGACCTGGCCTGGTGTGTGACCTGGCGTGGTGTGTGACCTGGCCTGGTGTGTGACCTGGTCTGGTGTGTGACCTAGCCTGGCGTGTGACCTGGCGTGGTGTGTGACCTGACGTGGTGTGTGACCTGGCCTGGTGTGTGACCTGGCGTGGCGTGTGACCTGGCGTGGGGTGGCTCTGTCGCAGCGTGGTGTGTGACCTGGCCTGGTGTGTGACCTGGCCTGGTGTGTGACCTGGCCTGGTGTGTGACCTGGCGTGGTGTGTGACCTGGCGTGGTGTGTGACCTGGCCTGGTGTGTGACCTGGCGTGGTGTGGCTCTGTCGCAGCGTGGTGTACCATCTGGAGTACGAGGCCCAGGAGCTCGTGGGGAAGTCGTGGTACCAACTCCTGCACCCAGAGGACGTGGCCCACGCCACCTCCCAGCACAGCATTTTGGGTGAGCCCTCCACGGTCACCACACGGAGGGATTGGGACCCGTCACAGCAGCAGTGACCAACCGGGCACTGTGTCTCACTATCAAAACAGGGCTCTGTCCTGGTGTTGAGGCTGTGGGTCAATGTTGAGGCTGTTGGGTCAGTGTTGAGACTGTGGGCCAGTGTAGAGGCTGTGCGTCAGTGTTGAGGCTGTGAGTCGATATTAAAGCTGAGTCAGTTTTGAGGCTGTGGGTCAGTGTTGATATTGTGGGTCAGTGTTGAGGCTGTGGGTCAGTGTTACGGTTAAGCTGCCATTGGAATGAGCCATGTCTGATTTATTGACCTATTTAACTCTGGGATTGTACATTTCCTCTCGTTCAGTTCAGAGCCGCGACTCGTGTGAGGCGCGGATGATCGTTCGGCTGCAGAGGAAGAGCGGGGACTGCAGCTGGGTCCTGGTGACAGCTCAGCTGCAAGACGACGTCATATTTTGCGACAACCTCATGATCAGGTGAGAGCTGCACATCATCAAACCGCGGTGCTCTTGATCTCTTCCACGCCGGTATCCATTCTGACTTCCACTGAGTCAAAGGCGGGAACATTTTGATCACCGAGAGCCGAATAGGACTTTGAAAGTAACCTGTGGCGAGCAAAGGAGGCATTTACACAAGTCAAAGGCACACACGCGCACACACAAAGACAAAGGTCCCCCGTAAAGGCTTAACAGACTATTGGGGCGAGGGCTGACGTGCTGTTCGCGAGCACCTATGAAGGCCGGCACGATACACAAGGGGGTTGGTGGCCAGCACCATGCCCGACAGCCTTTGTTATCCCCAATGACAATGTTTACACACCACACCAGCTGCGGATGAGCGTAGTTTGTGGGGCGTTTTTGAAGTGGCGGGCCTCGCGTGGCCGTGGGCTGCGCGAGCCGTGGCCGTGGGCCGTATGCTGCCCCGCGGGCCCATCAACGCGACTGACGGCACCCCCCCCCCCCCGCCCCTGCGCGCCCTCCTCCTCTTGCAGCGAGGCGGAGGCCACGAACCTCCGTGGTGCCGTCGGCCTGGCCCCGCGTCCCGTCGCGTTGGGCCCATTCCACGGCGGCTTCGGGCCATCGGCGGACGCCTTGGAAGAGCCGCCGATCGGCCCCGCGGGCGTCGACGTGGCGGCCCCGCTGATGGAGCCCCTGGCGGACACGCTGGCGGACACGCTGGTGGACGCGCTGGTGGACACGCTGGTGGACACGCTGTCGGAGACGCTGTCGGAGACGTTGGCGGAGACGATGGCGGAACCGCTGAGCGTGCGGCTCACGGGGCACCAGGTCGAGACGTCGTCCATCGTTTCCACCGCGGCGTCACTGCTGCTCGTGCCCTCCCCGGTTCCTCATCAGACTGCGGCGCCCTGCACGGCCACCGCCGCCGCCCCCTCCTCCTCCTCCTCCTCGCCCCCCGACGTCGCCGAGATCCTGCGCACCTTGGAGGTCGGCCTGCCCGGCTGCAGGAAGCGCAAGCGGTCCGAGGACATCGCGAACCCTGCACGCCACCACCCCGAGATGGGGCTCTACTGTCCACCCCAGCCCCTGCGGAAGATTCGTCCTCAACTTCATCATCAGCATCATCACCACCAGCAGCAGCAGCAGCATCAGTTCCAGACCCCAGTGTGGAGCGAGCGAATGTTGGCAAGCGCGAAGCATCAGCCGGAGTCGTCGCCCGGCGGGCTGCAGTGCACGCCGCCCTACACCCCGGAGAAGGCCTCCACCTTCCTGTTCAACCCGTGCGACGTGGCCGCCCGCCAGCAGAGCTTCGTGCCGCCCTCGCCGAGCCCCGGTGTGTACGATCAGCTGCCCCCCACGCCCGACAGCCCCTTGACCTCCGCCGTGGCCTCGTGCCGCTCCCTGCCGCCCATCAGCACCTTCGGGGGCGGGCGGCGAGCGCCGGGCGCGCCGCACGCCACCCGCGGCCCCCACGCGTACTCCGAGGCGGAGAGGGAGCACATCAACGTGCTCGCGCGGCAGATCAGCACGCTGGCCGAGACCTTCGACTCGTACATGCGCGCCGCCGGCGGCGGCGGCGGCGGCGGCGGCAGAGGGACTCAGAGGCAGGAGGGCGAGGAGCTGAAAGCGTCGCACACGAGGCTCTTCCTGTCGGGCCGCAGCTCCTCTCTCCCCGAGACTCGCTCCGGGTGGCGGGAGACGCAGACCGACTGCTCCGGGGAGCTCGCCGGAGTCGGCATAGGCAGTGGCGGCGGCGGCGGCGGCGGCAGTGCGCCCCCCTCGCTGCTGCTGCCGCCGCCGCCACCTTGCAAGCGTTGGAGGAGTCTGGACTTCTCCATAGTGCCCGAGCTGGAAGAGGGCCCCTCGTCGTCATCCGTCGACCGAGAGGTCGTGTTCGACGCTCTGCTCAAGGACATCGTGGACCTGCAGGAGAATGAAGCGGCGGCGGTGGAGGAGGAGGGGGTCGCGGGAATCATGTCGGCAGGAGGAGGAGGAGGAGGCGGGGGAGGGGAGGGGTCGGGTGGGCCGTGCGTTGTCGAGGAGCCCCAGGCCGCTGCAGCGAGCTCCCCGTGTTTTGGGCTTCGTGCGTCTGAGTTGTATCAACTCGCCGAGGGCAGCTCGCCGCACCACGCGCCAGGTCAGCCACTCGTCTGGTCGCGAGGATTCTGGGAAACGTTCAGAGCGGGGTGGGGGGGGGGTTCTTAGATTGGTTGTCATTCGAGAGCTGTATTTCAACCGCGCTCTCGAGAGAGATCCGAACACTCGCGTCGCAAAAGGGTTCGCGACACACATTGGCGGATGTTACCGTTACCGTGACATCGCACGCCCTATTCAAGGCCCAAGACCTGGAGGACATTTTCACAATTCTGGCAACTGCCTGATGATGCTGATTGTAACTTACCAGCGAAACGTCCGCAAACAATTGTTAAATGTTGTGACGATGCTCACCAACAACAGCACTACCGGTGGTGCTGATGCAGAATGGAAATATTTGTACTGGAGGAATCCGATGAGCTATAAAGCTCTTTTTTCATAGATGTCCAGTAGGGGCGGGTCAGAATGTTACAACAACAACAACAAACAATACAACAACACGATAGGGGAGCAAAGTATAGGCAAGGTAAACAAATCACTTTTAAAAAATATTAAAATAACAGTAAACCATTTTTGATCTTACCAGGTAAAGCCCACTGAGATATTCACCTCATTTGTTGTTCACGTGACAACTTTATTAATGGGCCCGTGTCGGGTGGAGGAGGGTTTTACGACGGGGTGGTCGAGGCGATTCAGCCGGATCCGCCGACAGATAAAAACTGGGGACTCAAGTGGCAACGTCCGCGTGGTTCGATGCATTTAGCGTGGCACGCGAGAGTCAAATTGAATCGCGCAGACGTGCGGGCAAAGAAAACTCGACAAACGCCGACGGGTGACGAGTTCAGTCCACATTCGTCCCCCATAGAGGTCGATCGGTGTGCGTGATGTCACGTGTCGGTGCTGTTGTTACCTCTTAAAAAGGTCTTCTGTTTTCAGACAATAATACTGACAATACTAATTCCTGTTTTTTTTTTCTTCTTTATCGTTCCAGGTGGAAGCCCAAAGGAACGACCATTCTGAAATAAGTCTCTTGACTTACAGGCTGTGGAGTATGGCATATTGCCATGGACTAGCAGACACCGGTTTTATCCCTGTGCCCTGGAAACAGTAGTTTCTGGTTAGGGAAATAGGGACCTGTCTGTACGTATGTACGTACGTGTGTGTGTGCGTGTGCTGCGTCTTTGTGTACATTGCGAGCTGTGCGTGCGGTGGTTGTGTTTTCGTAGGCTGCGTAAGGGTGGGCAAGCGACGTTAGTGAGCACCCATTTAGACGTTGCCAGCACCATTCACGCCCGGCCGCCTTTGCCTCCACGGTGTTGAAGTTTTACACGCCCGCCGCTTTAAGTACTCGGTTAAGGCTGAAGTCGATTTAGCAGAGGCCCAGGGTGAGTCCAAGACGCCGCTTGCCCACAGATGTCACCCGTGGCTGGGGAATGAGCCCAGCTCCTGGGAAAGCAGTGCGAATTACAAAACCGCTCTGGCGTAATTCTCTCCCATGAACTGGGGAATCTTTTGTCTTGGCGATCGCTGTCGGCCATTGCATCCCCTACTATGCAGTTCAAGACTTAAACAGGGAATATATTGTGTGTGTGACCGTTTGTCTTTATAGTCTTTGTGCAAGTTCTACTGCAACAAAACCACACACACACACACAAAGCGGATTGTGTCAATATGTGCAGTATGTACATAGTAATTGACACCGTTTGTCAGTCCACTGCTGGATGAAAGTACGCAAGACGTATGTATAATATGAGATACCCTGATTATTGTGGCCGCATACGTACGCACGCACACACGTGCCCCGACACGCTGGATTCGTTTGGCACTCGATTGAGAGGCCAGTCGACACGTGGCGTATACGCGCTGCGAACGAACCGTGCGATTTACGCACGTGTATAGAACTCTACGGTCAACCGAATTTAATGCTTAACTTTTTAATATACATGCATAAACGTGTGTGTATATATAAAAACGCATTAACAAATCGTATTGAAATATTTTCAAGGATTTATTTATTTGAAAAACTATAAATAAAAAAAAACCCGCCCTCGAACAGATGCTGCTGCTGCTGCTGCTGCTGCGTGGCACCGTAGACGCCAAGCCCCGGAGCGGGGAGGTCGCTATCGGATAGCGCTTTGTCGTCTCTCTCCGCTGTTCGGGGAGTGTGGCGGTGACGGTGGTGGTGGTGGTGGCGGTGACGGTGGCGGTGGTGGGTTCACACGCTCGCACACGCGGCTCGCCTACTGGACACCTGTGAACAAAGAGCGCTTCATAGCTTATCGGATTCCTCCAGTTGAAATCAACTTTCCGATTCCCGATTCGCCCTGCTTCGGGGGGTAGCGCCGTAGCACGGCGCGAGGGCTCCGCTCGCCGTTTGCAAAAGTTCTAATCCTGGTACGAAGGTCGGCTCGCCATCCTACCTTATCATCATGATCATCGAACACGTTGGCCTTAGCGCATCAACTACGCGCTCTGAAGCAAGGGCCATTGCCCGAAATGTCGCAGATTATACATTACGCCCTTTAAGGCCACACAGTGTTGTTGTTGTTGTTGACACGGAATGCGTCCATGGGTTTTTGTTATTTGTGCACCACTGCCGACTCAGCATCAGCATCACCACCACCAAGTAATTTGTTTACTCATCCTTACAGGATTGATAGCATTGTGCGTGAGTGTGAAGTTAACACTTGGTGGGCTGGTGAGACTGGACACCCCTTTCCCGTGGCAATGTGGGGATCTCCAATTTTTTCCATGACAGTGCGTATAAGTTTGACGCGTTCAAAACATTCGAACCGCTTTCGATCGTTTCGGCCGATTGACACATCCCTCCGTACGCCATTCGGTTGCAATGAAACGCAAGTGCCGCGAGCGACTCCTCCGAGGCGAGTCTTGACGTCGCGTGAATGTGGGGCGACCCAAGGGCTTCGTAGCGTACAAGTGAAGTTGTTGGGTTAACCTCGTGCATTTTCACGTCCCGCTGTGGGCTGGCCAGCTGGCGGCCGCTGGTTCAGCTCCAGAGGCCGCATTTGCCAAAGGCGTCGCTCGTTTGTGCACCCGAGCGGAAATATTTTGTGGACAGCCGTTCGGAGCGGTCAGGTGAATTCGAACTTCGTGAAGACTAACCCGATGGCCGAGGGCCGTGCATCGACCCAATAAGCAAAACTCACAACTTGCCTCCGTGTTAAATAGTTCTTCGTGATAAGATATATTTTTGGTAAAAAAAGTGTAAATGTATACCCAAAAAGACTATTACGGACTGTCGAATATTTTTTTGTTGACAGATTATCGTGGATATCGTATATTTATATGTATTGCCACATGGTGACGGATCGAAATAAACATTATATATTATGAACAAGCATGCGTGACGCAAGACTGCTCGTTTTTATTGTCGGTGTTGCATCGCATTTTGAGAGCAACGGCATGCTAACCGTAACCCAAAGGGCCCAAATGCAGCCAAATCGCCTAATTTAGGCCACACTTACACAACCCCCGAGCATCCGGGTCTTGGAAGGGCCCCGAAACCTTTTTCCACTGCGCAACCGAGCCACCCCGACGCAGCTCATGAGAGGCCAGGTCCGCTATTCCGCTGCAGGAGTTGCACTGCCGACGTCGCCCGCGGCAAACGAGCGCCGATGGGTGCAGGCGAATGCGGCGATGCCACGTCCTCGCCACACACCCACGAGCGACGAATGTGGTGTTAGCCCAGCCCCCCCCTCCTACCCCCCCCCCCCCCCCCACGAGTCATATTTAGATGCCTTGATTTAGAGGCCAGCGTGTATATCACGGCTTGGTTCTGGTTCGGCACGGCAAATAGACGGCGGGAAAGCCATCCCTGTACCGCGCAAGCGCCCTGCACAAGCGCGGCGTGCATGTGGCCAGTGGGAATGGGGCAGGAGGCGCCACCACCTGCTTAGTTGTCCCATCACGCCACACCTGCAGCTGCCCGAGAATCTCTCTAGAAGGGCATGACCTATATGTCCAGGTCAACACATTCATCAATAACACTGTGGGCCCCATAATAATAATAATAAATAAGGTGACGTTTCCGGCACGGTGTTATTTGACGAATGCGTCTAGTTTTGTTGTTAATTGCGGCTGTGCACCCGTGCCAACCCAGCAGAAGCAGCAGCTTCACCAAATAATGTTTTTGTTTCCGGACGGGCGCGGTCTTGTGACACCGCGCTACCCATGCGCGGCAGAGCATTGGGTGATGGTGGCTGGAGGAGGAAGACACCGGCGGTTAGAGTAAACACCAGGGCCGCCAAAGAAAAGCCTCCGTGCCGCCCCAGGCCGTCCCTTGTCCCACCGTTATATTCGGGCATCTTGAGGTGGCAGTCGTTATTTAGACGAAAATCACACATCCAAATGCTACTCTCTTTCACAAACGGCACAAAATCGGACGGAAAAGAACACGTTAAAGTAGTTTATTGCTGACAAAATACAGCAATCCCACTATCAACGAAATGCAAATCAGTTACCACCATTCTTAAAACACATGCGAGTGTTGCGGCAAAAAAGCCCAAACGACTGATACTGTTCTGACCGTTCGTGTGAGAATATACGTTGGGGCGTCACGCTTTTTATTGTGCATTTGAGGTCACTGCATTCGTGTTAGCTATCCTAGTTTTAATACGCCGCCGTACTCGCCGATGTGGATGTCTTCTCAACGTCGAGATAACGAGACGGCGGAGGCCGAGCCCCTAATCACCGGCTCGCACTGCGACCAGCGTGGAACAGAATTCACAGGCACGCACGGTGGTGCCGCGGCTGGTGGCGCCACCGCGCAACGGAAAAAAAAAAACATTTGAATTGCGTCGGTTCCGCGGTAGAGGTCTCGACTCGCAACGGGAAGAGGTCGGTCACAAGGTCAAATCCTAGATCTGGGATCAACTCGGCCTTATTGCCAATGCACCTCTGGGGGTTGAAATAATACGTACCAAATTAATTAAAACTATTTTTAATTTTACTCGGTAAGGCCCACTGAGCCTATGTAGCTCTTTTGCAGGAGCGACCTGGCCACAGATGACAGCTCAACTAAGTGGCTTATCAAGTGGAAATTTATAGCAGCCAAATACTCTAAACGCATATTTATTCTAAATGTGGAGGGAAAAACCGGAGGATCCGGATAAAAAATCCACGCCACCACGGGAAGAACACGCAAACTCCAAATATACAGCAGGTGCCAGGGTCAGAATCGAACCCACAACCTCCTGCATACCAGGCGAGGGAGTTAACATCTCCTCGCCACCGTGGCGCCCTTATTGTGGACAGCCAAGAGCGCTTGTCGCGTAGCTATACGAACGCTCAACCTGAGCGTGTCTGATTGCTACCACCGGCTCCAGGCCACTCCAAATGCTCACGTGACCACAAACACACCGTGACTTTACAAGCTCTTTGACATTAGGTACAGGAGGAAGGCCTCACCACTGAGCCTCAAGGCTTTCCTTAAAGTCTTGCATCAGGATGTTCCACCAATTTAATTTTCCATCGTCGTCGTCAACCTTCTACTTCTGAAGCCAGGTCAATAAAAAGAAATACCACCACATTGTGGGAAAACAACAGTGGTCATCCGATAAGCAGATGGTCTCCTGTCATAGAAACGTGGAGTTACCACCGCAGACTCAAAACCACCCAAGTGCTCAAATATTTTTGAGTATGGAGGCACTTTTTACTTTTTTTGAAGGAAACAATTTCGTGATTAAATTACGACGTCTAATGTAAACTAAACAAACGGCAAGAATGCGTGATTAAAAGGGACTTGGCAATCCCAGATAACGATACCGAGAAACAAGCGGTGAACAATCCTCAATTCTTTATAGCAGAAGGCGAGTGTCATACACATAACGGTGGGCGTGTGCACGCAGCCTGTATTGCCGTTCAAACGTTCAGGCTTGGACTGCGTTGAGAAATACTCGTGACGAGCAAGCCCAGGGCAACAGCTATCGATACAGGAATCCTACAGCAGGAGTTTCACCAGAGATACACATTCCCCACCACGCCCCCCCCCCAACCTCTTTCTTTACTGCATCGATGATGACCCCTTCCCCGCCACCTCCGCCATGTACACGCACCCCCCCCCCCCTCCCCTCAGTTAAGATGGAAACCCTTCTCGATGGTCGCCGACAGAAGCCTCTCCCGCATGATTTCCTCTGACGAATATTCGGGCAGTTTGAGGTAGTGGACGCAGGTGTTCACCGACGGGAAGCTGCCGTCCGTCGCGTCGACCTGCGCACGGAAGCACAGACGACGCACGGCTCTCGTGAGAAAGACAACAGGCCCACGGGGGGGTGAAGAAGTGCGGGTGGGTGGCGGCGGTGGCGGCGGCTGTCCGACGGAGAGACTCGGGGCCGTAGGAATGTGGAATTTCACGACTACTGGGTCACGGTGTGCCAATGAAGGTGGGCATCGACCCATTGGTTCAAGTGAAAAAAGTGAGGTTTTAGTTAACGTCTTGCCTTTATTTGGATGAATGATGATGATCATGGTAGTTATTCCAATTAACAAATACAACTACAAGCTAGTTTTATTTCACCAGGTAAGGCCCACTAAGCCATATAGCTCTATTGCACAAGCGACCTGGCTGTCATAAACGATAGCGCAACTAAGTGGTCTATCGTGTGGAAGTTTATAGCAGCCAAATACCATAAACACACGTTGATTCTTTATATCGAGGGGAAAACCGGAGGACCTGGAGAAAATCCACGCAACCACAGGGAGACAGACGCGCAATCTCCAAATATACAGCAGGCGTCAAGGTCGGGATCGAACTCACGACCTCCTGAATACCAGGCGAGGTAGTTAACATCTCGCCACCGTGGCGCCCATGTTGTAGTAATGAATCGAAATTCTCCCTCGGGAAAAAGGGACCTTGTGTCTAAATAGGCCCGTCAGCTGGCAATGGATGAGCTTATGTCACCGATCGTTCGGCCGCGGTGGCTAGGAGCGTTTCACGCTCTCCATTTGGAGCGGGTGGCCTTGCGGTCAGCGCTGGACGCACGGCTACTCGGCAGGCAGCCGTGGTCGTGCGGTTTCGCTTTCTGCGCGCTTTTGCGGGGGAAAAACCTGCATCGGTGCATCGTCAGGGTCGGGATCGAACCCACGAACTCCCGTGCACAGGGCGATGGAGATGGAGTCTCCTGGCCACCTTGGCGCCCCATCGTCCTAGCCCAGGAGCCGCAGATTGCCTGAAGCTTAACTATAATTTAAAGTAAAGATTTTTTGATTCATTATAGCAGGGAATGGGTCACTACGGAACGTCTTGGCAACGACAAAATGTACAGTCAAACTATATTGTTAAATAACAAGCGAGGGGAAAATACACGAAATCGACGCAGTTAATGCCATCACCCATTTTGTTTATTTAAATCGGAATTTGTTTGTCACCTGCCGTATACCCGCTGCGTTTGCGTCCGTGTACCAGGTAGCTCTGCTGGTGACGCGGCTCTCAAACAGTTCTTGGTCAAAGACAAAAACAAAATGCCTCTTCTTCCTTTAACGGTTTGTTGCCGACCCCCGTCCTAGCCAATGGGCTCTCCCGGCGCACTCACCTTGCGCACGATGGTGAGCCGGGGGTGCAGGTTAGCGAGGCCGCCGGGAGGCAGCGACGAGCAGCCGGTGGTGAACTGGAGGAACGCCTTCCTCTCTTGGGCCGACATTCCGCACAGCACGTTCACAAACCTGAGGAAGCCGGGGCTGCGAGGGGGGAGGACGGGCCAACGTTCAAACGCGCGTGATAACCGGGGATGGCGGCGGCGGCGGTGGCTAACGCTGCACGTGGCTGCCTCCAATCCAGCAGTGCGGTAGTAGCGGCGCGGGTTGGTGGATGGCAGCACGAATGATCAAATGTTGCGAGATTATCCTCCCCGTGGACATTGAGGAAGTGCCATGCCCTGGCTTGCCAGCAGAATGTATTACAGAAAAGTTTGGACTATTATCATCTGTCACCTTCTCTATGGGACATACAGGGTGGCCCATAAGCCTGGAATCGTAGTGAAAAATAAATAATTCATTTTTTTTATTTCTGCAGGCCCAAGATGTCTGAGTAAGCAAGAACGAGTCCAGATAATTCTACTCCTAGGAAATCGGAGTCAGGGGGGAGGTCGCTGTTGAATTTAACAGACTGCATCCAGACTGCGGGCCAATAACTCAAGAGCTGTGTTAGTCTTTCCTATGATTCCAGACTTTGGGGACACCCTGTAAAGTGTTTCCCCCTCGCATGCATGGGTTTTGTCCGGATGTTCTGGTTTTCTCTCAATGTAAAAAAAACTCTCACCATTGGCCAAACACCTCTTCATACACAGGGAACTACAAAGGAATCGCTGGCGCCGACTTACCGACTTGGCAGCCTTTGCAGCTTGGATCTGCGGTTTCTACTCGGCAATTGTGAGACGCAATTTCCACGAGCGACGACGCTGCGTAAAATGAATCGTTATTTACTTTTTAACAATTTCGAACCGAGTGCGGCTACAGCTGCAGAAAGTCTGAATCTCTGCAGGTCGTTTGTCGGAGCTGCTTTCAGGGTCCCGTGTGTTTTTCGGTCTCACGCGATTTTGCTTCGGATTTGCCCTGACGAACTGCCCCAAATAAAAATGTATTTCGTCCCGGGACGACGAACGTGTGACGCATCTTTGTCTGTCATTTACCAACCGTGTTCGTTGTTTTCTGTACTAACATGGGACATTGGCGTTTGCGACCAGGGCTTCCTCGCAAAAGAAACACGCATCTCAATGGGCATGGGCTCTAGCCGGGGGAGGGGGGGGGGGTACATTCAGCGGGCAGAGCGCACTGAACGTGGCGCTACAAGGTGGAAGAATAAGAAAATGAATCGTCATGGGATATTAGAATCAGAATATGTATTTATACTCGGGGAATCCAATGAGCTACGAAGCTCTTTTTCACAGATGTCCAGTATGGAGGGTATGTGGCGGGGGGTCGAATCCCTTCGTGCGGAATGGTGGCGCTGTGGTTAAAGTACTTGAGTCGGAATGCGAGGGCTTACGAGTTATGATCTTGGCCCAATCATCCCTCCAGAGTCGACAAAAATTCGTCCCATTTTGTGGGAAGTCAACGGCAGTCATCGGATGGATGGAGACGACAATTCCTTACCGCGGAACTTTTAACCGCTGCCCCCGCTGACTTCCAATGGAGGCGAGCGTCACCTCACGGCGGTGTGCGCAGGGCGGGGAGGGTGGGGGTAGACACGCTCACCTCTCCCTCGTGTATCCCAGCTTGGGCTCCGTGTAGTTGGTGATGTCGTCCGCCGTCCACGACGGACACTGGTCCCCGCACAGGATGAGCTGCACTTCTTCGGGGCTGAAGGAGCTCAGCTTCTCCATGGGGTACACGCGGTTGAAGCCGTCTTGCAAGGAGACACGGCGGCAGTGACACGCGCGCACGCGTTGAGAACGACGCGACGGACAAAAGCGACGTGCGACGCTCGTAAAACTAACCGCTATTGTTTATTCATCATTTTAAATATTTAACTTGCTAAATCTGAAATTAATTGGCCGCATTTGTTCAGGCGACAACTTTATTAATCGGCCGCGTCGGTTGGAGGAGGGTCGACGACACAACACATTTTACTCACGCGATCGAGCCAAAAGTCTGTGATGAATAGCAATACTGGGGGTGAAAGCCTACGCGTGTTGATCTTTAGTCACTTTCCCCTAAAGCTAACAACCGTTTAAAATTTACCACCAATCTTCACGCCACCCATCTCTCACCGTTTTATCGATGGCCTTCCGTCTCGTTGTCGTCAAGCGTCTTATTGACGCACGGTATCGTTATACTGTACGTGCATTGTCACGTCAATAATGGCATTAGCCTCGACGGACGAGCAAGAACTTATACCTCTGAAGGCGTCGACTTGTTTCCGAATGCCGGAGTGGAGGCAAAAGTCGAACATCAGGTCCACGTACTCCTCGGCGTTCTCCAACGTCACAATCTGCCGGGGAAAATTGAGATGTAACAAATATTGTTGCTAATATCGTACAAGTACGGTCCCCCCTCTTGTCAATCCACTGCTGGATGAGGGCCTCCCCATGTCACGCGGGCTATGGGGGTTTATTTGGCTGTAAGCGCCACGGTGGTTAATGCCGGTTGGCGACGGCTTCTTCTTCTTATCATCGTTTCTTCTTCTTCTTCTTCATCATCACCTTCTTCACCTTCTCCTCCTCCTCCTGCTCCTCCTCCTCCTCTTCCTCCTTCTTCTTCTTCTCTGTGTATGGAAATTCCCGAGGCCATCACATGGCTTACAAACTTAAACCTGGGCGTATAATTTAGACATACTTGTCATTTCTTAAGAACTGCATTTCCTTTAGAACCGCTTTTTGTGTTTAGTCTGCTATCCTTCCCCCAGCACCTCTGATTAGCACAGCTTGCTACGTACGGTGCAAAGGAAGTCCACCATACGTACATATGTACGCTCGAAGAAGGCTCTTTCTCCGGCGAAACTTGATCACGGCTCTATGTTGAGGTGAGACGATCGCTGCTGTTCCCGCTACAGCTGTCCCTCCGGGAGCTGCGTGCACTGGGCACTCGCTGGCGATGTGGCTCATGGACCGTGCCTCGCTGCGTTTGCAGAGCGGCAAGTCCAGGATGCTCCCCACTTATTTTGGACATTTCGCCAAGGCGCTCATGCAGTTGTTCCGTTCTATCCGTGCGCGTGGAAATGTTGTTGTTGTTGTTCAGGAGCTAATTGGCCAACGCCGGGCCCCGACATGACCCAGAAGAAACCAATTACGATTCATAACAATTGGTCGTGAACGCCTACGTAAACAAAATCAAAATCAGAGCCGTTTGCATTTTTTGAAGTTCATTTATGATCGCCGCCGCCGACGAGCGCCGCGCTCACCTCGTCTTCCCCGCAAGACTTGAGGTCGTAGGCGGCGAAGCCGTGCACCTTGGACGACGGGCAAAACTGGAAGTTTAACCTGCGGGGGGGGGGAAACAAGAGCGGAGATTTTCCCAGTTGGCAGCAGATTGCACGTCGGCTTTCGCGACCGACATCACGATCCATTGCCCAGAAACGACCAAGGGATTAATCGCCAGCGATTATGCTCTCAGGCCGAGGTCGAGGCTGGCGACTGAAATAGCAACGCAGAATTTCAAACCGGTAGCTCAGCTGCTTCAACAGGAGATGGGCGCTGCCCCCCCCAGTGCTCGCTTACGAAGAGAGACCGCTTTCACCTGGCCACCAAAAACAAGCACCCCGCACCTCCTCCTATTCCCCGCACCTTCGATTAGCGGGATTGGCTAGGTAGGGTGCGAAAGAAGTTCAACATACAGACATAGACTCACACAGAAAACCCACAGACTCACAGAGAGACCTACAGACTCACGCAGAGAACCGTAGTTTGTTGTCCTTCCGCCGCACCACCGATTAGCACGGTTGGCTTCGTATGGTGCGAAACATGTTCAACATACATTCAGCACATACGTCCCCGTCAAACATTCCTCGCCGTCGTCATCTTCCACCCTATCACCATCCTCGCTCACTGGTGCTTCCCCCGCCGCTGTGCCGCGAGTTGAATGATTCACTCGGAAATCTGGCCGAGCGAGAGCGGCGTAGAGGGAGAACGCCCCCCCCCCCCCCGCCCCCCCCCCCGCCCCCCCCCCGCCCCCCCACACCGCACAGCCTTAAAACGCCAAACCGCGAACGTCACGGTGAATGTAAACCGGGCACCGCGGGAGACACAAACAACTTTTAAAAAAATCGCATCTCGTACCCAAGGTCTTCAATGGCCACCGGAGTTCCCGTGCCCGTCGAGTTGTTGAGCATGAGCTCCTGCAGCATGGTGTTGCGCTCGTCCTCCGACAGGGACCTGTTGCCGAGGATCTGCTTCCGCTTGATCGCCAGCTCCTTGAGCTCCTTGAGGAAGCGCGCGCGGTGAGGGTTGATGACCGCCATGTCCTCCCAGCCCAGGATGCCGTGGAACCACGCGGGCGCACGCGGCTTCGGCGGGTCCAGAATGAACTCGGACTTGGAGTCGTCCTCCAGGCTGCCGACCGACAGCGTGTCGGGGGGACCCTCCTCGAGCGACGCCTCGGAGGCCACCTCGCACGGCCGGAGGTCGCCGTCGTGCGGGTCGCCGTGCTCGTAGAGCGGCTTGCACGCGGCGCCGCTGACGTCGCCGTTGCACATGAGCCTGAAGAAGGGCCGCGACAGGGGGATGTCCACCAGGCGGTTGTCCTGCACGCACTTGGCGAGGAAGATGCCGAGGAAGAAGAAGAGCTTGACGACGCGCTCCACCTCTTCGCTGTCCTGCGGGAGCGGCGCCGGGAAGAGGCCGCTCAGGTGCTGCACGTAGAAGCCCTGCGGTTTCACGCCGTCGCCGAGGTCCACCTGCTGATGTTGGGAGGGGTGGTGGGGGGGGCGCGGGGGGGGGGCAACAGTGGTGAGCGACCGACCGCGGTGGATCGATACGAGCTCACCGTGTCAACGTTGTCGTCACCATCATCGTCGTCGTTGTCAGTTAAGAGGCGTAACGGATCCAGTGATTCCATGGATTAATATCACTTCGCTTAAGCTTGTGATGTACACACGTCGAACTGAACGTGTAAACATTGACGTCGTGAGATTTGTACGTTGTATGCAATGGGTTCTTTCGCGTTACCCCCACGGAAGCCTCTACAGGCTGCTACTATAGTCACTACAATGTTAAACACGGCACAAGCCCAACACTTAAAAGAAGTAGGTTTTCTCTTAGTGTCACTGTTCCTCAAAAAGTGATGAGTAACCGTGCAGACGGTGCTGGCATTACGAGCGTGGAGACTCGCAATCGGATGGTTTCGAGTTCAAATCCTGCTCGGGGGTTGACTGAACCAATAATCATTCTTTCCGCAGTCAATAAAATAAATACCACTTTGTGGGAATTCAACACTGGCCCCACCATGGGAATGTGGAATTTCCACCAGAAGCTCTGCGCTGCCAATGGAGCTTGACACCGCGCCCTTGTCATTCGAGCACGAAGGGCTTCTTCGATTACCTCGGACAGAGCCCTCGCTCGTCACATCAAACCCTACAGGCACGGACTCGAGCTCATTCCCGACAGCGATTGGAACTCGCACACTTTCCAGCAGGAGTAGTGACTACAGCGTCATCACACGTGTCATTCCCAATGCCGGGGGGGGGTCCAGAGCCTTGGATCTCAATCCATTCCGGTCCCTCGTTTTCTTGCAAAGTGCCATGCTTTGTCTGTTCCTCGCCAACCGAAGCACTCAAAAGTGCATTAAACCACAAGATGCTCACGTCTTTTTTCCTCCCTTTCCATTTCTTTTTTGTTTGCCCTCAATCTCACCAGCAGAAAGTTGCGCAAGACTTCGCAAAGCTCACCCGGGGGGGTCTGACCGCAGGGCCCCATAAGCGTTGCCCTTCTTTATCGCTGTAAACTTTCTAAGCCGACGACGTTCCCCGAACCAAGCAGCACCTACCAGGTTCTGAGCATTGGCAAGGTCGTCGTCACACAGCCACATTCCCAGGCTCTTCCTCTGGAACTCTGCGGCCACGAGGGCGTAGAATTCCAGCGTGGGACCCAGCCCCGTGCCCTCCTCGCCAATGAATTCCACCTGGAGAAACGGAGCGAGTCAACAAGAGACCACGGTCACAGCTCAGAAACTCTTCGCACCCCCACAGCGCCGTCGAGGCTGACTTTTGAGACGCGTTTCTCTGTGCAGTGATTACACTCGATCATCCGTGGTCATGGGGGGTCGGGGGAGCAGGGGGGCGGGGGTGGGGGGGATATCGGCCCGCATAAAACAATTATATGGATATTACTAAAACGTACAGTTGTATTTTTCGGAACCCATTTGCGAAGAACACAGGAACAAAACAAGGACGTGACAGATAAGGAGGTAAGGAAGTCAACGTTTATTGAATTGAGCATGATTTTAAGAGCCCGGGGAAAAGCGACGATGGGAGGGAATTCTAATTAGGCTATAAAACGAGGTTTTGTACCTCGGTAAAAACTAGTTTCTATCGTCCATACTGCTGGCCACCAGTCCAATGTCATTCTTAACATTAGGCCGGTGGCCTGCAGCATAGGACGAGGAAGTTTATTGTGCAGCTTGCGTAGAATATCAACACTTTAAAGTTCTCGAACTGTTGACATGGCACGTGTATGTTTACTCCTGTAAGTTGGTGGTCTCGCGGACACGTGACGATTGATTGAGGGAATGATCAAAAAAGAATCATTAGTCAAAGTGCACTCACTGGATTGTTACGTTATATTTTCTATCGTGCTATGTTTGTGGAAGATTCGTGCTTACTATTCCCGTAGGCTCATGGGTCAGACTGAATGTGACCGAACGATGGAGGAAACGGCGTTGGCAAGGCGGAATCAACCGCGAAATCAAACGCAGTGTGCACAAGACTCAAACAAGTGAGGAGGGGTAAGTAAAAAAAAGACACGGGCAGAGCAGAACACACAGGCAAGAAGACAAACAAGGGAGTGTGAACCAGAATTGCGCCAAATTCATCGACACTGAGCAGCGAAGTGGCGGAGAAGGGAGGGGTGGAACCGCTGGTGCCCACTTCCCGGAGACAGTGTACATCAGTGTTCTTCATCAAGTATCAGCAGAGGCGGGGGGCACTTTCGCAGACAGGCCTACACATCGAAACCGTTGGGGTTTGACAACAGCACGACGGGGGGGGGTGTTGTCACGTGTTGTTGTTGCGTATTGTGTCGGGGGGGGGGGGCCGCACGTCAGGGGACCGCACTAAAGGCCACCAAGGGGCCACCAGTGGCCCGCGGGCCTTGCAATGAAGAACACTGCCCTACTGTCTCATCCGCACTGCGTTTCAAGTATCGAGCTGCTGGTCATCTCACTCTTCTCCCCCCCCCCCTCTGCTTCTTCGCCTTGCACAGCTCCACTCTGGAATTCTCTCCTCCTGTTATCGTCTCTTCCTCCCCCCCCCCCTACCCCACAAGCACTTATAATAACCTTGCGGAATTCACCAAACGTGTTCGATCTGATATATTACAACTCCGATGGTGCTTTAAGGACGCGTCGGCTTTCGCAAACAACGTCGTGGACCGCAACCCATTTTTTGGGTCGAAACGCACGAGTAAAATGTGTGTCGACACAGCCAATTCATAAAGCTGTCACGTGGAACAAAACGTGGCCAAATCGATCACCGCTTCGGAACGCGAGCGGTGCGCACAACGTTTAACGATCATTTGGATGAAGACGTTTCCGCTACGAGCTACACGAGGCAGTTTTGCCGGATTGTTGCCGGTGGTCCTGTATGTTTGCTGGCCCCCTTGACGTTGTATACCTTTAAGCCTGCGCTTCGACAGTGTTTAACCATAAAAGACTCAATGTTTAAACACGAGTCATCAAACAAAGACGGCCACCTCATTGCTTCGCTTTCGGATGCGCTCTTGCGGCCGCCTGGAACGCTCTTCCGTCGGACATTAGGAAGACACTGGGCCTATGCACTTTTAAATCATCATCATCATCATGTCGATTGACAAAACTCATTTCTTTAGAAGTGCTTTTTTGTGTTTAGTTTGTTGTCCTCCACCCACACCACCAATGAGCGCGGTTGGCTACGTACGGTGCGAAAGAAGTTCCACATACATACAAGCACACTAGTCCGCAGCTAATAATGTCGTGTACTGGCAGGGGGTCCGGGGGGGGGGTCACGCGGGGTTGCACCGTACCTCCAACACGGACTTGCGCTCCGCGTGAACCTGCATGACGTTCTCGGCCCAGTCCATGAGGGACTCCCCGCGCGGAACCTTCACCCGCTCGTGCTTGAGCCGCCCCACGCGGAACTCGTTGGGGTCGTCGCGGCGCGCCGACGAGCTCACGCGCGCGCGGTCAACGGCCGACTCGCGCTTGTTCTGGATCCACACCACGGCCCTGCGCACAGCACGGCCGCCGCACGTCACTCACGGTCAACGCAGGCAACGCCACGTCACTCACGGTCAACGCCACGTCACTCACGGTCAACGCCACGTCACTCACGGTCAACGCAGTCAACGCCGCCGCTACGTCACTCACGGTCAACGCAGTCAACGCCGCCGCTACGTCACTCACGGTCAACGCAGGCAACGCCACGTCACTCACGGTCAACGCCGCCGCTACGTCACTCACGGTCAACGCAGGCAACGCCACGTCACTCACGGTCAACGCCACCACGTTACTCACGGTCAACACAGGCAACGCCACGTCACTCACGGTCAACGCCACCACGTCACTCACGGTCAACACAGGCAACGCCACGTCACTCACGGTCAACGTCACGTCACTCACGGTCAACGCAGGCAACGCCACGTCACTCACGGTCAACGCCGCCGCTACGTCACTCACGATCAACGCAGGCAACGCCGCAAGACACTCACGCTCGCTCAGGAACCACGGCGGAATCAGATTTTAAGGCTAAAACTGTCATCGCCCCAAACTTGTCTTTGGAGACAGGAGAAACAGCACCCAGCCATCTCGTTAATATAAATCACGTTCTCGCACATGTCCTGCTACGCTCCGCAAATGCATTTCTTGAGGGAATAAAAAATAATTTGTACAATTTAAGGTGGGTGCATTACAAATCATCACCGAGCGCATATCATGTCTTAGTTATTGCGTTATATTTCCATACATAACGGTGTATGTTAAAAAAGCAGCAGCGTGTGGGGTGATCCGCAAAATGTCTGGAGGTTGAAAAGAGGTCCCCCCGAACACCAAAAAGGTTGGGAACGTCTCGGTCTAGGGAGACCACGAGAGAGCAATGTGACAGTCTAGTGCTGCCGTGGCCAATCCACCAGGCACTGCGATCCACCACAAAGCTATGACCAACAAAAACACAAGACAAAGTACTATCGCCATCTATTGGTAGAAGTTATTATTAGTTATTTTCATATACGAATTCTTAGTCGGGGATTTTTTTTTACTTGGCAACGTTGTCAGCTTATGTTGAAGAGTCCGTACACATTTGCCCCGAGATCCACAAAAAATGTTTATATATTTAGCAATCCGCACAATAATGGCCACTGTTGGTCTAGTGCAGGCGTCGGCAAGCTGTGGCTCTTTTTAAGGACTGCTTCGTGACGTTATTTATGAAGGACCACCGTCGTTCGTATTCACGCACGCTGCAGCTCTTTAAAGATAACGGCGTTTTTTTTGTTTGTTGCCGAATTCGAAACAAAAAAGGCTCTTCTTGTTATTTCGGTTGCCAACCGTCTGGGCAAAGTGTATTAAGACCCCCATCACAGACAAGTTCTATAACAATCGACCGTCTCGACTCCAAACTGACAGTGGTGGCAAAAGGGAACCTCCTCTAAGTCCCAGCGTTGTGGGACCCCCGAGAGTCTGCACGACTACGGCTACCAGCTCGGTCCAGCGGCGACGACACCACGAACGCGTGGAGAGGGGGGTGGGGGGGGGGCGAGCAGCGACTGCCGCGCGCCACGACGCAGATCTCCGATCTCCCCGCGCGACGGCAGTGGGCCAGCGCGACTCGCCTCGACACGCCGAACGCGGTGCACGTGAAGAAGAGCTGCCGCGTCTCGAAGGGGATGAGGAAGGGGCACTTGCTGGTCAGCTGCTCGCACCAGTCGGGCAACGCGCCGCTCGTCAGCGCCAGCGGCTCCTGCGGACAGAGACGGGCGGGGCGGGTGAGACCGGTGCCCGGCTGACAAAGCGGGCGCGTGGCGATTCACCCGCTCCTCGACGTGACCCCGGCGAACTGGTCACGGTCGAAGTCGTCAACGTTTGATATGCGAATTGATCTCGCCGCCTCGCCTGTACGGTGCGTTTCGTACATCGAGTCTTGGTCGTTCTATCTGGAACATTCGAAATGGTTGCAATGGATCATGTCGGCAACTTGGGTTAATGTGAGGACACGGCCAACAGATCATGATACACAGCCTACAGATCATGATACACAGTCACAACATTGCGCTGTTATTTCTCAAGTTCAATAAAACATTTGTTGATTTAAAAACATAATCAAATAATAAAGTCACCAGACGATGTTATTTTTAACAGACCACTCGCGGATCTCCCCGCACCTCCGATTAGCACGGTTGGCTACGAACGGCACGAAATAAGTTCAATAAACACACATACGGATCGAGTTATTTCTGAAACCTCGCGTAATCGGTACTCATAAAGCCACCCTGTAAACACCAAGAAGTGCGATTTAAATGCAATCAAAACATTTCATAACAAAAAGATACTATTCACAATTTCAAACATTCACGTAAAAAAAAAATATTTTTTTTTTTTGCAATGAACAGAAAACTAAAATAAAATGCACCTCCCCGCTCCAATGACATGGAGGGACTACCAAATCTTCTTGGCTGCTGGCCTTGAGCCAATGGTGGAAATTGCACATTGCTATGGTGGGGGTCCCATCTCTCTGTGAGGCGACAAATGTTGACGACTTCGCACAGAAGAAAACTGGGCGAGGGAGGTGGGTGGGTGGGAGAGGAGTGAATATCAGGCACCTCGATTTGTTGCAATATTTTGGTCGTTAACTTCTTACTCGCGAATTCTTCCGCAGACACGTTGAAGCTCTGGCCGAGACCTTCTGCAGGGAAGACGAAACATTTCGTGAAAAACGAACGTGGACACATTTCTGGCACACACAAACCCCCCCCCCCCCCCCCCCCCGGACACGCGACGACGAAGCTTTGGCGCTCGCACTGGACGGCTCGGAACGAGCGGCCTTAACCCACATCGGCAAGAGATCGTCCGTTTAACACGTAGGCTTTCGCGAACAAACATTATTAATGAGAAAGGTTTTTGGGTTAGATCGGGTAACTATAAATGTGTCGTAACCCACTACCTACCCGACAGCCAGTAAGGTTTTTCCCGTAAACAAATTTGTCAGAATTCTGGCAAATCGCCCGACGATGCTGGTTGATGTGATTACCAGCGAAACGTCGGACTACTCAAATTGTAAATGTTGTGGATTTACTCTCCCACACACCGGTGGGCTGAAGTAGTAACTAATCATCATCAGATGATGATTGCTTGTGTTGCAGTCGAAACGTCGTGAGAATTTTATTGTTTTATATTTGTATTATTTTATTGTGTTCCCTTCTACGTGACTTTACCGAAAGAACCAAGAATATGAATCCCTGCAGTCACGAAAGCTTTAAATCAAAATTTAATAATAATTATTTATTTCTCCAGGAAAGCCACACTAAGTTGTAGGAGTCTCCTTCAGGAAGGTCCTGCATTGGGCTTTTATTTCAAGACACTTTTAGCCAATTAACCGAAATAAAATCTAAACTAAAATAACTTTTTGGATGATTTTACCGTGTTATAGTTAAATAACTATAACACAATCCCCCATTCAGATGGAAACAGATGGAAATTAGTCCAACTGCTGTATTGCCTTCTCCTGGGGAGCCAGGGTGTGGCATCTCCTTGGCACCCACAGGAAGGGATTTTCACATTTGTGTGATCGACCAATCCTTCCTGCTGCCACCACAGTGCTGGATTACAGGCGACCACGTGCAGCAGCATAGCAATCAATGCATGGCACACGAAGCAGTGATGTGGCCGGCACTGTGCCCAATCACCTTTGCCATTATCTTCCCACTGAACATTTTCTCCGGCCCACAGCCACATGTGCCCGACTGCCTACAACACAGACGTCACTGCAAGCGTCTCAGGCCTAACAAATCCGATACTCGAGGGGAACATCCTGTCAAATCAAGGGCCCCCGCTTCATGCTCGGGTCCACAAGCGTCTATTTTTATTCAATCAATGGACAAAGCCGAGGTGTGTGCGTGACGTGTGGAAACCTTGATTCGGCCCTTAGTAAGGACGTTCCCTCCACCCCCATCCTGGCCACGGCGCCGCACGGCCAGGTTTCCCGTGCCCGCCGCGTGACGCTCACCCATGCCGTGGCTGCAGCTGGAGTACGGGTCCTTGGCGATGCTGTAGAGAACTCGCAGGAGCTGTAGGACGTCCTCCACCGCGCACATGTTCTGACTAGAGCCGGCCTTGGCCTGAGGCTGCTCACAGGGAAGACTTAAGATCTGATTGTCGTGCAGCCGCACGGCGGGCTTGTGGGATGCAGGGCACGTCCTGTACGTCTGCCCACAAAACTCCTAGAACGGAGAGAAACGTCACAAGTCGGGCGGGCGGTCATCCCTCAATGCCGCACGACGCCGCCTTGATCGCCGTTCGCGGGCGCCACTCGTCAACACGGAAGCAACAAGCGGTGTAGCGCCGGTGCGACTATTGGGCGCCTCTTAACCCTTTGGACGCAGCCCTTCGTGCGGGCGACCTGGAATTATACCTTTGGCATGGATACACATTACATTACCTTGTACAAGACGGTTATCGTTTCATTACATAAAGCAATTGATAAGTCATCATTTCTGAGTGAATGCACATTGCTGCCGTGTACAGATCATCCAGACCTGACCACGGAAAGCACGTGCAACAATGTTTCAGCGCTGCATGCGAGGGGTTAAAAGCAGGCTTGGGCGCACGAGAAAAGCCATCGGGGCCCGGTGCTGCTGTTTGCACACTGCGCCACCAGGTGACCAGGGAGGGCACAGACCAGGTTCAGACGGCGCTCGCCACCGACGGTTACCCGTGGCCGGGAACCGAACCCAGGTTGGTGGATTAGAGGGACGGCGTGCGAACCGATGTACTACCGCCGTGCGCACGCAAAAGGCACAATGGGGCAAAGGTTGCCCACCGGTCAGCAGCTGTAATAACGCGAGCGAGGGATGGCATGATACATGCGTCAGCACTGTCGCCCAGCACACCCTGACACGACCAAGGCGTTGAATGAAACCGTTTATTAAAAAAAAAAAAACTGTAACCTATTTTTATTTTTACCAAGTAAAGCCCACCGAGCTATATGGCTCTTTTTCAGAAGTGAACTGGCCGCAAATGATAGAGCAGTCAAGCGGCTTGTCGTCACGTGCAAACTGATAGCAGCCGAATATTCAGAACGCATGTTCATTCTAAACGTAGAGGGAAAAACCGGAGGACCCCGGAGAGAAATCCACGCAACCACGGGGAGAACATGCAAACTCCAAATATACAACAGGCATCAAGGGTCGGGATCGAACCCGCGACCTCCTGCACACCAGGCGAGGTAATTAACATCTCCGAGCCACAGTGGCACCTCTCCTAGGACGGTGTAACAAATAGGGGAGGGGGGCAGCCGTGTGACGGTGGGACTGGCAGTAAGAAGTGTTGCTTTAGGGGAAGGCACTGAGAGGGTTTGGGAGGGGGGAGGGGAGGAAGCTAGAGCAAAGAGAAGCGAGAGAAACGGTTTGGCGAGGGTATGATCAAGGATTTCGCAGAGAGACAATCATAGGAGGAGGAGGAGGACCCGAGACTTGGAACAGGGTGAGGGGATTTGGCGGTGTGAACAAGGTGCTTTGCGGTAGGGAATTCCAGACGGTGGGTGGGGGGGGGGGGGCAGTTGTGGAGAAGCAGAAACTTCCCGTTTGAGGAGCAGAGGCTGACCGAGGGTTTCGGTCAACCTCTGCATTTCACAGGTCCTGACACGCGCTCGGCTGAAGATGACCAAGCAGGGTCGCTCGTTGACGCGACCCAAGGGGCGACCCCGCTCGATCACGATAATTTTGCTCTTTTCTTTGTGCTTTTTTTGCTTTTAAACCTCGAATCCAGTAGATTCTGATTGCGCCACTGACATCGCAATATGACATGTGACGGAGACAGGTTTCAGGTTTCATTTGGAGCTCTCGCGCAGAGGCGGATTCTGTGGCAAAGCGACCGACCGTCATGAAACGATCTCCGGTACGTGACGTGTGCACACCTTTTAAAGTTCCGAACACAGACAAATTGCCTCTCTTATTCACATTGGTTGGCACCAGGGCTTAATTTCAGGTTGGGTGTGTCCGGGTCAGTGAGCCAGAAAAAAATCCCTTTCGACAGGCACACCGCGTCGAGTTTGCCTCTCGCTCTGGACGGTGGCTCCCGGTCACATGCCTCCCCCCTCCTATCCACTCGTGATCCAGAACACATTTAGTGAGAAATTAAGCCCCCGGGTGAGAAGACATCGGCATTTATTCCAGTGCAAGGGGTGCTCGCCACATAGCAAATGAAACCTGACGTTTCCTCTTCTTGCTAATGACAAAGCTTACAGCTCGTGTCATGCGACCCCCCCCCCCAGGCAGACACACACAGCCCGGCTACAGTTGATGTACAAGAATGTATTCACAAGAGCTCGAGCCGTTTGTTTTATTTACGTCGCTTCTAGCTTTAGACGTTATTAAATCAAGGACACGGTAGTCTTTTCATACCTTGTACGCGGAAATTAGCTGCGAGCAATTGCGGTTCTTTCGAATGTTCTTGCTTGCACCTGTTAACTTCCACGTCCGTAAAAAATGAGTGTCACAACTTTTCTGCAAGAACGTTATGAGTTCGTTTTTGGGGAGGTGATCAGTGCCCAGATAGCGCTCCACATATTCCACAGACCAGCAACCCTACGGGGGAAGACAACAATAACAGGCAACAACACGGCAAGAGTTGACAGCTGCTGTCAAGGGCTGGGAATGGAAAGGGAGCTCTGCGCCAGGAGGGGAACCACCCCCTTGGTTTGGCGCTGGGAGGATGGACAACTGCTGATGGCTGCTGCGCCTTCTACTCCTGCTATGCAAGTATGCTGAACTTATTTTACACCGTACTAAGTCAACCGTGCTCATCGGGGGTGCGATCTGCGACCACTCCGATGCAGTGTGGGTGAAATGCTCCCACGCACCACTTGACTTCCGGACCACCAGCTCCTGAACGCTATCAATCGCGCCGGGCCGGCAGCGTGTGCCGTAACCTGGCGTTTTTTTTTACAACACCTAAAGGTCAAAGGGCACCGAGCCACAAGACCCCCTCTCGTGCGTTACTTTAGTTCTCTTGCGTCTTGGCTTATTTCTTAGAGACGAGACGGCGTTTCTCCTGTATCTGGTCAGCGGTAATATTCCGCGTGTACGTACGCGTCTCTGCTGTGCGGAGGATTTCGCGTCCACAGGGTACACCGTGCGAATACCGATATCAAAAATAAAAGCTGTCCAGATGCACGAAAACTGTAAAAAAAAAAAGTTATTTACTTCTGTAGTTTTTTTTCTCTCTCAAATAAATATGCGACAAAGCGTGTTTGATGGAATTGATCATAATTAATCGGGGGCCAACAGGTTTGTGGGTGGGTGAGCGGGTTGAGGGGAGGGGGGCAATGGAGGAGGGGTGGGGCTGGCGGGGGAGGGGGCAGGGCCAGAGGGAAGTGGTTGGGACTAGTGGGAAGTGGGTGGGAACAACAGGAAGTGGGTGGGGCCAAGAGGAGAAGGGGCGACGCCTGCTTTCAAAATCACGTGCAGGGGTACGCACTGTGTGTGTGCGCGCGCGTGCCACCGGTGACGATTATCTGAACCGGTCCTGGGCCTCCCCTAGGTCGACTCAGTCTCAAATGAGTACCTGGTGCGATGTGCAACCATCGCCACTGGGGAGACAAAGGCGGTCGGGCGTGGTGCTGGCCACCCACCCCCTCGTGTGCTGTGCCGGCCTTCATAGGTGGTGCTCACTAACAGCACTTGCCCCTACAGTCTGTTACAGGCTACACGGGGGATCATTGTTGTCACATCTGCGAGACTGCAGAGAGGGTCAAAGTTGTGTGATAATGGCTGCGTCGGGCAAAAAAATACTAAATCATTCTATTTTACCAGCTAAAGCCCACTGAGCTAAAAGCTATTTTTCTGAAGCGACCTGGCCACACGCGATTGCTCATCGCAGTGGCTTTATCATCATGCGTGGGAATTTATAGCAACAGCCAAAACAATCCAATCGCATGTTTTTAAATGTTAGACGGCGAAACTGAGGAAAATCCATGTGACCACCACAGGGAGGGAGAGAACATGCGATCTCCGTATACTTAGGCATTGTCTGGGTATGGGATCGAACCAACGAACTCCTGCGTACCAGGTGAGGAAGAAAACATCTCAGCACCTGCATGACTTTCTGAGCGGTAAACCATCATTCGGTGGGGTAGCGACAACTGACGCTACCCCACCGAACCATCTGTGCGCCACTGTGGCACTAAGAGATGAGGTTGGTGGATTGCGAGATGTTTGGGATCGATGGATCTCAAAGAGATGGGAGATGGTGGAAGAGTTACGATAGATGAATGGTGTAAATGTTCTGTGCATTACTAATACCACCAGCACCAACAAGATAAACACCAGAACTAAAATGTATTTGTTGTATAGCATAACTCCATGCTATACTGTACACAAAGACAAATATCCCCTATAAAGCCTTTTAACAGACTGCTGGAGCAAGTGCTGTTAAGCGAGCACCTATAAGTAGGGAAGGGCAGTGAAGTTTTTAGCGCTCTGCACTGCGAACCCGCGCGTTGAGTTGAATTCCCACTCACGAGCAATAACAGCGGCGAATAGTTGAAACGGTCCTGGCCCCTCCCCTAGGTCGACTCAGCCTTAAATGAGTACCTGGTTTGTTGTGTAAACATCAGCACTGGGGTAACAAAGGCTGTGGTGGTGGCCACCCACTCCCTCTCCGTGTGCTGTAGCAGCCTTTAAAGATGCTCACTATACACGGTATATGAACACTAATACCACAACATATACTTGCTTCCCGACGCTTGCGAAAAAACTTGGGATCCCTTTGGAGGAAAAGGTGTACCAGCTTTAAACATTCAGGCTTGGCCTGCCTACGATCCATCCAGGGTTCAAAGACGCTGGATTGTACAAAGAGCTACGAGATTGTTAAAAGACCAGGACCAGTCCAATCAGGTGAGGTCCTCCACAAGGCGAGGCTCCGTTGGCTGGGTCACGTATCCCGCATGCCGAAGCAGCTTCTGTTTGGCCGAACGGAAGGGGCTAGAAAAAAGATGGGTTGATGTGGTTACGGGAACATTTGGAGTTGATTGGACTTTCCGAAGACTGGTACGAGGAGTGTCAGCATCGGCCTCTGTGGAGGAGGCTCGTGAAGGACGCTGCCACTGGGCAGTTGGAGGCAGCCGCCCTCCAACAAGAAAGGAGGGCGGAGGAGCGAAGCTCACAACAACGAGCGGAGCCACAAGGTGGCGAATTGAGAAGCACGGGAAGTGCCATCCGATAGTCATCTCGGTCATTCAACCCATACCACCTGGGTCCGTTCCATAAATCCCGCGAGCCCTCGACACTTTCACGCGGCCTCAAACTGCAGCTAGCCTGGCACAGTTCCTGCAGAGATGTCACCGTCGCTTGGTGGCAAATGGCAGCTGGTGTTGCGTAAAGTACGTGTGCGCATGTCACCACGTGTCTGCCCGTGTACACGTGTAACGAGGGAGACAAAGGCGGTCAAGCGTGGCGTTGGCCACTCACCCCCCTCGTGTGCTTTTCCAGCATTCGTAGGTGCTCGCGCGAACAGCCCTTGCCCCAACAGTCTGTTGTTAAGGCTATACGGGGGACCTTTGTCTTTGTGCGTATACACGTCTGTATAAACGCATCTCAGACAGCGCGTGCATCGACAGGCGCGCATCGATGCACACAGACGGCGCGCGCCGAGGAGTGCGCGGACGGCAGATTCACCGGGCGGGAGGATGGTCAAAGGTGGTGGGGGGGGGATGGAGGAAGGAAAGGGGTGTAAGGGTGGCACACTTCGGTTAAAGTTCAACTCGGCCTGCAAAGTCGTCAGTGTCCACGAGCACGCTCGGCAGCCCGTGCCTAGAGGGGGAGGGGGAGGGGGGCGAGTAACAGGAGCCCGCGTGACGTCACGCAGCATGCCGCAGCTGCCTTGTGAAGCGAAACACGGGACACGCGCCAGCACGGGGCTACTCACGGATTTGTCCTCGTCGTCCTTGTCTTTGTTCGACGTTTTGAGTTCGCTGTACACGATCCTTCACGTGACGAGGAGCGGAGGGAGGTGGGTGGGGGGGGGAAGAAACCGCACCTCCAATCAGCACGGTTGGCTACGTACGGTGCGAAAGAAGTTTAACTTACATACACCGAAAGACCCAAAGAATATGAACGTTACATGCATTTTAATACATCGCGATAATAATAACAACAAATGACAGCGACTTTCTACAAGGTACACAGATCGCTTTACATCACAAAATAAGTAAATATAACCGCTGGTGATGGTAAGAAGGCAAGAGGCGTCAGAGTGAATTTACGAACGCGGCTCTCGTTCAGTTCATGGAAACGCCCAATGCAAGAGAACCACGTGTGGCCACACCATGTGTGTAAGATACCAAGCAAAAGAATTCCTGCTGGACATGCGTGAATAATAAAGAGCTTCACAACTCATAAGATTCCCCCAGGCTGAGTAAAGATTTTGACTGCGATGTCACTATCACACGAGTTATGCGCCGCCCTCCCCTGCTGCTACTCTGCTGCCGACGGAGCAGCGGCCCCCTCCGTTTGCTCACGATTCTTAATCGCTGCGGAGGATCTTTTGTCAAGCCGGCGCGAGAAAAGCCTCACTAGCTGATCGTAAAACGATGACAAACCACGTTAGTGACGGATCATTTAAATATTGGTAGCTACTGTGAGACTTCCAGGCTGTGAGTGGTGGCCCAGAAAAACGGCTGTTGCAGGGATGGGTTCATCAAACCAATCTGTGCGGACCGTTGCCGTCCCCCCCGCGTACGCGTCGCGAGTTTACTCCGTGGTATTCTGGCTTGCTCTCCACAGGCATTGAAGAGAAACCCTTCCCGAAAAAAAACGCGTCTTGGATCCCAGTGAGGCTTTGCTGCACGACCTATTTTGTTATTATTGACAACTCCAATGGCGGTTTTGAGCTAGTGGCGTTAAAGCTACGGCGCCGGCGCCACCCGACCGACCGCCTTGCCACGCTCACGAGCGTGGAAACGGGCGCGCTCGCCCAAGCCGACACACGTACGTGTACGTGGGCTCCCAGATGCGTTTCAGTTTTTCCGTTTTGACGTCGCCATTGCTCGTCTGCTCCAGCAGCTTCTGGACACAGGCAAAGATGGTGGCTCTCGGAGACGAGAAGGGTAGGTCAATATCCTGGGTTGTTCCCAGGCCCGAGGCTTTCAAAGTGATGGCTAGCTGTGGAGAGGCGCTCGATTCCATCTCCTCGATCAGCTCTGAGTGCGGCGTGCCTGTAAACGACAAACGAAGGAGTTGCGGTGACGGCTTCGACACCTCGCGTACGTCACGCACCTCTCAGGCAGGCTTTGATGGGAGCCCACCACACACGTTGAGCAGGTGCTATGGTGCCACGCTGTCAGCAGGAGGCTACGCAGCAAAATTAATTGCCGTCCATTATTATGCCCCAACATCTATGCTCCCATCATCTGCCAGGATAAGGCAAGGGCAAATAACCCCCGCATAGCCTGCACGGCATGGGGAGGCCCTCATCCAGCAGTGGACTGACAAAAGGGGCTGTACGTGTACATTCTCAATTCCATCGTACGTCTCAAGAAGTCTTCGATATATTATCCACGAGGCCAAAAATAGCGTGCGTGGCGCTATCACAGCTCCCGCACTATATACCAACTGTGAATACCCACGTCGTAGGGCTGGGGTATTACCACCTCTGTGCAGCATGAAACTCAACCGCCCATCGCAGTGTGGGCCCAGCATTCATCGTCGCCGGCGGCCCTTAAGCCTGGGGCATAAAATCCACATTTATATGGCGGGCATAATAAGGGAGATCAGTATCGAGTCCATCTGCGACCAACATTTTTACTCGCGGCCGTTCGTTTGACCGAGTCCAGGTTCCCTAATCACAGCTCCACCCGGCTGCACAATTTGTCCAGGCCAAACAATCCCAAGGCTGGAGTTGTGGCACAGCTGTTAGCGGCAATGCGCTACAAATCAGGCCACCCGAGTTTCGATTCCCGGCCATTGGCTATCCACCAGCGACGAGTGACATCTGAACCGGTGCCCAGAACATGAGCGGACACGACGAGGGGAGGGGCCTCCTTCGTCCAGCAGTGTTTTACCAATGGCCTCTAAATTATTATTATTATTACGACAGTAATTCCCAGGTTTATGTCATGGGTTGATGCGTTCCTGAAAGGTGCGACGGACGAATATCGAAACGACGTCAATCGAAAGCCATTTACAGGGTAGTGGGTGGAGGCGAAGGCCGAGGAGGTGACGGATACGAGAAAGGACGGACGATAATGGTGTCGGCGACGGAAGTGTGGGTTGAGGCGACGCAAATCAGGTCGTCGTATTATTTCTTTAGAACTACTTTGCGTGTTTAGTTTGTTGTCCTTCCCCCGCACCGCCGATTCGCACGGATGGCTCCATACGGTGCGAAAGAAGTTCAACAGGCATAGGTACTTACAGTAAAGTGACGTCATTTGCGAAACGACATAAATCCGGGGTATTACTGTATTGTCACCATTACACAGGTCTAGATTGCACTGCGTCGGTTACCTGGAGGTGGGATTTCAAGATCCGTGGTTTGCTGAACGTTGGTGCGACCAGGCCTTGGATCAAAGGCCGGAACAAGGGCGGAGAACTGTCGCTTCAGGACAAAGTCGTCATCCCACATGCGTCTGCGTCCGCTCCGCACCTCATATTCCTCCTCCTCCTAAAAACAAAACGGAGATGAGAATCTCACCGCGACAGACGGAACCGCTCAACAAGGTTTATTCATATTCTTTGGGTCTTTCGGTAAAGTGAAGTATATAGGTTCAAAATAACAAAAATAACAAATATTTCTCTGGACCTATCTACGTGACTTCACCGAAAGACCCAAAGAATATGAATTCCTGCAGTCACGAAAGCTTTAAGTCAAGAATTCAGATTTATTCAGAATGTTGTAAACAGCCAAGCACTTTCGTTATCATCATCACGATCCATGGCCAGCTAACCCGTAGGTGCCCACTGCACATTTCGTCATTTGTTTCCACTTTCCTCTGTCTTGTGCCAACATGCTCAAGTAGTGCCACGTCTTTCTGGCACCAATCTCTCGTGTCGTTGTCAAGAGAGTATCTGTAAAAGGTCTTCCCGTCTTTTCCTTATCACCCAAAGTCAAAGTATCCCCCCACTCGGTGATACAAATAGGGCAAGTGCCCACATCGTCGTGTTACAGCCCTGGCAGCTGGTGGTGGAAATTCCACATTGCCATGTCAGAGGCCTGTCTTAATGTGGACGACTGTTGACTATTTCAAAGGTGGCAGTTATTTTACTGATCCCAGATAAAAAAAACAAAGTGCCCTTTTTATTATCACGATGCTGCTATTGACATCTGCATTCGATATGGAAAGTGTCAGACTGTACTTGGTAATTAACATCATAACGAGGAGACAAAGTTATACATAACGAGCATGAGACAGTTCTCATCTACATTTTTCGCCCTGAGGCAGCGGCGGTAATTCCACATTCCCATGACGGGGTGGGGGGGAGGGAGGGAGCTACTCCACAGGTTAATCGTTGCCATCTCACAAAGTGGTCCACTATTTTATGGACCACAAAGGTGATGATGATGAAGATGACGATGGGAACGAGCCCTCAACGAGGATTTGAACTCACGACCTTCGGAATTATTCGTGAACTCTTAAACCACAACGCCACCTGGCTGGGACCGCATTTTGACGCGACACCAAAATATAAAACGCACGCACCATGACCTCTTCGAACTCCTGGTCTTCACGATTCTCGTCCTCATTCTCATCGTCCTCCTCGTCTGGCTCTGGCAAATCATCCTCGTCCTCTAACTCGGCAAGCAGCGTGCCTGCACGGCAGCTGTCCAAAAAGTCTGCGGGCGGCGGGGGAGGGGAAATGCGGACAGGAACGCACACGGTGCGGTAAAGCACACGCGCGGGCTTACCTTGAACGTGTGCGATGATATCACGGCGCCGTTACACAGTCGCTCGGAAGCCATGTCAGGACACCACTATATACATATATCTATATTGAAAAATATAGCAACATTTTTGTTTTACCAGTCTCTTCCCCAGTCTCTTCCCCACCCCCGTCTCTCTCTCTCTCTCTGTCACACGCACAACACACATTCATCTCCCGTACAGCCCGCACAAAGGCTGCTGGGCTAAGCGCCGTTAGACTGCACTTCTTGAAGCAGGTACGGCACCGTGAGGGGAAGGTGATGTGGCCAGCAACACAAACTGCCGGCTTTGTCTCCCCCAGCGCTGACGCTTAACACGCCGCACCGGGTACTCATGCAAGGCCGAATTAATCTAGGGGAAAGTCCCAGGAGACAGTTCTGATACGGTGGCCAGGAGTCAACCACGCGCACGCACCCACCCACCCACTCGGGCACGCACACACACACAGGCAGCCTCGGGCACCCACCCACCTGCACAGGTATGCACACACACAGGCTCATGCACGCACCCGCAAAGCGATAACAGACATATAGGAACAAGTGGCTGGTTGCATGAAAGACCTTAAGTGATTTGTATCACTAAGCTGGCACTGCTGTGTCTAATTAACCGAAGTAATATTACTACACGCCGTCTGCTTGACAGTGGACGTTAAAAATCCCTTGACGTCGGAGCAGGCCATTTGGGTGGCCAGCGGGCACGGTCCAAATTTGCCAAAAATTCGAAAAATCGCCCCACAGAAATCACTGCCCCCTCCCTTCCCTCATGGCAGCCCGTCACCTGCAGGCCCGGCGCCGAGTCGCCTTGTCCCCGCGCAGGGACAGCTGTCACTGGGGGTGCCCTTTAAACGTCTGAGATGCGATTTCAAGGTTTTTTGAGTCCCTTCGGCATTTTAGCGAGCGACGTGTAGTACATGCTCAGGTTGCTTTACATTGTCACTTTACTTATTTACTTCTTCCTCGATTTGCATTTCCATGGCGACGTTGTTGTCACGTGACGAGGGATTTCCGCTCCGAATTCTCACAGTGAGCAGAGGGCAGCACACCGTGTCGGAGAGCGGCCCCGAAAGACGGCGCCACAGAACTAGGAAGAGAAGTTAACGGGCCTCGATAACCACACCAGCGCCTAAACCTTTCACGTGCCCCACATACAGCGAGGGGAAAAAAAAGTATTTGATCCCCTGCTGATTTTGTACGCTTGCCCACTGACAAAGAAATGATCAGTCTATAATTTTAATGGTAGGTTTATTTGAACAGTGATAGACAGAATAACAACAAAAAAATCCATAAAAACGCATGTCAAAAATGTTATAAATTGATTTGCATTTTAATGAGGGAAATAAGTATTTGACCCCTCTGCAAAACATGACTTAGTACTTGGTGGCAAAAGCCTTGTGGGCAATCAGAGGTCAGACGTTTCTTGTAGTTGGCCACCAGGTTTGCACACATCTCAGGAGGGATTTTGTCCCACTCCTCTTTGCAGATCTTCTCCAAGTCATTAAGGTTTCGAGGCTGACGTTTGGCAACTCGAACCTTCAGCTCCCTCCACAGATTTTCTATGGGATTAAGGTCTGGAGACTGGCTAGGCCACTCCAGGACCTTAATATGCTTCTTCTTGAGCCACTCCTTTGTTGCCTTGGCCGTGTGTTTTGGGTCATTGTCATGCTGGAATACCCATCCACGACCCATTTTCAATGCCCTGGCTGAGGGAAGGAGGTTCTCACCAAAGATTTGACGGTACATGGCCCCGTCCATCGTCCCTTTTATGCGGTCAAGTTGTCCTGTCCCTTTAGCAGAAAAACACCCCCAAAGCATAATGTTTCCACCTCCATGTTTGACGGTGGGGATGGTGTTCTTGGGGTCATAGTCAGCATTCCTCCTCCAAACACGGCGAGTTGAGTTGATGCCAAAGAGCTCCATTTTGGTCTCATCTGACCACAAAACTTTCACCCAGTTGTCCTCTGAATCATTCAGATGTTCATTGGCAAACTTCAGACGGGCATGTATATGTGCTTTCTTGAGCAGGGGGACCTTGCGGGCGCTGCAGGATTTCAGTCCTTCACGGCGTAGTGTGTTACCAATTGTTTTCTTGGTGACTATGGTCCCAGCTGCCTTGAGATCATTGACAAGATCCTCCCGTGTAGTTCTGGGCTGATTCCTCACCGTTCTCATGATCATTGCAACTCCACGAGGTGAGATCTTGCATGGAGCCCCAGGCCGAGGGAGATTGACAGTTCTTTTGTGTTTCTTCCATTTGCGAATAATCGCACCAACTGTTGTCACCTTCTCACCAAACTGCTTGGCAATGGTCTTGTAGCCCATTCCATCCTTGTGTAGGTCTACAATCTTGTCCCTGACATCCTTGGAGAGCTCTTTGGTCTTGGCCATGGTGGAGAGTTTGGAATCTGATTGCTTCTGTGGACAGGTGTCTTTTATACAGGTAACAAGCTTGTTACCTGTATAAAAGACACCTGGGAGCCAGAAATCTTTCTGACTCAGAGGGGGTCAAATACTTATTTCCCTCATTAAAATGAAAATCAATTTATAACATTTTTGACATGCGTTTTTCTGGTTATTTTTGCTGTTTTTCTGTCTCTCACTGTTCAAATAAACCTACCATTAAAATTATAGACTGATCATTTCTTTGTCAATGGGCAAACGTACAAAATCAGCAGGGGATCAAATACGTTTTTCACTCACTGTACGCTGTTTAATGTAGATCAAACAAACCAAATTCATTCATTCCTCAGCAGTGGAATATTCCAATTTTAATACGTGGAGTCATTAAGTGACCTCGCTGAGACTATTAATTCTAAACATTTGGGCCAGCTATAAAATTTAACACAAAGGCGGACTTTCACTGCAGGTATTTATGCAAACAGCCACGTATTACGTACGCATTTGGCGAATATTGTGACATCAAACCCATCCGGCAAGCGACACTGCGGTTACAGCACTCGACTCACAATAACAAGGTTATAAGTTCAAATCCTGGGTCAGGGGTCGACTACACACAACATCCCTCCGAGATCGATAGAATGAGTACCACCATTTACAAGGTCAACAGAAGTTGCTTTATGTAAAGACCGGCCCCTGTCAAGGGAATGTGTAATTTCCACCACTGGCTCAGGGCCACACAAATCGAAACTAATGTCACCGGCGTACGTCGCTTGAGCAGGAAGACACTCTGACTTCGTGATAAATCCCGGCGAGTGTTGGTTCGTCTGAGGGAGCGATATCTCAACGCAAATCCAAGCACGCTTAGTGGCTCGCGTTAAATCGCGTTGCTGTTTTTGCCCGGGCATGAATCTCAGGTCGCACACGCAACAACGGGGCAAGGCACATTTTTTTTTTTAAATCTAGATTGAAAACTAATTTATTTTTCTGTTTGGTTTCGTGTCCTTCTCCCGCACCTCCGATGAGCACAGTTAGCTACGTACGGTGCGAAAGAAGTTCAACATGCATACTCACTTCAAATGACCACACTCGTAATCTGAGTCGAAGGGGCCACGTTTTTTTCCATAGCCGCGAGAGGCCAACAGAGAAACCATGCCGGATCAGCGCAAAACGCTTGTTTTTTGTTGCGCAACATTAAGCAGAGACCTACGGGCAAATAAACCGGGAACGTGCCCAATAGCGTCAGATCGAAGAAGCTAAGCGGGTTCGAGCCCGCTACCGCACTCGGATGGGTGACCACCGTGCACGCCAGTTTGTTTTTCACAGCAGGCGGCGGGCTTTGAGGGCCGAGCTACGTTGTGGGACACGGAGGACGTCGCAGAAAAAAAGCTATTGTTGCTCCGTACTTATACGCTTCCCCGACTGCGCAACTGCCTTCACCAAATCCGCACTGCCCAGTGTTTGGTGAAGTATGGCTAAACAAATCTCCGCACCCCCCCCCCACCCACCCATGCCCGCCACAGCATGTGGTGACCTTCGTCCGGAAGCGGACCGACAGTTTAGTTGTGGAATATGCGACGGGCAGCGTTCGCCGCGCTTGAGCGGAGACCACGACACTAATTCCCGATGGTGTTTTCTGTGCCGGAATTTCGTGTGGAATTCATTGAGCTGCTCACTGTGGAGAGCCTGACCTTTGCGGAGAGAGACCCAGCACAAACGAGGCTGAACACCTTGTAGGCACGTATAGCCAGGGCATCGCATAAACAATGAACAAAGCGATGTTACTTTCAACAAAATCGTGTATCCGACAAGAGTGAACGTCACATTTGTTAAGAAATTAACGTCAATGACGCTGAAAAATCGACAAGCTACTCAAAGGTCAAAGTGTCTCTCGGCTCAAACGAGCAATGGAAGCAGCCCCCTCTGGCGGTAGGCCTCAGCCAGTGGTGGACATTCCACATTCCTATGGAAGGGGCCAGTGACTCCATAGGACAACCACTTGCCAACAGGTTATCGGCGACCCTAAAATATCAGACGGTACCTGTTTCAATGAATAGCTGTGGCAATGTTGCATAAAATCCAACAGCGATTGAAGCAGTCATTTAATTTTATATACCCTTCCTGCTCACCATTACTATTACAATTATAACACTATATACCAAAAGCTCAAAGCTGTCCTACACACAAGCACTTTCAATTCAATCGAACCTGTGTGCATCCATCAGCGTTGCAGCGTTATCATTTATCACGATATATCAAGTTTCAAGATGCCAGGATTATCGTTGTCAGTTTCCCATAACTTTGTGATCAACTAATTTTTTACCGCAGTGTTGTTGTGCTTTGCTGGACTTCCAACGCAAAGAATTAGAGAACCCTTAAAAGTTTTTCGATTGCAGTTAGCTCAACGTAATCCTGCCCAAAGCATTCTAATCGCTGCAAATGTAGCGCCGATAAAAGGCGGTGAACAAACCCGTAATTATTTAAGAGAATTGGTTAAGAATTTGACGACGCCAATCTCCAATTGCTCAGCGCATATTAAAAACGTCAGCAAAACGCTAATCTATCCAGCCGGGGTACCTCTGGTGACTCTCACGTGGGCAAAAGTTTACAAGTTCACATCCCAGTTCAAGTTCTCCCTGCTCAAGAATACAAACGGGGGCACCGCCCTATCCAGCCATCCTATTGTTGGTTGGTTGGTCCTGAACTGGTGGTGGAAATCCACATTCCCGTTGTGGACGCAAAGTGACTTCGCTTCGGCCAAGTGGTACTCGTTTGATAAGACTCCGGAAGGGCGTGATCATGATGGTGGTGGGCCGAGTTGACCCGTAACCGGGATTTGAACTTGCAACCTTCCCACCGCTGAATTGAAAGTGGAACGATTTTAAAATGCACAGTGAGAACATTGCATAGAAGTGCTTTCACCGCCGCACTAGGGTTAAGGCAGCGGTGGGCTCAAGTGGACCGCCGAGCTGTGAAGATGTCACATCTCCGTAGGCATTTTCCGCTTACATTTATCAGTATTTTATCGATGCCAACACTCGCTGCCATTTGAGCAAAAATTGTTATCGGTTAAATTCACCTGAAGTGCTTCATGCTAAATAGTAATTGTGAAGTCGTACAGATTACGTTACGTGCGGGATTAAAGTGAATTACACCGCCTCGAGCAATCGTTAATCACGGCGATCACTTTTCAAGAGCAATGATCCCAATACTGGCAATGTGTGATAAAAATACAATTAAGTCTGAAGTATGTGGACTGCACCACCTTCAGTGGGTAGAGTAACGTGAAACTTAACGTCAGTTCGATATCATGTGCATCGCGGCACACACGTGCATTACAGTGAAGGCGGAATTGAAGCTTTAATCGTTGGTTTTAGTGACGAATGGGTCAAAAGCAATAGAGCTTAAACCACGCGGCACTGGGCCGAAGCTCATCTCCAATTGACGACCCTGAGCCAGCGGTGGAAGATCCACATTCCCATGGCGGAGAGCCAGTCAAGCCATGGTACAACAACCACTGCTGACTTCCAACAAAGTGGTAATGGACTTTAAGCAACCCCGGAGGGCCGACGTTGGTGAGTTGGCCCAATCGATCGGGACTCGCAACATCTATTAATACGAATAAAAGTGCCAATTGTTCACTCGGTAAAGTCTCAGAGTCCCAAGACAATTTGTCAGGAGGGTCCTGCAAGTGGAATGTTTGGCCAGCATCATAAAGGAGCGTTTGGCTCTGCGTGGGATGATAACCGGAGAACCCGGAAATAAACCAAGCATGCGTACGTGGGGAATGCCACTCCAGTACTGCCATCTCCTGGCCACCTCGCGGCCCTACAAACTACAACACCTGGCAAGCGCTGGTGGTCACCCATCCAAGCGCAGGCTCAAATCCCAGCTTAGCTTGTGAAATCCGACGAGATCACGTGCAAATCAGGGCGATTGGTTAAGCAGGCTCTTAAGCAGGCGTGCCTACGAACTGGCACACGGCATTGGAAGAAGGCAATGTGGTTTTGTATCGGGTACCAACAGGAGAGAGAGAGAGAGGTAATATAAAGAGAGTAGGTGTATCGATCCTAGACGGAGCCTACCATATAGCGAAAATTCGGCTTCCTGACCTGTGTCGCTCTCACTAGAGGTGGTGGACGTCAAACTTGTCGTCAGCGTGTTACTGAGCGACTGGCTGACTGACAAACCTGTGGGCGCAGCCGTTACATTACTGCTGCTCGTCACGCTAGTGGTGGACAGCGTCACAGTGGACGTTGTGCCCGCAGCAGTTAAATTTGGAAAGCTCTGGGCTCCGCTAAGGGGAGAAGCTGCAAGAGAAGGAGAACACAAAAAATACGTGTTTACACGGGCTCGCGTCACGCCACGCGTTCTCGACACAGAACCAACTCGGCGGCAGTTGCGACACAAATCGGCGCGCGCGCGCGACATCACCGATTAATAATGGACTCGCGCAAGCGGGCGGATGGGGGTGGGGGCGCGCGACCCCAACCGGCCACCGTTAAAAATATATATATGTGTATTCACGAGCGATTAAACTACGCGCAGGAGACGCCACCCTTCAGGCTAACAAACAAGACGGGACGAGTCAGAACGCACGAGGACAAGACGATACGCAAACGAGGCAAAAAAATAATCAAAATCTTGCAATCATGACATCGAGTCGCGGTGGCGGACAGGGGGTGGCAAATCATTACAATGCCCGCAAGAGCGATTAAAATATATCACCGACGTGGCCCTTAAACGTTCAAACAGATTACAAGTCACCAGAGTGTCTCCTTGCTCAAGCAAGCAAAGGGAGGGGGGGGGTTATAAGCAGGCACCAAGTCTGTGGTGGAAATTCCACATTCGCCAAGGCAGGAGCCGGTATATATATGGAAAATAACCACTGTTGACGTCGCCCAAAGCGGAACTCATTTTAGGGTCCCACAAGAGATAACTGGTCGAGTAGATTCCCCGTCAGGATTTGAACTCTCAACTTTCCTATTTGAGTTAGGGGTATACACGCATATAGATTTCCATAACCATGTACATACAATCACATTTAGTCACAGCGTCACTCCGATCAAACAAGCACAGTGCAGCACTCATTTCCACAGGTGACCCTGAGCCTGTGGTGGTAAAATCCACATTCCCACGGGTGAGGGCCAGTCTCTCCGCAGACCGACCACTGTTGACTTCCCGCATTGTAGCACTCATTATATAGACCCCCCCCCCGCCCCCCACCACCAAAATGGCAGCGGCGGTAGCTGTGTCAATACAAGCACAGAAACAGCGGGTATATTTATTTTAAAGAGAGAGGCAGTCGGCCTTGAACCCGAACAGGGGGGCAGATGACAGGTCAGGCGACGGAGGGAAGGGAGGAGTTCCGGTGTCTCAAGAGTACACATTACAACGGGCAACGCGCGCACCACTAGGACGGGGAGGGTAGGACACTCGCAGGAGCGTATGCACGCAGACGCCCCCGAGCGGGGGGATTTTGACCGCTGCTGCCGCCGCCGCCTCGTGTTGCTCGTACAAACACACGGTGGCGGTGAGAACATACGCGCACTTCGCGCAGCTGCACGCCCGGGCTGAGCGTCGCCGGCCGTCGCACCCCAAGCCACAGCCACTGCGGCACGAACACTGATGTCACTTGCTGGGCTACGTTAATGGGCAGCTACGGGCAGTGCAGAAACATCCAATCGTTGCACTGTACTTCTACGATGCTCGTGTTCAGTGTGGTGAAGTTGAGGCAAAATGAGCCACACGAGACGTCATCTCCAAAGCCAACGACGCTAGAGGTCGTGGATTCGATCCCAAAACCTGACGATGCCCATTGTGGTCGGGCGGATTGCCGCCCGGGTCCTCCGATTTTGCCCTCCACGTTTAGGAACGGCATGCGTTCAGATTTTTTTGGCTGCGGATACAAATACCCATGCGTTTATGATGCAAGCCGCTTCGATGAACTATCGTGTGTGGCCTGACCACCGCTGAAAAATGAGCTACAAATTAATACCAAATCGGCCAAGATCAAGGGGTCAACACGGCCGATGCCGCTGATGCTTGCCTTCTGCTACGAAATATCTCTGGTCAACCAGATGCTGCCCGATCTCCCCCAAGGCACTATTATAACCTCACATTCCACCGCTGGCAGGGCTTGAGGTCCTGCCACTTGGTCGCCAGCCTCTGGGTGCCCCCATTCCAGTGCCCGTCTCGGCCAAGGTGCCCTACAATGGCTGCCCTTCACGAAGATCGTCTACGGCCCTGTTTTTCGGCCTCCACGATCATTTTGTGAACGTCACAGCTGCCGGCAGAAATAAGGAACGCGACACTTGCGTTTACCGGGAATATACATTAAAAAAAACTCTTCGGTTGGGGTATGTCATTGATACGCACGGATGACGCACGCGAGCCTACGAGTTATTTATGTAGCGGCAACCATGACACGACTGAAATACGGTGCCTTGCCGCTCAATAAAAGCACGGGCCGGGGCGCTTACTTCCATCGGTGGTCTCAAGTCAGTTGTGTAAAACAATCCACATTACTATGGCAGGAACAGTATATCCAGTAGGGAAAAAAAAACCTCCCACTGTGTTCACATCCCAATGGCTCGAGCAAAAGTAAGAGTGGGTTAAATCAACCGTGGAACGAGATTTGAATTCGCGATTCCCATTGGTGCGAGTCTGGCACAGGCCCGCCAAGCCCACGCGCGTGGCGATGTTAGAAAACACGCTGACCGGAGCAGTCGTTAAGAGGAACTCACAGCTGGAACTAAGTCCATTCAAATCCCAGCCAGGATAAATTCAGTTCTGCGGAATCGATAACAATGAGCATGACCCCCCACCCCCGCCCACCCCCTGCAAGATGTCAACAGTGGTCAGATCTTAAAGAGATAAAAGACCGGCCTCTGCCATAGGAATGCGGAGTCTCTAACACGGAGATGACGAGTGTTGCCCTCTTGCTCAAGTGAACAAGGGAGACATTGTTTTATTCACCTGCTACAATAACCCATTGGAAATCAAATTATTAATACGATGCGGCAACGAACATTACGGACAAACAATGTGCTGGAATAAATCACGTTATTCTGAAAGCTGTAAAAGCCTCGCTGAGCCAGAAACCTACTGGAGGAGGACCCTGCATTGGGGGCCCTGCATGCGGGTCACAGGCCCACCTGCTGTAATCCCATCGTCTGGGCACGTCGCAGCCCAAATGGATTAGAATCTCGCATAAAACCACGACCTCGGCATGATACACCAACCCTCGCCTCCAAAGCGCTGGGCCACACGACGCACAGCTCATTTGGTTGCTTGATTAAATCCTCGTCTATTTAGAGCGTCACACTCTGCGGAGCCACTGCGGGTCAACATTCAATCTCATCTGCACTTCCCACGGCAGATCTGCCCACTACATTTGTAAGTGGAAATTCTCGGTCCAGCATGCGATTGTGGAGACACTGACCAGATCATCAAGCACACAGTAGTCTAGGGGTCTCTGTGCAAGCCTATGGAACCAGTGAAATCTGAATATTCAATGGAGGGGGGCATTGACGCAACCTGCCGCACATCAACCGAAGCCATGTCCTTGCTAACCAATCCGACATTGCCTTGCAAGTCGGTATTCATCAAGCAACACACACACACACACATAGGCACATCCCAGTCGCGTACGCGCCCACTCACTTGCTGCACTGGTGACGTTCCTGCCCAGAGTGTTAGTGGTATTGTCACTGCTGCTGCGACTCAGGTTCATGTTGTTGGTGGCGTTGGTGCGGGCAATGTTGGCCACCCTGCGCACGAACGACTCCATGAGGCTGGAGGCCTCGCGCGATGACAGGTTGGGCACGCTGGCGCTGGAGCTCATGGGTGCCCCGGCCGCCATGAGCGCGCTCACGGACAGCCGGTTCGTCACGAGCGAGCCCAGCGGCCGCTGCGGAGTGCCGCCCTCCTTGTTGGATGGCTCCGACACGGAGCTCACGTCGGGCGAGCTCACGCTCACCACGTTGAGCGCGATGCCGCTCGCCTCGCCCCCACCGCGCTCTCCGGCGTCGATCGCCCCCTCGTCGCCGCCGCCGGCGGGCGGGCCAGAGCCTGTCGTCTCCTGCACCGTGTCCGCCGACGCCTCCGAGCCGGTCTCCGACACGGGCAGCGACTCGGTGCTGGACAGCACCACGAAGGTCTGGGGGCCCTCGGTGCAGGAGACCGCGAGGAGCTCGCCCGAGCTGCCCTTCCGCTCCTGAAGCTCGGCGGGGCACGGCTTGCCGTGACGCAGCGCGGAGCGCGTCATCTCGTCCGCACGGGCACCCATCCCGCAGGCGGCGGCCAAGCCCAGCGCGTCGGTGCTGCTGCCGGCGCTGCACACCGAGCTGCCGCTGCTCTTCCGGCTGCCGGCCATGGCCGACTTCTCCTGGCTGTTGTTCTTCAGGAGGTTGCTCCACGACTGCGTTGCCCCGGACAGCGCGAGCAGCTTCGGCGACACCGAGATCTCCGGATCGTAGCTCGGAGCCAATTTCAGGTCGAATTTCCCCTCGGCGCCCATGCGGTACGAGTTGGATCCGCCGGCGTCCCACGTGACGTCAATCCACCCTGCGGAGTGCAAGGCCAAGCCCGGTTACGGATGACGTTTCACCAGATGTCAAGCTAAGGAGGCCCGAGGCTCAACTTTGCTTGAATGGGTGATAAAAACGTGCATAATGTGGCGCGTCATGGGGCTTTGGTGGATAGTTGGCAAAAATTGCTATTCAAGAAATAACAAAAAGGTAGTTTTGAATTTTAAGAGGGGCGGCGGGATGACGCGAGGCGATGGCGGGGGCCATTTGTCCGCCACGCACCGTTGTGGAGCTCCCCGGTGACGGTGCCATCCCCCGGGGGGTTGCCGTCCTGGTCGCGCCACTTCCAGTCGATGCCCCGCACCACACGAGCGCCCGGCACCAGGTACTTGAGGATCTGAGACCTCAGCAGCCGGCGCTGACGCCTAAGGTTGGCCTCCTGCTCCTTCGCCGCTTTGCCTGCGCCGCAACGGAGCCACAGAGAGACGATGACGCCGGTCAGTCTGGCCGGCCTCTTCTGCACCGAGCGTGAATCGTCCCGCGTTCACAGCCCTGAGATGAGCGGTTGATATTCCACACTCTCATGATAGGAGCCTGTGTCTGCCACTGTTGATAAAATCGATTGACTGCAGAGAGGGAGTCAAGTGCAACAAGAACTCCCCTTGAAAGAAATTGGACAAACAACCCAAGGCAGGACTCGCACAAAGCACGGCGTTTCTTGTACGGATAGCTAGGTACCGATAATAACTAATTGATGACAATTATTGTTGCACAGGAGCTGAAGATCTGAACTTTATCACTCATCGGATTCCTCCAGTACGAACGTTCTTATTCTTCAGTTGAGCGAGGTTATTCGACGACTGTGTACGGGGTTCACTTGCAAGTTAAGTAAAATTAACATCGCGGTCTGCGGCACGCAGGATCTCCCCCCCCCCCCCCCCCCAAACGAGGCCCCTACCCCCCACAGCACCCGGCTTATCCACTCACCCAGCTGATCCTCGCACACGCCTGTGACCGTGCCGTATATCTCGAAGCCAGACAGGGACAGGTAGTGGGTCTGCCCGCTCGCGTTCTTCCCCATCTGCTTCAGGCGAACGTGCCTCCAGCCCTGCTTCTCATCCTTCGGAGACTCAAGTGGCCAAGTGGCTGTAGACCTGGCAGGAACAGACAGACAGACGTGACGACCGCGTTATTATTAATACGATCACAATGCACGCGTCGTGAAGCCAACGCCGGACGACAGTCTCCTCGCACCATATCGGGCACGGAGGTTTCTTTCACCCTACCTCACCATGTCAGGGTTCTCCGTCCAGGTTGGTGAAGGTGGGCAGCATAGACGCTGGAGCAGAATACAGTACAACAACGGATGTTACTGCATTGTCCCTGGCTGACAACGTAACCCCGCGGGGCTGCCTGTAACGCCCGTTAGGGCATGGTGGTCAACCCGTGCGAGCACAAGCGAGGCTCAACCCCACTCAGCTTCCGAGAAAAAAAAACATACGTTTGGGCTCATTCAGGATGGAACGCTCCACAGCAGCAGCAGCAGCAGCACGACTCACAACCTCTTCTCTACACCAAGGACCAGGACCGTTGTTGCCTTGGCGTCGTTTCGCCACGGCTGCCACCGTATGCGTCTCCGCTCCTGTCATCTTGCACTACAGCTCATGGTGGGACTCTCCACCGCAGCAGCAGCAGCGTGACTCACAACCTGCTCCTCCTCCTCTCTACAACAAGGACCGGGAGCCGTCACTGCCGAGCGTCTTTTCTCAGTGGCAGCCCCCGCCGTCTGGAATGCGGCCATCGTCGTCATCATCGTCATCATCGTCGTCGTCATCGTCCCACTGCTGCACGTCCGCAGCAGCAGCAGCGTTTAGATGTGCACACACTTGAGGGCCCCACAACGTTTGCCCTGGCTTTTGAGTGACGCCGAGCTTGGCTCCGCATCTCAGTCACAGTCATTTAAGTCCGTGAAATATTGTGCACATTCAAAATTGCATGACTACTCTGGAAATAATGAGAACCGGGAATGCATTACGGACCACATTTCACCGCGATGAGCAGCGTGAATCGGTGAAGGAAAAGCACGGCAACCCGGTTCACATATCAATCACTGCGGAAATTAACCAGGAACGGAACCTCAGGTAACACTCGGTCCACAGTGCAGTGCACTAATAACCAGCGGTGCTAACGGACACTACAAAACTCCCAACGCATTATAATGGGGTGCTGCTGCTACTGCTGCCTCCTTAGCAGTGGTGCGCAACTCGAATAACAAAAACACCCAACGCATTCGTCAATAACGGGCAAACGAAAATCAAGACGTGGCGGACGGTGCAGTCGATTACCGCAGGTCATACGGCGCACATGGCAGCAACGCCATGTCGCGGGAAAAGAAGTTCAACGTACATATAAGCGGGACCCCTTACCCTGGCTCGTTGAGTGCACAGTCGTCACTGTGGGTGTAGAGCGTCGTCCAGTTCTGTCCGTCCTTGGACACCTGGAAGAGCCAGTTGCGCAGGGCGGAGCGACCGTAGCCCCGCGCGTGTCTCAGCGAGTACGCCGTGGGGATCAGCCAGAGGCCCAGGTCGATGGCAAACCAGGCGCTCTTGTCGTCGTTGGTGTGGCAGTTCAAGGCCGAGCTGTCCCGGTTGAGGATGTCCTCCAGGCGGCCGTACGGGAGGTTGCGGCCCTCCGACGAGCTGACCACGACCAGTCCGTAGGCGGCCGGGTTCACCCACTCGTAGGCGGTTCTGCCGCAAGAAGATCGGGTGGCACGCGTTGATTTGTTGATTAAATCCCCATGAGAATTTATTTTTTCACGACATATCATTTACGTGCACTGCATCGCACGGGCAGGGTTTTTGCTGATTCGATATGCAAATGTTACCTTGAGTTAACTAACATACAAAATGCACAGTATTTTGTATGAATAAAATATACAAGTATTTTATTGACCAAGTAAAGCCCACCGAGCTATCAGTTATTTTTCAGAGGTGACCTGACCACACATGATAGCTCATCCAAGTGGCTTATATAATCATCACGCGTGGGAATTTATAGGAGCAGCCAAATAATCTACACGCACATTTCTAAATGCGGAGGGTAAAACCGGAGGACACGGAGGGAAAAAAAACAACACACGACCATGGGGAGAGAGTGAACACGCAAACTCCAAGCATACAACAGGATTCGTTAGAGTACGGGATCGAACCAACGATCTCCTGCACACCAGGTGAGGGAGACAACATCTCGCCACCGCGGCGTGACCCCGTGCAGTAGAATCGTGACCCAGTATTGTTACAATTCCCAAAATTGCCAGGGGTGGGAATGTTGCATGCCTGCTGTTCACCCTATTGCGCCTAGACACGCATGTAACTGCTCCAAGAGAAATCAGGCAGCACCTAATTAAGGTGTTATCGCTGGGGTTGCCACCCCTGAGGTACAACAAAAACTGGGACATGTCATGGGAAGAAGAATCATCTGACAAGGCCGGAAGAGGGGAGACCAACGTGCTAATGCATCGCCACGTTATTGTTACGCAACTGAGAAAAACAAACTGTCCCAAGAAGACATTGAGATATCCCTGAAATGGTAGCTGCCTCCTTAATCAAGAGGATGATCCTGCGAGAATCAGGATAGGTGGCAACCGCAGGTGGTAGTAGAATGGCCGTATTTACCGATACGCTTTCACCGATTTTTACCTGCAAACTCTTGACAGGACCGCAATCCCTCCACTACGATTCATTTGAAAATTTGCCAATTCAGATCGATGCGTGTTTCTTCATGCGGTTACCGGTAATGGGAACAAAAAGGTCACTCTCGCGGGGCGGTGGTGGCTACGCTGCACATGGCCCGCAATTGTCTAGCACTGTGGAGGTAGCAGCAAGTTTTGGTGGATCACACACAGATGTTGTGAAACTCCTTTCCCGTGGGTGCCAAGGAGGTGCAATTCTCCTGGCTTTCCAGGAGAAGGCAGTGCAGCAAGTGGACTAATCGCCATCTGTTTCCATCCGCACGGTGATAGTGTGTTGCCCCCTTCGTGCAAGGCGCGGGTTTTCCCCCCACGATCCAGTTCCCTCCAACTTGTATAAAAAAACGCAACTCGTCATTACTTAGTTAAAAACATCTTGACGAAACAAAAACCCAATGCAGCGCGAGCCTACTGAATAACAGTCCTACGGACTTCGGTGTGACTTTCCTGGATAAATACGTTTAAAAAAAAAGTTCCAGCAACTGCCATTTTTGGCCAGGTTTGCTCGCCATTGCCAAAGGGATTCTTAGCTCGATGAGCCTCACGCGAAATCATCCAACCGACCGGGCGACCGATTTTAAACCTCGCACGTTATAACCTCACCTCGCGTTGGTGCCGATCCAAAATACGATGCCGTTCTCATCGAAGTCGTGCTGGTGCCTGAAGACGAAGGTCTGCCCCTCCCGTAGCTTCCGCACAAACGCAAATGAGGACCTGTCGTAGTCATACCACTGCTTGGCGACCTGTGGGGGGGGGGGGAGGGCGGGGGGGTAAAGGTCGCTTGCTTAATCCGAAAACGCACGAACGAGACATGCTCAGATACACATACACACAAAGATCCCGTGTAAACGCCTTAACAGACTGCTGGGGCAGGTGCTGTTTGCGAGCACCTATGGAGGCTGGAACGGCACGCGAGTGTGGTGGGTGGCCAGCACCAAGCATGGCCGCCTTTGTCTCCCCAGTGGCGATGTTTACACACCGCACCAAGTACTCATTTGCAGGCGGAGTCGACCTAGGGGAAGCCCAGGACCGGTTCAGATAATCGTCACTGGTGTTGGTCATGAGCGGGAATCAAACTCAGGTTGCCGGGTTCATAGCGCAGCGTGCTAACCACTACACTACCGCTCCTCACTAGATATATATTAGATAAATACACATCTAGTGTATATATAGATATATACACACAGACATAAGAGGAATCCTCCACCCCAAGTTGTTGCTGCATTATGCATTGTTTTGCATAATCATTCTCCATTAATGGGTAACATATTTCCTTAGAAGTCTAACGTTTAGCATATGCGTTCTTTATTAAAATTACGCAAAACGTTTCTGAGGGAAATTTTTCAACCAGGAACGCACACGGCGCAAACGGAATATTTTGCAGCGCAACACCACACTGTACGTGTGAAGCAGTGTAGCAGCGTGGCACCCAAAATCCAAATGCCGCGTGGTCAGCCTCTGTCTGCCAGCCCGCCATTGCGTGTGGTTCTCATAGCGTTAGGCGATAGATTTAAAAAGTGCAAAGTGCTTAGAAGGATGAGTGCAAAACGCACAGCAAATGACGATGTTGCCTCTGGCAATAAAAGGCGAAAGGAAAAGTATTCATCTAGAGGTTTTAATCAGAAGTTTTAAAGCGGGTGCCAAGGCAGTCGATATTAGCCAGAATGCTTGGCCTACCCTCGACCTCAGTGGGAACTATTTCAGCTAATGCGGGGAAAATTCTAGAACGTGCTCAAAATGTGGCACCTTTAACTGCCAATAAATTAACTCAAACCGCAGATGTTGAAATCTGGAAAATAAGGAAAGACTTTTAAAGTGTCTAGAATGAAGATCAAAAACAGCAAAGCTCTTAATCTCTGATAAGTTTTATATAATAATTTGTACTTATTATTCGCTACAATGTTAAATTTATATTATATGCATTTTTGTACACTTCATGATATTTAGTCACTTTCTTTTCATAAATGTCAGCATGCAACGCAATCCATGATTTTAACATTACGTCTATAGGAAATTAGAATTCGCTTTTAGAAAATTCGAAGTAGCATTTCCCAGGAACGCATCCCATTGCGCATAGTGGGAGAATTCTGTATATTATAGAGACATATTCATCTTTAAAGTTGCAACTGTGACACAAAGCGTAGAGATGGTACATCTCAATGGACAGCATGGACACCATGTTCCCACGACTCGAGTACGGGTTATTGCGATACACCACACTGCTGCACAGAGGAATAAGTGCGTCCTCAACACAAACACAGCCTCGATGCTGAACCACAGCCTCAACGCTGGCCCAGTCTTAATATTGACATACAGCCTTAACGCTGACAATAACCTGAGCGCTCACCCACAGCCTCAACGCTGACCCACAGCCTCAACACTAACTCTTAGCCTGAAAGCCGACCAATAGCCTGAACAATGACCCAGTATCAACAATGATCAATAGCCCGTGCTAACCCATGGCCTCAACATTGACCAACAGCCTCAACACTGACCCACAGTCTCAACGCTGACCCACAGCCTCAACGCTGACCCACAGCCTCTACACTGACACACAGCCTCTACACTGACCCACAGCCTAAACGCTGACCCACAGCCTCTACACTGACCCACAGCCTCAACACTGACACACAGCCTCTACACTGACCCACAGCCTCAACGCTGACCCACAGCCTCTACACTGACCCACAGCCTCAACGCTGACCCACAGCCTCTACACTGACACACAGCCTCTACACTGACCCACAGCCTCAACACTGACACACAGCCTCTACACTGACCCACAGCCTCAACGCTGACCCACAGCCTCTACACTGACCCACAGCCTCTACACTGACACACAGCCTCTACACTGACCCACAGTTTCAACGGTGACGCACAGCCTAAACACTGACCAACAGCCTCAACACTGACCCACAGCCTCAACGCTGACCCACAGCCTCAACGCTGACTCACAGCCTCAACGCTGACCCACAGCCTCAACACTGACCCACAGCCTCAACGCTAACCCACAGCCTCAACGCTGACCCACAGCCTCAACACTGACCCACAGCCTCAACGCTGACCCACAGCCTCAACGCTGACCCACAGCCTAAACGCTGACCCACAGCCTCAACGCTGACCCACAGCCTAAACACTGACCCACAGCCTAAACGCTGACCCACAGCCTAAACGCTGAACCACAGCCTAAACGCTGACCCACAGCCTAAACACTGACCCACAGCCTAAACGCTGACCCACAGCCTAAACGCTGACCCACAGCCTAAACGCTGACCCACAGCCTAAACGCTGACTCACAGCCTGAATGCCGACCAACAGCCTCAGCACTGACCCACAGTCTCAAAGCTAAGACAGACAACACAAACGTAAGACTGAGGCAGAAAATAATCGATTCGAGTTGAGCTGTTGACATCGAATCGCTAACGGTAGTGGAGTCGCGAAAATCTCCGATCTGCACGGCGGACCGTGCAGCGCTGAGCACAGCCGCCACGTTACCATCTTGAGGAGGTATTGCTCCAGACTCTCAACGGTGGCCAGCGGTTCCATCTTGAGCATCCGTCCCGTCCGATCGATCAGCGACGTCTCCCCGGGCGCGCGCTCCAGGCGGAACCTGAGACGCCGGTTTAATACCTGCGTGGCAGCATTGGGAGAGACGGGGGAGATGCCCCTCAAACTTAATAACCAGGCGAGGGCCAACTGAGGCCAGAAGCCTCCGTGCCGTTTAAAAGAACTCAACACGTTAGTCAAGAACGCTGCGTGTTGGCCTAAAAAGGTAAAAAATATAACAGGCGATGTCTTTGGCAGTGGGCCTTCTTCATCGCACGTGAATTGTGCTTGTGCACCGCTGCCAAGGCATCAACAGATCATTTTAATTTCCACACAGTGCTGCTTCTTTTGCATCTCATCTCACTTTGCTCACCTCCACACGCTTAAATTTGTACAATATTTTTCATTGCTGCACTTTTTCAGATGCGCTTCTGCGGCCGTCTGGAGCTATGTCCTTTTTAATCATCTAGATAAAAAATTTACTTCTCTAGAAGTGCGTTTTGGGTTTAGTTTGTTGTCCTTCCCTCGCACCTCTGATGAGCACGGTTGGCTACATACGGTGCTAAAGAAATTAAACACATACATTTTTTTTGTTTAGCTTTTGTAATTTTGGTAACCGAGGTCAACCCTTGCAAATGAGACCATCCTGGTCTCCAGAGTTCTCAATCTGGTTAAACAAAATTGACTTGCCACTCCCTTCCCTCTCAACCTCTCATCTCACGCTACTCCTACTCTAGTAACCAAGGCTTTCTGTTGAAGCCCCAACTTTTCTCAATGAGAGGGTCACTCAATCCACTGCTGGATGATGGCCTCCCCCAGCCATGCGAATCGTGGGGGTTAACTGACCATACTTTCTGCCAGTCACCTCGAGACAGTCAACCCATGGCACCAGGGTCTGTCCCGTGACCTGCTTTCAGCGTGCCTTCCAACATTTCAGGTGGCCTCAAAGTGCAGCAAGTCTGGCACAAACGCCGTGGTGATATCACCGCAACTTAGTGATGAATAACTGTACATTAACACGCAGAGATGTGGAAGCATCGAAGCATCGAAGTTCAATAGAATGGATTTTTATGCACTGGCCCTTGCTGCCCGCTGTGTAAACATGCAACTCTGCATACTCTACACGTACCCGTAGTCTAATACAATCTACTATTTACAAATGAGAGCGTCCCTTACCTGAAGATTGTACGGTGTTCCAGGAACATCGTAGAGATACAGAGGCAGCCTCTCGATAGATTCCAAAACGGCGATCAGCTTTCGCACCAAGGCCACAGCCAGATGGCTGCACACGGAAAAACACAAGACCAGCAAGTAGCAGGGTTACTTAAGTTACTTACTCCTCTTCGCTCCCTGTGGAACTTAAGGCTGCAACAAGGCCACGCCACGCCGGACGGTCTTTAGCAGCTTTCTCTAAGTAGCAGGGTTAGCTTCAAGACAATCCAATTGGGATAATGCGAGAACAGCAGTAGCTATATGCAGGCATGCGACGCGTACAGACCAAGGTAGAAACTGGAGCGCACAGTGGTCACCAATCCAAGCACTATCCAGGTTCAAACCTGCGTAGCCTCCGAGATCTGACGGGGACCGTCAAATTCTCAGCGATTCGATTGTACGTGCGTAAATTTAATATCGGTGTTTTGGGGATAAAACTGTCTACCCGCAAGACAACCACTGTTTACTTCAGCCACAAAGCATTATTCATTTTATCTACCTTTGGAGAAATCATGGGCCTAGCCAAATAGGATGCGAACCGTCCAATCACGAGCTGCTCACTTTACACCCGGGGCCACCCGGCTGGTTTTAACGACGACAAAATAACAAAACAATCACTGGCACCTTTCGTCATCGTCGTTCCTCTTGAAGGCGGCCTTGAAGATGTTTATCCTCTCAATGATCTGCTTGCAGCTGTGGCGATGCTCCTTATTCACATTCTACGGAGGCAAGCGCGACACGCGGCCAACGAGGCACCGTCAGCAGCGGACGTTCGGCGCTCCCCGTTGGGAAACGCGTCACAGCTACCGCCGCTTCCACGCTCATCATCACCACTCCCCCTCTCGACGTCACTTGCATTTGCGATCGCCAACGTGAAGGTCGATAATAGGGCAAAAAAAAAAGAATTCCGTCCAAACAATGGGCTGGTTTAACTAAAAAAATTGTTACTTTTTTTTAAACTATACTCAGACGTGATTCTATTCTATTTTCAACGGTTGGATTTAACTGCACTTGTGTGTCGTGCTCAAATCTTGTAATCAAAATTTAGTCTACTTCCTGTTGTCCAATCAATTCCAAATTTTGCACACGTACTCAGATCCGGAGACAATGCAAGCCTGTATAAAAATCGGCATCAAATTATCAATTAATTGCCTCATTTCAAGCAACACATTTTTTTTGTAGGGGCGGCTTATTCATTATATATTTTTGTGTGGGTCAAAAACGCCGCGGTCCCTAAACTGTGGAATTGGCTCGCACACAAAGCAGGCGCCGTCTCAGGCTCACACACAAAGCAGGCGCCGCATGTCTCAGGCTCACACAGAAAGCAGGCTCCACGTGTCTCAGGCTCACACACAAAGCAGGCTCCACGTGTCTCAGGCTCACACACAAAGCAGGCTCCACGTGTCTCAGGCTCACACACAAAGCAGGTGCCACGTGTCTCAGGCTCACACACAAAGCAGGTGCCACGTGTCCCAGGCTCACACAAAGCAGGCTCCACGTGTCTCAGGCTCACACAACGCAGGTGCCACGTGTCTCAGGCTCACACACAAAGCAGGTGCCACGTGTCTCAGGCTCACACAAAGCAGGTGCCACGTGTCTCAGACTCACACACAAAGCAGGTGCCACGTGTCTCAGGCTCACACACAAAGCAGGCTTCACGTGTCTCAGGCTCACACACAAAGCAGGTGCCACGTGTCTCAGGCTCACACACAAAGCAGGAGCCACGTGTCTCAGGCTCACACAAAGCAGGAGCCACGTGTCTCAGGCTCGCACACAAAGCAGGTGCCACGTGTCTCAGGCTCACACAAAGCAGGTGCCACGTGTCTCAGGCTCACACAAAGCAGGTGCCACGTGTCTCAGGCTCACACACAAAGCAGGCTCCACGTGTCTCAGGCTCACACACAAAGCAGGCTCCACGTGTCTCAGGCTCGCACACAAAGCAGGTGCCACGTGTCTCAGGCTCACACACAAAGCAGGTACCACGTGTCTCAGGCTCACACAAAGCAGGAGCCACGTGTCTCAGGCTCACACAAAGCAGGCACCGTCTCAGGCTCACACAAAGCAGGTGCCACGTGTCTCAGGCTCACACACAAAGCAGGTGCCACGTGTCTCAGGCTCACACACAAAGCAGGCTTCACGTGTCTCAGGCTCACACACAAAGCAGGTGCCACGTGTCTCAGGCTCACACAAAGCAGGTGACACGTGTCTCAGGCTCACACACAAAGCAGGTGCCATGTGTCTCAGGCTCACACAAAGCAGGCTTCACGTGTCTCAGGTGCCATTGATGTCCTTCTCAGAGACCGCGAGTTAAACGAAGTTGTCAATAAAACCTGTTGTTTGTATGGCCACAATATGGTCAGGAGCTGAACGTCAATGTTGCGAGGTCTGCTAGCCACGAGAGCGCTTCAGCAGAGAGTTTGTATATTTCGATTTAAAGCTTCGTGACTGCAAGGATTCATCTTCTTTGGTTCTTTCGGTAAAGTCACGTAGAATGAGAATAAAATAATAAATAAAATAACACGATAAAATTCTCACGACGTTTCGGCCACAACAAGAAGGCCACTTGTGTTGTGGCCGAAACGTCGTGAGAATTGTATTGTTATTTTATTTTATTTATTATTTTATTCTCATTCTACGTGACTTTACCGAAAGAACCAAAGAAGAGTTTGTATATTCTCGCTGTTCCTCCTCTGCCGAAGAAGTGCAAACCACAGTGGTTCATGACATGGTCCAAGGAGATGTGTGCATCGGCCTGAGAGGTGGCAAACATTTGAAATAGCGAATTCCACCTTCAGGGCTAATGTTGTTGTGTGATTACGTTGACAGGAAGGGAAAATATGTTAGACTCTAAAGGAGATTGGCGCGAAAAACCCAAACACTGAGTTATTTATAGTTCTTTTTTCAGGAGCGACCTGGTCACAAATGAAAGCTCAACGAAGTGACTTATCACGTGGCAATTGATAGCGGCCAAATACTCTGAATGCGTGTCGATTTTAAATGTGCAGGGAAAAACCGGAGGATCGAACCCACGACCTCCTGTATACCAAGCGAGGTAGTTAACATCTCCGGGCCAACGTGGCGCCGTAGCAATCAGGACGGCCGTTAATTTCGAACCGGGAAACTCCGCAACCAGCGGCAAGCGGCGCCACTGCTGGGCCGCGTCACCGCCAGTTCAGGCGCTTGTCTCGCTGGGCCAAATGCATTTGCACCCGATGCATCACGCAGACTAGCCATGAGCGTCATTGTGGGGAACCATGAGCAGCAACGGATTAAATCAACAGACGATTCGCCCCCTTCCCATATTTGTACCACCACATACAAATGCAAGGTTTTTTTGTTTAACACATCTCAATTAGCCACACAATCTAGGCCTATCCCCTCGGCCCTAACCCATAACTTCGCGAGCAAACTCTAGATGCCAAAACTGGTCCCGGCATGAACCGTGATCCCACAGGAATCGAACCAAAGGTAAAACGGTGCAGTGTGCCAACAAATGCAGCATGGCTCCGCCCACAGAGATCGCTTAATACGGGACAATAATAAGTAACGTACATTGTTTAACACAGTAAGAAGCGCTTGTATAAGGCCGCTGCTGCTCATCTCGTATGGACTGATAGTGTTTTCATCTTTCAGCAGCAAAGTTAAGTCTTCCAGCGAGGCCTTCATCAGCTCCACCCAGTTGTTGTCGGCTTCATGACCCTGGAAAACAAAAAAAACAACCACCAAAACAAAACACCGCTTTTATTCGGCGCATGACGACGCAGTCACTCGACTTAAAATCGAGCCTCGTGCTATGAGCATTGATACACACAAGAACGCATGAGTTACAGATCATGAAAACGGTGTTTAGGCCAAGGTTATGGGAACATGTGGCGGCCTTGTGTGCCGGAGCCAGCCGGTGACTTAATTTCACACGGCCCACGATCGTGAAGCCACGAAGACTACGACACTGAAATGGCTTGCAAGCGACATTTAACCACCACTCCGAGCATATTAGCCGCATTCATTGGGAATGAGATGGGATTTTTTTTCCTTTCAACTTGGCAACACCGTTTGTAATTTTAAAGCACGATCAGGTTCCTCCGAGAGTGCAGTGACAGAATTTAAATTTCAGATTCAAATTCTGGTGTCACAACAGGATTCAACACCTTTTAAAACACACCAATGTGGCCTATTGTAGGCCTATATTGTAATCGAAGGTTCTAAACATTTTCAGCCTCATGTTGGTGTTGCGAGTTTTCTGGTGAGATGCCTAGAATAGAGAATGGTTGTATCAACTTTCAGCTATTACTCCCTTCTAGAACATCCAACAGAAGTTACTCCAATTATTAACGCCCTCAAAATTGGCCCAATTTCAACTACGTACCTCAAAATTACTCAACTGAAATAGCAGCAATCATCACTCGCCCCTACTGTTGCAAAACCCTTGGCAGGACCCTCCTGTAAGAGTCAGTGAGGCTGTTCCTGGGTAAATAAATGCAATGAAGATAACAGGAGCTCATTTTCTGCAGCGTAATAGCCGGGCGAGTACCCGGCTATTCCTGTAAACATGCAAAGCACGGAACGGACACTCGCCATTTGTATCACGACACTTGGTAGTCGTGAATGTAACAAAAAAATCCGGACCAAGCAAATATCTGTAACCGTCGCCGGATGGCCATGAAATCGGCGAGCTGATCAAGCTCATCGAGCCCCTTCCTGCCGAGATCTAAAGACTCCCCTCACCCTGCTGTTGGAGTGCAGCTCCCACGACGACTCGAGCCGCGTAGCGATGTTGCGCAACGCCAGCACGGTGCCCCGGGGCATGCTCTCCACCGCCTTGAAGTGGTTCTCATAGAGCTCCTTCGCCATGATCTGCACCTGTAACCGCACATACGTTTAAAACTGTTTTCCGCCAACCGGTTGCCACTGCACGTAGCTCTTCACTCCCTTGCGCGTAATAAATGACGATCGCTGGGCAGCGTCGCTTCTAAACCGACCCGGAACGCTTTCTGTGAAGGATTTTGGCGGGTAGTGTAACACCCAGATTTACGTCGCCCCCTTTCACGTCGTTTGGCAAATACGTCGTTACTTTATTGACACCGCTACCCGATTTGCATCACCTCAACACACACTTACGTCGCTGACAGCATCGTCATCCATCCTCTCTCGTAACCGTCGCCTCTCAGCCTTCATTCGCCTCCACCTGCTACCCTGTAAATCGCTTTGATTTGACGTCGTTTCGATATTCGTCATCGTATCTTTCAGGATCACATCCCTGACGTAAACCGGGGGGGGGGGTATTACCGCACCTCTCTCGCTCTCCCTGCTCCTGAGTTAAGCGGTGGAATTTTCACCAACAGGGTTGAGCACTGATTGAGCAGGGAGAACACTTTGATTTGCAAATGCGTTGACCTTCAATGCATGGATGTTTTGAAAACTCAACACTTCAGTCAATAACACCGTGTAAATGTGTGGCCTTAAAAAGGAAAAATAAAAACAACATAAGCCTCTGTAATAATTGTAAATTAAAGCCCTTTGCGAATCGAATGTTGGATGTAGGACTCCCCACACTCTTAGTCATTTCACCATACTACACCACGCTGATCAGTGGTGGGTTTGTTTCCAGTGGAGGGCAGTCCGGATATTCACCCACCATTGGTGTAAGATTTAACAATTTGAAAGGTGCTTTATCTGTTTTCTTACCTATGTCATTTCTTGTCTGTGTGCACGTGCGCTTGCGAAGGATTTGGCTCTCAAACGGTGGGGTTTACGTAAAAAAAATAGCCAGGTACCACGCCGTAAGCCTCGCGGTGAGCAAGCGCTAATCCTTTTTTTACATCTGTCAACTTTAAAATACTTTATTTCGCAATCTAGTACGATTTTTCTGTATTTATTTAAAAACGCCACTCGGCTGACCGGGGGTTGCCCCTGGCAATGCACACGCGTCATCAGTGGAGGGGTGGGGGGGGATTTCTCTTTCGCCTTCATAATGCAAATAAACGCTGAGGTTAAATCTTCAAAGTTTCATGTCCCCCCACCCCGATGCGTGCAGTTACTACTATACAGTCGGTAGATATTAATATTATCGCGCTTACATAGTATTATTGTAGCGCGGGCGGGGGGATGGTGGGGGTGGGGGTAGCGGCCCAGCCCCCAGCCTGCCAAGGTGCCATCTAGGCCGGCTGGGCAATCTAGGCGAGGCCGGGGGCTCTGCAAGGAATTAGGCCTCACCATGCCAATGTTAAGTACTAATTTCTTGTTTCTTTCACTAAACTTACGTACATAGAAAATTATTATTACACAAGTTTGGAAATATTCAAATATTAATGTTTGTGTGTAGAAAACTAATATTTCAACATTAAGTAGCAAAATATGATATTATTAACGTGTTTTATGAAGCTGCGCCAATCTACTGGCAGTCTGTCATGTGGCCTGTTGCCTGCTTATTAATTAAAGTCAGTGCACTGGAAGTCTATTATCTACACTGTAAACATTGCTTTCTGGCCAGGGTGAATGGATGCCAGTCTATAATCTGTTGCCTGCTTCTTTACCTCGCTCGGTGTCCTGCCAGCCTTTCATGTCGACTGTAGTATCCTGCTTTTTAAGCTGCTGACCGTGTTGCCAGCTTATTATGTCGACTGTAGCAATGCTGAGGTCATTGAGTCAGCGTACTGGCAGTCTATAATCTAGACTGTCGCCTGCTTCTTAACTTACCTGTGCGTACTGCTGCTCTATAATGTAGACTTATTCTAGCTTCTTTCTTCAATGCGTTTCTATTGTTTGGTTTGCTCATATCACTCTATTTACTGCTATGTAGTACTACGATGCTGATTTCTATGTTATACTGCTAAATACGTTGGACTTTCTTAGCTACAGACGATTGTATTTCGTCTATCATTTTGTTACATTTGAGGGAAACTCAACCATTTTACATTTGCCGTCCTGCACCTTTTCTTTTGACCCAAGCGGGGAGCACGCAGGGAGGTTCAATGCCCCAACTTTTGTTGAGCTTGCTGTTCTTACGGTGGGTGAGGAGCATGGTAAGAGAGACATTGTGCTTCAATACCAAGACAACACCATCAAAGATTCCCTGACGCAGCATATGATGCCCTACACAATACCCCATTTTACTGTGGCAAGGCCAAGATGGCTACCATGTCCAGATTCCTAAAATTATATTTATCAAAGCTACAGGACAAAGACATCCTCACAAAACTGGTCTCCTCTAAACTATTCCTTCGTGATCATGGACAGAGGCGAAAACCACATTACAGTGCGCCAACCTTTTTCACCAGTATGTTGTCGATGAGTATGCCAACATTTAGAGTGAGTGCCTTCTTTACATTCAACCGAATCAAAAACGCCTGCGTGTTGAATAGTACGCTCGTCTCTGAGACGCTATCAATGCCGACGGAGATGCAAACGCTCAGAATGTGGCCAGAATAGTTGTTTTGCCTTCATCCTTCACAGCTGCACCAAGATACATGCATGAGTGGACTCAGGATGCCATGACGTACATCAGCCAATATGGCAGGCCCAATCTCTTTATCACCTTCACTTGCAATCCAAAATGGAAGGAGATCCAGGTTGAGCTTTATCCAAAACAAAAGCCAACAGCTACACATGAAATCTTAGCAAGGGTCTTTAAACTCAAAGTTGATGACCTCATGATGCTCATTACGACTAACGAAGGCGCCGTCTTTGGAAAGACAAGCAGTAACTGGCACACCATTGAGTGCCAAAAATGTCGTCTTCCTCATGCTCACATTTTGCTATGGATGAGGGAAAAAAATTCATGCAAGTGACATTGACACATTTATCAGTGCTGAGCTACCTGACCCCCATCAAGACCCTGCCCTATTTGATGTGGTCTGCAAGCAAATGGTCTATGGCCCATGTGGGCAGTTCAATCCAAATTCGCCATGTATGCAAGACCGCAGGTGTACCAAGAATTATCCACGAAACTTCTTCAAAGACACTCAGTCGGTCCGCGATGGCTATCCTCTATATCGTCGCAGAAATACTGAGCATGGTGGATTTTAAACAACGCTCAGACCTGCCACCAACTCTCAAATGAAGGTTGACAACCGGGGGATCGTTCCCTACTGCCCTCTGTGCAAGATCTTCGAGGCATACTTTAATGTGGAATTCTGAAATTCTGTGAAAGCCATCAAATATGTTTGCCAATACATCAACAAAGGCTCTGACATCAACAAAGGCTCTAACATGGCTTCTTTGCCCTACAAAACAGAGGGGCAAAGTGTGGATGAGGTTAAACATTTTGTCCAAGGAAGACACATCAGCAACAATGAGGCCATTTGGAGAATTTTTGGCTTCCCCATCCATGAGCGTTCCCCCACATGCGTCCATTTGGCAGTTCACCTCGAAAATGGTCAACGTATCTACTTCACCGAAGGAAATACCCAACAACAAGCCCTGGCTGCACAAAATACCACCCTGATGGCGTTCTTTGTTTTGTGCCAAAGTGACCGATTTGCTGCCAACCTCCTCTACCTTGAAGTGCCCTCCTACTATACATGGAGTGCTAATAAAATGGAAGCGACATGCTGCTCATGGTGAATCTGATGCGTTACGAAGAGTCTACACAGTTCATCCCAACAATCAGGAGTGCTACTTTCTCCTAATGCTTCTCCATGTTGTCAAACGGCCTAAATCTTTCCAAGCCCTCAAAACAGTGGGAGGAGTTGTCTGTCAAACATACAGGGAAGCTTGCAATATTCGTCGAATTCTTTAGGATGATCAGCATCTTCAAGTTTGCAGCCCATCTAACCCCATGGGACTCTGGCAAAAATACAAAGAGGGCATGAGTGAGGACATCCTCCACAGAGCTCAACGAGAAAATCCAAACCTCGACGTGAACGTTTCTGATGACATCTTCAAACAGGCTCTCATCCTCCTTGAGAACAAACTGCACTCCATTGGTGGAAAAGACCGCACGTCTATGGGACGGACTATCAACACCCGACAGGGACAACCTGCATGCCCTTGCTCAAGAGGTCGTACGTGAAATATCCTATGATGGTTTAGAGCTTCTTAAATGTATTGAGAAAAATTTACCAAAGCTGATGGGTGCACAAAGAGAAGCCTACACGAAAATCTTGGAAGACATTGAGACAAAAAACCGAGTCTTTTTTTCCTGGCGGTACTGGGAAGACCTCTGTTCTCAACCTGCTCCTCGCTAAGGTTCGCCATAGGTAGACAATTGCCCTAGCTGTGGCATCATCGGGGATTGCTGTGTAAGTCGATGTGTGTGTTTGAGTCCATATGTGTGTGCGTGTAGGTTGATGTGTGTGGGTCGATGTCTGTGTATGTGTAAGTCGATGTGTGTGTCTTTTTCGCCCGGGAAACGCCGGGTACTTCCCGCGAGTATTTACTGTAAAAATGGCCAACGTTAACAGACCTGCAGGTCGCCTGAGTAAGCTTTACAAAAGGCCAACGCAACGCACAAATGTTAACGGAAAAAAAAATAAACTCTAAGTATCTCCCTTCTCAAAACACACATCCGGCGGCTGCACCCATCTGCGTCCGGTCGTGAAACAACGCGGAGACGTCAAGAGGACAACGTTGAACAGCGGTTGGAAAATATGCCCCCTCCCCCTTCCCCCCTATGAGTGACATCATCTCACACAGGCCCATTGCCGCACTAGGCCGTGAACCACTTCAAAGGTGCCCCCACAAACGATATCTATATCCAATTAACACGTAGGCTTTCGTGACCAATATTATCCATAATACAGGTTTTTTTTGGGTTAGATCACGTAAATATAAATGTGTCGTTAAACCCGCCACCACTCGATACAGCAAATTAGTAAGATTTGTCACATGAACACAACATGCCAATTCATTACGAGTACAGCACACCGGTGCGTTGGAGAGTAAATATTATGGATATTTATATCCGTCACGGGCGAACAAGTTGGCAGCTCTAATCGGGTACGATAAGGGGAATATTTTCGAACTGCCAACAACACCGTTCATTAATTTTAGTGCCGCGCTTGGCCACTTTCGCCACTGCAAGGCGGCACGCCAAGGGGGTATTGATTGGAAAGTCCGATTCAGCTCTCAGCAAGGGGGAAGGCTTCTCTCCAGCCCTGATGAGGTTTCCCCAAGGTCGCTCGCTGCTCCACTGACCCCGTGCAGGTCACGACGTGCACCACTACCCACCTTCTGCTTTGTCTTCTCCAGCTTGGAACGCAGCTTTTTGCTTCGTTTCCCCGTCCACCCTGCAATAAATTGACTTCCTAAAATGAGAACATTTTTTATAAAAGTGAAGGAGCATTAACAAAAAAAGCCCCGGGTATATTTACACTCGTCTCCAATGGCACCATGAGCCAGAGGTGGACATTCCTCATGGTGGGGTGAGGGGACGGCTAAGTCCAGTAGTAGGACAGCTGCGATTTGACTTTTCATTATTCAAGAGTTCAAATTCGTCGCGACGGGTCCGTACGTACATAGTTGGACTCGCTGCCTCAATCCAGTAGGGACATGCAATGGGCGTTTTTTTTTTAAAGTGCTTCTGTTTCATCGACCGAGTTATGGGAATAAGTAGAGAGTCAACTCCCAGCCGGGATTTGAACTCACTCACCCTGTCCGATAGTGCGTCAAGTGCTGTAACAACACACTGCCACCCCCCACATCTGGAAGGTTAACGAACGACACAGCATTGAATGAACTACGCGGGGGCGGGGCGCTATGCACATGCCCGTAAACGCACGTGCGCGTTCACACACTGGCACAGGCGCCGTGGTGACGTCACCATCACTCAGTGGCGAATGACGGGTATTGGTATCGCTGCAGGTTCACGAAACAGAGAACGGAGAATTTCAACTGAGAATGATTAGTCCACCACATTTGGAACAAAGAAAAATGACAAGCTTGGGAGTCCATCAAGGGAGCCTCTCTGTTTAGGAAGCGACTGTGCACATAAATGTGTGCATGACAAAGCGCAGCCGCACGTGGACGCGAATGCACGCGAGGCGTACGCCGACAACCCAAGCACCCTCGCTTCTCTATCACCTCTGCTACACGGCGGCAACGTGAGGTTGCTCGACCTCTCTGAAATGTATGGCAATCTTGCCTTGTGTTGGTAAGCCAGGTGGGGCAAGTTTTATGGTAAAGATTTAGCAGTTCTGTATTTTCCATGAAAGTGCGCGAGGTTATCCTCCGGGTGCACACATGGAACGGTCAGAGCGGTCGTAGAAACAAGCAGCCAATCAGCTCCCTTGAAACTGACGAAAGACGTCACACCTCGCGCGACGGAATCGCAATCGTACGCAAAACGAAACCGCCACAGTTTAAAGGCCTCACCTAGGGATGTCTCGGCTGTGAAGGAATGCTTCGTGCCGCGGTTCGACTCGAACACGAAGCCCGGCAGGTCCTCCTTCAGGATGGTGGCCTGCTGCCCGTCGCAGTTGTGAATTGCGATCTCCCCCTCCTTGAGGCAGGTCAGGGTCCAGTTGCCCACGACCAGCTTGCTCGGGCCCGGCACGGACAGGACGGGCTGGCTCGGGGTGCCGGCCTTCACCTGGCCACGGGCTCGCTGCAGCTTCTCCAGAAACTCGCTGCGGCTCTCTGAAACGCAAGATCAGGGCGTGGGTTTGTGAGTTACTGACGAGGCCACGCGGCACGGTCATCAAAAGCATTCGCGTGGCGTGACCTTTTGAAGGAAGTTGCAACAAGAGGCTGTTGGGTGGCTCGGGGGTCAGAGCACTGAGCCGGCACCGTTGAAATCCCGGGTTCGATTCCATGCAGCCGCCTGTGAATAAACCGGGTTCTGAAGTGTAACGGAGTTTGATGGTCTCAGCCCAGTCACCAGTGACCGCATAAGAAATTCCATCGTATTAAATTTGGTTTTGCGATTGATTTGGACTAAACTTCAGCTCGGAAAATGACAATTGTTTTATTGGACAGCTCAGTGACCTTCCGTCGGCCATTTCCTAACACGGCGCGATGCACTGCTCTTGACAGATTTCTAAACCTAAACGTCGTCTCATAACTTTGACACCCATGGAATTTTTTTTTAATATAAAATCGGGGAAAACAAAAAGAGTTATTTTATCATGGGGGAAATGCGAACGCAACACCGTGTCGGCTTCCATCTCAATCACCCGTCGCAACGCCACGGTGGCTAGGAGATGTTAACTACCTCGCCTGGTATACAGGAGTTCATGAGTTCCATCCCAACCCTGACGCCCCTATATTTGGAGTTTGTGTGTCTCTCCCTGTGGTCGTGTACATTTTTCTCCGTGTCCTCCGGTTTTTCCCTCCACATTTAGGATTAACATGCGTTCAAGAGTATTTTGCTGCTGTAAATTTCCGCATGATAAGCCCACTCTCCGCTGAGCTATCATCTGTGGCCAGGTCGCTTCTGAAAAAGAGCTGTGTGTAGAGCTCAGTGGGCCCTTGTTTTACCTGAACTGTCGGATCCACCTTCCGGGTTGCCGCTGGAGTACATGGTGGCGAGCTTCCCGTCCAGGATGAAGCGGAACCATCCGTTGGAGCCGTTTGAGAGCTCCAGGGCGGCTGCGTCGCTCCAGATGTAGAGGCAGTCGCGGCCACGCACCACCGACCAATCGCGCCAGTGGAATGGCTTCCCCTGCACCAGCTCCTTGGCGTCTTCGTGCAGAGGGCTCTCCTGCTGGCACGGGAAGACGCGACGCGACACGCCGGCCACCATCAGGCCACCGGATCAAGGAGAATCGCACGCACCAGCTCCTCTCACCTCGCGAGCAAAGCAGGGTTATTGTTGTTGTCGTGCCTGGTCAAAACGATTCAACTGAACTGTTTTTATTTTTGCCAGGTAAGGGCCCAATGAGCTGTGCAGTTCTCTTTCAGAAGTAACCTGGCCACAGACGATAGCTCAACAAAGCGGCTTATCGTGTGGAAATGCATAGCTGGCAAATACTTGAAACGCATGTTGATTCTAAATGTGGGGGGGGGGGGGGGGGTGGGGGGGGGGGGAAACCGGAGGGGACCTAGAGAAAAATCCACGCGACCAAGGAGAGAACATGCCAACTACAAATATACAGCGGCACCAGGGTCAGGATTGAACCCACGACCTCCTGTATACCAGGCCACGTAGTTAACATATCGCCACCATAGTGTCACCTTCGCCACCGTGGTTATTATTGGGTAGTCAGGAGATTCTCGGCCACGGCTAGCATCAGTGGCGAGCGATAGCAGTCATGAGCCCTGCTCTTCACCAACCTCACTGACCGGGGTGGTGAAGCATGGCCAAACAACCCCTATTGGACCAACACGGCATGGAGAGATCTTCATCCAGCAGTGGATTGACAATGGGGGCTGTACATTTGAAGATTGCACCTCCTTCACATGAGAGACGGGAATAGCCGTTACTAGTCTGCTTGCATTAGAAGGGTTTGTCTGTTACTCTTTAGCTACTTTTAGGTAAATATTCACACGTCCATTTAAAACTGGTCGTCATCAGAAGACACTGGGAAAAAAAAATTGAGTGGAAGATGGCAAGTGAGAAATCACGACGAATGCCACCAATGCGGCGACCGAGCATCGAACATCAATCTTCTGGTCTCCAGAGCAACAACACAAGACATGCCAACAGCACACTTCAGGGCCAAACTACAACGCACCAGAGAGGCCCTGGGAGAAGGATCCTCCAACTGTGAAGGAGACATCACAGCCGATATACTCCGTTGCTCCTGACGCTGTTATCTGGCTTGACCACCTGAATGCGAATTCGTAGTTGTTGCCCTGCATCTACATCAGCCATTTAAATCTTATCGGGATCCCATGGTGTAAAGTGCATTCTGCAACTCTTATTCTGCACTCTGTCTCTCTCGCCTCTCTATTCGGGAGCTATGAAGAGGGGCCACTGCCTCTATCCCTTGAAGAAGAATTGGAATAGGTGACGGAGCCTTTGCCGTTGCAGCGCCAATGTTTTGGAACAACCTTGTTTCGTCTCTTAACATCATAAATCTTCCTTCAAAAAATACCCTGAAGCAGGAGATTAGTGCTGGGTGCAACCACATTTGCAACTTTGATCCTTACCCATGTACACACTGACGGAGCCAGTGGGGGGGGGGGTGGCACGTGCCCCCCCAATGATCCAATTGAAATCCCTAATTTAGATCGGATCATTGGGGTTTATTGGTAATAAATCGGCATTATGCGACCCCAACTGCCACTGTGTAGCATATTACTATGTGGCAGGGACTCTATGAGATGATAGGACAATAGTCTGAGTCCATGATTGGCTATAAGTAACGGCAAAGCGGTTATAAGTGACTCAGAATTGTGCCCAGTTGCGTGTACAGGTACACGACTTCCCTGAAGGCCTTCAGCGAGTGTGATGCCGATCACACAACGCGGTTCAAATTCGCCGCACACGCGTCGAATAAAAAGCAAGGGACAACTCCTTACTTACTAACAACTCCTTACTCACTAACAACTCCTCTATCATTTTTCATTGCTGGAGGGGTTTCCCCCCCTACCTGAAAATCCTGGCTCTGCTATTGCATGCATTTCATTGGGGGACTTTGTTGGCTTGGTGTGGTCTGGGACTGTTTTTGTTGTTTTGCTGCCTTGTCCAAGCTTGCATTTAGCATTCTAAAAAAATCGACAGTAATTTATATACAATTTGTACTATGTACTTTATTTATATTTATACATTTATTATTTTGCGACTTGCTTACCTTTTCTCTACTTTGCACTCCTATCGTGTTTTTGTACTGTTTGCTGTTGTGACTTGCCGATCCGCCCCTACTGGACATCTGTGAAAAAGAGCGTCACAGCTTATCGGATTACCTCCTGCAGTCTAAATAAAGATTCCCATTCTGAGATTGTCTTTTGTGGGGTTTTGTTTTTTTCAAATAATAATCATCATGCCCTTTCTAGTCACAAAAGGAGCCATCCCGGAATTTGTACGAATAGACAAGAGCTTTCGCCCCCCCCCCACACCTCCCCCCCCCCCCCTCATTCATCAAAGTCATCACCGTCCATCCGTACGTTACCTTGTCCACCTGCGCGTCATCTTCGTTCTCGTCGTCGGAGGCCGTTCCGCCCAGGCTGGAAACCTTGCTGATGACGCCCAGCCTGGCCAGCTGATCCACAAACAGGTCCCCTCCCTTCTCCACGAGGTCATCGATCATCTGCAGCGCCAGCAGGTGACCGTCGTCGTCATCCTGCCGAAACGTCGCAGTCGGGTGGGGGAGGGGGGGGTGGGGGAGGGTTTAGGTGATGGGGGGAGGGGCGGGCGGGGAGGCAGACCCCATCCGCAACGAGACACGCACCGACAGGGATTAGGGGGGGTGCCGGGAGACGGGGATTGAAAAAGAGGGGGTGCGTGTCGCACCCTCAGTGGTTTAGTGGAAACAAAACTCGGAATAGTGGAAGGAAAGCATAAACACCCATTAGCCGCACGCAGGGTATTTGATTTTAGGGATTTTCTTTGTTCCCTCCCTCCCTTCCCACTTCATCTTCCCTTGGCGAGACCAGCAAGGTTTTGTGGTTCATTGGTGGCAAGCACTTTGTGTGTAACGGGGTGCGACCTTATAATTAATTCGTTTGGCAACCGGAAGCCAAGGCAGCTCGGCGAACACTTTCCCTTGGTCGCCTGCTTAGTGGCGACCACTCCGTTTGCCTTGGCACAAGCGGCTGCAGTGAATCAATAAACATTGTGTTGGGTTTGGAATTGAGCCGTCTCACTGCCCACTCCATCCCCCTCCCAGCCCACCGCCTCCCCCAACCCCCATGGGCTCTGCGCCCACCTTAGTCTAACGTGATGTTTGGGGGGGGGGGGGGTAATGACAATGCCATTGAACGCAATACCCTCGCCAGTCAGAACTATCACATGTTCAATGAAAGCGCTCAACTGTTGGCATTAGTATTTCATACCTGTGATTATGCGCCTCCGATTAGCACGGTTGGCTATATACGAAAGAAGTTCAAGTTCAACATTAGTGTTCAATTTTGCCAGGGGCCCTGCGTGCATTCAGATGATCTTTATGGAGGTAGAAAGGAGACCGGGGTAGAGCACTGGGGGGGGGGGGGGGGGGGGGGGGGGGAGGGTGCCCTTTGAGCCACGCAGCCTTTTCACTGCGGTTCCACAGTCAAGGCTCCTTACCTCGTGATCCAACACGGCCGAGGTGACCTCTGCGAGAATGATTGGCAGATTATGGCCCAAATCTGATCCGCAAACTTCCTTTAAAAGTGCTTCAGGGCAATAGTGCACCATTTTTCTGATAAGTGCAAGGCTTGCTTTCCTGTTGAGAGAGAGAGCGGGGGGACGGGGGGAGATTCGGGGCTGACGTCATTTACTGATCATCGAGAAATCCGCTGACAAGTCACGACACCACCTTTCAAAATCAGTTAACAGGACGTTCAAAATAATAACGGATCGTCACAAACGTTGTTACGCTCAATTATATTCAACTACAGTCATACCTCGTTATACGGAAACACAACATACGGAATTTCGCTATTACATAACATATACATTCGGGGCTAGATTATATATACGTTATGTTAAATTTGCATACACGTAATTAAAAATCTCTAAAAAAAATCGAACAACAGTTTGTCATTTGTCCTCGTGCGCATTTCACTCTGTACTGGATTCCCGCTGCATTAGCAAGTGTAATTTGATGAAGGCCTCCAATCATACAATGCAAGTCAATGGGAACATTTGGGTTCCATAAACGGAATTTCACTGGACGGACAACTTTCCAGAAACGTATCTGTTTCGTATATTTTCGAGAGATGCCCGTACAAGGCCGGACTGAGCTGTGTTTAGAGCGCGTGATTCACAGCTGTAAAAACTCAAGTAAAGGGCCGACTTGGCCTATCATCTGTCTGGGGTTGATAAAAAAAAAGAGGACAGTCTGTTCTCCTAAAATGCGGCTTTAGTTGCGTTCCTGACGAAAACCGCTTTATGGTAAAATTGCGTGAGAATAAATAATATTTCACTGTCTGTGACAATACGAGAGATGCGTAAGCAGGCTGAACAAAAGCTGAGGCGTGCGGGCAGCATCTAGAAGCATCCCGCCTTGTGCAATGCTAGAGCTGGGGCAGCGGTACGACCGCTTAGTCCCTACTCGCGCAACGTCGTTCCATTCGCTCGATCGCGTTGTATCCAATTTGCATCCGCGTTAGAAAAATATCTATTCCCTAATACATTAATCACGTTATATCCGATTCGCGTTGTGAGAACAACACGCGTTACAGAAGAACTGACTGAACATATTTTTTGGGCAGGTCAACAGTGGTTCCTTCCGCCTGCATTGAGACCGGCACCTGCCGTATAAACGTAGAATGTCCAACAGTGGCTCTCAGGGCTCGCAGCGAAAAAAACTAGCCGGACACCGCGTGCCTCGTCAAGAGCAGTGAGAGGGGGCGTTCACACAATCACCGTCCCCCGCTGGGTTCAAGCAAACGGGAACCCACACCCCAACTGAACGGCGGCGGAGCACGTGAAACGGACGCCCTACCTCACAGAGGGCATCATCGTTTGCTGGAAGGTCTGGGCGAAGATGGGCAGCAGGCGTTTCAAGTAGACTGGCGCCATCTCTGGGTCGCCTTTGGGCTCGTTGAGTTCCTCCTCTTTGTGGCCGCAGTCCTTCTTCCTCTTCTCGTCGTCTTTATTCACGGGGCACATCCACTCACCTGATGGAACGAAGGCGCGCAAGCGACAAAAAAGTGTTAACTTTGCAGGTTGGGCAATAGGGCGCGTGCGTGCGAGTGCGTGCATGCGTGCGGATCCCATAACGCAGCGTGCATTTTCCTGCAGAAGCGTTGAGTTGGCAGGCGGGAGGGCCTGCCGGGTAGCTCACAGGGCGAAACGCGTCGGGCTCATTTAAAAATGGTCCTCCCTTGCTTTCATGGTTTGTGTCTCCAAGTTTTGGAAAAACACTTTGATCGGTTTGGCCGGTTTTCGAAAGGCGAAAGTCCCTAAATAGCAGCACAACTTTACGTTGAAGTTTATCTCACATGGAATCACATATTAAAGCTTAGGCATAAAGGTTTTCGACCTCAGTTCAAAAACTCTCAATAAAACCGTCTCATAACGCAGACACGTATGTATAAATCGGCTGACATTCGGGTGCCGAATGTTCAGGCAACTGCGCATTAACCACTGCAACGCCACTGCACCACCCGGATAAAAGGAAACAGCCCCCTCCTATGACCCGGCTTGTCAGCTTGCGTTACACGTCGGATATTCTCGAAAGAAGGCCGGCACACGCACGCACCGGGAGACTGCAGTATGGAGACCACCTCGCTGTGTCCCCTCTCCCTGGCCTTGTCCAGAGGCGTCTTCCCGTCCTCGTCACGCAGGTCTGGGTTGGCTCCGTGCCTCAGCAGGGTCTGTGCACGGAGGAACACGCCGTTGTGGTTAACTACCGCGGCACAGCGACGGCAGGAGTGGCAGCAAGTGGTCAAAGTAGCCGTGCACACAACATCGGTAAACGTTCGCCGGCTATTCACGTGGATTATGGCTCATTAAAAAGACACAGACACACGCATTGCATTGATGTGTTACACCTTTTACAGTGGCAGAAGAGGACCTCTGTATGTTGTTTTAAAGGAGCACATTTAAAGCAGCATAACAATGCTAACCTTTGCCACTTGCGGGCGACCGAAACAGGCTGCGTAGTGTAGGGAAGACGACCTCTGACCTCTATTCACATCAGCCCCTCGTTCGCACAGAAACTCCACCTAGCAGGGAGGAATGGGCGCAGGGGTCACACACAAAACGCGTCTCAGCCCTCGTGATAACTCTGCGACTGCGTCGCTGCTGTTTTGGGAGAGAGCGGCTGCACATCGCTGAGCCATTACGACCACAGATTAATCATTCACACGGAACAAACCCGGTAATGCCTCTACAATCCCAACCTAAATTTCTCGAGCCACAGCCCGTGACGACTCGGGCAACAAGGAAGTTCGTCAACAACGTTGTCGCAAGCGACCAGATGTTGCAGAACGGTGGCAAGATTTTACGTCAGATTAAGGTAATTCATTGTGGGTCTTTATTACTTACCATCTCCTGAGTGCCAAACGCAGAGGCCCAGTTCAGCAACGTCTGTCCGACATCATCCATGAAATTGACTTCAAACGCTGCGAGGAAAGACAAAGTAACATTAATAATAATGATAATAACGCTTGCATTTACATCGCAATCCACGATGTAACAAAACGTCTCGGAGCCAAAAGTTTCTTGAGCCTGGGAGATGCCCGTAATGGGCCCACACGCGAGCACTCGTCTGAAGGTTGGGGAAAACGAACTGTCAATAAGCAAATCAAGCAATCTACATTCAGCACAGCACCCTTAACATTTTAACACAACGCTTCACAGGTAAAGATAAACAAATTAAAGTTGCACAAAACAATAAAAAGTACACACAGAGATCGTAAAATACATCTTTAGCCCGATTTTAAAACCCTCAACAGCTTCCTTATCAGATGGTGTTCACGGTGCACTCCACATTAACACAACGTCCAAAAGCTACACGAAAACCATCCAACTCTCTTGATCCGTGCTATGGCGAAAAAGGCAGCCGCACAACAGCCACCAAACGGGCGCAGCCCCCAACGCCCGGGAAACACTCGCAGCTACGACGGCGACGGCGCCCGGCTCACCGCCCGTGTCGATGGCGTCGATGAGCGCGTCCGTGTCCTTGCTGCGGATGCAGTCGATGAGCTGCCGGTGGGAGCGCTCGCCGGAGCTATCGAGCCGGCGCAGGCCGGGGATGCGGCTGCTGAGGCTCGACGTGGACTTGGGCAGCGCCCTGCGGCCCTCGAAGAGCAGCACGAGCAGCAGGTCGACGAGGCGCATCGTGTCGAGCGAGCAGCGTTCGTCGCCCTGCACCGCGCTCTCGATGGCATCCGGCAGCAACGAGCGCAGCAGGTCCTGAGACGACAAGCACAGCGACGCAAGCGCGGGGCGCGCCGAGGTCACCTGGCGCGGTTCACGGCGGGGCCAGCGGCCACGATAGAAGAGCGATAAAGAGGCGAGTGCTCCGTTGCGTCCAACCGCATCGGGCGCAGCGTGGCGGGAAACACGGGGGCGCCCCGCCCACGCGTGGCAACGGCACCGAACAGCTGGCGCGCTCACCCTGGTGACGATGGGCGAGCCGCGGCACAGGGTGGACAGGAGGCTCACGATGGTCGACACCTGGCTGACCATCTTCGAGTCCGGCGCGGCGGCGATGGCCGACGACGGGGGGCCGCGGGCGGCCTTGGGGGTGCCGGACGTGCCCGCCGCACCGCACGCCCCCGCGGACGCGAGGCGGGCGAGCAGCTCCAGGGAGAGGCCGTGCTTGGCCAGCGGCGCCGGGTCGACGCCGCGGCGAGTGAAACGGTCGGCCAGGGACGCGAAGCAGCGCAGCGCCCCGTCGGACACCTTGCCCGCGTTCAGCGGCGCGACACAGTTACAATGGCAAGCGACGTCGCGAGCATTAAACAAGGCGCGGTGCACGCAGAGAGACTGCGGCACGCAATGTACAAAAATACGTCGAGGTACATTGCTATTTGTGTGCTGAAATCGGGTTAACTGTCAGCGGTTCTCAACCGGGGGTGGTTATGCGAACCTCCAGGGGGGGCAATGGGACATTGCCACGTCGCAATATAAAATAACTACGATAACATTTGCATCCATATGGTAAACGATAGAACGGTATAAAAGACCTTTCTAAATTCATTGATCGCAAACAAAGTGGTTTCCAAGAGTAACCAGCGACAACAAGTTACGTTAAGCATGCAGAGCGTCCGTTGATTCTTTGTCCGCTTACTCGCTAGTTAGGATACCTCACAAAATGGACAACTAGTTCAAATATTGATGTTCATTCTTCACACATTAATCTCTCAGAACCATGTTGGGGAAGGCAAGGGGGGTAACTCCGTTGAAACACAATTCAATAAGGGGTACACAGTCACCATAAAAGATTGAGAACCACTGGTTAACGTAACCATTCCATCCACTCGAGGCCGCTTTATACAATAAAATATAGCGGCCTCTAGCAGATCTGCAAATGTAATCACGAGCCTGAATCATGACATTATATTGACTCACAAGGCAGGTGAATCATAAACCCAGGACCGGTTTAGACATTGCTCTCCACCGATATAAGCCGTGGCCGGGAATGAAAGTCAGCAGATTCGTGACCCACTATTCACAAACAGGAGCAACCATTCTTACTACTCACAAAGGGGCCTCCTGGTAGGAGCGCGGATATATACGTTCTCCTGCATATTTCACTCTGACCACAACCAAAGTTTAAAGTGTCGGTTAACTATTCGCTCGCTCTCGTAGAGAGGGGCGTGAGGAGGAACCATAGTACAGGTGTTATCGGGCAATGAGTGAGAGTTTATAGGTGGGAGGAAACCAGAGAAACCCCACGCGTGCGAGGTGTAAACACTATCCCCACGCGTGCGAGGTGTAAACACTATCCCATACAGACGGAACAGGTCAAGTCCACATTGTACTGCTCTCTCCTGGCGAGCCAGGTGGTACGGCACCGCCTTTACACGCACGAGAATGTACGGTGTGCTGAGCTCCTTTCGCACCGTACGCAGCCAAACGCGCTAATCGCGGGTGCGGGGGAAGGATAACAAACTAAAAGACAAAAATCAGGGAAGGGAGTTTCTCAAACATTCGAGCGGGGGATCCACGACCCCCGCTGCAGCCGCCTCCAAGGCGACGCATTGCAGACAGGCACGCGAGCGCAGCCACCGCCGGCACGGCCGCGTTTGCGTTGCATCCATCACCGTAAGAGAGGGAGGGCGAGCGGGCGAGCGATTGAGCGAGCGAGCGGGCGAGCGAGGCAGCCGCCACCGCACCTGTGGGTCCTCATGCTTGAGCATGACGGAGAGGGCTTCGACGCAGGACTCGAGCGAAGCGTCGTGCGGCTCCATCTTGCTGCACAGCCGCGACACCACCGCCATGGCCGAGTGCAGTGTGTCCTTGTGCACCAGGTGGCCCGAGTCGCGGATGAACTGGAGGACGCAGCTCAGCCCACCGGCCTCGAACACGGCGCCCGACTCCCGAGTGCAAATCAGTTCCAGCACCTGGGGGGGGGGGGGGGTGGGGTGGGGTGCAGCAGCAGGGGAGACGCGCTGATGAAGTCGCAAGCTCGGTTCATCGTTTTAAGCACAAAGGGGTGGGGGGAGGGGAAGCTCTTCCTTGCCGAGGGCCCATTTCGCCACGGTTGGAGAGATGTTAATTACCTCGCCTGGTATACAGGAGGTCATGGGCTCGATCCCGACCCTGACCCCTGCTGCTGCTGTATATTTGGAGTTTGCGTGTCTCTCTCTCATCATCATCAGAGTGGCTAGGAGATGTTAACTACCTCGCCTGGTATACAGGAGGTCGTGGGCTCGATCCCGACCCTGACACCTGCTGCTGTATATTTGGAGTTTGCGTGTCTCTCTCTCATCATCATCAGAGTGGCTATGAGATGTTAACTACCTCGCCTGGTATGCAGGAGGTCGTGGGCTCGATCCCGACCCTGACACCTGCTGCTGCTGTATATTTGGAGTTTGCGTGTCACGTCGATTTTTTCTCTGGGTCCTCCAGTTTTTCCCCTCCACATTTTATAATCAACATCACGCGTTTAGAGTATTTGGCTGCTATACATTTCCACACGTTAAACCACTTCGTCGACCTATCAATTGTGATAGCCAGGTCTGAAAAAGCTACACAGCTCAGTGGGCCTTACCTGGCAAGATACAAATAGTAAGTTAGCGACTTGTTTATTTATAATTTTATTTTCTTTGTTATCCAATAGAGCCGCACCGAGTCTTCCTAGAGGGTCCACCTCCTTGAGAGAGAGAGAGACAATGACCACCTCATGAACAATCACATGGCCACCAAAGTCAAACCATCCTACTTAAGCTCCAACTGAGAAAACACACAACTCGGCGCGCACAAAAATTACCCAATTTATTCAAAGAACGCAAGTGCGAAACATTACACTTGAGGAAATGCGGTTTCCCCAAGTTAGTCAGCAACGTATATGCCAAACAACGCATAATGACGCTATTCCGAGCGTGGGATTCCTGTATTGCTCATCAAGTGAGCTGACTTGTTGCGTCAGGCAGGCTCCGAGTGCTCTGCTCGTAAACTAAGACTTCGTCGAGTTACTGCACAAGGCATAGTTCGCGAGCAGGACCGCTCGCAAGTGAACTTTGCGTCGTGCAATAAACGAGTTTTTCAACATTATTATTATAGCGCTCCTATGCATGCTGCGAGCTGCATTATGATGACAATGCACATCTTCAATCGTGCTTATGATGTAGAAACATTTAGTTGATTTGAAAAACCAAATCAATTGGCATATTTGCCCACGTGACAACTTAATTTGACTGCCTATGTCAGGCGGTGGAGCATTCAATAAAAACAATTTTTATTATATTTGCACACCAACCCAAAATAATCTAAATATGAATCCCGTGAAACCAAGCTGGCCATGTTAGCCACTACTATGCCGGGCTACTTATACGGCAACGGGGGCCACAGAGTGGAATGAGATGGGACAAATGAGACAGAAAATGCAAATGGGATGATGAAGACAAAACAAAAACGGATGGATTACCTAGCTAAGGTGCGACACAGGACCAGCGATGATTCCTCGTACGCCACGGAGCAAGTCAGGCACTCGGCATATGCTTAGCTCACACCCAGTGCTGGGGTGGGGCCCTGCGGTGGTGAGATGTTAACTACCTCGCCTGGTATACAGGAGTTCGTAGGCTCAATGCCGACCCTGCCGCCTGTTCTCCCCAAGGTGGCGTGGATATTTTCTCCGGGGCCCTCTGGTTTTCTTTCCCTCCACATTTCGAATGAACATGCGTCTGGAGTGTTTGGCTACTGCTATCAATTTCCACACGATAAGGCCACCTGGTTGAGCTATCATTTGTAATTGCCAGGTCACTTCTGAAAAAGAGCTACATAGCTCAGTAGGCCCTTACATGTAAAAATAAAACATAATTAAATTGTTTAGTTTAAATGCCAATTTGAGCAGGAAATTACTTTGAGGGAGGGGGGGGAGGACTCGCCCACCCTCCCCCCCATCATCAACATACCTCCGTGGGCCTGTACAAGTCGATGTGAAAAATCAATGTTGTTGGTCTAAATGAGATACTGGACCCTTGCCAACAGGGGCAGGAAGAATATGAGCGCTGCCTCTCCCCCTCCCCACCCACCCCCCAAACACGCACGGAGAGTACAGACGAACTCTGAAGAGAGTTTAAGAATGTAACACAAACACAGAGCGCCACGAAGTTCATCGCAACGATAAAATTATTCCCCATTTATCAAACGAGTCGAGGGTCGGTCACGTTGTGCGGAGAGTCAAGAAGGCGTTTTCGTGAACAATAAAGCTGGGGCAATGAAGCCAACCGTGGTGACCGCACATAACCAAAGGACCAAGTGGAACTTCAGTGACGAACCCAATCCTAGTACTCGGTGGGATTTTTTGTTGTTTGGTGAAGTCACCGGAGACCAGGCTGAGGTCATCAGCTCGCTACATTTGAGAACCCAGTTTAACCACGGGCTGACTCAAAAAGCCAGGCATCAGTGGAACTGTCCAACAATGAGGGGCCATTCGTGGTGTCGCGAGCACTACGCCAGTCCTCATTGGGCATTTCACTTTGTCAATTCACGCGAGGGCGCTACTTCCGCGCAAGACGTTATGATGTTACTGACATTGTCATCCAAATGCAGGGCCCTTTGTCAATCCACTGCTGGATGATGAGGGCATCCCCCATGCCGGCAGGGTTGATTGACCATACTGCTCAAAGCTGGTCACAAGTGTGGAGTGGTAAAAGTGTTCGGAGGGGGGGGGGGGGGGGGGACGGGGGGGGGTGGTGCGCAGGACTGGTTCGGAAATGGCCCGGTTTGCCATGCTCGCCTCTCAATCTGCCTCCCGCTGTTGCGCAATCACCGAACTTTAACGGTAAACAAACGAGCTCGATGTTAATAACCCGACACCCTACGCGTCACAGGCGCGGGCGCGTGTGCCAGGCGGGCTATCGTCTCGTGACTACTACGCATGGAAGAGGCCGGCAATATTAATATAGTCGGTGAGAGAGCACGTCGGGACATGCCCTTTGAGTTTCACAAGCAAGAGACGTTCAGCTACACACGAAAGTACAGTCATCACCGTCACCATCAAGTAAACGTACGATACGCGTACGGTACGTGTCCAGCCCTTTGTCAATCCACTGCTGGATGAGGCCATTCCCCCCCCCACCACCACCACCATGCAGGTGGTGGGGGTGTGATTGGACCACACTTCAGGCGTGAGAACATAGACGTACAGTACAAAAATGTGATTTCATGCACTGCCTGCTGACGATACCAGCTCACAAAATGGATTACCGCAGCGATAACAGCAGCCACCATTTGCCACCGAGTAACGGTGACGTCACCACAGGCCGCTTGTGCCAGGCCAGGTGCACTTTGAGGCCGCATAATGTGTCTGAAGCTTGCTAGCAGGGGGGCACGGGACAGACCAGAAACAAAGACAAAGATCCCCCATAAATCCTTAACAGACTGTTGGGAAAGTGCTGTTCGAGAGCACCTATGAAGGCCAGGAAAGCACAACGAGGGGGTGGGGCAGACAGCACCATGCCCGGGCCTCCTTTGTCTCCCCGGTAGCGATGTTTGCACACCACACGAGGTGCCAATTAGAGGCCGAGTCGACCTCAGGGAGGGCCCAGGACCCGTTCAGATATTCGTCACCGATGTTGGCCGTGAGCGGGAATTAAAAAAACTCGGGTTGTTGGTTTCGTAGCGCGGTGCACGAACTGCTGCACTACGGCTCGCACCACGCACGCGCACGCACACCACTCACTGATCTCTACAGCCCGCGAGTGAACACCCATTAAAGGCCAATGTGTTACACACAAGCACTCATCACACACAAAGTGCTTGCCACAAATGAACCACAATACCTCGCTGAACTCGTCAAGGAGCGTGAACCATCACGCAAACTCCGGTCATCCTCGCAGCGACTTTTGGCGAACCGTCGAACAAAGACGGTCACCGCATCGCACGCGCTCAGATGCGCTTCTTACGGACGTCTGGAACGTTCTTCCTCAACGACATTATAAAGCCACTGGAGCTATGCACTTTGAATGTAGATTAAAAAATTTGAATGTAGATTAAAAAACGAATTTCTTGAGGACTGCTTTTGGTGTTAGCTTGTAGTCCTTTCCCCGCACCTCCGATTAGCACGGTTGAATACGTATGGTGCGAAAGAAGTTCAACATACATACATAGCGCAACCTTGCACGGTGATATCACAGAGCACGGTTAGAGCACACTGTGATGCCACAACTTAAAATAAACATTTCGGTGATGATGGGGAATATAAATGACACCAATAAGCAGCCAAAACGTCTCCCTCAATCATCTATCTCTAGCCATATAGAAAATAAAATGTATTTCTTACACAACCCATCAGTCACACAGCCTTTTGGAAGTGCATCATTGTCTCCCTCTGGGAGTAGATAATTGTGAGCCACGTAAATGGAAGATCAAGGACTCGCCAAACTGCGAATGCTGTCAGGTGCTAACCATCAGCCGTCAATCACTGATAACTGCCCCTGGTGAAACAAGCGGACTCCTAACAGCTACCCCAATACAACACTAAAATTCTGGTGGAACAAGGAGATTCCACACAGCCACCCCAATATAACACTACAATTCTGGTGGGAACAAGCCGACTCCACTCAGCTGCCCCAATACAACACCCGAATTCTGGTAGGAAAGCATACTCTACTCAGCTACCCCAACGCAACATTCAAGTTCTGGTGGAATAAGCAGACTCCACACAGCTACCCCAACGCAACATTCAAATTCTGGTGGAACAAACAGACTCTACACACAGCTACCCCAATACAACACTAATTCTGGTGGAACAAACAGACTCTACACACAGCTACCCCAATACAACACTCAAATTCTGGTGGAACAAACAGACTCTACACACAGCTACCCCAATACAACACTAATTCTGGTGGAACAAACAGACTCTACACAGCTACCCCAATACAACACTCAAATTCTGGTGGAACAAACAGACTCTACACACAGCTACCCCAATACAACACTAATTCTGGTGGAACAAACAGACTCTACACACAGCTACCCCAATACAACACTCAAATTCTGGTGGAACAAACAGACTCTACACACAGCTACCCCAATACAACACTCAAATTATGGTGGAACAAGCGGAATCTACACACAGCTACCCCAATACAACACTTAAATTCTGGTGGAACAAACACAATCTGCACACAGCTACCCCAATACAACACTCAAATTCTGGTGGAACAAACAGACTCTACACAGCTACCCCAATACAACACTCAAATTCTGGTGGACCAGACTCTACACAGCCACCCCAATACAACACTCAAATTCTGGTGGAACAAACAGACTCTACACACAGCTACCCCAATACAACACTAATTCTGGTGAAACAAACAGACTCTACACACAGCTACCCCAATACAACACTCAAATTCTGGTGGAACAAGCAGACTCCATACAGCTACCCCAATACAACACTCAAATTCTGGTGGAACAAGCGGACTCGACACACAGCTGCCCCGAATGCCATGGAATGGCTACAAGATTCAACGTACAATGTGACCCGCTGTTCTATACAAACGCCACACAGAAGAAGAAGAAGACAACTGTGATGTCATATATCAAATTTTTACATCAGGCTAATGGTCAGAATGGAAAAGAATGAAACAAGGAGAACCAGACGCCACAAAACGTACAAATGAGGTGGAACAAGACCGCATGCACGAGGCGGACAATACATAGAAGACGAACAGCAGAGTACAAACAAAATGGAACAACACAAACAAGATGGTGGAAACAAAAGAACGCTTTATGAATCGAACGGCAACCCCCCAAATTTGTGACAATTCATTGCTCATCGCGCGTGGTAGCGGGGGGCCGTGTGAACCGTTAAGCGGTGCCAATTTGGTGGCACACGTGGCCTGTAATCCAGCACTGTGAAGGCAGTAGCGAAGGTTGGCGGATCACCACACGAATGTCCTGAAACTCCCTTCCCGCAGATGTCGCGGAGGTGCCAGAAGGCAGTACCAGCTCGCGAACTAATCGCCATCTAGTTCCATCCATGCGGGGATAGAGTGTTGCCCCCTCGCGCGTGCGAGTTTTCTCCGGGTGCTCCGGTTTCCTCTCCCTTAAAAAAAGTTCATTAAATCGGGCAAAAATGTTTTCAAAATATTAATCAAATAAACCCAATGCAGGACCCTATTAAAAAACAAAAAAAAGAGTCCTACACCCTTTCCTGGGTATTTAAGTAAACTTCCGGAGACCGCGCGAGCAGCCTCGCGTCCTACCTTGACGCACTGCTCGGCGAGATCGCGGCTGGTGCGGTTGTTGAGCTCCACCACGATCAGACGGTTGCACAGAGCTTTGATGGCACCGTCCACGGCCACAATGCGGCGCGTGCATTCGGCGGAGACGTCCAGGTAGTAGGTGATCGCTCGGGCGGTCACCTCCAAAACATTGTCCGGCGCGCACTCGTCCAGGAAGATCCTGCACAGGGCCGGCAGGAATGTCCTAGGAGGACATCTGAAAGCGAAGAGAAGTTAAACAATGTTACGTTCATAATAAAGGTTTGTTTGGGTTAGATCGCATCGTCGGATGATGCCGGATGTAATTACCAGCGAAACGTTGTACTCAAATTGTAAATATTCTTTGGGTCTTTCGGTAAAGCCACGTAGATAGAAAAATTATAAAAATAACAACAATATCACGACGTTTCGATCGCAACACGAGCAATCGTCATCAGGTGAATAATATAGTGGGAGTGCTGCTAAGGCAGGAAAAAATATATGGCGGGAGCGCTGCTAAGGCAGGGAGTTATAAAGGTTTGAGATGGGTGTAGCTCAAGGGTCAGTGGGCGGGGCTAGAGATTAAATTTGCATGTAAATGTAAGATCGGAGAAATCTTGACAAACGAAGCTGTGGGGGTGGCCATTATATTGTGAGAGATTAGCATGTCAATGTAAGAGATTAGCATGTCAATGTAAGAGATTAGCATGTCAATGTAAGAGATTAGCATGTCAATGTAAGAGATTAGCATGTCAATGTAAGAGATTAGCATGTCAATGTAAGAGATTAGCATGTCAATGTAAGAGATTAGCATGTCAATGTAAGAGATTAGCATGTCAATGTAAGAGATTAGCATGTCGATGTAAGAAATTTGCTTGTAAATGTAAGCTCGAAGAGAGCTCGGAAAGAGCCATCACCACACGGAGGAGGACAAGGATGGCAAGCCGCCATTTACTAACACAGCTAACGGTGGCTGTGTTAGTGAATGTAACTCAGAGAGTCGAAAATAACTACGAACATAGGTAGGTAGGAAGGGAACAACACAGCCGGTTATGACCTAAACTGATTAATAACGTCCTTCCAATGATTGCTCAGTTAGTACCCATCGTCTCGGTTGAAATTGTGTCTGTGTTTATATATCTGGATGGCTTCATGAACAAATCTTTGCCGATAGCCAGTGGGTTTGCAGAGTACCTTCGTCTTGGCCTGACCCAACATGGTCCCGAGATATAAACGTATGCATAATGAACATCAATATATTTAACCAATTGTCCATTTTGTGAGGTATCCTAACTCGCTAGTAACTGCAAGCGGATGAAAACTAATTCAACGGACGCTCTGAATGCGTAATGTAATTTATTCGCACTTGCTGGTTACTCTAGGAAATCACAGTTTTAGATCAGTGAGTTGAGAAAGGTCTTTAATATCCTTCGAGGTTACCATATGGATACATTATTTATCGTAGTTATTATATATTGGCAAATTCATACTTGATTATTATTCACCAATGACTCTCATGCATGACATAATTTTACGCATTTATAAAGCACCTCACGTACCCCCTGGGCATTGCCACGTACCCCCACGGAGTCCGCGTCCCCCCCAAGTTGAGAAACACTGGACTAGGGGACTTCAAATGTGTTTCACGACACGACAATTTATGGCGATATCAGTTTCCCAAAACGTTGCAATTGTTATAAAAAAAGTTATAGTGGCTGGCGCGCCCGTGTGCCGTGATGATGTCACCCGCATCCCACACCGTTGGAGCCTGGTTCATCCATCGCACTGGTGTCATCACGGCTCACTCCCACCCACTCTCCAATGACCCTTCTTCACAGCATATTCATAGAACACAAAGAAGAGCCTCATTTCCCATAATGTCACCTATTATATATCCATAGAGGTTTTTTTGGGTTAGATCGTGTAAATATGTCGTTAAACCCGCCATCACCCAACACAGACAATTAGTAAGGCGCGTCACGTGCACAGAAAATGCCAATTCCTTACCAGTGTGTTGGAGAGCAAAGCCACAACATTTACAATCAAATACTGTCGAAACGTCATACTCAGATTGTAAATGTTGTGGATTTGCCCCTCCAACACACCGGTGTGCTGTACTGGTAACGAATTGGCACGTTCTGTTGAAGTGACAACCCTTACTAATTGGCTGTGTCGGGTGGTGGTGGTGGTGGTTTTAATGAAACATTTATATATTTATGCAATCTAACCCAAAAAAAACCTATATTATGGATGATATTGGTCGTGAAAGCCTATGTGTTAAACTAACCTATTATACTCTTTGGTTATATTCGGTAAAGTCACGTAGGTCCCTTCACCTGATGAAGGCCACTTGTGTTGTGGCCGAAACGTCGTGATTTTTTTTTTTACCTACGTGACTTTACCGAATAGAACCAAAAAGCATGGATCCTTGCAGCCACGAAAGCTTCAAATCTATAACCTATTATATATATTTGTTCATCATTCAAGGCCACAGTGCTATTAAAAAAATGTGTTGCGTTTTATTTGCGAGTCAGGGCCCTAGCTCACCCACATGAGCCCGCAATGCCCAACGCGCGCGCACGTGCGCTTGCATGTTTCCATGCAACACATTTCTGTGTGCAGGTCATATCCCCCGACAAATCCGAGGCTCCCTGAATAGACTGCCTCTCCAGATTGTTTTTTTTTCCAATGTGCACCACGTGTGCTTGTGGAGCTATGTGGTATGTGGAACTATGTGGCATGTGGAGCAACGTGGTATGTGGAGCAACGTGGCATGTGGAGCAACGTGATATGTGGAGCCGGGCATGGTGGCCCATGCCCCCCACGCTCCAACGTTTGAAGCCAATGGTTGATCGATCGTGCTGACCTGTAAAATTCCCGAACACGCTGGCCCTAATGTACAAGGTGTTCGACATTTAGCAGTACAGCAAGTGGGTTATTTAACACAAATTTCGATGGATTTTGAGCGTTACAACCCAGTACGACGGAGCCCTATATTTGCAAGCGTTTCCAAATCCTCGAACACATAACGCTCCACAATCGATTCGGCTAAACATAAATTCAGGACCCTCATGAAAGTCTGGAGACTCAGGAAGTACCATATCTCTGAAAAATGTGCGAAATTAAAAACACGACAATTAAGGTTTACAATAAATTAATATTTGACCATTCAAACAGAATGAATCTGCTGCATCACAAACTTAAGCTAAGCCTGGACTATCGAAATACAGTAGTTTCATGAATTATTCAATTCCAACGTAACCAGCAAGATTATACAGACTGCAAAGTTGCAATGATTAAAGGACGTAAGTCAGGCGTATGTGGAGTGAACTGCAGATTAAGATAATTCTCGTATATCTTTATTCATAGTGAAAGCATAACAAAGGACAAAAACAAGACAATAAAAAAACACAATGCAATCACAGAATTATTGAATAATGGCATTGCGATAATCTTTCATTACGTTAAAACTGATATTGTACCTAACACGTCGTATTGACAGTGAATGGGTTGGCGGCAGGAAACGGGGAGAGGGGGGCGTGACGGAAGGTGGCAGCACAGACCGCGAGGGATGGTGACGGCATGGGAAGGCCTTCAGCCGGCAGTTGATTTTTTTTATCTCTGTTGCCCAGCACAGGTCCAAAGGTCCAAATTGTCAGGCAAGCGACAATAAACTGCTGCACGTGTAATGCAAAAGAGCAAATATGTCTGTTTAACCCGTAGGCTTTCACGACCAATATTATCCATAATAAAGTTTTTTTTGGGTTAGATCTCATAAATGTTTCACTTCTTCACAATTCTCGCTATCACCTGATGAAGCTGGCTGTTATCACCAGCGAAATGTCGTACTCGAATTGCAAATGTTGTGGGTTTACTCTCCAACACACCGGTGTGCTGAAGCAGTAACTAATTGTCACATTTTGTTGACGTGACAAACCTTTACTAATTGGCTGTAATATGCTCCTTGACGAGAGTGGCAACAACGGACGAGGACAGACAACAGAAAGGCGATGGCAGAAGGGGGCAACGATGATCGTATCGTCAAAACAAAAACACACACGACATCGCAGCGCGGGCGGGGCCCACTCACGTCTCGAAGCAGCGGTCGACGTTGTCGGACATGAGCAGCAGCATGCACAGCTGCTCCAGGGCGATGAGCTGCATGTCCCTCTCGTCACCCTGGCCCATGTGCAGCCACTCGAGCAACGTGTCCGGGTCCACCTCCGCCATGCTGTCGTTCCCCAGCGGCCGCCCGCCCGCAACGCCCTGGGCACATGGAGCGAGACAGAGAGCTGTGAGCGGAGAGTGTGCGGTCAGCATCACGGAGGGAAGTGGTCATCACGGTAAAGGGTGGACTGCTGCCACCACAGGTGACAAATCGTCGCTAAGACTCCTTCCTTCTCTGCCCGATCCCAAAGCAACTGTTGCTTCCTCTTGGTACAGGCGACATGTCCGTCAAGGATGGCTCTTACGGTCTTGCATCAACACCGTCACCTGTTCTTTGGTTTTCCTACTCCATGGCAACCTCGTTAGATCTAATCCTGATTAAAGTCTCAACCACCACCACCACCACCCACTGGCTCAAGGTTTTCACTTGTTAGAGGCAACACATGCTTCAAGGACTTTTCTTATACAGTTCACCAAACCCCCTGATGTTAGTTCATCCGTTTATTCGTTAATATATATCAAGGACTGCTCTTACAGTTTCAACAATTCCACCACCTGGTCTTAGGCCTTTCTATATTCAAGTTAAAGTTTACTTTGTTTGACCAGGTGAGATCTCAAAGAGACCAGGATAAGCCTCGTTTGCAAGGTGACCTAGGCATTCGTTTGCCAGTAAGCAGGCAATGATTGCTGTGTATAATCCCAACTGAGCAACTTGCCGGGGTAATTTTTTTATTTGGTAAAAGTGGACCCTCACGGCCTCCTCTTGCGAATTACGTCAGGGGATCTTTAACGTCCAGCGAGTTAACCAGAAGTCCCCTCGCATCACGACAGTTATTAGACACCACAGTATATATGTATATTGAACGTCTTTCGCAACGTACGCAGCCAACCGTGATAATCGGATGCGTGGTAATAATCAGGGCAGGCAGCCGCTGGATTCGAACAGTAAACCTCTGCAACGAGCGGCGGACGCACTATCGCTGGGCTGCGTCACCACCCCATTTAGAACGCACGTCCTGCGAGGACTGACTCTGGTCTCATTACCACCACACCACCACCACCCGGCTTCAGCTCCTCCCTGTGTTACAGTCGACACGTCCCTCAAGGACCACTCGTGCACCAATAATTGCTTTTGGGTCTAACCCCTTGTTATACAGCAGAAAGCATGTTCTCTTACAGCATTGACAGCAGCACGCAATAAGATTTTGGGACCGAACAATTTGCCGTCCAATTTTGACATTATGATGTGATTCATAATAAAGGTTTTTGGGTTAGATCGCGTTATTTATAAATGTGTCGTAACCCTCCACCACCCGACACGGCCAATCAGCAAAAAAGTGTCACGTTGACAAAAGACAAATAGTTCACTACTTTAGCCCACCGGTGTGTTGAAGAGTGAATCCACAACATTTACAGTTTGAGTACGACGTTTCGCTGGTAATTCCATCCAGCATCATCGGGCAATTCGCCAGAATGGTTAAAAAACTGTAAATGTTGTGGATTCACTCTTCAACACACCGGTGGGCTAAAGTAGTGAACTATTTGTCTTTCGTCAACGTGACACGTTTTTTGCTGATTGGCCGTGTCGGGTGGTGGAGGGTTACGACACATTTATAAATAACGCGATCTAACTCAAAAACCTTTATTATGAATAATATTGGTCGCGAAAACCTACGTGTTAAACTGATTATGATGTGAATTGATTCTAATTTCTGGCAGCAAGAAAATACAATAATACCTTAAAGTCATGGGTAAATTTATACATATACTGTACAATCTGTAATGCTCACTTATGGAGTTACGCATAGAGTCTTCAATTCTAACTGCCATGTTACTCTGGTCTAATGTACAAAAACGTGGTCTTACAAACCTAAGTGGGAATCTTTGAAAAATCGTGACTTCAAACATTTTTTGAACCTGAAACGCAAAATAAACCCTTCCCGTTCGCCACTGTGATGGATTCACATTTGTTGCAATTGAGCACGTTCTGGTACCGAAGTTAATTTCCGTAAGTTAATGTATTGCCCAAGCACCTGCTTTGGAGGCTATGATGCAAGTACTATGTTGAGCTTCTTTCAGCACCGTACATAGCCAACCGTCCAAATCTTATACCGGTGTCCAAAGTTGACATCTCCATCTGTTTCTATCTGCACGGAGATAGACTGATATCACTCTTTGCGCATTACGAGTTTTCTACTGGTGCTCTGGTTTCCTCCCACTTGTATAAACACCGGTCATTAATTGACTAAAATATCTTTAACAATTATTAAATCCAGGACCTTCCTGAAAAGGAGGGTAAATAAGTAACTGTTATTAATATTAATATATTTCGATTTAAAGCTTTCGTGACTGCAAGGATTCATCTTCTTTGGTTCTTTCGGTAAAGTCACGTAGAATAAGAATAAAGTAATAAAATAATAAAATTCTCACGACGTTTCCGCCACAACACAAGTGGCCTTCTTCAGGTGAAAGGAACAAACCTGTCAGGAGGACGACAAAGCTACAATCTGTCAAATAAGAGTATTAATATATATTTACTATCTCCTAAATATGTTAAATAACACTCTTCTCTACGAAGACCATGTAATAATAACGATTCCTATGACATGGCCAATCATTACTTTACAAGGGTGCCGCGTAACTGACTTTTGAGATTTTCCCTCGACCTTTCTGGCACTTTTTATAGTCCATGGACAACTGCAGAAATTGGTAACCTCTTTTTTAGGTAGCAAAACTTTCGTCGTACCGATATATTTAAGCACTTAAGAAGAGTAAATTACTTGTGATTTGTTTAACCTTCAACGTGACTTTACCGAAAGAACCAAGAATATAGTAAATTACTTGGTAACCCACTCAGTTTAAGTGGTTATCACATAATTAACTGCTTGTTGGAAAACAGAAAGAAATTGGAACCACGAATGTGTTCCACCCCAGGTGGTACCGACAAGTGAAATGTCTGGTCTGGGCTGATGGAATGATTATTGCAAAGGGCACTCGATCCTCCTTGCGAATCTCCACAGACAGCCATGTCAGCGTCTCCACCACACGCCTCTATCCTGGTTCCCCTCTTACCTCTCAGCCCACAACCCTCCATGCCCAAATGAGGACTGCCTCTGAGAAACCCCCGTGCTGAGTTGTGACATAAGGCTCCATCCTAGGCCCCCTCTCGACTCAATATATCTCCTCCCTCTTGTCAACATCATCTCCCTTCCACACACTCTCCTTACCTCTCCCCTTCATCTCACTCTACTCCCCTCCACACACTACCTTACCTGTCCCATCTCACTCTACTCTACTCCACACACTACCTCACCTGTCCCATCTCACTCTACTCCACACACTACCTCACCTGTCCCATCTCACTCTACTCCACACACTACCTCACCTGTCCCATCTCACTCTACTCCACACACTACCTCACCTGTCCCATCTCACTCTACTCCACACACTACCTCACCTGTCTCATCTCACTCTACTCCACTCCACACACTACCTCACCTGTCCCATCTCACTCTACTCCACACACTACCTCACCTGTCCCATCTCACTCTACTCCACACACTACCTCACCTGTCCCATCTCACTCTACTCCACACACTACCTCACCTGTCCCATCTCACTCTACTCCACACACTACCTCACCTGTCCCATCTCACTCTACTCCACACACTACCTCACCTGTCTCATCTCACTCTACTCCACTCCACACACTACCTCACCTGTCCCATCTCACTCTACTCCACACACTACCTCACCTGTCCCATCTCACTCTACTCCACACACTACCTCACCTGTCCCATCTCACTCTACTCCACACACTACCTCACCTGTCCCATCTCACTCTACTCCACACACTACCTCACCTGTCCCATCTCACTCTACTCCACACTACCTCACCTGTCCCATCTCACTCTACTCCACACACTACCTTACCTGTCCCATCTCACTCTACTCCACACACTACCTCACCTGTCCCATCTCACTCTACTCCACTCCACACTACGTCACCTGTCCCATCTCACTCTACTCCACTCCACACACTACCTCACCTGTCTCATCTCACTCTACTCCACACACTACCTCACCTGTCCCATCTCACTCTACTCCACACTACCTCACCTGTCCCATCTCACTCTACTCCACACACTACCTCACCTGTCCCATCTCACTCTACTCCGCACACTACCTCACCTGTCCCATCTCACTCTACTCCACACTACCTTACCTGTCCCATCTCACTCAACTCCACACACTACCACACCTGTCCCATCTCACTCTACTCCACACACTACCTCACCTGTCCCATCTCACTCTACTCCACACTACCTCACCTGTCCCATCTCACTCTACTCTACACGCTACCTCACCTGTCCCATCTCACTCTACTCTACACGCTACCTCACCTGTCCCATCTCACTCTACTCCACTCCACACTACCTCACCTGTCCCATCTCACTCTACTCCACTCCACACACTACCTCACCTGTCCCATCTCACTCTACTCCACACACTACCTCACCTGTCCCATCTCACTCTACTCCCCTCCACACACTACCTCACCTGTCCCATCTCACTCTACTCCTCACTACCTCACCTGTCCCATCTCACTCTACTCCACACACTACCTCACCTGTCCCATCTCACTCTACTCCACACACTACCACACCTGTCCCATCTCACTCTACTCTACTCCACACACTACCTCACCTGTCCCATCTCACTCCACTCCACACACTACCTTACCTGTCCCATCTCACTCTACTTCACACTACCTCACCTGTCCCATCTCACTCTACTCCACACACTACCACACCTGTCCCATCTCACTCTACTCCCCTACACACGCTATTTCACCTGTCCCATCTCACTCTACTCCACTCCACATGCTATCTCACCTGTCCCATCTCACTCTACTCCACACACTACCTCACCTGTCCCATCTCACTCTACTCCCCTCCACACGCTACCTCACCTGTCCCATCTCACTCTACTCCCCTCCACACACTACCTCACCTGTCCCATCTCACTCTACTCTACTCCACACACTACCTCACCTGTCCCATCTCACTCTACTCCACACACTACCTCACCTGTCTCATCTCACTCTACTCCACTCCACACACTACCTCACCTGTCCCATCTCACTCTACTCCACACACTACCTCACCTGTCCCATCTCACTCTACTCCACACACTACCTCACCTGTCCCATCTCACTCTACTCCACACACTACCTCACCTGTCCCATCTCACTCTACTCCACACACTACCTCACCTGTCCCATCTCACTCTACTCCACACTACCTCACCTGTCCCATCTCACTCTACTCCACACACTACCTCACCTGTCCCATCTCACTCTACTCCACTCCACACACTACCTCACCTGTCTCATCTCACTCTACTCCACACACTACCACACCTGTCTCATCTCACTCTACTCCACACACTACCTCACCTGTCCCATCTCACTCTACTCCACACACTACCTCACCTGTCCCATCTCACTCTACTCCACACTACCTCACCTGTCCCATCTCACTCTACTCCACACACTACCTCACCTGTCCCATCTCACTCTACTCCACACTACCTCACCTGTCCCATCTCACTCTACTCCACACGCTACCTCACCTGTCCCATCTCACTCTACTCCACTCCACACTACCTCACCTGTCCCATCTCACTCTACTCCACTCCACACACTACCTCACCTGTCCCATCTCACTCTACTCTACTCCACACACTACCTCACCTGTCCCATCTCACTCTACTCCACACACTACCTCACCTGTCTCATCTCACTCTACTCCACTCCACACACTACCTCACCTGTCCCATCTCACTCTACTCCACACACTACCTCACCTGTCCCATCTCACTCTACTCCACACACTACCTCACCTGTCCCATCTCACTCTACTCCACACACTACCTCACCTGTCCCATCTCACTCTACTCCACTCCACACTACCTCACCTGTCCCATCTCACTCTACTCCACACACTACCTTACCTGTCCCATCTCACTCTACTCCACACTACCTCACCTGTCCCATCTCACTCTACTCTACACGCTACCTCACCTGTCCCATCTCACTCTACTCTACACGCTACCTCACCTGTCCCATCTCACTCTACTCCACTCCACACTACCTCACCTGTCCCATCTCACTCTACTCCACTCCACACTACCTCACCTGTCCCATCTCACTCTACTCCACACGCTACCTCACCTGTCCCATCTCACTCTACTCCACACTACCTCACCTGTCCCATCTCACTCTACTCCACACACTACCTCACCTGTCCCATCTCACTCTACTCCACACTACCTCACCTGTCCCATCTCACTCTACTCCACACACTACCTCACCTGTCCCATCTCACTCTACTCCACTCCACACACTACCTCACCTGTCCCATCTCACTCTACTCTACTCCACACACTACCTCACCTGTCCCATCTCACTCTACTCCACACACTACCTCACCTGTCTCATCTCACTCTACTCCACTCCACACACTACCTCACCTGTCCCATCTCACTCTACTCCACACACTACCTCACCTGTCCCATCTCACTCTACTCCACACACTACCTCACCTGTCCCATCTCACTCTACTCCACTCCACACTACCTCACCTGTCCCATCTCACTCTACTCCACTCCACACACTACCTCACCTGTCCCATCTCACTCTACTCTACTCCACACACTACCTCACCTGTCCCATCTCACTCTACTCCACTCCACACTACCTCACCTGTCCCATCTCACTCTACTCCACACACTACCTTACCTGTCCCATCTCACTCTACTCCACACTACCTCACCTGTCCCATCTCACTCTACTCTACACGCTACCTCACCTGTCCCATCTCACTCTACTCTACACGCTACCTCACCTGTCCCATCTCACTCTACTCCACTCCACACTACCTCACCTGTCCCATCTCACTCTACTCCACACGCTACCTCACCTGTCCCATCTCACTCTACTCCACACTACCTCACCTGTCCCATCTCACTCTACTCCACACACTACCTCACCTGTCCCATCTCACTCTACTCCTCACTACCTCACCTGTCCCATCTCACTCTACTCCACACACTACCTCACCTGTCCCATCTCACTCTACTCCACACTACCTCACCTGTCCCATCTCACTCTACTCCACACACTACCACACCTGTCCCATCTCACTCTACTCCCCTCCACACGCTACCTCACCTGTCCCATCTCACTCCACTCCACACACTACCTCACCTGTCCCATCTCACTCTACTCCACACACTACCTCACCTGTCCCATCTCACTCCACTCCACACACTACCTCACCTGTCCCATCTCATTCTACTCTACTCCACTCTACTCCCCTCCACACGCTACCTCACCTGTCTCATCTCACTCTACTCCACACACTACCTCATCTGTCCCATCTCACTCTACTCCCCTCCACACACTACCACACCTGTCCCATCTCACTCTACTCCACACACTACCTCACCTGTCCCATCTCACTCTACTCCACACACTACCTCACCTGTCCCATCTCACTCTACTCCACTCCACACACTACCTCACCTGTCCCATCTCATTCTACTCTACTCCACACACTACCTCACCTGTCCCATCTCACTCTACTCCACACACTACCTCACCTGTCCCATCTCACTCCACTCCACACACTACCTCACCTGTCCCATCTCACTCTACTCCCCTCTACGCTCTCCTACTGCCCCCCCCCCCCTCAACTCACTCCACTAGCTCGCCTATCTCTCCCCTCTCAGCTCAGCAACAAATGAATTATTTATTCTGCTCAGTGGGAGGTCGCTTATTCCCCTCTGCCGCCGAATTTCCTACAACGCTCCCTCTCTCTTCCCCCCATTCCTCTAGAATCCATTGCGCCCGGCCAAGTCCTGTTGTTGGGGGGGGGGGAGAAGAGAGCTTTATAGCTCATCGGATTCCTCCAGTTTAAATATTCAAATTCCGACTGGCGACTGCTCCCCCTTCTCCCACAGACTCGCACACGGCGATCCACAAATACACGCGGCGATAAATCCATCGAGACACGCGTGGCGGGATGTGGGGTGGGGGTCACGCCGACACCAAGGTGCTCATCAAGCCCCGTCGCTTATCATTATTATTTATTTAGCGTTTAAAGACGCGATACGAAGAGGGGAGAGAGGGGAGAGAGGCGAGGTTGGGTAGGGGTGCGCGCTCGTTCGCGTCGTACATTGCGTGCCAGACTCGAGCCAAAGGCGTCGTCGCTACGTGCGTGGCCACGAGGCTTGCTTATTATTCAAGCTACGGGCACCCCCAAGCTACGGGCCCCCAAAGCTACGGGCCCCCCCCAAGCTACGGGCCCCCCAAGCTACGGTGCCCCCCAAGCTACGCCCCCCCCCCCCAAGCTACGGGCCCCCCAAGCTACGGGCCCCCCCAAGCTACGGGGCCCCCCAAGCTACGCCCCTCCCCCAAGCTACGGGCACCCCAAAGCTACGGGCCCCCCCCAAGCTACGGGCCCCCCCAAAGCTACGGGCCCCCCCCAAGCTACGGGGCCCCCCAAGCTACGGGGCCCCCCCAAGCTACGGGTACCCCCAAACTACGGGCCCCCCCAAGCTACGGTGCCCCCCCAAGCTACGGGCCCCCCACCCCGAGCGGCGTCGTCCTCCACGCAGCCATGACCTGCGGGGCACCGCTCGCAGGCGGCGTGCTGCTCGTGCTGCCCGTCCGTGCGAGCGAGCGAGCGAGGAACGCAACAAGCGGCAAGCGACAAGCGGCACCGCGTCCACGATAGCCAACTGCGAGGCGGCGTTTAATCGTTGCGCAAGACGGGCAGCAGCAATGAGCGCCGGCTGATGTCATCGTCATCATCATCAACAACAACGTCGTCGTCGTCATCGTCGTGGTTGGTGGTGATGGTGGTGGTTGTTGTTTACCACTCGCAAGGCGCTAAGAATAACCCGAGTAAACATCGCTGCTGCTGCTGCTGTTGTTGTTGTGGCCGCTAACGCCGCCGTCGTCCTAAGCGCGTGGCGGAGTCTCCCGCTACAGCCCCTCGACTCCTAACTCTCAAAACTCCCCCCGCCGACTCGGGAGTGGCACGAGGGGCCGGTGAGTCGATGCCGCCTCGGGGGCCGTCTCCTTTGTCTCGCTGCGGGGCCCTCGCGGCCTAAGCCGAGGGCCCCGCAGCGGCCGCGGACGTCCGCGGCGTTCGCTGGCGCTCGGTCTCTCATCCCGCCCGCCCGCCCGCTCGCTCACCCCGCAGAGAGCTCCACGCGTGGCTCCCTCCTCGGCGCGGAGTTCGTCAACGAAGAGGCGAGATGACGGACAGCGAGAGGAGAGGAGGCGGCGGTGGTGGTGGCGGGGGAGATCAACGCGGCGATGACGGCGAACGCCACTGCGGGGTCATTGTCGGCGGGGGGAGCAGGGGGGGGTGTGAGACTCGTGACGCAACCTCCGCGCGTGACGTCACCTCTATTATGATGTCACTTCTGTCGGTGGTGGTGGTGGTGGCGTTACAACCCGCATCGCTTGTCAAATGACGTCAAAAATGTCACTTCTGTCTGGTGGTGGTGGTGGTGGCGTTGGGGGCCGTCCATGAATGACGTCACGCGATTTTGGACGATTTTTGACCCCCCCCTTTCGTCACACAGCGTCACAAAAATCAGACCCCCCCTCAAATATGACGTCACAAAGCTCTGCCCCCCCCCCCCCAAAAAAAAACATGCTTCAAATCGAATTTTGATTTAAAGCTTTCGTGACTGCAGGGATTCATATTCTTGGTTCTTTCGGTAAAGTCACGTTGAAGGGAAACAATAAAATAATGAAATATTATTTTATTTTATTGTTTCATTGGTGTAAAATAAAATAAAATGTTTCGCTCCGGATGACGCTGCAAAGTATTATCTGTATTTTGATTTGGCGTGCTGATCTTAAAGGTGCATTAAAAAATGTGACACTCCGACCAATGCTTCTCTCTGCCTCCCTGTCCGTCTTTCCTCCCTCCTTACCTCTTGGTGGACTTGTATATGTATTTCTACTGACCGTGTACCTCGTATTTTTCATTCTATCTATGCTGGTATGTGCAATCCAAAGGTTGAACACGAAATTTAACACTTCTGAAATTCGTGGTCCGCCAGGAAGTGTCTAACTGTGTTGTTGGCCTGACTGAATGTGCTTCACATAATGTTTTTTTCAGGTTTGTTGAATTCTCGTCTCTCGTCTTTTTGTTTTATTTAACTCATGCAGCCAGCTGTGGCTCTAGGATTTGGTGTTACATGTTATTTATGTAGTTTATTGTAAAAAAATCGGTCACAGTCCCTGTGATCACTGTTACGTTGCAATTATGGCTTTATTTTTTGGTGATTTCGAAAAGTTTTTTGGTTTGGACATGTTTGTTTTGTAGTACGGAGTTAGACTGATGGTCTTAATCTAAGTTTTCTTGTGGTTGTTGTTGTTGTTGTTTACTCTTTGGTTCTATTGGGTAAAGTCACGTAGGTAAAAAATAAAATAACAAAAATCACGACGTTTCGGCCACAACACAAGCGGCCTTCATCAGGTGAAGGGACGAGACTGTCTGGTAGGACAGCGCTGGAGTGAGAGAAGCCACGCTCAGATCACGACCTTTAAGCTGTGTGAGAAGAAAGAAAGCGCCTTGACAAATGAATTAGCATATAATTTAGCATTGAAATGGCTGAGTGATTAGCTTGTGACTGGTCACAGAAATGGCTCTGTTAAAGTTAAAGCATACACATCCGCAAAGGCACCCCTTAACAAAGGAATTAGCATAGAATTTAGCATTGAAATAGCTGAGTGATTAGCTTGTAACTGGTCACAGAAATAGCTATGTTAAAGTCAGAGCATATACATTCACCGAGGCACCTAGTACAAATCAAACAGGATAATTTAGCGAAACACAACCACGCTCAGACCGCGGACCTTTAAGCTGTGTGCGAGCAAACAAGGTGTCCTGACAAAGAAATTAGCATAAAATTAGCATTTGATTGGCTGATTTTAGAAAAGAGGTGGTGTACGTGCCGGTGGACTTGCCGTATGGCGCGGGGGGGGGGGGGGGAGTTTACCTATTGATGATGTGAAAAGGGAATTTATAAGAGCTGCGAAAGTTTGGGGTACCACTACTTGAAAAATATACTGTACCATTGAAATTAGTTTAATGTTTAGTTCGATTTAGAACATCTTTTCAATGGTTGCTTAATTTGAAACCATCTTCTCGGTTGAAATTGTGTCTGTGTTTGTAGATCTGAATTGCCTCGTGAACAAATCTCTGATAAAAACCCGTGGGTTTGCAAAGAACCTTGGTATCGGAGAAAATTATATCGTGATCACCCACAGCGTTGTAACAGTGATCAGCCACGGCAGAAGAATTCGTTTTGCCGTGTTTCAAATCTGATTTGTGCTCGCGAATTCGGTCAGAGACATGTCGCTTTGTCTCCCCGATATAGCAATCACCGCAGGTACAACTCAATTTGTAAACCCCGGGGTACTGTAAGTCAGGAATGACATCCTTCACGGATGGGATCAGATCACGAATTTTGTGTACTGTATTGAACCGGACCTGGATCTTGTGTTTGTTTAGAATTTTGGAAATCTTTTTAGTAACGCCTGCGATATATGGTAGTGTGATGGTTTTGACCGGAGTATCAAGTGGTTGTTTCTGTATGGAGGGAGAAACAGCTTGGCGGATGGTACGGTCAGAGTAACCATTCCTTTTTAGGGCCAGGTGTACATGTTTTAATTCACTGGTCAGGTGGTATTGGTCCGAAATGCAATGAGCCCTATGGTATAAAGTTTTGATGAGAGAATTCTTTTGGGCTGGGTGGTGGTGGGAATCAGGTTTCAAGTAGGAATCTGTGTGGGTGGGTTTCCTGTAGACAGAATGCCCCAATGAGCCATCAGGTCTCCTCTCAAACAGAACATCTAAGAATGGTAGCTTGCCATCTTTCTCCACTTCCATGGTGAATTTGATGGCGGGATGTCTGGAATTGATGTGGTGTAGGAAAAGGTTCAGAGCTGGGAGGCCATGTGACCAAATGACGAAAGTGTCATCCACATATCTCTTCCACAGGGAAGGTCTGAGGGTGGAAGTCTGGATGGCGTCTGATTCAAATTTCTCCTTGAAAATATTGGCTATCACTGGTGACAAGGGGGGATCCCATGGGGGTACCCTCATTTTGTTTGTAGAAGGAGCCATTCCAAGTATGGATCCTTGCAGTCACGAAAGCTTTAAATCTAGAATTGTTGTTGTTGTTTGACTTGCATCCCACTGGGATTTTTTGCACACAGCGTTGGTGTACGGTGCTATTTAAGGAATATTTTGCTGTTTTTTTTTCATGGATTTTCCGTTTGCACAGTCACATAGTCACTTTAAGATGTTTTCGTGTTCGTGTTTTTTGTTTGTTGTGGTTGCACCCGATTCAAGAGCCGAATGGCTCACAGGGCTATACCAAAATAAAATAAACTTCATAGTTCATAGTTCATAAAACTGAACTGAATCCTGTCGCTCTGGTGGAAGCGTCAGGCTGTCTCTCTGTTTGTGACGTCATCCTGTCGCTCTCTGGTGGATGCGTCAGGCTGTCTCTCTGTTTGTGACGTCATCCTGTCGCTCTCTGGTGGAGGCGTCAGGCTGTCTCTGTGTTGGTGACGTCATCCTGTCGCTCTCTGGTGGAAGCGTCAGGCTGTCTCTGTTGGTGACGTCATCCTGTCGCTTTCTGGTGGAGGCGTCAGGCTGTCTCTGTGTTGGTGACGTCATCCTGTCGCTCTCTGGTGGAAGCGTCAGACTGTCTCTCTGTTGGGAACGTCATCCTGTCGCTCGCTGGTGGAGGCGTCAGGCTGTCTCTCTGTTGGTGACGTCATCCTGTCGCTCTCTGGTGGAGGCGTCAGGCTGTCTGTGTTGGTGACGTCATCCTGTCGCTCTCTGGTGGAAGCGTCAGACTGTCTCTCTGTTGGTGACATCATCCTGTCGCTCTCTGGTGGAGGCGTCAGGCTGTCTCTCTGTGGGTGACGTCATCCTGTCGCTCTCTGGTGGAGGCGTCAGGCAGTCTCTCTGTTGGTGACGTCATCCTGTCGCTCTCTGGTGGAAGCGTCAGGCTGTCTCTCTGTTGGTGACGTCATCCTGTCGCTCTCTGGTGGATGCGTCAGGCTGTCTCTCTGTTGGTGACGTCATCCCGTCGCTCTCCTTTCGGTGACGCCATCGCCACCCGCCGTCTCTCCCAGTCGGTGGTGACGGCACGCGGCGCGATGTCGGCTCCTCTCGCCCCGCGCGGCCTCCGCGCCCTGAGTCGCCTTCTCCTCGTGGCGGCTCCCCCGCCGCGCTCCCTGCGCCTCGCCCGCTCCCTCGCCACGGGGGTCCGCGTCTCGGCGCTCTGCGGCGCCAGCGAGCGGCAGCGGCCGCGGCGGCAATGGCTGCAGGTAGCGCGAGGATGCACGGGAGGTGTTGGAGGGGAGGAGGAGGAGGCCCCAAGGTCAATGAAGCGGCGAGCCGAGTGCGGCCACCCCCAGCGCTAGGGGACGCGGGCCTCCAGTGATGGCTGTGCGGAGACAAAAATTCCACGTGTAGCCTCCACAGGCTGTTTGGGAGGGGGGGAGTGCTGTTAGCGAGCACCTATTAAGCCCGGAGGTGGTGTGGCAAGCACCACGCACGCCCGCCTTTGTCTCCCCAGTGCTGATGTTTGAAACCCCTCACCCAGGTACTCGTTTTGAGTTGGAATGAACCTAGGGTGACGGGTTCGGATGTAAACCGACCGCTGATGTTGGCCTGGAATGGAACTGGGACCGCCGGTGTTCGTAGCGCGGTACGGTGAGAATAGCGAGCCCGTGACCCGTTGTTGGCAGCCACGGAGACAGTCGCCTCCCAGCAACAGCAGAGGGCAGAGGAGCGACGCTCACAACAACGAGCGGAGCGCCGGGCGGATAAGCCGCAGCGAGTTGTCACAGTGCAGCACTTGAGTTTCTATCGTTAAAGCAAGAGGGGGAGGTTCGGGTTCTTGCCGCATCACCCCCTGGTGTGCTACACACTCTAGGGTTGGTGGATCACACAAATGTTGCGAAACTCCCCCGTGAGCCGTCTCGGGTGTCATAACCCGAACTTTGCCAGGGAGGCAGTGCGGGATAATATACATCGTCCTCACGCGTGGGTTTATCTCCAGGTGCTCCGGTTTTCCCTCCCACATTGTTAAACGCCCAGTAAATTGGAGCGCGGAGCTTTGGCTAGTCGCCGACACCGGCCCACCCGCGTGAGGCTACCGGCCCCACTTGGCCGGTTCCTGGCGCCCGAGCCGTTCTCTCTGTTCTAGAGCGAGCGACATCCCTTGGATGCTCGCCACAACCGCAGGCTTGTGAGGGTTAAGCGAATGCTGTCCGTGCTTGTGGCCCGTGCAGGTTCGCATGCCGAGCGCGCAGAGCCTACGCGGTTACTGCGACGCGCCACCGCTGACGCTGCACTTCATCACGGAGAGGGTCATGTACGTGCTGAATCTCTACGACAAGATCGACCCGCAGAAGGTGTGGCGGCCGTAGCGGGCCACAGCGCGGCTCAAAAAACAACGGCGATACTAACAGAGTGGATCAACGCGAACGTCCAGAATAAACACCACGTTTGAGACCCTAACGTCGCACCCCTCGGTGCTTTGACATCCCTCCTCGAAGGTGGTGTCACCATGAGCGGCATCAAAATATCTACAGGCCGATGCGCATGAATGGCACAGTAAAGACATTCCACAGTGGTGTGATTTATATAGTAAACCCATATGAACACAGGTATACATAGCGACCCATCGAGACGCACAGAGATGCATTAAAGACAAGGCACGATCGTGCTAATTGTGGCCATGCAACCAAAAAATATGGACCATAGAATAAACCACTGTGGTCTGCACTCCTTCAACGGGGGAGAAACAGCCAAACTACACGAAGTCTCTGCTGAAGCACCCTCGTGGCTAACAGACCTCGCCATTGGCATTTAACTCATGAGCGTATTGCCGTTCGTATGCAAGAATTGAATACATGACAAATATAACGCTTGAAATCTCTCCACTTAATTCCTCCCAGTTGACCCCCAAACTTGTAATCGTACGACGATTGCGAGTGAAATCCTTTTAACAACCGCAATGCCACTCGGTCACAACTCTGTGGCACCCAAAGTCTCTTCAAGGAGAGTTTCAACACCGTGACTCTTACACCCAGGGCCTTAAGCTCGCAATTTGAAACATGTTCTGGTCAACTGAGAGCTGAAGCCAGTGGCTTTACGCATGTTGGCGAGGCGCGATGTGCAATAGAATCGTAACCGCAGCCATCGGTCAGCCGGATGTGGGGTGTGCCAGGTTGGCTTGTAAGCCCTACGATCTGAGGACTTCAGAATCATTAAGCACTTTTCAAATGAATCTAAAAACTAACTTTTTTAAAACTTGCTTTTAAGTCGGATTTTCTTAAACGCGTTATTGTGATTACTCGCTTGTTTGCCCGTCCTCGGGCGAAAGCTGTAATATTTTACGAAAACATTCACCAGAGTATAATTGTATCTTGTGTAAATTTAATGCCGGTGAATCTTGCACAAAAGTACGTCATCGAACACGTCACTGCATTTCACTGTAGCACTGTATTAATGGCAGTGAATCTTGCACAAAACTACGTCATAAAACACCTCGCTTCATGCCACTGTAGCACTTTATTTAACTGACCTTCAAACTAAATTTTGATTTAAAGCTTTCGTGACTGCAGTAATTCATATTCTTAGCTCTTTCGGTAAAGTCACGTTGAAGGGAAACAATAAAATAATAAAATATTTATAAAACAATAAAAAATTCTCACGACGTTTCGACCATAACACAAACGGTCGTCATCAGGTGTCGGTTTCGCATCAATTTATTTATTTTAAAATAAAATAAAATAAATAAATTAAAAATAAATCAATTAATGCAAACCGACACACCTGATGACGACCGTTTGTGTTATGGTCGAAACGTGAGAATTTTTTTATTGTTTTATATATATTTTATTGTTTCCCTTCAACGTGACTTTACCGAAAGAGCTAAGCATATGACCTTCAAATTGTTCAAATTCACTGCTGCCATACTTTATTTTCTTTCGCTTTCGCTCGCTGGGGTTTAAATAAATTGGAATTCGAAACAATATCCGGGACATCACCGAGCAATGTCTATTTTATGATAATTCAGAAGCATCAATTAGACTTACCTTTTGTCTCAAGTGCTGAATAAATAAAGACACCAAATCGACTTTGTTGCTGTGTAGAATTATTTATTTTTATCACTTTCAATAAAGAAACGTCAAACTTAAGGCGAATTTGCGGGGGGAAAAAAATGTCTTTCCGCTCGACCTGCGCGAGTGTAAAAATCCACCCGCTAATGATTATTAGTGAGGGGGGGGGGGCCCTCATGTGGAGGACCCCACCTGTTCATGATTATTAATGAGGGGGGCTGGTAGACGTGGAGTGACGTCACGCGCGTTACACACAGACATTCTTGGCTCATATTAGTAATGTCTTTGCTCGAAATTTGTAACAGCATGATTTTATTTTGCCTACAAGTTCACTTTTATTGTTCATGCCTGTAAAGCACTATGTATTGCATTTTTTTGCATGAATAGTGCTACAGAAATTAAGTTTGATTGAGTCAACTGAAGAGAATGCTGTTAACAGACGGTGCATTTTTTGCCTTCAGTTAAAACTGGAGTCACATTTCATGAAGGACTTGGGTCTCGACAGTCTGGACCAAGTGGAGGTGATCATGGCCATGGAGGACGAGTTTGGTGAGTGGAGTTCTGGTTCAATTTCATTGTCTGCACCGACTCGAATCGGTGCAAACGCTGCCAGTGATGTGGATGGACATCGCTCTCGGCCAGTCGTACCTCTGGTGTCCGTAAAATGAGTATCACTTTGTGAGAAGTCATCATTGGTTTTAGTAAGAAGAGCTACCATAGGGATATACTAATGAGGATCCCATGGGCCTTCCAGCAATATGTTTTCGCAGATAAACTCTGAGTGTGGCCTGTTATACAATTTATGCCTAAAACTCGGTCGAAACTAATGTTCCCCACTCAAAACAAATGCTGCTGTAAAACATCGGTGCAGAAGGCGCGTTGTGCCGATCACCCTCAATGCTGTTGCTCTCTGGCTGCGCGCCCGTGCTGTCTATTTGCCGAAACCACCTCAAGTGTGTCGAGCGGTTTTCAGAGCGGTTGACGAGATGCGGATTTTGTTGTTTCAAAGGCTTCGAGATTCCAGATGTGGATGGGGAGCAGCTGTTAACGCCGCAGGATCTGATCAATTACATTGCAAACAAGCGGGACGTGTACGAGTGAATGCGGCCATGCTGCCTGCAGGTTCGCCGTTGTTCACACACACCCCCTTTCCCCATTTGGAGATGCTGTGATATTGAATAAACGTGTGGCAACGAGTTCGTACAGTGGCTGCGATGGCCGCTGGGTGGAGCGTCTTCTTTCCCTGCAGTTAAGTGAAGTCTCACGATTTGATTCGAGGATCGATTATTATTTTGTGGTGTTCTGCCCGATACTGCCTACCTTATTTGTAACGTCTTAATTGCTGTCAATGCATCTCATCTTTAGGGACTCATTTGATTAATGTTTTTGTTCCATTTGGGCATCGCAGTGACGAGATGTTAATTACCTTGCTTGGTATACACGATGTCATGGGTTCAATCCTGACACTGACGCCTGCTGTATATTTGGAGTTTGCATGTTCTCCCCGTGGTAGCGTTTTCTTTTCTCCGGGTCCTCTGGTTTTTCCCTCATTTAGAAACATGCAATTAGAGTATTTGGCCACGATACATTTCCACGTGATAAGCCACTGTATTGGGCTATCATTTGTGGCCAGGTCGTTTCTGAAAAAAAAGCTATTTCTCTCAGTGGGCCTTATCTGGTAAAATAAAGAATAGTTTAGTATTATGGGTTTTATTTGCCTTAAGAATGATGCTTGCTTGTGTTGCAGTCGAAACGTGAGAATTTTATTGTTTTATATTTGTATTATTTTATTGTTTCCCGTCTACGTGACTTTACCGAAAGAACCAAGAATATGAATCCCTGCAGTCACGAAAGCTTTAAATCAAGATTTAATGTAGCATACTATTTGTATCAATAAAATGTTAGTTTTACAGGTGCATCACCTGATAAGTATCATCGGCATAAGAATACATTTTAATCCTTCACATGCGCACTCCTTCCTAACCCTATTGTGTTGTGTGTCTTCCCTTTAGGTGTGCTGAGGAAGTGATGTCACGGTTCTTTATAAGATGTACCTTTACGGAAGTGGCGTTTGGTTTTGGTCAACAGGGAATAGTTTGCTGAAGCTTTGCTCATTTCAGTTCTCGAATCTAAGTGTCTGGGCTCTTTGCCCGGTCAATAAAGACCGTCTAATATACAACGCGAAAGCCGATTGACACGGTTAGCAAATACTTTGTGGTCATTGCCTCAGGCCTCGTGGTTCACATGGATGGCACGGTGGTGCTGGTGGATCATCGGGTGTCAATGCAAGTGTGAGCTGCGCGTGTGTCTTCAAGTGCCGGTTCAACCCGCGCTCAATAAAAGGCTAAAACTCTTCGACGTGATCTCGTCTCTTGAATGCTGCAAACCCTTTGGCCGAGCGGTGTCGTTGAGTAACAATTCACGTTCGTCAACGCGCCGTTTGCTCAAAGCGGCAGAGGCCTGCCTCTTCGTAGCCCTGTCGGCACTGCTCCCGCAGCCGACGGACGTCTCGGGAAACCGCACGGTTCGCGCTAACTTTTTTTTTTGTTTAATCCGTAAATTATCGTGCGCGCGCGTGTGTTTTCAGCCCCCCCATGACATGTCGCCACGAAAACGCCCAGCGATAAAATTGCAAGCGGAAAACAGGACCCCCGCCCACCCCCCCCCCCCCCCCGAGATTTTTGTTTTAATCTTTTAAACACCGTCACTGAGCACGGGGCCCCCAGAAGGTCAAGCGGCCATCGACAAACGGCCTTTCGGTTTAACACGGAGGAGGCTTCTGCGACCAGTATCCATAATACAGTTTTTTCGGGGTTAGATCGCGTAAATATATAAATGTTCCGTTAAACCTGCCACCACCCGACACAACCAATTATTAGTAAGGTTTCTCACGTAAACAACGTGCCAATTCGTTACTAGTACAGCACAGCGGTGTGTTGGGGAGTAAATGTACAACATTTGCAATCTTGAGTACGACGTTTCTCCAGGAATTGCAACTAGCATCATCAGGCGATGCATGCAAGACAATGGTATTCCAATGTCCCCCTTTTTTATATTACAGCCTCGATTCTGTGATGTAGGCCACACTCATCAATGCTGCAACGTGTTCAGTCCATTCACACAAGGTGTCCGATTTTACATGAAGGTCGCTTGCGTGCTGCGTTCGATCATGCCACATCGATGTCCATTTACATTTATTGTTGAGGATGCGATTGATTCCGTGCACCCAAACCATGTGGAGATGTGCAAATCCATGCCAATGTTAAAACTTCGTGATGGGGTCTGTGGAACGCACAGGCAGGAGGACATCACATGACTACAACTTTGACTTTTTAGTGTATTCTACACACTATCATCTCACGTATTCTATACACTGTCATCTCCCGAGATGCCCTGCAGCACCACAATGCGTGCCTCAAGATTTGGCAATGCCAACAGCAGCGGTGACCTGTGCAGAATATTGGGCAAAGACTCAGTTGGACAGGAGATGAAGAAGAAGACTTCATTGTTAACGTGTTGAGAGCATATACATTTCAAACCGGATTCTGAGATCGAGCACACACGCACATTCGGCGCCGGATTAAGCTAGTGCGGGGCCTGTAGCATATGCTATAAAGGGGCAATAAATAAGCACATTAAAACTAAACAATGTTACTGGCATAGTAAAGTAATTTTATTTTTTCATATGCTATACAGCCAGATAATACGACAAATCGCTAACATTAAACACCCAGTCGTTCAGAAAAGTTGAAGGCGGTATAGTACTATAGTAATAGAGCAAGTGCAGAATCACTGAACCGGAATTGATAGCTTGAGAGCATTTAGCGCGGGGCCCTTGAAAGTGCGGGGTCGTACAACACGTAGTAGCTACTACTACACGTGAAGTAGTCAGTCAACCCGTACCACCTGGGTCTGCACCGTGGTCTCTCACCTACCCCGGCACATCAGTCAACCCGTACCACCTGGGTCTGTCACTTGATCACAAAGGTGCACCTAGCCTGGCACAAGCGCCGTTCGCCACTTTGCCGCTGTTGCGAGCGGCGAGGGATCACATTTGTCTCGCGTGATTGACAACTTTATATATCTGTATTGGGGATGGGGTGTGGTGTAGTGCGTCTTATTACCCGGTAATTAGTTGCCGTGTCAATGTTAACGTGTTGTTGTTGGCGGCATTGATGTCTCCTCGCCATACTGCGTGCAACTCTCTCCGCTTAACCGGTAAGTAGTTGTCGTGTGGAGGCTTTCGCGAGCGATATCATCGATAATATAGATTGTTTTTGTTGGGGGAGGGGGGGTGAGGCTAGATCTCGTAAATATAAATACGTCGTTGGGACCCACGCAGCCAATGTGAGAGGCAGGTTGGTCACGTAAACTATGAACGCGACAATTCGTTACCGCCGAAGCAACACCGGTCTCCACTAAACATTTACAATCTGTGAGCGCGACGTCTCTCTCGCTCTCTCTCTCTCTCCACGGTGATTAGTAACGGGACTCGTCGCCACTGGTGAGTTCGTCCATGAGTAACGGATTACTCCGTCCGTGGCGGGGATTACTTTCGGCTACGAATTGGTGAGGACGTTAACCGAACGCGACCAAGCCACCAATCAAGAATATTCGTCGTGAGCCTCGGCCTCCCACGTGGACCCCGAGGCCTTGGGGCTCCCACGCGAACCCCGAGGCCTTGGGGCTCCCACGCGGACCCCGAGGCCTCCCACGCGGACCCCGAGGCCTTGGGGCTCCCACGCGGACCCCGAGGCCTCCCACGCGGACCCCGAGGCCTCGGGCCTCCCACGCGGACCCCGAGGCCTTGGGGCTCCCACGCGGACCCCGAGGCCTCCCACGCGGACCCCGAGGCCTCGGGCCTCCCACGCGGACCCCGAGGCCTTGGGGCTCCCACACGGACCCCGAGGCCTCCCACGTGGACCCCGAGGCCTCCCACGTGGACCCCGAGGCCTCCCACGTGGACCCCGAGGCCTTGGGGCTCCCACGCGGACCCCGAGGCCTCCCACGCGGACCCCGAGGCCTCGGGCCTCCCACGCGGACCCCGAGGCCTTGGGGCTCCCACACGGACCCCGAGGCCTCCCACGTGGACCCCGAGGCCTCCCACGTGGACCCCGAGGCCTCCCACGTGGACCCCGAGGCCTTGGGGCTCCCACGCGGACCCCGAGGCCTCGGCCTCCCACGCGGACCCCGAGGCCTCGGCCTCCCACGCGGACCCCGAGGCCTCGGGCTCCCACGTGGACCCCGAGGCCTCGGGCTCCCACGTGGACCCCGAGGCCTTGGGGCTCCCACGTGGACCCCGAGGCCTCGGTCCTCCCATGCGGACCCCGAGGCCTTGGGGCTCCCACGCGGACCCCGAGGCCTCGGCCTCCCACGCGGACCCCGAGGCCTCGACCTCCCACATGGACCCCGAGGCCTCGGCCTCCCACGTGGACCCCGAGGCCTTGGGGCTCCCACGCGGACCCCGAGGCCTCGGGCTCCCACGCGGACCCCGAGGCCTCGGGCTCCCACGTGGACCCCCGAGGCCTCGGGCTCCCACGCGGACCCCGAGGCCTCCCACGTGGACCCCCGAGGCCTCATCCCGGATCGAGTTGAGGCTGATCGGTTGCAGGCCCTGGTCGATGTCATCACATGCGTAATTAAGTCATAATAAACAACATTTGTGTGTCTGTGGGACTTTTAATTTTGCCAGTATCCCAAGACGATGAAAATCGCGACTGTTTCTTTACCCTCTCGGGCAATAAAGACATCACAGGAGGCGTTAATAAGACGTCCAAACACCAAATAATGCGTCGAGTCTGCATTAACTACACGAACTTGTGCGTGGAACACTTCAAACAAACATTCTCTCATCGTATACGGATTCAATCTTGATTTGAAGCTTTCGTGACTGCAGAAATCCATAGCCTTTGGTTATTTCGGTAAAGTCTCGTAGGTAGAGAAATAAAATAATTAGTAGCGACACGGGACAAATGTGATTCTCGTGATTTAATAAAACTCGTGGTGTAATCGAGTTGCCGGCACGTGTCCGTCTCCCTTGCGTCTCTCCACCGGCCTCGACAGTGTACTCTGAATAGGGGCAGTTGCCTGGAACGTCGCCTATTCTGTAATAGTCTCGTTCAGGCCACAAGTGTTAACTACTGCAGCATTTGCATCCATTTGTAGTCGTTAACAACGTAGTCGAATGTTAATAAAACGCGTCGTGTTCGTGATGAAGCGAAGTTGTGACTTGTCTATTCCATTATTTTCTTTCCACAACAACAAATCTCGCATACCCCAGAAAGGGCTTCTCTCTCTCACACACCCAGGGGCCTGCGTGATGCACCCCAGGTGAAGATTAAGAAGAACCACTGCTCCTAGGAACAATGCTTTTAGTTTTTAACTAGACGACCAGTGTTGCGTTAACCATGAGTTTAAAACTGTCCGTCGTGTCCGTGATAACTGTCAAGTGTAGTTCTGTCCCAATGTAGCAGCAGCACCACCATCAGTAGCAGCAGGGCAATGGGCTTGCGACTTCATTGATAACGAGGCCACTGGTAAAACCAGGCCGGGTCAGTCTGGACACACCAGGAGGGTTGGTAGAGACAACAAGACTTTGGTTGGGTTCCATCCCCCTCCGATCGTGTTTTAAATGAGAATAGGTTTGATCCCTTTTTTTGTGTTTGGAAACAGAACCGGCGTTAAGATGTTCCACAAACACCAAATGGATTCCTTTGTTGTTGTTAGGAATCATGGCTGCATTAACCACACGTACTTGTGGCAAAACATACAAACGTGCTATGATAATATCTGCATTGTCTTTTAAACTGATTGGCCTGCACCAGAGATGGCCTTCTTCAATCGATTTCTTGTAATCAAGAAATCGATTGTTGATTACAGCACACGCATTCAACACGCCCATGTCTGTGTGTAATCATATTACAAGGAATCAACCTGAAAATTCACAACCATGAATGTAATCAGATTACAAGTAATCAACCCTAACATAATCACGTGACGACGATGATGATGTTGCTGATGTTGTTGAGAGAGAGTAAAGCAGGTCCGGAGATCACTCGTTCACTGAAGTGGTGAGCCCTGGTGTCTCTTGAAGACACGGTTACAACCACAACCACCGTGCCCACAACAACAACAACCACCACCAGCACGACAACAATTACCGGCGATGATGGACGGCACTCATCTCGACCGTAAGGCCGACCCCACCACGCCCCGGGTCAACGTGGCCACAGGTGAGAGCTCATGACCATCGCAAAACCTGTCAACCCCTTATCAGTGCCCTACATTATTACAGACCAACTCAGACATTATTGGTCACCCCGTGCCCCTTATATATCTCAACGGTCATCCTACAAAGTCCCATCACAAGGGAGAGACACAAACAAATTAGATAATTTATTTTATTGCCCGCATTGAAACGACTGTACGCCGTATGGACCTGAAAACTCAATTTCCCTCTACACGAATCTGGAGTAAACCGTGTGGCTTGACAGCTGTGCCATCAGCTGAGCCGCTCAGTGCGGGGAATCGGAAAGCGGGTTCGCAACTTGACGTTGCTCTCTCTGTCTTTAACTTTATTTCATTTGTCGCACGGATGGTCCCGTTTACGACGGAAATCTGTGGTTGCGTGAGAACAGCAGCGACTAAACAAAGACACTTTATGGGTCTCTATGAGGCTGTTAGTCTGCAAGGGTCTCTGTATCTCTATCTATAGGTCTGTATCTCCATCATTGTCTCTGTGTATCTTTATGGGTCTCTCTTGGTATCTATAATCCCGGGATCTCTCTATCTGTCTCTTTGTATCTACTTAGGTTTCTGGGTATCTGTACTGCATCGATATATTTATCTTTCAGTCTCTCTACGTGTCTCTATGAGTCTCTGTGTATCTCTATGGATCTGCATTAACCACACGTGCTTGATGTAAAAGATGCAAACAAATATGCATTCATAATAATGAACAACGTATTGTCCTTGAAACAGATTGGCCTACACCACAGGCAGCCTCTATTATGGCCTTGCCTCACCACCATTGTTAGACTAGAGAACGTCAACAGGCAATACAAATATCAAAGCATTAATAGCTCGGCTCGAGGAGTTATAACTACGGGACCCATTTTGCCGGTATCGAGATGATGACCAAAATTAATGGCTTTACCCTTTCCGGCAAGAATTCAGGAGGTGTTAAGATGTTCAGACACCAAATAGACACTTATTGCAAGAACCCCAGCAAAAAGGTCCCATAGATATAACTGCCCAACCCGATTTCTATTTACATTGCCTTTGCGGCTGTTTGCCTTTTGGGGCCGTCCATAAATGACGTCACGCACCTGCGGAGGGGGGGGGGGTCAGACATTTGTGACGAGGGGGGGGGGTTGAGAAATGTGACGTCACGTGAAAATGCGCAACTTTAAATAAATATAGACAACACGTTCTACCTAATAGTTTAAAGAGATTTGAAGCATGTTTTATTTGTTTTTGGGGGGGCGGGGGCAGAGCTTTGTGACGTCATATTTGAGGGGGGTCTGACTTTTTGTGACGCCGTGTGACGAAGGGGAGGGTGGGGGTCAAAAATCGTTCAAAATCGCGTGACGTCATTTATGGGCGGCCCTATCACTGGTGGTGACGCAAGGCCATGAAGGAGGCCGTCCTCTGGTGTAGGCCAATCAGTTTCAAGGACAGTGCATGTACATGATCAGAGTATGTTTGTTTGCATGTTTTTGCCACAGATATGATGTGTGGTTAATGCAGACTCGAGGCCTTGTGATAGGTGTCTCTTTGGTGTTTGAGCATCTCAACACCTCCTGTATTCTTGCCTGAAAGGGTAAAGCCTTTTTTTTTTCCATCTTCATACAGGCGAAAAGGATCCCATAGATTTATGGGTCTGTCAGTATCTCTATCATGTGCCTGTGTATCTATATGGATCGCCTCTGTATCAATCTATCGCTATAGGTCTCTACGTATTATTTATAGGTTCGTCTGTGTCTCTGTATCTCTGTATCTATATCTCTTTGGATCGCTGTATCTCTGGGTCTCTGTGTATCTCTGTGTCTTTGTATCTCTGCGGGTCTCCATATTATTTTGGTGACCCAGGACACTCTTGCGAATGGAACTCCGCCTCTCTAGAAGTTGTCACCTGGTCACACATGATCTACATGACACTGACATGGCTTCACCCACACTGGTGTGCAGACTCCACGCTCAAACCTCATAAAGGTGGCGGTGGCGGAGGGATTCACTTTGGCCAGGTTCCCCAATGGCTGGCGCTTCAATTTGAGTCTGGGGCCCTGCACGCCGTATCAGCGCTCACGCAGTACAGCCAGACTTACGGGTTGACGCTCCGCCTGGCAGAGGTGGACTCAGTGGGTGAGTAGAGGGGCAAGCGGGTGAGTGGCTGAGTTTGTGAGTGTATGAGTGGGTAAGCGAGTGGGTGGATTGGTGAGCGCATGCGCGCATGGGTGGGGGAGCTCAGCAAGTTGCTGGGTGGATGGGTCAGTACTGTATGAGTGGGTGAGTGAGTGGGTTTGTGAGTGTTTGAGTTATATTCTTGGTGTGGTTTTCACACCTGATGATGATTGCTTGTGTTGCAGTCGAAACGTCGTGAGAATTTTATTGTTTTATATTTTTATTATTTTATTGTTTCCCTTCTACGTGACTTTACCGAAAGAACCAAGAATATGAATCCCTGCAGTCACGAAAGCTTTAAATCAAAATTTCAATCAAAATAGTTTGAGTTGTTAAGCGAGTGGGTGGTTGGGTGAGCGAATGCATGCGCGGGTGAGTGAGCGAGTGAACAGGTGGGTGAGTAGCGTATAAGTGGGTGAGTGAGTGGGTTTGTGAGTGTATGAGTGGGTAAGCGAGTGGGTGGGTGGGTGAGCGAATGTTTGCCAAAGTGGGTGAACGCGGGAGTAGGTGGGTAGATGAGGCCGTGTACGAATGGACTCGTCAGTGGGTGAGTTGTGTTCGTGCGTCTCCTTCCCGCGTCTCCTCCCAAACATTATCTCCCCGCGTCCTGCATGTCTCCCCCGCCCCATGTCTTCCACCCCCCTCCGCCCCATGTAAGACGGGGTGCTTGGTCATCACTTCACGGTGGCCGCGTTTCTGAGTGGCGACCGCGTCTCCGTGGCCGTGGGGCGCAGCAAGAAGGAGGCGCGTGAAGCGGCAGCAATCGCCGCCATGAAGCTGCTGCTAGGCTGGCAGGGAGATTGCAGCGGTGGCCAGCAGAGGAGGCCGGGGCAGCAGGCGATGGGGGCAGCTGAGGCTGAGAAGACTCGGGGATGCACAGGTAAAGCAGCAGCAGGACTCTTGTAACACGCGTGGGTTTTTCCACCGACACACCTGAGCCAGACCAGCATGTGTGGGTGTCGCTGCCCCATGCTGCCCTGTAGACTTGTGTCGGTGACGCTGTCCCTGCCGCTCTTTGCTGCCCCGTGCTGCTGCTCCCGTGCTGCTGCGCCCCGCCGCCACTGCTGGTACCCGGTAGAGGTGACGGTGCCGGGGCCGCTGCTGCTGGAGTTGGGCATGGGGCCCGAAGCCCAGGAGGCTGTGGCGAGGGCCGTGCGGGAGAAGTGTGCGGAGCTCGTGGAGATGGGGGGACGCTCCCTCGTGGGGGGCAGTGACGGCGCAACCCCCCGGCTGGCGGCGTTCCTTATCAAGCGCGGTGCGGGTCACACACACACACTCATACATACTCAGTTGTCCACTCATAGACTCGCGCACACACACACTCATACATACTCAGTTGTCCACTCACTCAGACTCACGCACACACACACACTCACTCATACATACTCAGTTGTTCACTCACTCATAGACTCACACACACACACTCATACATACTCAGTTGTTCACTCACTCATAGAATCACGCACACACACACTCATACATACTCAGTTGTCCACTCATAGACTCGCGCACACACACACTCATACATACTCAGTTGTCCACTCACTCATAGACTTATGCACACACACACACTCATACATACTCAGTTGTCCACTCACTCATAGACTTACGCACACACACACTCATACAACTCAGTTGTCCACTCATAGACTCACACACACTCATACATACTCAGTTGTCCACTCACTCATAGACTCACGCACACACACACTCATACATACTCAGTTGTCCACTCACTCATAGACTCACGCACACACACACACTCACTCATACATACTCAGTTGTCCACTCACTCATAGACTCACGCACACACACACTCATACATACTCAGTTGTCCACTCACTCATAGACTCACGCACACACACACACTCACTCATACATACTCAGTTGTCCACTCACTCATAGACTCACGCACACACACACTCACTCATACATACTCAGTTGTCCTCTCACTCATAGACTCACGCACACACACTCACTCATACATACTCAGTTGTCCTCTCACTCATAGACTCATACACACACACTCTCACTCATACATACTCAGTTGTCCACTCACTCATAGACTCACGCACACACACACACACTCATACATACTCAGTTGTCCACTCACTCATAGACTCACACACTCACTCATACATACTCAGTTGTCCACTTACTCATAGACTCACGCACACACACACTCATTCATACATACTCAGTTGTCCACTCATAGACTCACGCACACACACTCACACACTTGAACACTCACTCTTACATACTCAGTTGTCCACTCACTCATAGACTCACGCACACACACTCGCACACTTGAACACTCACTCTTACATGCACTCACTGATACACACATTTGCTCACTCACTCACACACACTCATTCGCACACTCACAACAACAACAGCCACCATTCGCCACTAAGTGGCGGTGACGTCACCACGACGCTTGTGCCAGGCCAGGTGCACTTTGAGGCCACGTCCAGTGTCGAAGACTCACTTACAGGACGTCACGGGACAGACCCAGGTCCCATTGGTTGACTGACTGAGATGACTGGCAGTAGCACCAGCTGTGCCCCCCCTACTGTAGCAATTTGCTGCATTTTAGCTGCCCAATGCTCTGCCCGTTGTGAGCATCGCCCCTCTGCCCTCTGTTGTTGTTGGAGGGCGACAGCCTCCAACTGCCCATTAGCGTCCTTCATGAGCCTCCTCCATAGAGGCCGATATTGACAACATTGGGACCAGTCTTCGGCAAGTCCACTCAGCTCCACATCCTTCTGTACCACATTAACCAATTTCTTCTCTAACCTGTACTGCACCCATTTAGCCCCCTCTATCCGGCCAAACAACAGCTTGGGCAAGTGGTGGTTGTGCATGCAGGCTGTTTCAAGGTGACGCAGATGTTCCTTTAAAGTGGTCCACGTTTCGCGAGCATAGAGAAGAAAGGGGTATAACTGTGGCCGAGAAGACCCAAAGTCAGGCAGCTTAAATGCAGCGAGTTGGCACATTGGGAAGCACACGTGATGCATCTGCCAGTGAAATCGATAAACCCATAACACCTGGGTCTGTACCCGTGACCTGCTAGCAGTGAGAGCTTTCCACTCTTCACGTGACTTCGAGGTTCACCTAGCCTGGAAAAAGCGCCGTGGTGATGTCACCACTTAAAGGTCGAACGACAGCTGTTGTGTGTATGTAGGTATGTGTTTGTGTATATGGGGAGTGGTGGTAGAGTGGCTCGCGCGCTGAGCTACAAACCTGGAAATCCGAGTTCCATTCCTGCCCGCGGCTAACACCAGTGACGATTATCCCAACCGGTCCTGGGCTTCGTCGAGGTCGACTTGGCCTCAAACGAGTAGCTGGTGCAGGGTGTGGTAAACATCGCCACCGGGGAGCCAACAGGCGGCCGGATGTGGTGCTGGCCGCCCACCCCCTTCAAGTACCGGGCCGGCCTTCATAAATGCTACTCACTAACAGCACTTGCCCGATCAGTCTGTTAAAGGCTACACGGGGGATCTTTGTCTTTGCGCAGTGGGGCACCCGTTCCGAGTGGTCGCCGTGGGAACCGGCTGGGGCATCTGCTCCGAGACGCCCAGCGGCACGGGCCGAGTGATCCTCGACTCGCACGCCGAGGTGACGGCACGCCGCTCCCTTCAGCGGTAAGCCCCCCATATCCGCCAACCCCCATATTCCCCATATCCACTAATCCCCGTATCCGCCAACCCCCATATCCGCCAACCGCTATATACGCTATCCCCAATATCCGCTCATCGTCACCCACGAAAGCAGACGGCGCGCGGCACTCCCTAACATCGGTAAGAGCCCCGATATCTGCCATATCCACTATCACATTAAATGTCTTGCGAGTTGATGTTGATGCTGGCGATGACGTTGATGTCGATCTGGGAGGCAGGTACCTCTACCGCCAGCTCCTGCTACTCCAAGCCGGTGAGGGGACGGTGCTCTGCAGCACTACCGCTGCTACCCCCGCTGACGGGCGGCTGCGCTACAGTCTGCAACCGGGGGTCACGCTCCACCTCTACCTGGACCAGCTGCCCCGCGGGGCTGCCCTAGCGTGAGACGCCGCCCCCCACTGCCCCTCACTGAGAAAAGGAGATGCTGCTGCCCCCCCCCCCCCCCCCCCCCCCCCCCCCCCGCTGCCCCTCACTGGGGTGCTGGGACGCTGAGATACTGGGACACGGAATCTGAGACGCTGGGACACTGAGACTCTTAGTCTCCGTGTAGGTGTGCATGTGTGTGCATGTGTGTGCACGTGTGTGCACGTGTGTGGACGTGTGTGCATGATGTGCGTGCACGTGTGCATGATGTGTGCATGATGTGTGTGCATGATGTGTGTGCATGTGCGTGCACGTGTGCATGATGTGTGCATGATGTGTGTGCATGATGTGTGTGCATGTGCGTGCACGTGTGCATGATGTGTGTGCATGATGTGTGTGCATGTGCGTGCACGTGCGTGCACGTCTGTGCACGTCTGTGCACGTGTGTGCACGTGTGTGCACGTGTGTGCATGTGCTCCCCTCTCTTTTTTCTTCCCCCTCTTCGAATATTTCCTCGCCCTTCTCTCCCCATCCTCTCTCTCCCCGCACCTCCAGCTACCGCCACGGATCTCAGAACCTGCAGCAGGTGCTGGCGACGGGAGAGAGACACCTGATTTCGGCCTACACGGCCCCACCGGCCCCACCAGCCCTGCAGACCCCTCAGGCCTCGCAGGCCACGCCAGCCGCGTCATGCCAGTCCCAGCTACCGATAGCCGTGATGAGCGGCAGTGACAAGCTGATGCGCTGGGAGGTGCTGGGAGTGCAGGGCAGCCTCCTCAGCATCTTCCTTGAGCCCGTGTACATCAGCTCCATCACACTGGGTGCGTTTTCGCCACCACCACCACCACAACCACCACCACTCTCACCATCACCAGTAACACCACAATCACCACCACCGTCACTGTACATCAGCTCCATCACACTGGGTGCGTTTTCGCCACCACAACCACCACCACCATCACCAGTAACACCACAATCACCACCACCGTCACTGTACATCAGCTCCATCACACTGGGTGCGTTTTCGCCACCACCACCACAACCACCACCACTCTCACCATCACCAGTAACACCACAATCACCACCACCGTCACTGTACATCAGCTCCATCACACTGGGTGCGTTTTCGCCACCACCACAACCACCACTCTCACCGTCACCAGTAACACCACAATCACCACCACCGTCACTGTACATCAGCTCCATCACACTGGGTGCGTTTTCGCCACCACAACCACCACCACTCTCACCATCACCAGTAACACCACAATCACCACCACCGTCACTGTACATCAGCTCCATCACACTGGGTGCGTTTTCGCCACCACCACAACCACCACTCTCACCATCACCAGTAACACCACAATCACCACCACCGTCACTGTACATCAGCTCCATCACACTGGGTGCGTTTTCGCCACCACCACCACAACCACCACCACTCTCACCATCACTAGTAACACCACAATCACCACCACCGTCACTGTACATCAGCTCCATCACACTGGGTGCGTTTTCGCCACCACCACAACCACCACTCTCACCATCACCAGTAACACCACAATCACCACCACTTTCACTGTACATCAGCTCCATCACTTAGGGTGCGTTTCCACCACCATGATCACCACCTTCAGCGTAAATACCACTATCACCACCACCATGATCACCACCATCATCACCATGTACATTTCCATCAGGCTGGGTTTGTCTCCGCCACCATCACCTTAAACACCACTGTCACCACCACCACCACCACCATGTATGTATGTTGAACTTCTTTCACACCGTACATCGCCAACTGCTAATCTGGAGGTGCCAGGGAAAGACAAGAAACTAAACACAAAAGGCAGTTATAAAGAAATGAGTTTTCAATTTAGTACGTAAGCCCCATCATGCTCGATGGGTCTCCTCCACCATCACCACCATGACCACCGTTACCAAAACCATTACCACCATTACTGCTGCAATCTGCACGGTGTGCCATGTTGCCCAGGTGGACGGGTGAGTGGATGATTGGGTGAGTGGGTGGGTGACTGGATTGGTGCGTGAGTAGATGAGTGGGTGGGTGGGTGAGTGGGTGGGTGGGTGGGTGAGTGGATGGGTGGGTGAGTGGATGGGTGGGTGAGTGGGTGGGTGGGTGGGTGAGTGGATGGGTGGGTGAGTGGATGGGTGGGTGAGTGGGTGGGTGGGTGGGTGAGTGGATGGGTGGGTGAGTGGATGGGTGGGTGAGTGGGTCATTGGATTGTTTCAGTGGGTGGGTGAGTGCGTCGGTGAGTGGGTGATCGGGTGGGCGGGTGAGTGCGTGAGTTGAGTGGTGGAGCGGGCGAGCGGGCGAGCAAGAGAGCAAGCTCCTGCGTGTCGCCAGGTGGAGCGGAGGCCTCGTGGAACTGTGTGGAGTCGCTGCGGTCGGCGGTGCACGGCCGCGTGTCGCTGCGCCTCTGCGCTGAACTCCCCGGCGCCTACCTCACCAACATTGCGCACATCGGCCACGTGCCCCCAACCGGGGGACCACGGAGGAGGGGGCCAGGGGAAGAGGCCGTGAACTGGAGCGAGGGCGACAGCAGCGTGGAGGTGGTGGAGCCGGCGACGGGGAGAGAGTCGCCCACGTGAGTCGACTCGCTCCTCACTGCCGCCCGCTCACCGTCGCTCGACAACACTCGAGCGTTGCTCACCATCGCTCACCATCGACCACTCGCCGGCCACTCGCCTTCACTCGGAACCATCACCAGCATGACTACCACTATCGCCGACATCACTAATACCACCGCTATCATCACCACCACGATCTTTATCATCACCACGATCTTCATCATCACCATTCTCGCCCAAATCCTCGCCCGTCTCTTCACCCGTCTCCACCTCACCCGTCTCCACCTCACCCGTCGCCACCTCACCCGTCTCCACCTCACCCGTCTCCACCTCACCCGTCTCCACCTCACCCGTCTCCACCTCACCCGTCTCCACCTCACCCGTCTCCACCTCACCCGTCTCCTCGCCCCCAGGTCCCCGTTTGTGTCGTCCCAGCACCACGCGAGTCGTCTGTGCAAGGCGGCCATGCTGTCTCGCCTGCGCCTCGTGGCGTCTCGCTCCTCTTCCACCTCCTCCACCTCCTCCGTGTCCACGGCACCGGCCGTGTCCGTCCCGGCGCTGCTGTCGCTGTCGTACAGCGCGTGCAAGGCGCTGGCAAGCGACTACCAGCAGGCCAAGGCCGCTTTCCACCGCCACGCTCACCACCTCGGCCTGGGAGCCTGGCAGACCCGCCCCAGCACGCTCACCGCCTTCACCCGCTGAGCGCTCGCTCAACGCTTGCTCAGTCGCTCGCCACCACCACGCTCATCACCATCGCGTCCACTCGCCACGCTCGTCACCGCCGCCACGCTCACTCGTCACAGCCACTTTCACCGCCGCTACGGTCGCTACCGCCGGACTCGCCACCGCCACGCCCACCTCCACTATGGTGTCCACCACCACCACCACGCTCATCACCCCCACACTCGGCACCATCACACTCGCCACCACTCTCGCCACTACGCTGACCACCATCACGCTCGTCACCACGATCGCCACCACAACGCTTGCCACCAGCAAACTCGCCACCACGCTTCCCAGCACCACCACCACCACCACGCTCATCGCCCCCACACTCGGCACCATCACACTCGCCACCACTCTCGCCACTACGCTGACCACCATCACGCTCGTCACCACGATCGCCACCACAACGCTTGCCACCAGCAAACTCGCCACCACGCTTCCCAGCACCACCACCACCACGCTAACTTTCACCTGTTGATTTGTGTTGCCGCATTGTGTTGGTACGAGGAGGTTCATAATAGTTGTCAAGTTCACGGTGGCCATGGCAAAGACACTGAGCCAGCACAGCTGAGATCCTGGGCCCGAGCCCTGGGTGTCTCTCGGGGAGTTCATGATGGCCGTGTCGCAGAAACCAAGCCAACACAGCTGACAACCTTAGTTTGATTACTTTCCAATGGGGTTCACAATGGCCACGTCAGGTTCATAAATGTCCGTGCCGGTGCCACGGTGGCTGCGCGTTCCACCGGTTCCGTCTACAAGTCTTCGCTCTTCGTTTCCCTGTGCCCTCCGCCTCCAGTTTGAGGCCTCCACCGTCTTGTCCACCGTGTGCACGCCGTGATCTGCAAGGCCACTGTCGGCGCTGCAGTTTCTTTGCAAAAAAAAACAATAAAACCGCACTGCTCAAACGCTCGCACCGCAGCCGTGCACGCGTTCGTGGGAAGGGAACGAGGAGAAAATAGGAACTAGGATGGGAAGGGAGCAGAGAAACGTGAGCAAACGGGAAGGGGGGGGGAAAGAGGAATGACCAGGCCACGGTGTGTGGGGCTGATGAAGAGGGTGGTTGACGGGTCATGATTCGAGCGGAGGAGGGAAGAGAGAAGGAGGGAGCAGACATGGTGAGCTGCACAGAGGAGCAGCGACGTCGGGTTTCACCGGGGGGGGGGGGAGGAGGGCGGTGGCGTGGAGTAGAGGGATTCAAAGTGGGGGTGGCTGCACACAATTTCGCGTCATTCACAGGAGGCTTGGGCCGGTTTACAAATAGAAATGGACATCTGTGGATGAGAGGGGAGGGATTCGGTTGGGGAGGTGGCTGCACATAGGTCACGTGATTTACGGGAGGCTTGAGCCGACTGAGATGGGAGAGATGTTGGTCATCATCTCGACTCGTAACGCCGCCGCACGGCGGACGCACGCTCATGGAGAGAGAAGAGGAACGAGAGACGGGCGGGGAAGGCAGAAGCTGCAGCCCACGTGTTGAGGAGGCGGCGCTACCAACAATTGCCCAAGCTCTGCGGTCTTCTACTGGTGTTATTTGGCCCAGTTAATACATTTATACGTGTGGGACGAAATCGGAGCAAACTGAATGAAAGTCTGAATTTAATCATTACTTTAATCGTGAATGATTGGTGGTGGTTCTGGTGGTGATGTTGATGGCGGTCCTCGTGGTAATGGTGGTGGTGGTTGTGGTTCTGGTGGTGATTGTGGTTTTGGTGTTAATATTGGTTGTGATGGTGGTGATTGTGGTTTTGGTGTTAATATTGGTTGTGATGGTGATGATTGTGGTTTTGGTGTTAATATTGGTTGTGATGGTGGTATTGGTGGTGGTGATGGTAGTATTGGTGGTGGTGATGGTATTGGTGGTATTGGTGATGGTATTGGTGGTATTGGTGATGTTGGTAGTGGTCATGGTGGTGGTATTGGTGGTGTTGGTAGTGCTGACGGTGGTGGTATTGATGGTGTTGGTATTGGTGGTGGTAGTATTGGTGGTGATTGGTGGCTTCGGAAGACAACGCAGTTGTAACACACCAGCAAGGTAGCCGGGATCAATTCCCAACTCGGGTGCCTTTCTGCGTGAAGTTCCGTTCTGCGTGAAGTTTGTTCCGTTCTGCGTGAAGTTTGTTCCGTTCTGCGTGAAGTTTGTTCCGTTCTGCGTGAAGTTTGTTCCGTTCTGCGTGAAGTTTTTTCCGTTCTGCGTGAAGTTTGTTCCGTTCTGCGTGGGTTTCCTGCGACTTCTCCACTTTCCTCTCTCAGCTAAACCTCCAAACACAGCGGAACTGGTTCAGTATTGGCCAAACGACACCGCCAATGAATGAGAAATCGCCTGCACGTCACTCACTAGGGTTCATACAGCAGCAGCATCTCCTGAAAACAAAACCTGGCAGGACCCTCTTGAACATTGAGTCCTGAGAGTCGGGAGAGGCTTTCCCGGGCGAACGAGCGGAATCTTAAACTGGTGGCTTTCGCGTGAAAAACCGGTTCCTGGTCAAAACCGGTTAACCCGTACGCGCAGGTCGGTGAGATGTCATGGCGATGATTATAGACCGCCGAGGTCGCCGATTTGACTCAAAAATCCCGGCGTGGCAGTTGCAACAACGAATGGCGCAGGTCGCGTGTGGTGGTGGTTGTGGTTGTTGGTGGTGGTGATGGGGTTAAAGTGCGTGGGGGAGCGGTGGTGCAGCGGTTAGCGCGATGCTGTGGCTATGAACCCGGTGACCCGAGTTCGAATCCCGCTCACGGCCACCAACAACCAGTGACGATTGTCTGAAATCCGGTCCTGTGCCTTCCCTAGGTCGACTCGGCCTCAAACGAGTAACCTGGTGCGGTGCGTAGTAAACATCGCCACTGGGGGAGACAAAGGCGGCCGGGCGTGGTTGCTGGCCACCCCCTTCGTAGGTGCTGCTGCTCGCTAACAGCACTAGCCCCAACAGTCTGTTAATGTCTAGATTTGAAGCTTTCGTGACTGCAGGAATCCAAACTCTTTGGTTCTTTCGGTACAAGTCACGCAGGTAGGGAAATAAAAGAAATCACGACGTTTCGGGCGCAACACAAGCGTCCGTCATCAGGTGGGAAAGCGTTGGTCTGCTGCTGAGGCAGGCTGGTTTAAGAGGCTACACGGGTGATCTGTGGGGGGTAACGCGGGGGTAGTCGCCCCTTGTCGGTGTGGAAGAGGGGGCCCACGTCCCCTGCGGGCCTCCGTCTCGTGCAGGAGGCCCCCCACCCACGAGCGAGCAGTTGCAGGGGCTGCGCCTGTGCCTACGGATCGTCGCGCACAGCCGAGCGGTGGAACCGGATACGAAAAGAAATCTGAATAAGTTAGGAAATATTAATAAATTATGTAATATTACAAATTTATATATCAATACATTATATAATATTAATACATTATATAATATTAAACATGTATATAATATTAATAAATTATATATTACAAATTTATATAATATTAATACATTATATAATATTAATACATTAGAAAATATTGATAAATTATATAATATTAATAAATTATCACGGTCAATTAGTTGATATCCATAAATTCGCAAAACTGAATAAATTAGATGTGAATAAATTACCAAAACAAAATAAATTAGCTATGCTTAATACATTTGGTCATTTTGATGACATTTATATATGCTGAACTGAATAAATGAGATAATATGAATACATTTGCAAAACTGATTGAATTATATCAACTAAATTAGCAAAACAATAAATAAGCGAACATTTATGAACAAAATATGACTTACCAAATGCATTCTCAAAACCGATTAAACTGGCAAACACGAATTAATGAGCACTTCTGAATAAATTAACACTCGGAACAAAATCAAACTTTATCAAGGTAATTTATAATGAAACGCATTAACCACTCGTGAATATTAAATAGCAAGGGTTGATAACGGGGCCCCACCACGTGGTCGCGTCACGTGGTCGCATCACGTGACGCTCAGGCCGCGCAGCCATTGACGATCTGGTTCGACTCCGGCTGAAGTTCCCGTGAGGAGATTTTTTTATCTCTAATCTCAAATCTCTCGTCTCAACCCCTCAAGCCTCCTCTCACCCCGCTCAGCTGAGACTCCCCAGAGATGTGCGACATCAACATCGACAACTTCTTCCAGAAGCTTCCGGAGATGAGAGAGGCGATCTTCCAGGCGGACTTCATCGGTAAAGTTTTTGGGTGGTTTTAATCTTTTTTTAAACAAAACAAAACAAAAGCAGGAATGACATGATATAACGAATGTTTTCACATTTATATGGGACTATGGTTTTTAATGGAATGACATGATAAATGCAATGTTAAAAGCTTCAAAAGGAAAGTCTCTCTCTTCGTTCGCCATCGTCGTCAACGCGCGTCTGGAACTTTCTCCACGTGGATCTACAGAGGGCCGGGCAGAAGTGTTTACAACAAAAACACTTTTTTGTTTGAAGCACCCTGTTTATTACTGCGATATACGTGGACCCGCGGTGTAGAAGGAGGAGGTGGTGGTTAAACACCAAACAAAAACACGTGAATTATTATTACTATTTCTATTCTTAGCTCGTTAGGTAAAGTCACGTTGAAGGGAAACAATAAAATAATAAAATATATATTTATATACATATTTGATTGCACAAACAATAAAGTAATAAAATATATATAAAACAATAAAAATTCTCACGACGTTTCGACCATAACACAAACGGTCGTCATCAGGTGTGTTATGGTCGAAACGTCGTGATAATTTTTTTATTGTTTTATATATTTTTTATTATTTTATTGTTTCCCTTCAACGTGGTGATTTTACCGAAAGAGCTAAGAATATGAATTACTGCAGTCACGAAAGCTTTAAATCAAAATGTATTATTTTTATTATTTAAACACTAAACCCTACAGAGGTGTGGTGACCCGTTTACGTGAAACCACGGCGGTCAGTTAGTGGACACCTCCTTGTTGCGGTTCGTGGGAGGGAGGCGAACGTTCCGTCCTCGCTGTAACTACATACACTGTGTAACAAACATAAACATCATTGGAAACCTCATTTGCCAGTAACAAAATATGATAATTGTTTTTTTTTACCCTTTTATCTGGCAACAAAACTGACACCTTTTTTTACAAGGAGTCATGTTTACATTGTGCCACAATACCTGCGGTCGGAACGCAAACACAAAACAACAACTCTGATAATGCGCTGTCCTACCAGACAGTCTCGTCCCCTTCACCTGATGAAGGCCGCTTGTGTTGTGGCTGAAACGTCGTGAGAATATTGTTATTTTATTTTATCAATGTATTATTTTATTCTCATTCTACGTGACTTTACCGAAAGAACCAAAGAAGATGAATCATTGCAGTCACGAAAGCTTTAAATCGAAATGTATGTGGCACTGTCCTTGAAATTGATTGGTCCACACCCGAGACAGCTTTCTTTAGAGCAGTGGTTCTTAACCTTGTTGGAGGTACCGAACCCCACCAGTTTCATATGCGCATTCACCGAACCCCTCTTTAGTGAAAAATAAAATGTGATTTTTTTCAAATTCAAGACATAGATATGTTTTTTACTGGTACACAAAATGAGCCGTGCATGAACATTACCTTGTTCAAAGAATAAAACCAACACAATGCATAAACTCACAACAAATTACATACCTGGAAATCAATGTGACTTCTGCTGTTGCCTTTGAGAGATCAGTTCAGATATGCGTGGCTTCACCTTCGCAAGTGCCACTCTCATGTCATTTTCACAGCAAAGTCTGTTCCTTTTCTTCGTTTTTATGTCCAGCATCCTCGAAAAGGATTGCTCACAAAGATATGTTGTAACAAATGGTATAAAAAAATCCAGGCCTTAGCAATAACTGGATACTTGTTCATTTGTCGACACCAAAACGTTGAGAGCGTTGTTGTTCTGAAGAGTTGCTGTTGAACCTGGCTCTGCTGAATTTCAATGATTTCGTCGAGGAATTCATCATTGACATCTGCTGTTTCAACAGCAAACGTGAACGGCTGTCTCACCCATGCTGGATATGACTCTCTTGTAGGGAAATATCCGTCGAGAGACTTTGCAAGCTCATCTAAGTGCGTGGCAATTGTTTGCTTCAGTTCCGTGGATACAGAAATATCTCCGATTCCAGACACATCTTCGATCTTACTTGCACAGTCGTCCAGAAGCGGGAAGTTTGCGAAGTTATTGTTCTCTGTTCGTCGTTTCCATAACGGTAGCTTTTTTGAAAAGCCTTCAGGTGTTCTTCCGCTTCCATGATATTGACTCCACCACCCTGCATCTGCTGATTGAGATGATTGAGAGCTGCGAATATATCAGCCATGTACGCTAAAATGAGAATGAACTCAGGATTTTTGAAGCAATCTGCATGGCAGTGTTGGTGCTCTTGCAAAAACAGGGCTAATTCCACACGCATGGCAAAAACACGATTCAGCACCTGTCCCCGGGATAACCACCGAATATTAGTATGGAGCAGAAGTACCTCAAATTCAGAGCCCATTTCTTTACACAGCTCACTGAAGATGCGGTGCCTCAGAGCACTTTTTCGCACATAGTTCACACATTCCACCACAGTTTTTAATACTTCTGCCATTTTTGGAGGTACGGTTTTTGTTGCCAACGCATGCCTGTGCAGAATACAATGCGTCACAATGATGTGTGGTGCATCGGCCTTTACTAGCGCACCAAAACCAGACTTTCTTCCCAGCATGACTGGAGCTCCGTCCGTACAAACTGCAGAAACCATATCCCATGAAAGATTGTTGTCTCTGAAGAAGTCATCCACAAGCTTCTTCACATCGGCTGCCTTCGTTGTTGTAAGAGGCTTACAAAATAAAAACTCTTCTTTTATCATGTCGTCTTTCACATAGCGTACAAAAACAGCAAGCTGGCTTAGATCAGAAACGTCTGTGGTTTCGTCGAGTTGAAGGCTGAATTTTGCCGGGCTTGAAATCAGATCCGCGACTACTTGAGCCAAGATGTCTTTACTCATGTCTTCTATTCTGTCACTGACGGTGTCATTTGAAAGGGGAATTTGGGATAATTTACCTTCGGCCGCTGTTCCGAGTATCAGATTCGCCATCTTTAATGCAGCTGGTTTCACAAGTGTTTCACCAATGGTGTGTGGCTTGCCCTGCTTTGCGATCAGGTAAGCAACTTCGTACGATGCTGTCAGGATCGGTTTGTTAACAGGTACAAATCCAAGAGCAGGCAGAGTGGCCCTTTCATCGAATCTGGCTCTCTTCACCCTGAATTCAGCAAGTGTTGTGTTCTTGTATTCCCCGTCTCCATGCAGCTTCAAGAAGTGTTCCTTTAGTTTTGCCGGTGCAAGACTAGAGTTGCTCAACTTGGCGTTGCAAATCATGCAGATAGGACGCTCACTCCCATCACGTTCCGTGATACATGAGAATCCATGTTGTACATATTCGTCCGACCACTTTCCTCTTTTGCCCGACATAGTATGGATAAAATATTAAAGAAATCACACGACGTACGACAACAACAGTCACACGTTGACTACTGAGTACGCACTAAATTCCCCGCAGCGCTGATTGGCCAAGCAGTGTAGCATGATCATCTGCAGCCAGTGATGGCCAAGCGGGCCGTGTGTGTCATCACAAATTTACACAATAATTCAAGTGTGTCCGGACCTCCGTGGCGGGGGCTCTGCCGAACCCCTGAGATCGACTCACCGAACCCCTGGGGTTCGATCGAACCCAGGTTAAGAACCACTGCTTTAGAGCCTCGTCTCGGGTGTGGACCAATCAATTTCAAGGACAGTGCCACATACATTATCAGAGTTGTTGTTTTGTGTTTGCGTTCAGACCGCAGGTATTGTGGTCAATGTAAACATGACTCCTTGTAAAAAAGGTGTCAGTTTTGTTGCCAGATAAAAGGGTAAAAAACAATTATCATATTTTGTTACTGGCAAATGAGGTTTCCAGTGGTATAAATGCTTACCCCGAGCTCTCATACTCTGATGGTGCATTGTCTTTGAGTTGTGCGACGCCTTTTGGCGTCTTCTGGTCCAACACCATGTGAGACGAGGCTCTAAAGAAAGCTGTCTCGGGTGTGGACCAATCAATTTCAAGGACAGTGCCACATACGTTATCAGAGTTGTTTTGTTGTTTGCGTTCCGACCGCAGGTATTGTGGGCAATGTAAACATGACTCCTTGTGAAAAAGGTGTCAGTTTTGTTGCCAGATAAAAGGGTAAAAAAACAATTATCAAACATAAACATTACTTGTTCCTGGGTACTAAGTGTTATTTCCCAATTGCTTATGCCTCCAAGGTACAGAAAGGGGCTATCATTATTATTATTCCCCACAAAAACTTGCGTTTTGTGACCAGGACATTGATATTTTTAAATTGACCTATTTGCAATGAGAACACGTGGTGTGCATGTGTGTCATTGCTTGATACAAAATCCTGGTCACAAAAGCAAAGTTTGTGTGGAATGTGACATTTATTATAGTACACGCTTTAACTCTGTTGTATCCTCAAATCTCGTAACGCAATTTTAACCCACTTCCCAATGTCGCATCGACTGCAAATGTGTTATACGTACGTCATACTGATGACAATACTATATTCTATCATTAAAAATAAAATATTTGTAAACATTTTTTATATGTTATATGTTCGGCTTGGCTGTAATTGTCCACGCTCCCCCTTACGTCTTCCTGGAGTCGTGGAGTTCTGACGTTACTAGTACGGTACATTTCATTAAAGCGTGGTTTTAAACAAGTGTTGTTTTAAAATATTACTTATCCTATACTTTTGAGGCATGAACAATGATAAAATAAGACTTCCTACCCAGGAACAGAAATGGTGTTACGCAGTGACAATATTCACACGGAATTTGATCATTACCGTCACGAGGGCCCTCCCCAAATGCCTTGGTGCCGTATCACGACTACTCGGGCCTGCCCCTCTTATTGATGTGGCCACGAACAAGGGCCATTACACGAAACGTCGCCCGTCACGTGACAGGTTTTTTTTCCCTCTCCCTTGTAAGGCTGCAGCATTTTTTGACACTGGGCGCGTTTTGAGATTTGCCTTAACGCACAACGTTGCAGCTCTGAAGCGAGAGAGAGGCACGCGTTGTGTGTGTGCGTGTGTCGTCCGCGTGCGTTGTGCCATTGGTGGGGAGCGGCGGTGTAGCGGTTAGCGCTACGAACCTGGCGACCCGGGTTCGATTCCCGCTCAAGGCCAACACCGGTGACGATTTTATCTGAACCGGTCCTGGGCCTCCCCTAGGTCGACTCGGCCTCAAATGAGTACCTGGTGCGATGTGTAAACATCGCCACAGGAGAGACAAAGGCGGCCGGACGTGGTGTTGGCCATCCACCCCCTCGTGTGCCGTGCCGGCCTTCATAGGTGCTCGCTAAAAGCACTTGCCCCTACAGTCTGTTAAGGCTACACGGGGGATCTTTGTTGTACCAATGCGGTCACGTTGCACCCTGTACGGCAGCGAAGGTGACCTTGAAAGCATTGTCATCAAGACAATGTGGGGCTTCCAGAGTCAACGTGGAAACGAAATATCGGGGCACCGTTGGGTCAAGGTTAGACCAACGTTGGGCCAACAGACCAACGATAGACCAACGTTGGCCCAACGTTGACATGTTTACTTGGATAAAGCGTCCATCTGAAGGTGGTAGAAGTTCAGGTTGACGAGACGGCATCGGGGTGATGGACGACCCAGCACTCAGTGATTCACTTGCCCACTCTTACGGATGCACTCAACCACTCGCCCACCTACTCACTCTTCAACTCGCTCACCGGCTCATCAACTTACTCACCCACCCACTCACATCCATTCACACCACCCTCTCACAAGTACCCAGCCATTCATCCACTCACTCACTGATCCACTGCAGTCACTCACCCATCCACTCACTAAACTATTCACTCACCCATCCACTCACTAAACTATTCACTCACCCATCCACTCACTAACCTATTCACTCACCCATCCACTCACTAAACTATTCACTCACCCATCCACTCACTAACCTATTCACTCACCCATCCACTCACTAACGTATTCACTCACCCATCCACTCACTAACCTATTCACTCACCCATCCGCTCACTAAACTGTTCACTCACCCATCCACACACTAACCTATTCACTCACCCATCTACTCACTAAACTATTCACTCACCCATCCACTCACTAACCTATTCACTCACCCATCCACTCACTAAACTATTCACTCACCCATCCGCTCACTAACCTATTCACTCACCCATCCGCTCACTAACCTATTCACTCACCCATCCACTCACTAAACTATTCACTCACCCATCCACTCACGAACCTATTCACTCACCCATCCACTCACTAACCTATTCACTCACCCATCCACTCACTAACCTATTCACTCACCCATCCACTCACTAAACTATTCACTCACCCATCCGCTCACTAACCTATTCACTCACCCATCTGCTCACGAACCTATTCACTCACCCATCCACTCACTAACCTATTCACTCACCCATCCACTCACTAACCTATTCACTCACCCGTCCACTCACTAAACTATTCGCTCACCCATCCACTCACTAAACTATTCACTCACCCATTCACTCACTAAACTATTCACTCACCCATTCACTCACTAAACTATTCACTCACCCATCCACTCACTAAAATATTCACTCACCCATCCACTCACTAAACTATTCACTCACCCATCCACTCACTAACCTATTCACTCACCCATCCACTCACTAAACTATTCACTCACCCATCCACTCACTAAACTGTTCACTCACCCATCCACTCACTAAAACTAAACTATTCACTCACCCATCCACTCACTAAACTGTTCACTCACCCATCCACTCACTAAAACTAAACTATTCACTCACCCATCCACTCACTAAACTGTTCACTCACCCATCCACTCGCTAAACTATTCACTCACCCATCCACTCACTAAACTATTCACTCAGCCATCCACTCACTAAACTATTCACTCACTCATCCACTCACTAAACTATTCACTCACCCATCCACTCACTAAACTATTCGCTCACCCATCCACTCACTAAACTATTAACTCGCCCATTCACTCACTAAACTATTCACTCAGCCATCCACTCACTAAACTATTCACTCACCCATCCACTCGCCAAACTATTCACTCACCCATCCACTCACTAAACTATTCACTCACCCATCCACTCACTAACCTATTCACTCACCCATCCACTCACTAAACTATTCGCTCACCCATCCACTCACTAAACTATTCACTCACCCATTCACTCACTAAACTATTCACTCACCCATTCACTCACTAAACTATTCACTCACCCATCCACTCACTAAAATATTCACTCACCCATCCACTCACTAAACTATTCACTCACCCATCCACTCACTAACCTATTCACTCACCCATCCACTCACTAAACTATTCACTCACCCATCCACTCACTAAACTGTTCACTCACCCATCCACTCACTAAAACTAAACTATTCACTCACCCATCCACTCACTAAACTGTTCACTCACCCATCCACTCACTAAAACTAAACTATTCACTCACCCATCCACTCACTAAACTGTTCACTCACCCATCCACTCGCTAAACTATTCACTCACCCATCCACTCACTAAACTATTCACTCAGCCATCCACTCACTAAACTATTCACTCACTCATCCACTCACTAAACTATTCACTCACCCATCCACTCACTAAACTATTCGCTCACCCATCCACTCACTAAACTATTAACTCGCCCATTCACTCACTAAACTATTCACTCAGCCATCCACTCACTAAACTATTCACTCACCCATCCACTCGCCAAACTATTCACTCACCCATCCACTCACTAAACTATTCACTCACCCATCCACTCACTAACCTATTCACTCACCCATCCACTCACTAAACTATTCACTCACCCATCCACTCACTAAACTGTTCACTCACCCATCCACTCATTAAACTATTCACTCACCAATCCATTCACTAAACTATTCACGCACCCATCCACTCACTAAACTATTCACTCAGCCATCCACTCACAAAACTATTCACGCACGCACTCACTGATCCACTGCAGTCACTCACTCACTGATGTTCAGTCGTCTCCTTATTTTTTCTCGATTATTGCTACCACAATTGTCACCATTCCCGTGAACTTCACTCATTGAGTCCTACTTCACCGGACTTGGGTCTACCAGACACTGTTTCATATCATCCACCACCACACTGCAGGTCACAACTCACTCAAACACGCAGTCAACCATTGGCTCATTCACTCACCCACACATCACGCACACAATCACTCGCCCACCCACTCGCCCACTCACTCGCCCACTCGTCCACACACTCGCCCACACACTCACCCACAATGCACGTCACCTCACTTCCCTCTCTGCTTTTCCCCTCTCACTGCTCCACTCTGGGAATCCCCTCCCCCTACTGTACCACCGTCATCATTGTCCCTCTTCCCCCACGCTGTCACAACAACAACAACAGAAGCAACAATAACAGACACAACAACCACCACCATCTCTCTCGGTTCAAGGAGTGTACTTAATTGATGCCCATTACAAGTTTGATAACAGTGCTGCTTGTTGCTGACCGCTTGGGGTTTTGGAACTTTGGGCCTTGTGCTCAACAACTGTCAAAAAAAAAAGCAAATGCCTGTTCCGTCAGTATTCTTACAGATCCCATCAGCCACACACAGCCACCTCCATCTGGGATTAGTGATCCTTGTGGCAGCATTGATTGAGAACAGTATCTCATTAGCAGCAGTCAGGCTTTGCTTGAACCAGTGCTGGTGAACTTCCAGATGTTTCTAGACAGGGACCGGTTTTGACATTCAGCGTCTCTTCAGCAGAGAAATTCGCCAAATTTGAAAGATGTACACCATAAATCACTTGTTGGCATCAGCCGCAACTGTCGCTCCCTGCCGGCAGCAGGCCGATGCCCCTGGTCACTCTTGAAGATGAGGCTTTGATCGGAGTTCGCGTGATAGTTTATACTCCTTTGACGAGATCACCGAGGTATTGTGGTTCATTTGTGGCAAGCACTTTGTGCGTAATGAGTGCAACTTGACAATGTATCTGTTCAGCAGTCGGAAGCCAATGCAACTCAGCGAGCACTGGGCGGACGTGGTCGGATCTCGCAGTACCCGCGGCGACACGTGTACACACTGTAGCTTGGTAATGTTCATGGCGGATGTCCCGTAGAGTAGCGAGTTGCAATTATCGAGCCTTTGTCGATACTACGCTACACGCCATCGTGTTGGCTATGTCACCACTCAAGTGGTCTCTAGGGGGTCTCTATGTATCTCTTTTGTATCTCTCCATCTGCATATATCTCCATGGATCTTTATTTTTCTCCATGTCATCTCTCGGCGCCCAGCAGCGCTGACGATGGTGATGATGATGTCGTTGCTCATGTGGCTCGCTATGTTAATAGGTGTGCATTAACTATGCTAAGTAATCCACAGCTATCGACACGGAGCTCAGTGGACTGGACGCGGGGCCTCTCTCGCGCTTCAGGTACCCACGATCCGCACAACGACCCTTTTTTTTTTTCCACTGGCACAACCACGCCGTGCCGGGGCCAGGCTGTTTTTCTTTTTCCACTGCAGAAGCCGTGCCGTGCCGTGCCGCTGACATCACGCACAGAACGAGTCGAGACGCGAGCACACACGCACGTAGATTAACTCTGCCACGGCCATTATGATCCTCCCCCCTGAGAGGGAGAGGCCCGTTGCTCAAACCCAGGATCCCGGTGTCTCCGACGTGACCAGGATGAACACCCTGAGAGAGAGCGAGACACCCAGGATCTTAGCAGTGCTGGCTTGCTCGTTGTCTCCACCGCAGCAATTGTAAACCTACTGAACCACGCGGTGTAAATGATACCCATGCTGTTTTGTGTGTGTGTGCGCGCGCATTGTGGATTATGCCGATGGTTAGTTTGTGTTAAATTGACCATAGCCCACAACAGCTGCGCTACTGCGCCCCCCAGATACACAGACCCGAGATCCCCCGTATAGCCTTAACAGATTGTAGGGACAAGTGCTGTTGATGAGCACCTATGAAGTCCGGCACACATGGCGGGGTCGGTGGCCAGCACCACCCCAGCCACCTACGTCCCCTTAGTAGTGACGTTTACACATCGCACAAATCACTCACTCAAGGCGGCGTCGAGGTAGGGGAGTGTTCTTCACTAGTTTTGCCGATAAGACTTCAGTGTGAGGGCCGCCACGCATTTTAAACCATCGGGGTTTGTGTATTGTCGCGGGCTGGGTGTCAGAGGCCACACATGGAAGGCTACCAGAGCCCGCCAGTGGCCCGCGGGCCTTGCGGTGGAGAACACTGCGGTAGGAGATGATCGTCACTGGTGTTGGCCTTGAGCGGGAATCGAACTCGGGTCGCCGGGTTCGTGGCGCCCCACTACTCCCCATTGCGAAGACAAAGACACGGGGCACTCACAGGGGTCGTGTTGCTGCTGCTGCTGCTGTGTGTGGCCGTGTGTGCGCGATGAAGTCTGTTCGACTCCCCGCGAGACCACTACACCCGGAGGAGGGAGAGCGCCCTGGTCTACTCCATCGTGCAGCTTGGTGAGGCCCCTACCGCCTCCTCGTACTCCCTCCCCTCCTCCCTGCCCTCCTCACCCCCCCTGCCCACCCGGTGGTGGCGCTATCGTTCACCGCTTTTGTTTCGGAAGTTCACGGTTAGATTTACAGCGGCAGACCGCCCTGGTTAATACCGTGGTGTTTTGTGCGTCGCTGAGTGGGTGATCGTCATCATCATTATCATCTCTTTACCATCTAATTCATCATCTCTATCATCACCACAGTCATTATCGTCATCAGCAGTAGAATCTACATCCCTTCATGGTGACATTTCGCAGTGGTGAGATATTAACTACCTCGCCTGGCATGCAGGAGGTTACGGATTTGATTCCGACCCTGACGCCTGCTGTATGTTTGGAATTTGCGTGTCTCTCTCTCTCTCCGTGGTCGCGTGGATTTAATTTCCGGGTCCTCCGGGTTTTTTCCCTCCACCGAATCAAGCGTTTAGAGTCTTTGGCTGCTACACGTTTCCACGTGATAAGCCACTTTGTCGAGCTATCATTTGTGGTAGCCAGGTCGCTTCTGAAATAGAGCTACATAACTCGGTGGGCCTTACCTGTTAAAATTTCATTGTTTAGTAGTTCAGAGCATCACGTGTGCAGCCAGTAGTGATAGTTGTTCAGATAGACTGGCCTTGTCATGAGAATGTGGAGTTGGTCATTTGTGTTTGCGCTGTGCGTTTCTTTGCAGGATTGTCGGCCTTCAAACAGGACAATGAGGTGGAAGGCAGGTGGGTGTCGCATCATCATCATCATAACCGTCACTATAATCGTCACCATCGTCATCATCACTTTCATCATTGTCACTATCATCATCACTATCATCGTCATCACCACTCTCATCATCACTTCCATCACAATAATCATCATCGTCATCAGCATCACGATTCAGCGTCACTATCAACATGATCATCACCACCATCGGTTACAAACTGGATAACGATGGTGGTGATCTTATTGATGCTTCTTCTGATGTATGCGATGTTTATCCTGATAGTGGTGCTGCTGTTGCTGCTATTGCTACCGCTACGACTGTTACTGCTGCTGTTACTGCTGCTACTGCTGCTACAGGTTCAGTGTACGCACGTACAATCTGTACCTGTGCCCTGCTGCGGTTCTGGGCTCCGGTTCGAGCATCACCTGGGAACTCCCGGCCCTCATCTTCCTGCGCAGACACGGCTTGGATATCGCCCAGGTACACTTCGCCACAACCACCACAAACACCACAACCACCACAGCCACCACTCACTCTACTAACCACAGCCACCACAACCACCACAACCACCACTCACTCTACTAGCCACAACCACCACAACCACCACAACCACCTCTCACTCTACTAGCCACAACCACCACAACCACCACTCACTGTACTAGCTACAGCCACCACAAGCACCACAGCCACCACTCACTCTACTAGCCACAACCACCACCACTCTACTAGCCACAACCACCACAACCACCACAACCACCACTCACTCTACTAGCCACAGCCACCACAACCACCACTCTACTAGCCACAGCCACCACAACTACCACTCACTCTACCAGCCACAACAACCACAACCACCACTCTACTAGCCACAACCACCACTCTACTAGCCACAACCACCACAACCACCACTCACTCTACACCAGCCACAACCACCACTCACTCTACACCAGCCACAACCACCACTCACTCTACACTAGCCACAACCACCACTCACTCTACACAACCACCACCACTCTACACCAGCCACAACCACCACTCACTCTACACCAGACACAACCACCACTCTACATCAGCCACAACCACCACTCACTCTACACCAGCCACAACCACCACCACTCTACACCAGCCACCACCACCACCACTCTACACCAGCCACAACCACCACTCACTCTACACAACCACCACCACTCTACACCAGCCACAACCACCACTCACTCTACACAACCACCACCACTCTACATCAGCCACAACCACCACTCACTCTACACCAGCCACAACCACCACCACTCTACACCAGCCACAACCACCACCACTCTACACCAGCCACAACCACCACTCACTCTACACCAGCCACAACCACCACTCTACACCAGCCACAACCACCATTCACTCTACACCAGCCACAACCACCACCCACTCTACACCAGCCACAACCACCACTCACTCTACACCAGCCACCACCACCACTCACTCTACACCAGCCACAACCACCACTCACTCTACACCAGCCACAACCACCACCACTCTACACCAGCCACAACCACCACTCTACACCAGCCACCACCACCACTCACTCTACACCAGCCACAACCACCACCACTCTACACCAGCCACAACCACCACCACTCTACACCAGCCACAACCACCACTCACTCTCCACCAGCCACAACCACCATTCACTCTACACCAGCCACCACCACCACTCACTCTACACCAGACACAACCACCACTCTACACCAGCCACCACCACCACTCACTCTACACCAGCCACAACCACCACTCACTCTACACCAGACACAACCACCACTCTACACCAGCCACAACCACCATTCACTCTACACCAGCCACCACCACCACCACTCTACACCAGCCACAACCACCACTCTACACCAGCCACAACCACCACTCACTCTACACCAGCCACAACCACCACCCACTCTACACCAGCCACAACCACCACTCTACACCAGCCACAACCACCACTCTACACCAGCCACAACCACCACCACTCTACACCAGCCACCACCACCACTCACTCTACACCAGCCACAACCACCACCACCACTCTACACCAGCCACCACCACCACTCTACACCAGCCACAACCACCACTCTACACCAGCCACCACCACCACTCACTCTACACCAGCCACAACCACCACCACTCTACACCAGCCACCACCACCACTCTACACCAGCCACAACCACCACTCTACACCAGCCACAACCACCACTCTACACCAGCCACAACCACCACTCACTCTACACCAGCCACAACCACCACCACTCTACACCAGCCACAACCACCACCACTCTACACCAGCCACAACCACCACTCTACACCAGCCATAACCACCACTCTACACCAGCCACAATCACCACTCACTCTACACCAGCCACAACCACCAATCACTCTACACCAGCCACAACCACCACCACTCTACACCAGCCACAACCACCACTCTACACCAGCCACAACCACCACTCACTCTACACCAGCCACAACCACCATTCACTCTACACCAGCCACCACCACCACCACTCTACACCAGACACAACCACCAATCACTCTACACCAACCTCAACCACCTCTCACTCTACACCAGACACAACCACCACCACTCTACACCAGCCACAACCACCACTCTACACCAGCCACAACCACCACCACTCTACACCAGCCACAACCACCACTCTACACCAGCCACAACCACCACTCTACACCAGCCACAACCACCACTCACTCTACACCAGCCACAACCACCACCACTCTACACCAGCCACAACCACCACTCTACACCAGCCACAACCACCATTCACTCTACACCAGCCACAACCACCACCACTCTACACCAGCCACAACCACCACTCTACACCAGCCACAACCACCATTCACTCTACACCAGCCACAACCACCACCACTCTACACCAGCCACAACCATCACCACCACTCTACACCAGCCACAACCACCACCACTCTACACCAGCCACAACCATCACCACCACTCTACACCAGCCACAACCATCACCACCACTCTACACCAGCCACAACCACCACTCACTCTACACCAGCCACAATCACCACCACTCTACACCAGACACAACCATCACCACTCTACACCAACCACAACCACCACCACTCTACACCAGCCACAACCACCACCACTCTACACCAGCCACAACCACCACTCACTCTACACTAGCCACAACCACCACTCTACACCAGCCACAACCACCACTCACTCTACACCAGCCACCACCACCACCACTCTACACCAGCCACAACCACCACTCACTCTACACTAGCCACAACCACCACTCTACACCAACCTCAACCACCTCTCACTCTACACCAGCCACAACCACCACCCACTCTACACCAGCCACAACCACCACTCTACACCAGCCACAACCATCACCACTCACTCTACACCAGCCACAACCACCACTCACTCTACACCAGCCACCACCACCACTCTACACCAGCCACAACCACCACTCACTCTACACCAGCCACAACCACCACCACTCTACACCAGCCACAACCACCATTCACTCTACACCAGCCACAACCACCACCACTCTACACCAGCCACCACCACCACTCACTCTACACCAGCCACAACCACCACCACCACTCTACATCAGCCACAACCATCACCACTTTACACCAGCCACAACCACCACCACTCTACACCAGCCACAACCACCACTCACTCTACACCAGCCACAACCACCACCACTCTACACCAGCCACAACCACCACTCACTCTACACCAGCCACAACCACCACCACTCTACACCAGCCACAACCACCACTCACTCACTCTACATATATATGGTGAGCGAGTGATGAGCGTGTGTGGTGAGCGTGTGTGTGATGAGAGTGTGTGGTGAGCGTTAGTGGTGAAAATGAGTGGTGAGCGTGTGTGGTGAGCGTGTGTGGTGAGCGTGTGTGATGAGAGTGGGTGGTGTTTGTGGTGAGCGTGTGTGGTGAGCGTGTGTGGTGAGCGTGTGTGGTGAGCGTGTGTGGTGAGCGTGTGTGGTGAGAATGAGTTGTGAGAATGTGTGGTGAGCAGGTGGTGAGCGTGTGTGGTGAGCTTGTGTGGTGAGCGTGTGTGGTGAGCGTGTGTGGTGAGCGTGTGTGGTGAGCGTGTTTGGTGAGAATGAGTGGTGAGCGTGTGTGGTGAGCAGGTGGTGAGGAAGGGAGTCCCGTATCTCAACTGGGAGCAGGAGAAGTCTCTGGCTCGGGAAGTGGAGTCCAACCCCACAGCACTACTCTCGTGGGTGTGGACACCACACTACCATCACCATCACCATAAACACCATCATCATCATCACTATCATCACCATCATCACCATCATCATCAACACCATCATCAACACCATCATCATCACCATCATCACCATCACCACCATCACCATCATCATCACCATCATCACCATCATCATCACCATCACCACCATCATCACCATCAACACCATCATCATCACCATCACCACCATCATCACCATCAACACCATCATCATCACCATCAACACCATCATCATCACCATCAACACCATCATCATCACCATCAACACCATCATCACCACCATCACCATCAACACCATCATCATCACCATCATCAACACCATCATCATCACCATCAACACCATCATCACCACCATCACCATCAACACCATCATCACCATCATCATCACCATCATCACCATCATCATCATCACCATCATCAACACCATCACCATCACCACCATCACCACCATCATCACCATCAACACCATCATCACCATCAACACCATCATCACCATCATCACCATCAACACCATCATCACCATCATCACCATCAACACCATCATCATCACCATCAACACCATCATCATCACCAATACCATCATCATCACCACCAAGACCATCATCATCACCACCAAGACCATCACCAACACCATCATCAACATCATCATCAACACCATCATCAGCATCAACACCCATCAACACTATCATCACCATCAACACCCATCAAGACCCATCAACAGCATCATCAACACCATCATCAACATCACCATCAACACCATCATCATCAACACCATCATCATCAACACCATCATCACCACCAACACCACCAACACCATCATCACCACCATCACCACCATCATCATCACCATCATCATCAACATCATCAACATCTTGATTTAAAGCTTTCGTGACTGCAGTAATTCATATTCTTGGTTCTTTCGGTAAAGTCACGTTGAAGGGAAACAATAAAATAATAAAATATATATAACAATAAAATTATCACGACGTTTCGACTGTAACACAAACAGTCATCATCAGGTGTGCAAACCAACGGCAAGAACATTTGAAAGAAGTGGCGGTTTGCATTTATTTATTTTTAACCGTTAGCGCCACGGATAGCGATTTGACAGTTTGTTTAGATCAGGGGTCACCAAACTTTTTTCACAGCGGGCTGGATAACTGATAGAATGACGATCGCGGGCCGCATAATTATCCCGTTCAATACTTGGGGGCGGGAAAGATGCGTGTTTGTGTGTGTTGCCACGGAAACCATGGTAACGTTGCCATGATGTTGCCATGGAAACCATGGTAACGTCAGAGCGTAGGCGGAGCTACCACGAGCCGGGGAAGGACTTGGGATGGCGCGAAATAAGCAAACATGACAATGAACAAGAAAATCTAGATACAATAATTTAAAATAGTAAATTTAAGGCACATAGCAGTAAGGAGGTCTCCGCACGCGTGAAGATCTCCTAGTATTCTAACCATAATATTTAAATTGTATCACAACGGCTCGTGTTTCATACGTTTTATCAACCAAATTCAAGTACCGTCGGCGGGCCTGATGGACTGACGTCGCGGGCTGGATTCGGCCCGCGGGCCGTAGTTTGGTGACCCCTGGTTTAGAAGGACTAGTCCATCTATGTTCGGAAAAGAGGAGGAGGGGAGACGAAAAATTAATGTATGCTGTCTGAAAGCCACCGTAAGCGTGAACAATCAATTAAGACCCAAAATGGTTTATCAAATCCTTCCAATGATTGCTAAGCCAGAATCCATCTTCTCGGTTGAAATTGTCTCTGTGTTTGTATATGTGGATAGCCTCATGAACGAATCTCTCATGGTAGCCAGATGGCTTGCAAATAACCTCTGTCTTGGAGAAGTCAATGTCATGTGAGCCTACTGAATTATAACAATGATCTGCCACGGCCGAGGTGTTGGTCCTACCGTGTTTAAGGTCTGCTTTGTGTTCACGAATGCGGTCCGAGACATGGCGTTTGGTTTCTCCAATGTAATTACTACCACAGAGGCAACTTAGTTTGTAGACACCAGGGTACTGTCTGTCCGGAATCGCATCTTTTACAGACGGAACCAGATCACGGATTTTATGTAATGTGTTGAAACGGACCTGGATCTTGTGTTTATTCAAGATTTTGGAGATCTTTTTTGTGATCCCCGCAATGTAGGGTAAAGTGAAGGTTTTGAAAGGCTCCTCAAGAGGGTCCTTCTTCATGGTTTGAGTGATAGCTTCGCGGATTGTATAGTCGGAGTAACCATTAGCCTTAAGAGCTTGGCGTACGTGCTTGAGTTCACTGCCTATGTGTTCCTGGTCGGATATGCATTGGGCTCTATGGTGCAGAGTCTTGATGAGAGAATTCTTCTGTGATGGATGGCGGTGGGAATCCGGTTTCAGATAAGCATCCGTATGGGTAGCTTTCCTGTAGACAGTGGCTCATTGAAAGCTACCCATACGGATGCTTATCTGAAACCGGATTCCCACCACCATCCATCACAGAAGAATGTTCTTGCCGTTAGTTTTCACACCTGATGATGACTGCTTGTGTTGCAGTCGAAACGTCGTGAGAAGTTTATTGTTTTATATATATTTTATTATTTTATTGTTTCCCTTCAACGTGACTTTACCGAAAGAACCAAGAATATGAATATCATCAACATCATCACCATCATCACCATCATCACCATCAACACCCATCAACACTATCATCACCATCATCACCATCAACACCCATCAACACCATCAACATCAACACCATCATCACCATCATCAACATCACCATCAACACCATCATCACCATCAACACCATCACCACCATCATCACTATCATCACCATCATCACTATCATCACCATCATGATCACCACGTTCACAATCATCAACATCATGATCATCACCATCAACACCATTATCACCATCATCGCCACTGTCATCACCACCATCATCATCATTATTACAGCGCTTCTCTCGCGACCCCCCTTTAGGGGCAAGTGCTGTTAGCGAGTAGCATCTATGACGGCCGGCACGGTACGCGAGGGGGTGGGTGGCCAACACCACGCCCGGCCGCCTTTGTCTCCCCAGTGACGATGTTTACACATCGCACCGGGTACTCATTTGAGGCTGAGCCGACCTAGGGGAGGCCCAGGACCTGTTCAGATAATTGTCACGGGTGTTGGGAATCGAACTTGGGTCACCAGGTTCGTAGCGCAGCACGCCAACCGCTACACTACCACTCCCCACCACCATTACCACCGCTATCAACACCATCACCAACATAACCATCGTCATCATTGCGACAGTGCTACTCTCGTGAGCATGGAGGCAGCATCACCACCGCCACTCTCATCGCCATCATCACTCTCACCGGCAATGCCATCAGTATAAACACCAGCCCCACCATCAGCACCGTCATCAAAATCATCATCACCAGCACCACCATCAGCACCGTCATCATCATCACCAGGACCACCATCAGCACCGTCATCAACATCATCATCACCAGCACCACCATCAGCACCATCATCAACATCATCATCATCACCAGCCCCACCATCAGCACCGTCATCAACATCATCATCACCAGCATCACTATCACCAGCATCACCATCAGCACCGTCATCAACATCATCATCACCAGCACCACCATCAGCACCGTCATCAACATCATCATCACCAGCACCACCATCAGCACCATCATCAACATCATCATCACCAGCCCCACCATCATCACCGTCATCAACATCATCACCAGCACCACCGTCAGCACCGTCATCAACATCATCATCACCAGCCCTACCATCAGCACCGTCATCAACATCACCAGCCCCACCATCAGCACCGTCATCAACATTATCTTCACCAGCACCACCATCTTCACAATGGATATTAATATTGATGATGCGACGTTGGTGATGATGATCATGATAGTGATGATGATGATAGTGATCACGATCATGTTGTGACGCAGGCTGGAGTGGGGCGAGGAGGTGTGGAATGCCGTCACCTCGTGGCTGTCAGAAGCCAAACCCGGAGACTCCACTGTGCTCACTGAGACCGGGGTCCTGCCACCCGGTACTAACACCCACCCCACTAACACCCACCTCACTAACACCCACCCCACTAACACCCACCCCACTAACACCCACCCCACTAACACCCACCTCACTAACACCCACCTCACTAACACCCACCCCACTAACACCCACCCCACTAACACCCACCCCACTAACACCCACCCCACTAACACCCACCCCACTAACACCCACCTCACTAACACCTACCTCACTAACACCCACCTCACTAACACCCACCCCACTAACACCCACCCCACTAACACCCACCCCACTAACACCCACCTCACTAACACCCACCCCACTAACACCCACCTCACTAACACCCACCCCACTAACACCCACCTCACTAACACCCACCCCAATAACACCCACCTCACTAACACCCACCCCACTAACACCCACCTCACTAACACCCACCCCACTAACACCCACCCCACTAACACCCACCTCGCTAACACCCACCCCACTAACACCCACCTCACTAACACCGACCTCGCTAACACCCACCTCACTAACACCCACCTCACTAACACCCACCCTACTAACGTGCACCCCACTAACACCCACCTCACTAACACCCACCTCACTAACACCCACCTCACTAACACCCACCTCACTAACACCCACCCTACTAACGTGCACCCCACTAACACCCACCCCACTAACACCCACCTCACTAACACCCACCCCACTAACGCCCACCCCACTAACACCCACCTCACTAACACTCACCTCACTAACACCCACCTCACTAACACCCACCTCACTAACACCCACCCCACTAACGCCCACCCCACTAACACCTCACTAACACCCACCTCACTAACACCCACCTCACTAACACCCAGAGCTAACTCGACCACTCATTTTTTCTCACTGGGTTCTAACAACTGTGTTCTCACTCTAACTTCTGTAGCGCTATGATACATGCGGGTGATAATGTTGATTCTAATGTTGATTGCGATATTAATGTTAACGGCTATATTAATTTTGATTTATGATGATGACCGTTTGAGTTATGGTCGAAACGTCGTGAGAATTTTTTATTGTTTTATATATATTTTGTTATTTTGTTGTTTCTCTTCAACGTGACTTTACCGAAAAAACTAAGAATATAGGCTATATTAATGTTGATGGCGATGTTGATGCCGATATTGATGGTGGTAATGTTGGCGATGATGTTCATGACGGTGACGATGTTGACTGTGACGTTGATGGTGATGTTGATGGCGATGTTGATGGTGGTAATGTTGGCGATGATGTTTATGACGGTGACGATGTTGACAACGATGTTGGTGATGTTGACGGTGACGTTGATGGTGATGTTGATGGCGATATTGATGGCGGTAATGTTGTCGATGATGTTTATGACGGTGACGATGTTGACAACGATGTTGGTGATGTTGACGGTGACGTTGCAGGCCCCTCAACTCGCCTTCTGCACTGGGTTCTCCGTTCCACGTTCCCCTCCATCTGGACCTCGGAGAAAGATGGCCAGGTGACCCCTGACCCCCCCCCCCAACTGACTCCTCCCCCTGACCCCACCCCCCACTGACCTCTCCCCCACTGGCCCCTCCTCCCCTGAACCCCACCTACCCCCCCACCAATGTCTCCCCCCATGACTCTGATAGAGCCAGAGGGGACACGGCCATCAAAGTAAAAACTCTTTTGTACTTTACCGGGTCAGGGCCCCCACTGAGCTACGTAGCTCTTTTTCAGAAGGGACCTGGCCATCAAAAATGATAGCGCAACCAAGTGGCTTGTCATCACGTGGACATTTATAGCAGCCAAAATAAAATAATCTAAAACGCGTGCTAAGTCTAAATGTGGAGGGGAAAAACCGCAGGACCCGGAGAACAATCTGTGCGACCACGGGGAGAGAGAGAGAGACACCGCGAACTCCAAATATACAGCAGCAGCAGGCGTCAGGGTCGGGATCGAACCCACGACCTCCTCTGTACCAGGCGAGGTAGTTAACATCTCATAGCCACCGTGATGATCGTGGGAGAGAGACACGCAAACTCCAAATATACAGCAGCAGGCGTCGGGGTCAGGATCGAACCCACGACCTCCTGTGTACCAGGCGAGGTAGTTAACATCTCCTAGCCACCGTGATGATCATGGGAGAGAGAGACGCCAACACCAAATATACAGCAGGTGTCAGGGTCGGGATCGAACCCACGACCTCCTGCACACCAGGCGAGGTAGTTAACATCTCATAGCCACCGTGATGATCATGGGAGAGAGAGACGCCAACACCAAATATACAGCAGGTGTCAGGGTCGGGATCGAACCCACGACCTCCTGTGTACCAGGCGAGGGAGTTAACATCTCCTAGCCACCATCGCGCCCCATTATGCGCCTGCACGCCGGCACCGTGTCGGGTGGCTTTAAGCAGGCTCTGGCGGGCCGCCCTGCTTAATGCTGCAGTGGCGTGCGCATTGAACCACCACGATGATCGTGCTCCCACCCCGTGCCGCCGCCCACTTCGCTAGGAGTAATTCCATCGTTGACCGGCGTCACAAAAACTAAATGTTTTTTTAACACATTTTAGTATTTATTAGTTTGTTGTCGTTGACCCAGCACCTCCGATTCGCGCGGTTGCGGAATAAGTTCTACATCCAACTTTGTACAAATTTGAATAGTGACTGCGCAAATTAAAAAAAAACTACTCGTTTGTTATCACACGCATCAACAGCATCACCACCCCCCCCCCCCCCCCAGTGCAAACAAAACCTGGCAGGACTCTGCTGAACACGGAGTCTTGAGACTCGGTGAGGGTCTGCTGGATGAATGAGCAGAATCATTGCCATAATGTGACACGCACTCAAACCGCCCTCCCTGCCTCCCTCTCAGCTGCTGCTCATGAGGGTCACTCCATCGGGCCGCGAGCAGCAGGAAGCCTCCACGCCCGGTGACCTTTGCCCCCTCGGCCTGATGCGAAGCATGCTGGGAGTCACCTCTGTGATTCGCTACCTGGTGGAGGCACAGAAGGTTTGGAGAGGGGCTGGGGGGGGGGGGATGGGCACCCTGGCTCTGGGTCTCTGTCTCTCTCTGAGGGGTTCTTGATGGCCGTGTTACAGACAATGAGCCAGAACCATTGAGATCCTAGATTCAAGCCCAGGGTCTGGCTCCCACAGAGCCAGTTTGATTCCCGCTCACGGCCAACATGGCTGACGGCGAATATCTGAACCAGGTGCTGGGCATCACCACTTGGTCCGCTCAGCTTTAAATGAGCACTGGGTGTGGCGTGTCGGTCAGAATCGGAATCTTTATTTTCCCTGGAGAAACGCGATGCGCTTACGAAGCTATTTTTCACGGACGTCCGGTAGGGGTGGATCAGAAAATTACATCGGCAAACAATACAACAAAGCGATTGGAGTGCAAAGTGCAGGAAAGGTGTTTAGAACATTAGTGGCACAAGGGAGACAAAGGTGGCCGGGCGAGAGTGGTGTGCCTTCACTGGTGTTACTTGCCCACATGCCTAGGAATCAATGAATAGTTAATAATAAAAGTCATTATTTATCCAGAGAGCCACACTGAGTGTGAGTAATACGACTCTTTTTCTTCAGGAGGTTTCCTTGCTGCGACTTTGTTTCTTAGTTGCAAGATCCTTTGCAGCCAGTTAATGATGAGTCGCGTTGATTATGCACGTTGGGAGGAAACCGGAGCGCTCTCAGAAAACCCACTCCTTGCGCGAGAGAGCAACGCTCGATCCCCGTGCAGACGGACACACAGATGGCGATTAGTCCACTCATTTGTGCCCTCTTCTCCTGGCGAGCCGGGGTATGGCGGGTCCTCGACGCCCACGGGGGAAGGCAGCTTCATGACGTCTGTGTGATCCACCAACCCTAGCACTTGCCCCGACTGCCCTATGTGCGCTACATGGGGGGACACACACCTTTGTCTGTATGTGTGTGTATTTGCGTGTGTGCGTGTATGTGTGTGTATTTGCGTGTGTGTGTGTGTGTGGAGTGATAGTGTAGCGGTTAGCGCTACGCTGCGCTACAAACCGGAAGACCCAAGTTCGATTCCCGCTCACGGGCAACACCAGTGGCGATTATTTGAACCGGTCCTGGGCCTCCCCTAGGTCGACTCAGCCTCAAATTAGTACCTGGTGCGGTGTGTAAACATCGCCACTGGGGAGACAAAGGCGGCCGGGCGTGGTGTTGGCCACCCACCCCCTCGTGTGCCGTATCGACCTTCATAGGTGCCCGCGAACAGCACTTGCCCCTACAGTCTGTTAAGGCTGCATGGGGGACATTTGTCTGTGTGTGTGTGTGTGTATGCAGCCTCTGGTCGGTCACAGCATGTACCTGGATCTCCTTCACGTCTTCCAGAGCTTCATTGCCCCATTGCCAGGTATCCAACCCCACTGCTTTGCAAGCCTTGGTTCGATCCCTGAGACTGGCATGTCAATGTGAGAGACTAGCATGTTAATGTGAGATACTAGCATGTTAATGTGAGATACTAGCACGTTAATGTGAGAGACTAGCACGTTAATGTGAGAGACTAGCATGTAAATGCGAGAGATTAGCATGTTAATGTGAGAGACTAGCATGTTAATGCGAGAGACTAGCATGTTAATGCGAGAGACTAGCATGTTAATGCGAGATATTAGCATGTTAATGTGAGAGACTAGCATGTTAATGGGAGAGACTAGCATGTTAATGTGAGAGACTGGCATGTTAATGGGAGAGACTAGCATGTTAATGTGAGAGACTAGCATAATTTTTACCTGGCAGCCCTTTAATTGGTGGAAAGCCCACCACCGTCGCCGCCCACCACCTACATTAACATAAGCTACCCCGCCCATGCTGCTGACATTTGGGCTACGCCCATTTCAAACCTTTATAAACAATTTGCCTTTAGAAGATAACCCCCTTTTCCTGATGACGAACGCTTGTGTTGCGATCGAAACGTCGTCGTTTTTTGTTATTTTTCTTTACGTGACTTTACCGAAAGAGCCTAAGAATATCCCAGGGGTTCATAATGGTCATGTCAGATGCACTGGGGTCCTGGGTTCAAGTCCTGTGTCTGGCTGTGGTCTCTCACAGGGGGTTCACGATGGCCGTGTCAGAGACCCTGAGCTCCTGGGTTGAAGCCCTGTGTGTGGGAGTCTCAGGGGGGTGGAGGTTCACGAAGGCCGTGTCAGAGACCCTGAGATCCTGGGTTGGAGCCCTGTGTGTGGGAGTCTCGGGGGGGTGGAGGTTCACGATGGCCGTGTCAGAGACCCTGAGATCCTGGGTTGGAGCCCTGTGTGTGGGAGTCTCGGGGGGGTGGAGGTTCACGATGGCCGTGTCAGAGACCCTGAGCTCCTGTGTTGGAGCCCTGTGTGTGGGAGTCTCGGGGGGGGTGGAGGTTCACGATGGCCGTGTCAGAGACCCTGAGATCCTGGGTTGGAGCCCTGTGTGTGGGAGTCTCGTGGGCGAGGTTCACGATGGCCATGTCAGAGACCCTGAGCTCCTGTGTTGGAGCCCTGTGTGTGGGAGTCTCGGGGGGAGGGAGGTTCACGATGGCCATGTCAGATTCCCTGAGATCCTGTGTTGGAGCCCTGTGTGTGGGAGTCTCGGGGGCGAGGTTCGCGATGGCCGTGTCAGAGACCCTGAGCTCCTGGGTTGGAGCCCTGTGTGTGGGAGACTGGGGGTGGAGGTTCACGATGGCCGTGTCAGAGACCCTGAGCTCCTGGGTTGGAGCCCTGTGTGTGGGAGTCTCGGGGGCGAGGTTCACGATGGCCGTGTCGTCGTTGTCGCCGCAGAGCCCTACGGGAATTTCAAGCGTTCGCTGAGCGAGCTCTTCCCCTCCGTGTACGACACCAAACACATGGCCCTGGCGTCCGAGAAGGTGAGGGGGTGGGGCAGGAGAGGGGGGGGGGGTGTAGGGGGGTGTAGGGGGGTGTAAGGGGGTGTAGGGGGTTGTAGGAGTAGAGTCGGTTTTAGAGCTGCGTTTGGAGTAGGGGGGCTAGTGTGTCGGTGTTATTGCCAGCATTACCGTGTGTCACTGTGTGTTGCTACGTGTGTCACTGTGTGTTGCTACGTGTGGCGAGCGGTTAAGACACGTGCACGTTGAACTTCTTTCACACCGTACGTAGCCGACCGTGCCAATCGGACGTGCGGTAGGGTGGTGGTTAGCGCGTTGCGCTACGAACCCGGCGACCCGAGTTCGAATCCCGTGCACGGCCAACACGAGTGACGATTATCTGAAACGGTCCTGGGCCCCCGCTAGATCGACTCGGCCTCAAATGATTATCTGGTGCGGTGTGTAAACATCGCCACCAGGGAGACAAAGGCGGCCGGGCATAGTTCTGGCCACCCACCCCCTCGTGTGTCCTGTGCCGGCCTTCATCGGTGCTCGCAAAAAGCACCTGCCCCAAAAGTCTGTTCAGGCTACTGTGTGCGAGTGTGTTACTGAGCATGTGTCACTGTGTGTGTGTGTCACCGTGTTGGTGATTGTCACTGTGTATGTGTCGCAGATGCTGCTGAGGAATGATGTGTGTCATATGGACTCACTGGAGAACCTTTACATGGCATTCAAGAGGTGAACCGAGTCAGTCCGCCAATGAATTAATTCAGTCATTCCTAAATTATATCAGACTGTCATTCATGCGTTCATTCATTCTTAATTCGGTTTGCTCCGGTTTTGTCCCACACACATCAACGACTCATTCATTGGGCCGATAACCCCTTCATTATGTAGGGGACTGCAGAGCTTGGGCAATTCTCGGTAGCACTGGCTCCTCACCAGCGAGTAGCTGCTGCTTGTTTGCCATCCCCACAGCTTGTCTGTGGTTGCTCCCCCTCTCTGCCTCCAAGCGGGGTCACGAGTTGAATTCGTACATCAAGCAGCTCGGCACGCTCGCCACTCCGCGGCACTGTGCGGGCGCACGTGGCTTCTTCCTCCCCATCCTCGTCTCTCCCGAACCCCCTCTGCTCCCGTTTGTCCATCCCGAACCCATCCATTCCTTTCCCGTCCCTCTCCCTGTTCCCTTCCCTCTCCCTTTTCCCCGTCCCTCTCTCCCCCAATCGCCGTATCCCCCGACCCCGCTGCCCGCCCCGTGGTGGAGCCACCGCCGCCGTCGGTTCATCGGCCGCCCCCTGTGTCTCACGCGAAACATTCTCAACCGGAGCTGGCGCATTGCATTGTGGGTAGAGTAGTTCGTGTGAACGCCCGACGCGGGCAGCTTTCCTGTGTGGCGTTTGGAGTTTGTTCATCCCCTGTTCTGCAGAGTAAGTGCTACAAATTCCCACGTGTTGAAGCCACTTCGTTGAGCTATCATTTGTGGCCAGGTCGCTTGTGAAAAAGAAGCAAATAGCTCAGTGGGCTTTAGCTGATGAAATAAAAAAAATTAAAGTGTAATTTGTATATTTTTAAAGTGATTTGTTTACCTTTCCTTTACATTGCACTCCTACCGTGTTTTTGTATTGTGTTTATTGTCGTTAACGTTCTGACCTGCCCCGATTAAGCTTTATAGCTCATCGTATAAATATTCTGATTGATTTTGAGTGAGTGTGTGGAGTTTTTTTCTCACCTTGTTCTGCTGAGTGAGCGAGGGTGAGTGTGTGAGCGAGTACATCTTTGAGAGTGTGAGCGAGTACATCTTTGAGAGTGTGAGCGAGTACATCTTTGAGAGTGTGAGCGAGTACATCTTTGAGAGTGTGAGCGAGTACATCTTTGAGAGTGTGAGCGAGTACATCTTTGAGAGTGTGAGCGAGTACATCTTTGAAAGTGTGAGCGAGTACATCTTTGAGAGTGTCAGCGAGTACATCTTTGAGAGTGTCAGCGAGTACATCTTTGAGAGTGTCAGCGAGTACATCTTTGAGAGTGTGAGCGAGTACATCTTTGAGAGTGTGAGCGAGTACATCTTTGAGAGTGTGAGCGAGTACATCTTTGAGAGTGTGAGCGAGTACATCTTTGAGAGTGAGAGAGTGAGCGAGTACATCTTTGAGAGTGAGAGAGTGAGCGAGTACATCTTTGAGAGTGAGAGTGCGAGCGAGTACATCTTTGAGAGTGCGAGCGAGTACATCTTTGAGAGTGCGAGCGAGTACATCTTTGAGAGTGTGAGCGAGTACATCTTTGAGAGTGAGAGTGTGAGCGAGTACATCTTTGAGAGTGAGAGTGTGAGCGAGTACATCTTTGAGAGTGAGTGTGAGCGAGTACATCTTTGAGAGTGTGAGCGAGTACATCTGTGAGAGTGTGAGTGTGAGCGAGTACATCTTTGAGAGTGTCAGCGAGTACATCTTTGAGAGTGTGAGCGAGTACATCTTTGAGAGTGAGAGCGAGTACATCTTTGAGAGTGTGAGTGTGAGCGAGTACATCTTTGAGAGCTTGAGAGAGTACATCTTTGAGAGTGTGAGCGAGTACATCTTTGAGAGTGAGAGTGTGAGCGAGTACATATTTGAGAGTGTGAGCGAGTACATCTTTGAGAGTGTGAGCGAGTACATCTTTGAGAGTGAGAGTGTGAGCGAGTACATCTTTGAGAGTGAGAGTGTGAGCGAGTACATCTTTGAGAGTGCGAGTGTGAGCGAGTCAATCTTTGAGAGTGTGAGCGAGTACATCTTTGAGAGTGAGAGTGTGAGCGAGTACATCTTTGAGAGTGTGAGCGAGTACATCTTTGAGAGTGTGAGCGAGTACATCTTTGAGAGTGAGTGTGAGCGAGTACATCTTTGAGAGTGTGAGCGAGTACATCTTTGAGAGTGTGAGCGAGTACATCTTTGAGAGTGTGAGCGAGTACATCTTTGAGAGTGTGAGTGTGAGCGAGTACATCTGTGTGAGTGTGAGTGTGAGCGAGTACATCTGTGAGAGTGTGAGTGTGAGCGAGTACATCTTTGAGAGTGTGAGCGAGTACATCTTTGAGAGTGTGAGCGAGTACATCTTTGAGAGTGTGAGTGTGAGCGAGTACATCTTTGAGAGTGTGAGCGAGTACATCTTTGAGAGTGTGAGCGAGTACATCTTTGAGAGTGTGAGCGAGTACATCTTTGAGAGTGTGAGCGAGTACATCTTTGAGAGAGTGAGCGAGTACATCTTTGAGAGTGAGTGTGAGTACATCTGTGGGCGCGCGAGCGAGTACATCTTTGAGAGAGTGAGCGAGTACATCTTTGAGAGTGTCAGCGAGTACATCTTTGAGAGTGTGAGCGAGTACATCTTTGAGAGAGTGAGCGAGTACATCTTTGAGAGAGTGAGCGAGTACATCTTTGAGAGTGAGTGTGAGTACATCTGTGGGCGCGCGAGCGAGTACATCTTTGAGAGAGTGAGCGAGTACATCTTTGAGAGTGAATGTGAGCGAGTACATCTTTGAGAGTGAATGTGAGCGAGTACATCTTTGAGTGAGAGTGTGAGCGAGTACATCTTTGAGAGTCAGAGTGTGAGCGAGTACATCTTTGAGAGTGTGAGCAAGGGTGACATTTGCCTGTTGCCCCCTTGTTCTGCCGAGTGAGTGAGTCTGTTGCGAGTGAGCGAATGAGCGGGTGAGTTGTGTCTCGCTGGTGTGGACTCGTCACAGGATGATGCCCTGGAAGCTGTACGCTCCTTCCATGCTTCACGCTCCGGGGTTTGAGAAATACAGTGCGTGACTCACTTAGTCACTCACCCACTCACTCGCATAGTCACCCACTCCCTTACATAGTCACTCACTCGTACTCACCCACACTCGGTCAATCACTTTACACTCACGTACTCACTCATTCACTCACCCACCCACTCACATAGTCACCCACTCACATAGTCACCCACACACACTCATATACTCGTGTCGGCATTCACTCACACACTCTTTCACTCACCCACTCACTCGCATAGTCACCCACTCACATAGTCACCCACACACTCATATACTCGTGTCGGCATTCACTCACACACTTTCACTCGCCCACTCACTCGCATAGTCACCCACTCCCTTACATAGTCACTCACTCGTACTCACCCACACTCGGTCAATCACTTTACACTCACGTACTCACTCATTCACTCACAGTCACCCACTCACATAGTCACCCACACACACTCATATACTCATGTAGCCCTGCACCCAGCTACTCACTCTTTCACTAACCCACTCACCCACTCACTCGCATAGTCACACACTCACATAGTCACTCACACACTCATATACTCGTGTCGGCATTCACTCACACACTCTTTCACTAACCCACTCTTTCACTAACCCACTCACCCACATAGTCTCTCGCGTACTCGCCCACTCATTCGCTCGCCCACGTAGACATTCACCCTCGCGTACACGCGGAATTGAATTCACTCGCACCGTTAACTCGCTCGACCTCGGGGGAGACGCACAAATGGTTGAGATAATTGCCACTGGTGCTGGCCTCGATGCTAACTAACACTCGCGTGCGTGCGTGCGCGTTCAACGTGCTCTCGACTCGGAGGCAGCGCCCAGCCAAGTGGCCCGAGCTCTGTGGCCCTGTGTTGGGTGTGACGTTCTTTCCGGCTCCACTCGTGACGAGCGCTGCTCTCTGCTCCACAGGGGACGGAGGGAAGCCGCACGAGGCCGGCTACGACGCCTTCATGACCGGCTCCGGTGAGTCACGGCCGCGTCGCGAGCCGTGGCGAAGGCCTGCTGCCCGAAACGTCGCCCGTTATTTGTGTTTTAAAGGCCAGGCGTGCGCGCGCGCGCCCCCACCGGCGGGGACGTTGTTGATGCATACGTCTCGAGTCTTTGGCTGTGTGTAGACCAGAGTGTTTGTGAGTGTTTGTGAGTGTTTGTGTTTGTGAGTGTTTGTGTTTGATTGTGTGAGTGTTTGTGAGTGTTTGTGAGAGTGTGTGTTTGTGTGAGTGTTTGTGTGTGTTTGTGTGTTTGTTTGTTTGTGAGTGTTTGTGTGAGTGTTTGTGAGTGTTTGTGAGTGTGAGTGTTTGTGTGTGTGTCTGTGAGTGTTTGTGAGTGTTTGTGTGTGAGTGTTTGTGAGTGTTTGTGTCTGAGTGTTTGTGAGTGAGTATTTTGCGAGTGTTTGTGTGTTTGTCTGTGAGTGTTTGTGTGTGAGTCTGTTTGTGAGTGTGAGTGTTTGTGTGTGTCTGTGAGTGTGAGTATTTGTGTTTGTGTGTGTCTGTGAGTGTGAGTGTTTGTGAGTGTTTGTGTGTGAGTGCGAGTGTGTGTTTGTGAGTGTTTGTGAGTGAGTGCGAGTGAGTGAGTGTGAGTGAGTGTGAGTGTTTGTGAGTGTTTGTGTGTGTCTGTGAGTGTTTGTGTGTGTTTGTGAGTGTGTGTTTGTGTGTGTCTGTGAGTGTATGGGGAGCGATAGTGTAGCGGTTAGCGCGCTGCGCTATGAACCTGGCGACCCGGGTTCAATTCCCGCTCACGGCCAACACCAGTGACGATTATCTGAACCGGTCCCGGGCCTCCCCTTGGTCGACTCAGCCTCAAATGAGTACCTGGTGCGGTGTGTAAACATTGCCACTAGGGAGACAAAGGCGGTCGGGCGTGGTGCTGGCCACCCACCCCCTTGTGTACCGTTCCGGCCTTCATAGGTGCTCGCTAACAGCACTTGCCCCTACAGTCTGTTAAGGCTATATGGGGGGTCTTTGTCTGTGAGTGTTTGTGAGAGTTTGTGAGTGTGTTTGTGAGTATTTGTGAGTGTTTGTGTGAGTGAGTTTGTGAGTGAGAGTTTGTGAGTGTTTGTGAGAGTGTGTGAGTGAGTGTGAGTGTTTGTGAGTGTTTGTGTGCGGGGCGGTAGTGTAGCGGGTAGCGCGCTGCACTACGAACCCGGCGACCCGAGTTCGATTCCCGCTCACAGTCGATACCAGTGACGTTTATTTGAACCGGTCCTGGGCTCCCCTAGGTCGACTCTGCCTCAAATGATTACCTGGTGTAGTGTAGAAGTATGACTACTGGGGAGACAAAGGCGGTTGGGCGTGGTGTTGGTCAAACCGGCCCTTCGTGTCCCGTGCCGGCCTTCATCGGTGCTCACTAACAGCACTTGCCCCTGCAGTCTGTTGAGGCTATACGGGGGATCTTTGGCTTTTGGAGCAGTGGTGTAGTGGTTAGTGCTGCGCTGTGAACCCGACACAGACACGAGTTCAGTTCCTGCTCATGACCAACACCTGTCAGTGAATATCTGAACCTAGTCCTGGCCCTTCCCCAGGTCTACTCGGCCTTAAATGAGTACCTGGTGTGCCATGCCGGCCTTAGGTGCTGCTCGCTAAGTCAATCGGTGGGTGGGTGATTCGGTGGACGAGTGGGTGGGTGTGTGGGTGGGTGTGTGGGTGAGTAGGCGGACGAGTGGGTGCGTGTTTGTGTGAGTTAGTGGGTGGGTGAGTGAGCGAGCAAGTGAGAAAGAGTGAGAGAGTGTGACAATCCGTGTGCTGTGCCGACCTTCATAGATGCGGCCTGCTTTAGCTGCACTTGCCCCAACAGCCTGTGTGGGCTACACGGCGGTGGACTTTTTTCTGTGTGTGTTTCAGTGTTCCTCATGATGACCTACTTATCAGTGATGGAAGGCCTCTGGTAAGGATGTGGAGTCTCCTGGGAGTCTGCACCTGTTCACAATATCCGCAAATCACACAGGCACAGGAGTGTCTCCCCATGTACGTTGAACTTCTTTCCGCAGCCTACGTAGCCAACCGTGCTAATCGGAGGTGCGGGAAAAGGCCACAAACTAAATGCTCAAAGCAGTTCTAAAGAGATGAGTTTTCAACCTAGATGATTTAAAAGTGCGTGGCTCAAGTGGCTTCCTAATATCAGAAGGAAGAGTGATCCAGTAGGCGGCAGAGGCGCATCTGAAAGCGCGCAATGCGGTGACCGCCTTGGTATCGTCGTTAGCCAAAAGCCGCTGCTGCTGCTGCGAGAATGACCGGAGTGATTCCTCTCGAGCAGCGGTTCTTAACCTTGACTGCAGCCTTGCAGCCCTTGGGCTCTAAGTCGTAAAACATAATGATGATGTGAATAAACACGTAGGGGTTTCGATGTAAAGCTTTCGTGACTGCAAGGATTCATCTTCTTTGGTTCTTTCGGTAAAGTCACGTAGAATGAGAATAAAATAATAAATTAATGAAATAACACAATAAAATTCTCACGACGTTTCGGCCACAACACAAGTGGCCTTCATCAGGTGTAAGGACGAGACTGTCTGGAGGACAGCTAATTCCTTTGTCAAGGCGCTCTGTTTCTTCTCACACAGCTTAAAGGTCGCGGTCTGTGCTTGGCTGTGTTCACTCCAGCGCTGTCCTCCAGACAGTCTCGTCCCTTCACCTGATGAAGGCCGCTTGTGTTGTGGCCGAAACGTGATAATTTTATCGTGTTATTTTATTTGTTTATTTTTTATTTTTTTATTTTATTCTCATTCTACGTGACTTTACCGAAAGAACCAAAGAAGATGAAACACGTCGGGGTTTGATGAAACAAAGTATTTGTGCTCGCGTTGCCCTGCTTAATTTGTCTTTCTGTGGTTTACCTTGGAAAAGAAATCTGGCCATGTCTCGCATACCCCAGGAAAGGGAATCACCCACCTCTGCGTAATGCACCCCAGGTTAAGAAGAAGAGCCAATACTCTAGGGCAATTCGCAACTCGGAATCATCGCGCACGTCGCAAGTGGAGAATATAAATAACAGAAGAGACGATGGGACGATGTCTCCTCCTCCAGTCAGGCTGGCATCAACCAATTCTGGTGAACTGCCCAGATATTCACAGGCAAAGGACTGATTTCGATTTTCAGCATCCCATCAGCAGGGTCAAGCAATCCTGACTGCTGATGAGACACCAAATTGTCAAAACCGTTTTGACATCGGCCACGTACACACACAAACGTGTGTGTACGTGGCCGATGGGGTGTGTACACGGAGAGAGACGGACCCATGGAGGAGGAGATGACCTTTGCTCTGCTCATCTTCCCTACAGTGACGCTCATGATTGGTTATGGCTAATGACTACTTTGCATATTACCCCCTCCCCCGTTTGCCCCCCACCACCACTGTGTGCCCCCCACCACCACTGTGTGCCCCCCACCACCACTGTGTGCCCCCCACTGCCACTGTGTGCCCCCCACCGCCACTGTGTGCCCCCCACCGCCACTGTGTGCCCCCCACCACCACTGTGTGCCCCCCACCACCACTGTGTGCCCCCCACCACCACTGTGTGCCCCCCACCACCACTGTGTGCCCCCCACCGCCACTGTGTGCCCCCCACCACCACTGTGTGCCCCCACCACCACCGTGTGCCCCCCACCGCCACCGTGTGCCCCCCACCACCACTGTGTGCCCCCCACCGCCTGACTAGCGGCCGTCTCCAGGCGAGGCCGCAGCTGAGCGACTACCTGTGGGCCGCGCAGCCATTTGTAAACCGCGTCCACATGATGCGCTCCTACACAGCCTACATGGTGAGACCAGGCCTCTCTATCGCCTCTCTCTCGCCCCTCTCTCTCACCCCTCTCTCTCTATCGCCCCTCTCTCTCGCCCCTCTCTCACCTCTCTCACCCCTCTCTCTCTCTCGCCCCTCTCTCTCACCCCTCTCGCCCCTCTCTCTCACCTCTAATCCCTCTCTCTCACCTCTCTCTCACCTCTATCGCCTCTCTCTCTCTCACCTCTCTGTCACCCCTCTCTCTCACCCCTCTCTCACCCCTCTCTCACCCCTCTCTCTCACCTCTCTCTCATCCCTCTCGCCTCTCTCTCACCCCTCTCTCATCCCTCTCTCTCATCCCTCTCTCTCTCACCCCTCTCTCTCACCTCTCTCTCTCTCACCTCTCTCACCCTCTCTCACCTCTCTCTCTTACCTCTCTCTCACCCCTCTCTCTCTCACCTCTCTCTCACCCCTCTCTCACCTCTCTCTCACCTCTCTCTCTCGCCTCTCTCTCTCTCGCCTCTCTCTCACCCCTCTCTCTCTCACCTCTCTCTCACCTCTCTCTCTCACCTCTCTCTCACCTCTCTCCCTCGCCTGTCTCACCTCGCGGTCTCTCACCTCGCGGTCTCTCACCTCTCATCTCTCGCTCTTGCCTCTATTACCCCTTTCCCATTCCGATGACGTACAGTGTACATCACCAGTGTCGATTCCGTTCCGATGACGTATGCGTACGTCATCAAAACGAAACCGGAAGAAAAACTGAAATAAAAATAACTTTATCGGTACCGAGGCTCCCACAAGGCCATGGAGGAGGGCTCGCGGCACAGTTTGGCGCCAGCTATCATATCGTGCGGTCGTGTTGCTATGGTTCTCGGCGGTGAGCACTATCTTTAAAAACAACGGCGCTACACCTCGCTAAATGAATTCAACGCTGAGCCACTTGCGTGTTCCTAGATTCAGAGGTGAACGGAACACCCACCCTGCAACTTGCAGACGTCTTAGAATGGAAAAGGGTTTCGATGATACCGCTTGCCTACCCTGGAAAGCCTCACCGAGTCTCAAGATCCTTTTTTCAGGAGGGTCCTGCCAAGTTGTCATGGTGGAGGGGGGTAATGCTGCTGCTGCGTGATCCCAATGGAGTGATTTTTTTTCGCGGAAAATAAGTCAAATTTTATAATTGTGAGGGCGGCACACGAGATGGCCTTACTCCTCTTGTGAACGGCGCTATGGGGGATCTCTGACGTCCATTGTGAGTGAAGTAGACAGTGCAGAGTTAGTACAAGTATTGTTATCGCTTAAATACGCACCGCAGTATTAACCGGGGTGGCCACTGGCCTCGAACCACGTAGCTCTGCAACGAGCGGCCAACGTGCCACTGCTGGACCCCTTCACCGCGCTTGTTGCAGAGGTTCGTGGTTCGTATCCAGTGGCCAGCCCTGGTTAGTACTGTGGTTGTGTGCATTAAACGTGTGGGGGACTGTTTATCGGGAGTCATGGTCGGGGCACACGTCGAGATACAGTGGACGCGTACGCGTGGGAAACTGTACGGGGTAATAGCGGGGAACACGCACGTTGATTTAATTCAGAATGGGTGGCCTGTCCACGTGGGGACACAGTCTGATTGGGGGCGGGGCCGATGGAGGGTATATAAAGAGGGAGCCTAAACTCAGTTCAGGGCGCAAGGCTGGGACGAGACTGAAGAAAGACGACCAAGGCAGTGTGCAGCTGGGCTGGCTTCAACAGGGCTGTACCGACTCTCTGTAAATAAAGACTTACCCTTGTTGAAATGGAACTCCTTTACACACGGAACAACACTGCTACTGCACGCCGTCTGCTTCGCTCGTGGAGGACGTCAGAGATCCCAAGGTACTTGTTCGCAAGAGGAGCAGGCCATCATGTGCCAGCGTCACGAATCCAAATTTTTATGCACCGCAGATTTGCTAAATTGGTGCTGGCCACCCATCCCCTCGTGTGCCGTGCAGGCCTTCATAGGTGCTACTTGTTAACAGCACTTGCCCCAAAAGTCGGTTCCAAAGGCCAACCGGGGGACCTTTGTGCGTGTGTGCACGTGCAGAATCTGGCTGGCGCTGATCCAGCAGCGCGGTCCTCGGTGATGTTGGTGGTGAGCGAGAGACGCGGTGGGGGCGGTGGCGGCGGCGACGGAGTCTGTGCGCGCGTCGCTGCGGCCGTTCGTTCCAGCGCCTCCTGCGACGTGCGTCCGCTGGGACCGCGTCGGGCGCTCGTCTGCCTCACGGGACTGCGCGGGTACGGCACCCGCACTGGGGCGGCTACCGCCGGCGGTGCCCCGAGGCTCGGCCGCACGCAAGGAATCAGTCGCCCCCGACTGGCAAACTAATGCACAGGGACAGCTGTCACTGGGGGTACCTCAGGCTAGAAGCACAGCAATAGTGATTGTGGTGGTTGATGGCGTTTATAGTGCGATGTGTGGTGGTGATCGTGATGTCGATTATGTTATTGACGGTGATGGTGATGCCGGTGATCATGTCGATGATGTCGGTAATGGTGGTGATGTCGGTAATGGTGGTGATGATGATGTCGGTAATGGTGGTGATGATGGTGTCGGTGATGGCAGGCTGCGGGATGTGAAGTCGAGGCTGCTGGACACCGGGAGGTTCAACGTGCGACGTTACAGACCCTGGATGGACTCCAGACTCGCGTCCACCCTCTTCTGGTGAGGGCTGTGGAGGTGGTGCCATGTGGTGGAGATCGTGGTGATGCGGTGGTGGTAATTGCGGTACTGGTGTTGTTGATTCTGATGCAACTATTGTTGGTGATTGATATCGTGCCATTGATGATGATGTGAAATGTTATGATTGGCATCATGCCAGGCGCAGCTCATGGTGCTGATGGTGGCTGTCGTTATTGTCGTCGTGTGGTGTTGTGCAGGGGCAGTGGATTGATAATGGCCATGTCCCTCTTCTTGTGGCTCGTGCCCGGTCCCAGCAAGATTCAGTGACTCCACCAACTACCACCAACTCCATCTCCACCACCTCCTCTTCTATCTCCACCACCGCCACCTCCTCCATCGCCAACTCCACTACCACCATCACCTGGTCCACCATTTCTCCCTCCTCCACTTGCTCCTGCATCTCCCCCCTCCACCACTTCCACCTCCTCTACCTCCCCACTCAACCTGTAAGCCTTATTCTGAGCCCCGGGGAGAGCCCCCCCCCAGTGCCAGTTTAAAGTTGAATAAAATTAAGTTCACTCCCCGTGTGAGCTGTGTGCATCGCCTGTTTGTGTGTGTGCGCATGGGAGTGGGTGCGCAGTGGTTAGCGTGCGGCGCTACAAAACTAGCGACCTGAGTTCGATTCCCACTCATGGCCAACACCGGTGACGATTATCTGAACTGGTCCTGGGCCTCCCCTAGGTCGACTCAAAATGAGTACCTGGCGTGATGTGTAAACATCGCCACTAGGGAGACAAAGGCGGTCCCACGTGGTTCTGGCCACCCATCCCCTCGTTTACTGTTCCGGCTTTTTATAGGTGCACGCTAACAGCACTTGCCCCAACAGTCTTTAAAGGGGGATCCGTGTCCATTTGTGTGTACTTGTGCGGGGAGCGGCAGCGTAGTGGTTTGTGCGCTGTGAACCCGGCAACCCAAGTTCGATTCGTACTCACGACCAGCATCGGTGTCGAAAATCCGAACTGGTCCTGGGCCTCCCCTAGGTCGACTCGGCCTCAAATGAGTGCTTGGTGCAATCTGTAATCGCTACTCGGGAGGCAAAGGCGGCCGGGCATGGTGTTGGCCACTCGCCCAATCATGTGCCGTGCCGGCCTTCATAGGTGCTACTCTCTAACAGCATCTGTTAAGGCAATGGGCTGGTGTCTTTGTGTGTGTGTGTGCACATGGCGCCCACCTCAAAATCCATCTCTGCATGTGAATTGATAATGAAGATAAGCGAAGTGACCAGTGGATTACCGTATGGGCCGGAGGACAAACATTTCTAACAAAACCTTATTTCTCAAATACTCAGAGGGGAGCCCGAACCATGCCTGGATTTAGTCCACCGCAGAAAACACGGCGAATTGTATCACGAGCTTAACTCGTTAGCCCCGGGGCAGGGCGCTGGCTAATCGGCATCGTGTGCGCCTTGCCAAAACGTGCCACTGCGCTCTGCGCCATGGGCATGACACGGTCGACCGCCTGGCCCTCTGCACTCTCTACGCAAGGTAGAATCCCCTGGGCCATTACAAACGTGCAACGAGGGGCAGATGCAATCGGATGGTGGCGACGATACGTTGAAAGAGTGGGGAATTTGGAAGTCGGGCGTCGTCGGCTTTGCGACATCGCAATTCACCAGAAGAGATGGCCAAGTGTGGTCAGCAATCATGACGTTGGTCTTGGTTTGTACGTGTAGTGGCATCGTGGGATGCCACTGCGTGATGCGTGAGCCGGGCTGTGTGTATCAAGGATGGATGGCACTGCACGTCACGTGCAGTGCCAGCCTCCAGAAGCGAGAGTGCCAGGCATGTTGGAAGGGTTCACAGGGGGCCGTGGCACTCTGAACCCGGAGGCCTGGTGACCGGAGGTACCAGCCTGGGGGCCCCCCAAAGAGGGGGGCTGGGGAACCACGGGACCAGGACCAGGTCCCTCTCGAAGGCTCGAGAAGGGAGGCGTGTCTAGGGGCTTGGTAATCCCCGGGACTGACAATCGGCTGCTGTTGTACACCTGAAGCCGTCGCCCTGAAGAGAAGCGCCGAAGACAAGACCCGAGTCGGGGTCCTGTCTCTGATAGCATCCCCAGTTGTGTTAGGGCCTCGTCAGCCCAGAGGGACTACCTCCTTCGGTTACCTGGTGGAAGGCGCAGATACCCCTTTGTGTTAGGGTTTTTGTTATAATAATAAACGTGTTGCCTCCAGAGAAGTCTCTCCATTTGTACCCACTACATATGTATCCAAGCGCTTGCCTGCCTCCGTCAGCCGGACAAACTTGCTTGTAGTATGAAAGTGAGTCTGGATGAATCACGGGAAGCATGAAGATCACTTGGTTCCCAACTGTTGGCCGTACATGACAGAGATCGACTTTTCAGGACTTTATTTCCACTCAAACATAAAAAAACAATTACAGGAAAAAAACACCTACATGGTAAATAAATAAAACATCGAACTCTTAACAGCTTTGTGTGCATGAAACACAAGGTACCAGGATAGAGCCTGTGGAAATGAACTGGTGCACGGTTATCTCCGTGTGTAGCAAAATTGCTATTTTAAAGGCTTTTTCAATCCTATTAAGAATCGAATGTTTTAACATCAGAACGCGATGTGAACAAGTGTGTTTTTTCTCCCCTACATTTTTAAAACGAAACCGCGTTGACGCGTCGGACACAACGTGAACATCTGAATTTTATCTTGGAGGTGTCGGTTTTTATCAAAGTACTAACGGACTATGCGAACAAGTATTTTTTTTTACGTTTACCATTTTCAAATGCTCTTTAAAATATAACTCTTTAGTGCATGAAACTTTGAAAAGGGTAAAGCAATTAGCAAAAAATAAAATGACATCGTCTAAACTAACCGCTAGTTTTGCCATGAATGGCTTTGAAAACCAGAAATTTGGGCAAAAATAGCCCGCACGGTCGTGAGATTGAGATGTAACCATCATGAAGTAAATTTGTCAGACGTGCGTAGTGAGCGAGGGCATGGCGCGTGGTCCAGTGAGAAGGAGTGAATGAGGACGCACGCGGGGCGATGGGGTGACGAGTGAAATGAGAGCGGTGCAATGTGAAGTCGGGGGGTACTCCCCCCTCTACGAGGGAAAGGAAAGGGGGCGGCTGGCTGAGCACAGCATGAAGCTCGGAGGGAACGTGAACACTGGGGGCGAGTAGCCGGGAAATTTGTGGTTTGACGCTAAACACTGCAATGCGTGCAGGGTTCGGAGTGAACGCCAAGCGAGGTGGAACATCGTCGGTGCTCTGACGATGAACGCAGCTGCAATGGATGTGCACTATGGGTAGGTGTAGCTGTTCGCCAGGTACATGGTGACCGGCTGCGGGGTCATGGGGAAGGAGCCAGGGTACGCCGAGAAGGCCTGGACGGGGCAGCTGGGAGGCAGGGTCGCGGCCGGGGCTGGGCACATTCTCAGAGGACGCGCCTTGCCTGCACGCCGCACACGGTGGGCGGGGGGGGGTGGCAACAGGTGAGGTGGGAGGCGGCTCCGGAGCACCGCTCGGCACCACGGACGTTTTCCATCGCCCGACGGGGGGGCGCCGCCGAGGCTCGGGAACAAATGAAACGGTGAAGACGAGACCAACGAGAGCCGGACGGGCAGCACGGGGGAGCGTGTGGCGGGCGTGGAGCTCTTACTGAGGATGTTGTAGACGTGCCGACTCGCCACCTCCCGCGCTCCCACCTCGCTGGAGCTCAGAAGTTCGGGGAAGAAGCCGCCTTCTCCAATCCCGGAAATGGAAACCTGCACCGTGGAGGCGGTGGTGAGAGAGACGCGCGTCAGGGAACTCGCTTCGCGAGCGGAGTCGCGCGCTACCGGCACTTGCCAAGTGTCGGCAACCTGTCTCCCGTACCTCTGGAAGAGCACAGACACCAGGAATGGCAAGCTGGTGTCTCAGCCTCCTATAGCCTGCCCTGTCTCCCCACCACCTTCACGTCCCTCAGCGCATCACCATCAACGATATCACTACAATTATCTCCACCCCAATAAAAGACTTCCACCCTCAATCCTCTGCCCACCAAACTCCTCCCTCACCGACAACTCATCCTGGCGCCTGCATCACCAGTTTCGTCATTGCCTCCATCTCATCCAGCAGCGTTCCCTCAGCTCTCGAGACTGCTGCTGTGACATTCTGAATCGACGTGGTCTCGTCTGCTCGTTGGTTATAACTCCCTTAAGCTGTAGCCAAGAGTGAAGCACTCCTCATTGGCAAGACACAACTTTGGAGTAAAGACCCCAGCTTCAAAGTGCACTTTTAAACACTGCCACTACACTGGCCCCGATGCTGACCCACAGATACAACACCAGCGCACAGCCCGAACACGCCTTTTAACGATTTTAATAAACGAATCGGTGCATTTTTACATCCTGACCATTCATGTACTAAAGCTCACACCCAGACGGCGCTGCTGCGCTGGCTTGTGAATGTGACCGCACCGGGCGCACACGTGCGGCGAGTCGGCACGGGTGGATGCGTGCGTGAGCGCGACGGAGGGGTTTGACTTGCGACCGGGCGTGCTTGACCGTAAAACAAGCGCCGTCTGATTCACGGCGGACTTCAAAGAGTGGGCGACGCTTGCCGGCGTCACGGTCAACATTTTATAACGTCGCTCTCAAATTACTTATTTGGGAAAAGCCGCACGGCAACATCGCCCCCAGCTGGTCGGTTCCGCTTACTCTTCGCGCCGCACAGGGACAGCCGCCACCGGGGGGGGGTCCGCTCCGGCCAGACTGCCACGGGGCAACGGGACGTGCGGCGGGAAACAAAGCGGCGACGACGGCGAGCACCTTATAGAGGAGGCCCACGGGTATCCCGCACTCCGAATGGGCGTGCAGCTCGAAGGTCGCGTCGCCGAGGCCGGCGCGCCGGCACAGCGCCCGCAGTCGCACCTCCCACGACAGCACGGCCGCCTCCGGCAGCGCCTCGAAAGCGATGGGCACGGGCTGCAAGTGGCGCGGCACCCAACACAGCTTCGTGCGAGCCCCCCAGCCCTCGAACAGGCCTGGGACACGAGGCGGGGGGGTGGTGGACGGGGCAGGGCGCGCGGCGGGTTCACGAGGGCCGTCGGGACGCGACTCGCGGCGACGGCCATCGTGACGACTTTACCGGGTGTCAAAGTGATTCAGATGTACGCCCCGACGACACAAGTGACGACGACGACGACGATGATATTACGGGCAGACCTAACGTGTGAAGGAATTAACCGGCCTCGACGATCGGAGATGAGAGGACGACGGGTAAATGTTTGCATCACAGCGGCAAACAAGACTGTGTCCATGAAGAGTTTGCAGCCAGCAGGGACAGGAAGATAATGACCACCTCTGTAACAATGAGTCGAGACAATGGACATGGATGCTCTCAAATGGAGACAGAAATTAAAATTACTTTATTCCCATGGACACACCTCAGAGGTCTCCGCAAATTCAACACAGGAAGTGATCACAGGCTGGTGGAAGAGAACAAAACTTCAACATTGCCAAAGAGAGGGCAGATACATTTCACGCAACAGACAGTGCACGTCGAAAATCTCGTTGAGGAAGTAGAACTAATACTCATTCTTACCAACAGATTTACACCTCTAGAGCTTATATAGAAAGATAAATGTCCCCTATGCAGTGTTGTAGACTTTTGCAGCAAGTGCTGCCTATGAGGGCTCACATCGACGAGCCGGTGCAAGCCGGTTTGACGGCACAGAGTGCACAGTCCCTGTTGCCTGCACCTTCACAGGCCCCAACTCAACCCAGCCCAGCATCCTTCGGGGGTCAATTAAATGACCGTTGCTTTGTGGGATAGTGACAGCGGTCGTCACACTCTCCACGGCCAACACAAATACGGAACTTCCACCGAGTCATCCTGAAGCGGCTCACGAGGCGCCAGGTTGTTTTTTTCCACCGCAGAGAGCCGGGCGGTGCCGCTAACGCCGCACGCGATGAACGCGTCACTGGCAGAGCCCTTGCCCTGCCGAGCCCCCGCCGAGTCAGACTCGGATGCGTCGTCAGCCCAGAGTCTCGGGGTTCGGATCCGACCCTGCACAGCAAATGGTCGGTTGAAAACCACCGGTACCGTGAGGGCCCCGCACTGCCTCAGCTCGGACACGCCAGTGGAAAAGGGGAGAGCCTCGCGAATCGTCGTCCCGCACGACCGTGAGCCCGTACCGTGTACACCGTCTTCCTGCGCAGCGGGGCCAGGGAGGCTGGCCGGTCGGCAGCCGCTGCTGCTGCAGGGAGAGGAGGAGGAGGAGTTGGGGTGGGCAGGGAGTCCCGGCCTTGGGGAGACTCGGCCAGCACCCGCACCTCGTTGTCCTCCCTGGACGCACACCCCAAGCGTATAAGCACCCATACACCCCCAGCGTCTCGGCACCCACACACCCAGAGTCTCAGCACCCACACACCCAGTGTCTCAGCACCCACACACCCAGTGTCTCAGCACCCACACACCCAGCGTCTCAGCACCCACACACCCAGAGTCTCAGCACCCACACACCCAGTGTCTCAGCACCCATACACCCAGCGTCTCAGTACCCACACACCCAGTGTCTCAGCACCCACACCCCCAGTGTCTCAGCGCCCACACACCCCCAGTGTCTCAGCACCCACACACCCAGAGTCTCAGCACCCACACACCCAGAGTCTCAGCACCCACACACCCAGAGTCTCGGCACCCACACCCCAAGCGTCTCAGCACCCACGCACCCAGAGGCCCGGCACCCACACACCCAGCGTTTCAGTACCCACACACCCAGAGTCTCAGTACCCACACACCGAGCGTCTCAGTACCCACACACCCCAAGCGTCTCAGCACCCACACACCCAGAGTCTCAGCACCCACACACCCAGAGTCTCGGCACCCACACCCCCCCAGAGTCTCAGCACTCACACCCCCAGTGTCTCAGTACCCACACACCCAGAGTCTCAGCACCCACACACCCAGCGTCTCAGCACCCACACACCCAGAGTCTCAGTACCCACACACCCAGCGTCTCAGTACCCACACACCCAGCGTCTCAGTACCCACACACCCCCAGTGTCTCAGTACCTACATACCCAGAGTCTCAGCACCCACACACCCAGCGTCTCAGCACCCACACACCCAGAGTCTCAGCACCCACACACCCAGAGTCTCAGCACCCACACACCCAGAGTCTCAGTCCCCACACACCCCCAGAGTCTCGGCACCCACACACCCCCAGAGTCTCGGCACACACACCCCCAGCGTCTCAGTACCCACACACCCAGTGTCTCAGTACCCGCAGCACGAGCGGCACCGGTCCCACGGGCAGCCAGAGCCGATGGTTCGAGTTTCCGAGCGTCGCTCGGTGATGAGGCCGCTGGCTCAGGGGCCTCGTGCGGTCAAAGCGGTGTTGGTGTGGTGTGGGTAAGCAACAGAGGATGCGTCGGTGTTCTCTACGTTTCTTGGCTCTCAGTGACATCTCCTACCTCACGTCTACATCTCTCTCGTCTTGTCTCACACCACATCCTCCTCTCAGTCGCTCTTCTCACATCACTTCCATTGCGCCCTTGGCTGTCTTCTCTCATCTCAATACATCCCCATCTATTTGCTATCTCTCTCATCGCACGATATCTCTCTCTCTCTCTCTCGTCTACTCTCACTACATCTCTATGTCTAGCCTCTCATCACATCTCTGTTGCAGGTAGTTTACATGTTATAATGGCAGCATGTGTAGAGTGTGTCTCTCACCTTTCTGAAGAGATGCCGCGACTCTAAGGTAATACCAACCGCATTTACACTAACCTCAATGCTAAATTATATGCTAATTCCTTTGTCAAGGCGCTTTGTTTCCTCTCACACAGCTTAAAGGTCACTCCAGCGCTGTCCTACCAGACAGTCTCGTCCCTTCACCTGATGAAGGCCGCTTGTGTTGTGGCCGAAACGTCGTGAGAATATTATTGTGTTATTTTATTTTATCAATGTATTATTTTATTCTCATTCTACGTGACTTTACCGAAAGAACCAAAGAAGATGAATCCTTGCAGTCACGAAAGCTTTAAATCGAAATGTGTAATGTAGATTAGTACACATCTTCTGAACACACTAACTCAATAAATGTTTGCGTTCCGTGGCTCTTCATTCAATCCGGGCCTCGGTACAAATCGTTTGTCCACCTCTAGTTTGCGGTTAACCGTGGCAGCTGTTGCTCAACTATTACAACTCCGATAGGACTGCTTGTTGCTGGCTGCCCGATGTTTCGGGTCTTTGGGGCCGTGCTCAGCAACTTTGTTTAGAAATTACAGTGGGGGGAGGGGGGGGGGGAGAGGGGGGTGGAAGGGGGGTGGACACAAACCTGTGGATGTTCGTCCCGACCCAGCGCAGCGTAGGACAGCTCCACCTGCAGCACAACGCACACACCGGCCGCCCGTCAGCCCCCTGCCCCCCCCCGTTGCATTCGCGTCGAGGTCACCGCCACCGTCTCGTCGGCGGCGGCGGCAAGCGCAGAGAATCTGAGGAGAGCACTACACCGGCTCTGCGGATCCCACATTCAGTCACCCTCTCTTTGTCGATAGACATTGTGCGCGTTACAATTTGCATTGTTATTGTTGTTGAAGGAGTCCAACATTGGTCCGCTCTTAGTTATTAAATGTTGGTGTGACAGACGCCACCATTTTTCCTCCCCCATTATTATCAGGTCAGCCACCGATTCACCCGATTCCGTTCGTACCCAGCCAATTACCGTCTTTTTGTCTTCCTCAGTGCACCGCAGTGCCTCGTAACGAGACCAGATCACCTTGGTGTGCCCCTTCATTCAGAGCGGTGACCTCACCTCGTCGCAACTGTGCACCGAACACTGATCAGTAGTCGCTCGATGTCATCATCACTCGGTTATGTGACTAACATAAATAACAGGTAATCGGCAAATATTTCCATCACTAATTTCGTGAACAAAATCAACGCTGCTTCTGACCCTGTGACCGCGTTGTAAAAAAAAAGTGTCCTGCTGTGAACCGTGTCGCACGAAGAATGATTTCCAACCGGAAAGAGGTGGCACTTTGTGTGGTAATTAAAATGTTCTCACCATTTACAGTACAATTGTGCTCGTGGCACCAGGAAATTTCCGTCGGTAATACTCGCAGAGGAGGTCAGAGGTCAGAGCATCGAGCTCGTGCAGGTGACCCCCAACATACGACGGCTCGACTTGTGACCTCCCCCCCCCTGCCGCTTTTACGGCCTCTCTTATCGTCAGTAAGACCCCCGCAGTAACCACCAAAACGCGTATCTACGACCGCCGAGCGAACGCAACCGACTCCGTGTCGATTAGCGACGAGTCTGCGCATGTCAAGGGCAAAGCGCTGCTTTGCTGTAGTGCCGTATGTAGAGTATAGCCCTACAGTCTGCAGCTGTAGCGAGAATGCACGCAGCGGTGTCTCTTCCTCGGTGCTCTTCACTTCTTTGTAAATATTCTACAAATAAAAAAAGATTTAGCCTTCCGCTACGTCTGAGAAGAGGAAATGTGACGCACGAATTTTCAAATGCGTTTGTTTTTACTTAATGTTTATAAAAGTTACGTTGAGTTACAATAAATGTTTGTTAAGGTTGTTTAAATTTATTTTCGTGGTAAATTTTGGTATTTTAATGGTATACTCTTTGGTTGTTTCGGTAAAGTCACGTAGGTAAAAAATACAATAAAAATAAGAGATAAAAATAGAAATAAAAATAAATAAAAGTAAATCTAATCACGACGTTTCGATTGCAACACAAGCAATTTCATTTATTTTTTTACCTACGTGACTTTACCGAAAGGACCAAAGAGTATGGATCCTTGCAGTCACGAAAACTTCAAATCTAGAATGTTAATGGTATGTAATGGGTTTCCAGGAACGAAAGCCCCAATGTATAACGTAGCGCCCTACGGGAGACGAGGCTTCGGCTCGCGATGACTCGTCACCGTCGTCCAAGGACCAATGAGGTCGTAGGTGCGGGGGTCTCCTGCACCGCTCAAATCCTGCGATCGAATCCGGGCAGCCGCTCGCGACGAGACCGGGGCCCCGACCGGGCCTGCCGCGTCGACCGTCCCGGCCCAGTCGCCGACGACCCACGACACGCAGAACCGCCGCGCCGCGTTGCAAACGCCGGAAACCCCCCGCCCCCCTCCGGCTCGGCGGCGGCCGCCCTCACCTGCGCCCCGAGCAGGGCGGCCCCGCGCAGCGTACGCAGGGCCGCGGCCGCGTCCCCCCGCGTGCCGAAGTGCAGCAGCGCGGCATCGCCGGCGCCCGCACGCTCCGGCTGCAGCGGCTCCGTCGCCCCCTCCACGGCGCCTCGCGGCGCCCCGTCGGGGGCCCCCTCGGGCAGGCGACGCGGCGGCGGCGGCACGCGGCCCCCGCGCGAGCCCGGCGCCCCCTCCTCCTCCTCCTCCTCGTCTTCCGTTGCCGCCGCAGCCGCCACTGCCGTGTCCCGCTCCGGGTTGGCCCAGTCCACCTTGATGGTCTGGCCCCAGAGCTGGAAGGTGCCTGCACGGAGCGGCGCGCACACGACGGGGAGATCGCGCAAAAAAAGTTCCGATTCACGCGTTTGGCTACGTACGGCGCGGAAGAAGTTCAACGTACACACGAGTGCGCTCATCAGCACCGCGTCACCAGAAACCACTCGTGACTATCGAGGAGCGCCCCGCCCTGTGCTACAGAGCAGCTCCCGTAATGAGATACCGCCACAAAACTCTTTCTGACGTACCTTCAAGTGACCTCGACGTTTCGCTGGTGATTACAACCAGCATCATCAATTCTGCCAAATCGCCTGATTTAAGCTGGTTGTAATCACCAGTGAAACGTCGTGCTCAATTTTTTTGTTATAAATGTGGGTTTACTCTTCAACACAGCACTGCGCTGAGCTAGTAACTAATTGGCACTAGAGACCGGCCGAAATTCGGTTTTGGCGCCGAAAGTTGGCAACTGGCCTCTTTCGGCATAGTTTCGGCCGAGAGTTAATTTTTAACTTTCGGTCTGGTTTCGTTTTCGGCCGAAACCAGAAATTCAGTTTCGGTCGGCCTCTAAACTACGCGCGCGCGCGCGCATGCGACTCTGGGCAGCAGCGGCGGTGGTTGATGGCAGACGCTCCTCACTCTCTCCGGCGATCGCAAGCAGCGCACACACGCACACTCAAGCAAGGATGGGGGTCAAAGGGGTGTGGTGGTGGTGGGGGGAGATAAGACAGACGACGGAGAAGAATAAGAAAAAAAAATCACTTCCCCCGCCAAAACCACCAAACTAGCGAGCAGCAGCAGCAAACAGCACACGCGTAGCCAGCACTCGCAGCAGCAGCAGCAGTCCACCAGGAGCACTTTTGTTTGAGGGGCTCAGAGGCTGGGCTCTCACAGGCAGCTCGAGGCACGCAACACACACACACACGGGGGCACGCACAGCACATTGAGCAGATTATAGCAGCGTGCTGATGCTAAGAGTGTGCATGCGTGCGCATACTCACTCACTCATCCGCCCACCAGCCACACACACACCATCCCACCCACCCCTCCAATGATCCAATTCAACCCTCCCACCACCCCATCCCACCCCACCTCCTCCTCTACATGGGTTCTACACAGCAGGAGGGGGCTTGGGTCTGCGTGCGTGCAAGTCTGTGACGCGTCTAGAGGCCGACCGAAATTCGGTTTCGGCGCCGAAAGTTGGCAAATGGCCTCATTCGGCATAGTTTCTGTTTCGGCCGAAGCCAAAAAGTAAACTTTCGGTTTACTTTCGGTTTCGGCCGAAAGTAAATTTTTTACTTTTGGTTTCGGCAGAAACCAGAAATTCAGTTTCGGTCGGACTCTAATTGGCACCTTTTGTTTGCGTGACAAATCTTAGTAATTGGCTGTGTCGGGTGGTGGTGGGTCAACAATATATTTATATTTACGCGATCTAACCCAAAAACCTTTATTATGAGTCTCATATCACTTGTAACTGCTGCTAGCCATAGCTGGTCACAGAGTTCATAAGCACAGCATGCTAACCACTGTGCCATTGCTCCACATACAAAACAACTACAACAGCTGCCATTCTTCACTAACTAGTAGTGATGTAACCACAGCATTTGTGCCAGGCTAAGTGCACTTAGAGATCACGTGAAGTGTCGAAACTCACTGCTGGCAGGTCATAGGCAATGGGGTGACTGAGATGACCAGCAAACATGTACACATAGACCCACAAAGATCCCCAGTATAGCCTTAACAGACTGTTGGAGCAAGTTCAGATAGCAAGCAACTATGAAGGCTAGCACGGCACACGAGGGGGTGGGTGGTCAGCACAATGCCCGGGCGCCTTTGTTTCTCAAGTGGCAATGTTTATACATCGCACAAGGCACTCATTTAAGGCTGAGTAGACATACACACCCAGGGCCATGCACACACACCCACGGACAAGTACACACACCCACGCACACAGACCCACGCAAAAACCCGCGTGCACACACTGGAGTGGCACAAGTGACCCCCACCCATGGGCATGCACACACAGCCACGGACATCCACACACACCCACACGCACACATGCCCGTACACAAACCCACGCACACGCAGAGGAGTGACCCCCACCGGACCTGGAACGAGCTTCCTCCGGGCCATAGCGGCCGCGCGATGGCTCTCGTACTCGACGAACGCGTAGCCTCGGTTGCGGGTTTTGTCGGTGGGACAGACGCTCATCTTGACGTCCACAACGCCCATCGTGGCGCAACTCATCGCCAACATCACCTCCTCTTGCTTCTTGTCCTGCACGGGGAGGAGACGCGATGCTGAGGCACCAGCACTCGTTCACCGTCTCGCGGTCGAGGGCGGCCTGCGACCTAATCACACGGAATGCGCCTGAACTCGTCGGATCTTGGAAGCTAAGCAGGGTGGAGGCTGGGTAGCGCTTGGATGGGCGACCAGCATGCGTGCCAGGCTGCCATAGGCAGCTGTGGAACTGTACTACGTGGTGGTGAACCCAGCAGAGAAATCCAATGTTGCACTGTGCTAAGAGACTCCCGGATCAACGCTCCTCGCCTTCAACCTGCACACACCACCGTGGTGAAGTATGGTCAAACAGCCCCCACTATCCTCTCAGCGTGGCGAGGCCCTCATCCAGCAGTGGACTCACAAAGGGAGTTTACATGCACGTGAGTAATCAACAGTCAAAGTGAATGCCCGGCTCGCCGCTTATCCGAGCAATGAGGCGGTGCATTTCACCAAAGGTGTCCCAGCTCTGATGTTCACACTCCACGTTCCCATGCCGGGTGCCAGTTTCCCTCGAGGTGGGGAACCTTTTTCTTACCGAAGGCCAAATAGGATTTTGAAAAACCTACAGCGAGAAACCACACATATCGTTGACAGAAAACTCTGATCATGCAAGGACTGTACACACTGTGTGAGAACTACCGTACTTGAAAAAGAGTGTTGCCTAAAATTATTAGTGCCACCAAGATGCTTGCAGTGACAGATATAAAAATTGTTAGCAACCCGTTTCCAAGCAGTAGGCCTCACGTAGCCACAGGCCGTGGGACTGAGCCGTGGGCCATGTCCAGCCTCTGGGGCGTAGGCTCCCCATCCCTGCTGGAGGAAAAAACAATGCTGGATTTCCACAAATTGGTGCTCATTTTATCCAACCCAGACGTACGATGGGCTCTGCTCACCCATGACCGAAATTCGAACTAGCAATAAATAACATTTCCACACACAACTAAAAATGCCTCTCCTTTTACTCGAATGCTCATGAACCCACTGTTCTCCACAGCATCAATCAGATGCTATATAAATAAGACTTGTATTGCAATGTACGATAGGATTGTATGGTCAAAAAAGGTCAAGTGATTTCTTGCTCAAAGAGCAGTGAGGCAGTGATGGAAATGGCAGAGGCGAGTCCCTCCACATCACAACCACTGTAGACTTCCACGCAATGGTACTCATTTTATTGGCCCCAGATTTTATGATGGGCCGAGTCAACCCCCCACTAGAAATTTAACTCGCAGAGCCTTCTGATCACGAGCCGTTCACTCTCCCACTGAGCCACTTGGCCTGCTTATTGTATGATGTTATAGATTAATATTGTTGCATTTTATATTGTAGGTTATAATTATTATAGGAGTGCTGTGGGAGAGATTAGCTCCCCCGGCCACGCCGTACCTTTGGCAGCCCCCCAATGTAGAGGCGGCAATTGTCCACGCTGATGCAGACTCCGAAGGGGTGTCCGGGCCGGATCTCGAAGTTGTTGAGCTTCTTGATGGCGGCCACGGCGTGGGTGCGCGTCGTGTAGGTGGCGAACGCATAGCCGCGGTTCTCTCCGCTGAACTCCATCATGAGGCGGAGCTGGTAGAGCCTCCCCACCGTCTCCAGCACGGGCACCAGCTCGTCCTCGTAGAGGTCGCGCGGGATCTTCCCCAGAAACACCTCGCAGCCACGGGCGGGCGGGGGCCCCTGCCAGTCTGAGGTTGGGGACGGCGGGGAGGGGTGGCGACGATTCAGTAATTTCAAGTAATCAACGCAGATGCAAATGCCTGCGTGTGTGCATCTGTATGGTGAACGGTAGTGTCGTGGTTAGCACGCTGCGCTATGAACCAGGCGACCCGAGTTCGATTTATGCTCATGGCCAACACCAGTGACGATTAACTGAACCAGTCCTGGGCCTCCCTTAGGTCGCCTCAGCCTGAAATGAGTACCTGGTGCGATGTATAAACATTTCCACTTGAGAGACAAAGGCGTGGTGCTGGCCACCCACCCCCATGCATGTCATACCGGCCTTCATAAGTGCTCGCTAGCAGCAATTGCCCCAACAGTCTGTTAAGGCTAGACGGGAGACCCATGTGTGTACCAGATGTGTGCGTGTATTTGTGTGTGCATAGCGGCCGAGACTGTGCGCGAGTCTCTGTGCATCTCGAATACCAGGCGGTGGTCCGAACTTCCTCTGCCCGTTCTCCTGGATCATGTTGTACCCTGTGCGCAATATGAGGTCCAGCAGGGCCTCCTCGTTACAGGCCATGCCGAGCACTGATGGTTTGGCTATGGCGGTGCTGGGGCAGCAGATTGGGGTACAGGGAGGCCTACGACATCCAGGGGACAGAGAACGCACATCAACAACAACAGTTTATGAATGTATCCTTGTAGGGCTTCAATGTCACTCATCGTCAACAACTGAAAACTGTCAGCGGTTTCAACGCACCGCATGTTGAGCATTTGCTCAACTCTGAAGGGTCATTGCCTGAAACATAAGCCTAAAGTATCGTTTTTTGTGAAATCACAGTAGTTGGGAGTTTTTTTTTTATGGGAGCTATTAAGCTACTGATTGCAAGCTCTTGGATGTTTTACGCCATCTTTCTATCCACACCACCTCCTCCGTTTTCAAGGTCACTACAAATCCCCTAAATCAATAGCTGAAAAACGAACCACGTTGCCCGCCAATGACGCTGCCCAAAGTTGTGGAGATTTTGAGCCAATTACACAACCAAAATACAGGCAGACCTCGCCTAGCGCTCAGGATGCGTTGCTGGACAAGCGCTAATCGAATCTGTGCTAAAAAGGGGTCAGCATACCAATACATATTTGGGGATGCAGTCCCGGACAGCGTTATTTATTTCGTACAAGCAATATATGAGGGCTTCGTTCAGGTATCGGCATTGGCGCTTATAATAATGATGGTAAAGATTACATAAATAAAAAATAACGTGTTATAATAACATCATTATCATGTCCTGCACTCACAAGTGCATTCTATTGCACTGCTTCTACATGGCAGCGGTGGCATATGAGGGTTGTAGGAGCTGCTGAGCTCCCAATACGGATCACTCAGAGAAGAGCTCCAGCAAATCCGTGATCTGAGTGATGCCCTCAGTCAAAATTTATGTGGTGATAAGCTAAAATAAAACAACTATTTGTTTTTTATTTACCAGGTAAGGCACACTGAGCTAGCTATGTAGCTCTTTTTTTCAGAAGCAATCTGGCTCTCACAAATGATAGCTCAAACTGATTGGCCTATCAAGTGGAAATCGACAGCGGCCAACGACAAACCATTCAAAAAGGTATTAGTGTACTACATAACGTCGGCATGTTAAAGATCTTGCTGGAACATTGAATCATCGTATATTTTAATGAGTTTATTTAAGGGATACATTTTGTCTTCTTTGGTTCTTTCGGTAAAGTCACGTAGAATGAGAATAAAATAATAAATTGATAAAATAAAATAACACAATATTCTCACGACGTTTCGGCCACAACACAAGCGGCCTTCATCAGGTGAAGGGACGAGACTGTCTGGAGGACAGCGCTGGAGTGAAAAAGCCACGCTCAGATCGCGACCTTTAAGCTCGTCCCTTCACCTGATGAAGGCCGCTTGTGTTGTGGCCGAAACGTCATGAGAATATTGTGTTATTTTATTTTATCAATTTATTATTTTATTCTCATTCTACGTGACTTTACCGAAAGAACCAAAGAAGATGAATCATTGCAGTCACGAAAGCTTTAAATCGGATACATTTTGATTATATAGGGGTTTGTCTGTTACTCAACAGCTACTAGTGCCCATTTAACACGGTTCATGAGGAAGCGTTTAAAAAAAATAATGTAGTTCTCATCGGGCCCCGTGGTGTAAACAAGTGCAGTCTCCACCACACGCTCTCCACTCTGTTGTCCCTTTGGCCTATGGAACTTTGAAAGGTCTTTTCCCGAAACGTCACCCGGTGTATATTTCATGTTGTTAATGCCAATGTTCACGATGAACGCCGTGGTTAATCGAGACTGTTGCTGCTGACGCACGAGACCAGCGGGAGGCGCGGTTACCCGAGTCCACAACAATATCTACGTAATATCTACGCAAGGAGATGTTAACTCCCTCGCCTTGTATACAGGAGGTCGTGGATTCGATCCCCAACCCCGCCTGCCTGACGCCTGCTGTATATTTGTGGTCTGCGGTGTCTCTCTCGCTCTATCCCCGTGGATTTCTCTCCGGGGGTCATCCTGTTTCAGTTCCCCCTCCACCTTTACAATGAACGCCACGCGTTTAGATTATAATTAATTATTCGACTGTTACATCTCCACGGCGACATAGCGCACCGCGTCGTCGGGATTTATCGTTCGCGATGTCTTCTGAAGGTGGGCTTGCCACACGTGGCTCGGCGCGGGCGGGCCCTTACGTGGTGAGAGATAGAACACAAACTAGTTGTAAGTGATATTAAGTGTAAACGTTTAGCGCCTTCACCGCTGTCAGCTGTTGCTGCGGGTGACGCAATTACTGCTGCCCCCGCTCCCACCCCATCAGCCAATCGGCTGCGGCGGCGATTTTGGCGCCAATTTCTTTTTCGCGGGAACATTCCCTGGTCAGCCAACCATCGGTGCGGCGGAGACGATAACGACGATGATAACGATGATAATGATGATGAAGTTGGGACGCCGACAGACCTCGTTTATGACGAGGCTGGTTTGGGCATCCACCTGAGGCCCCGGAAATTCCACATTCCCGCGCCCGGGGGTCAGCACGTCCACGCGAATTCCCAACGAGAGAGAGAGAAGAGAGGGGCCAACTTAACGCCCGCTTGAAGCTGCACGGCTATAACGCGGGGGATAACCCCGACAGCCGCCGCCGTCGCCACTCTACAGACGCCCGGATGGGTTCAATCCCTGAGCCATACATCCCTCCACCACCACCACCTGGCACGGTCTCTCTTCGCGATCGACCCTGGTAAAAAAAAACAACTAAAACCCTCGCCTCGGTTCGAGTAAAAACACGAATCGTCGGTTCTTGTTGTTGTTCTTGTTGTCATCTCTCGCGCCATTCGACGCGCGGCGTTTTGTCTGGTCAGCTTGGCAGTGTCCCCGGACAGCTGTTTATAGAAAAAACTAAATAGCTCCCCGTTGAATAGTTGGGTGTGGAGAAGACAAAAAGAAAACAATATACAGACGCGTGATGATTTAGATCATGGTGTTTCTGTGTGAAAGAGAGGTTGTTGAGCGTCAACAGCGTGGCCCTGTCATGCGAATGTGGAATTTCCATCACCCGTAACCGGGTCCACTCTCGGCACCTGGCGAGATTCGCGCAGACCCAGCAACCCGCGCGGCGACTCTCACCTCGAGACTCCGCGCAGTCGCCTCGTGCCGACAAAGTCGCGGAGGGGAACTCGCTCGGACCGAACCTAGAGGGCCAGCAGTGGAGAGAGCCTGATGGCGCCAAACAACGACCCGCGTCACGTGACCAGACACCACCCCCCCCATGGCCCCTCCCTTCCGTCCACCTCCCCTCCACGTGACGAGGCCGGCCCTCACCGCGACCCCGTTAGTAAACACTGCGCGTGTGTGTGGCCTGGACAGGAGACGTATACAACAGGCGACGTTTCAGGCAATGGTCCTTCTTCACAGCACACGGATAGAATGGCCAGGAGGACAAGAGTTGAATAATGGTTGTGCAGACTGCCCTCTACATGGAGGGTTACCAACCCTCCCGTTAGCCGGGAGTCTACGTTGATTTATCATTCATTGTTTAAACATCTCCCGTTTTCGTTTCATCCGATTGCGTTTTTCTTTATGTCGGAGTTGGTAACCATAACTTTATACAATGGGCCCTGACAATAATGATATTTGAAATTGGTAATACAGGATGAATATTACTCTTTGGTTCTATTGGGTAAAGTCACGTAGGTAAAAAATAAAATAACAAAAATCACGACGTTTCGGCCACAACACAAGCGGCCTTGTATGGATCCTTGCAGTCACGAAAGCTTTAAATCTAGAAAGGATGAATATTCGTACTATCCGTGGATATTGAGAAACATTCCTCATTAATCACAAATGCATTGATACACACTGTGACGTGGTTGGAACAGGACGTGCGGTCAGAGGAGGCAGAGCCTCACCTGTCATACTGCCAATGAAAATAGCTGTTAAATTTCGATTTAAAGCTTTCGTGACTGCAAGGATTCATCTTCTTTGGTTCTTTCGGTAAAGTCACGTAGAATGAGAATAAAATAATAAAATAAAACAATAAAATTCTCACGACAGAGCTCTGTCGTCACGACAGAGCTCTGTCGTCCCGACAGGTTTCTTCCTTTCACCTGAAGAAGGCCACTTGTGTTGTGGCCGAAACGTCGTGAGAATTTTATTGTTTTATTTTATTCTCATTCTACGTGGTGACTTTACCGAAAGAACCAAAGAAGAAAAATAGCTGTTACGAAAAGTAAAAAAAGAATAATCAAATCAAATAATATTAAGATTTTTCCACTGATCTGTGTTATGTAATTTCTGTACGATTCCAATCATTTGTAAAGTCAAAATCTCCAAATTTGCGGAGCTCCGCTGCAAATACAGGAAGAGGCGAGACATGAGGCAGCGGCGAGCTCAGCCTCCCCTCTGATTGCGCAACCCCTCAGTAACTGGATGGAGCACGGGCAATAAGCGTGTGCCTGTTACTATCTCAGTATGTCACCAATGTAATGTTGTAGACCCCTTCATTACATGTCCTCGCCTTCCATACTCCAGGTAACCTATTTCACGTATGTGTATAAAGATATTTAGGCTCGCTGGTCTCGTCATGAAACTGCAATGAAAAAGCACCGGGGGAGGCAGCTATCACATCTGCCTCACTGAGGGGGACGTGTCTAACACGCCCCCCTCAGTAAGGACACGCCCCCTTCAGTGAGGCCACGCCCCCTCAGTGTGTGAATCTGGCTCTGACACTCGCCAGTGCCTCCCCAGCCATTGACTTCACCGCACGTCACTGGGTTGGAGGCCCATGTGTCCACTTAGTCACTCCATCCATGCCTCGCATGTCTGCGGGATCAGGCACTTCTGAGCGATGTTATACATTCCTGAATCTGGCGGGCAGGGTCGAGGATTTCAAGGGAGACAATGTAATGACTCCTTTATATGAGAGCAAGGGTTAAAAAATACCTTTACCCCCTCTATGGAAAACCGAAACAGGAGGAATTCTCCACAATTCTGGCTATCGCCTGATGAAGCTGGTTCTAATTACTGTCCTGGATTTAGACACCAAGGCACACGACCACAGCGGACCGAGTTCTCTGTGGGGAAGAACAACCTCGAAAAAGTACTCACTTCTAAATCTTTTGTAGTAATTTTTGTATTACTTTAGTATAAATGCATGCATGTTAATTTTAATTCATATTGTTGTTTTTCTGACTTTGTGAACAAAAAGACACAAATTCGCCCGTTTTCTCATTGAAAATAAGTACATTTCAAAATATCAATGTCCTGGTCACAAAAGCAAAATTTATGGGGAATAATAGCCATTTTTATACCTTTTAGAAATACGCAATTACGAAATAACACTTACTACCCTGGAACAGAAATTGTGTGACAGTGTAATCCTTGAAGAGATTCACGGAGACTCCAGTTTGGCTAGAATGTAAGTACGAGCAGAACTAAAGTCATCTCCAACCAAGCACGGTTCGCTGAACATAAGAAAACCACTGTTGCAGGGGACACAATTGCAACGCACAACACAGAGGTTGCATGTTCATGGTACTGTAACGAGTCGAGGCGTGCCAGGATCAAAATGATGGAATACCGAGGCGAGCCAGAACAGCATGGAGTGATTTTGGAATTTGATTTTAATATTGAAAAGCAACGTAAAAAAATGTGATTTGCCACGTACATTCAAAACATTGAAAGGTACGTACACGAAGCTTGGAGATAAATACACGTTCATGATAAGCAACACTGTCTTATGTTTGCACTTACTGAAATATTCCACACGTCTACAATCAAGAGCAATAAGTGTCTGGAGAAAACCCACCACTCTCTGCAGACCTGGCTCCGAGTGTATTTCACGTTTCCACAATTAAATAACTTATTATGTGGGAAGTGAATTCCTGGCAGCAATGAAGCGACGTGAGGCGTAAGCGAAGTGGTTTGAGGAGCGAGACAGTTCTTGCCAGCGGGGATTTAAAGCCACGGGACATCGATGATGACGACGATGACGATGACGACGATGATGATGACGATGATGATGACGATGATGACGATGACGATGGACCAAGTGCTTTGGACGTCGAGGGGACCATGTAGAGAAACTGCTCAACATCACCAAGGCTCTGTTCTTGGTGTTAGGACACAAGATTTCAAATCCTCTTGCGACTGAAGGCAGCTGTAAGGGATTGTTTAATGAAACCAACGTCGATATAGGATTGCCAGGACGTCAATTCTTGACTTAAAGCTTTCGTGACTGCAGGAATTCATGTTCTTGGGTCTTTCGGTAAAGTAACGTAGATAGGTTCAAAGAAAATAACAAAAAAACTACGATGTTTCGATCGCAACACAAGCGGTCGTCTTCAGGAAAAGGAGGGTTAGCTTCCAAGGCAAACTGTTTGTAAGGGTTTAAAATGGGCGTAGCCCAAATGTCAGCAGCCAATGATAATGTAAGTGGTGGGCAGCCAACCCGACGGTGGTTGGTTTTCCACCAATCAAAGGGCTGTCAGGTGAAAATTTGCATGTTAAAGAGAGATTAGCATGTTAATGGAAGATTACAGAGCCGCAGCCAAGGGGTCGACATGCGAAGTGACTGTGAAAGCGCAAGTTTCAAATGGGCGTAAGGCACAACTAACATCGGAAGGTGGTATGATGGGAACATCATAGCCAATCATGACTTAAACTGGTTGATAACGTCCTTTCAATGATTGCTCAGTTTGTACCCATCTTCTCGGTTGAAATGTTGTCTGTGTCTGTATATATAGATGGCTTCATTAATCTTTGTTGATAGCCATTGGGCTTGCAAAGTACCTTCGTCTTAGAGAAATCAATTTCGTGTGAGCCCACCACATTAAAACAATGATCAGCCACGGCTGAGGTATTGGTCCTATTATGTTTCAGATCTGCCTTATATTCACGAACACGGTCCGAGACATGTCGCTTAGTTTCCCCAATGTAACTACTGCCGCAGACAGCTTAGTTTGTAGACGCCGGGGTATTGCATGTCAGGGATCACATCCTTCACAGATGGGATTAGGTCACGAAATTTATGTACTGTGTTAAATCGAACCTAGATCCTGTATTTGCTCATGATTTTGGAAATATTTTTGGTGACCCCTGCTATGTATGGCAAGGTGATGGTTTTGATAGGGTCCTCAGATGGTTATTTCCCAATGTTTGGGGTGATAGATTTACAGATTGTGTAGTCTGAATTGGTGTACGTGTTCCAGTTCACTGGTCAGGTGATGATGGTCGGAAATACATCGAGCTCTATGGTGTAGAGTTTTTATGAGGGAATTCTTCTGGGATGGATGGTGGTGGGAGTCAGGTTTTAGGTAGGCCTCCATATGGGTGGCTTTCCTGTAGACAATGTCCCATTGAGCCATCTGGTCTCTTTTCGATTAAAACATCCAAGAATGGTAACCTGCTCTTAGGTTCTTTCGGTAAAGTCACGTAGATAGGAAAATAAATAAATAAATAGCAAGCGATCGTCCTCAGGTGAAAGAGAGAAACACGCCTCTGTGACGAGGCATTATATAGAGGGGGAGGGGGGGGGAGGCTGTAAAGGGGCGAGAGGGTGGGGATAAAATTCAAAGAGGACTTGGGTGAGAGAGAGAGAAAAGAAATATGACAAGGACGCCTAGATATTAAACTTAACAAAATTTAGAAATGTAATGCAACTCAGAGAGTCGGCTAACACAACAGTTAACACTTCACCCGGTTGATCAACGTCCTTCCAAAGATTGCTACATTTTGCATCATCTTCTCGGTTGAAGTTATGTCCGAGTTGTGTGGAAAACCTCCCCGTAGAGGCGGTTCAATCTTGATTAGAAGCTTTCGCGACCGCAGGATTTCATACTCTTATGTTCTTTCGGTGAAGTCACGTAGGTAGGAAAATAAATCATAGATCACGACGTTCCGATCGCAACAACAAGCGATCGTCCTCGGGTGAAAGAGAGAAACACGCCTCTGTGACGAGGCATTATGTAGAGGACGATCAATTGTTGTTGCGATCGAAACGTCGTGATATATTACTTATTTTCCTATCTACGTGACTTTACCGAAATAACCTAAGAGTATGAAATCCTGCAGTCACGAAGGCTTCTAATCAATGGTAACTTGCCATCCTTTTCCACCCCCATGGTGAATTTGATGGCTGGGTGTATGGAATTGATGTGGTTGAGGAATTGGCTCAGGGCTGGTTGGCCATGTGGCCAGATGACGAACGTGTCATCTACGTACCTCTTCCACAAGGACGGATGTAGAGTGGATGCCTGGATGGCATCTGGCTCAATTTTTTCCATAAAGCCATTGGCTACAACTGGAGATAAGGGAGAACCCATTGGGGTACCTTCAACTTGTTTGTAGAATGTTCCATTCCAGGTGAAGTAAGTGTTGGTGAGGCAGTATCTTAATGTGGTGGGCTCGCACAAAATTGATTTCTCTAAGACGAAGGTACAGTACTTTGCAAGCCCACTGGCTATCAACAAAGATTCGTTCATGAAGCCATCCATATATATAGACACAGACACAATTTCAACTGAGAAGATGGGTACAAACTGAGCAGTCATGGGAAGGACGTTATCAACTAGTTTAAGTCATAATTGGCTATGATGTTCCCATCCTACCACCTTCCGATGTTAGTTGTGCTTTACACCCATTTCAAACCTTGCGCTTCCAGTCACTTCGCGCGCTGACCCCTTGGTTTGCTGCTCTGCGATCTTCCATTAACATGCTAAGCTCTTTTTAACATGCTAATTTTCACCTGGCAGCCCTTTGATTGGTGGAAAACCAACCACCGTCGGGTTGGCTGCCCACCACTTACATTATCATTGGCTGCTGACATTTGGGCTACGCCCATTTCAAACCTTTATAAACAATTTGCCTTCAGAAGCTAACCCCCTTTCCTGAAAACGACCGCTTGTGTTGCGATCGAAACGTCGTCGTTTTTTGTTATTTTTTATATTTTCTTAGAACCTATCTACGTGACTTTACCGAAAGACCCAAGAATAGGACGTCAATTGTTTGTGATGTGATGTGATAATACAATTCACGATTTACGCCGAGTATCGGAACATCAGTTTCAATCAACTTTGTAATTTTACGTTTAGTCTTTGTTGTGCTTGCTGATGTATATCAAGTGCACATTGCTTACTAAACCGTAGTTCGCTCAACACGAGTCTGTCCCGAGTTTCCTAATCATTGTAAATTTACAATCTATCACACTTATAATGCACATGCCATCACAAAACGATGATGCCATATAATCACCAACCCATAAATTTCTCCGGAAAACGTTTCTAGAAACGCTCATTTAACGGTTAAAACAACCTTTTTAAAACTTAAATTATTCCTGTGAACATTAACTTGCTAATTCGTAACTATTAGGCCCGGTAAAGAATTACTTAGGAAAAAAATCAACGAGCAATGATAATCATATGACGATATGATTACCATGGATCTTATATCGTACGATATATCGCAGTATCGCCATATCAGGGCAACCCTACGTGGATATTTATTCAAATTGGGCCGAATGGAGCCTGTATGTACGTACGCTGAACTTCCTTCACGCCGTATGTAGCCAACCGCGCTAATCAGAGATGCGTCACATTCGTACACACACAAACACAGGCGCGGCGCATGAGTTCTGTCAGTCTTGGTAATCTAGCTGCAGGATTTCCATCTGCTCCGTGATGAAACTGGAGCTTTTCTCACACATCGACTGAATGTGATGTTTTAAAGATGCGAGGCTTTTGTAGGCGGCAGCAAGTTCCATCTGCAACCTGCACGTCTCTTCTTGAAGCTCGGCGTTCTTGCCCTCCAACTTCTTGCAGCGCTGCGGAATATAAAAACATGAACAACGTTGGGAGAACGGTGGCCGGTTGGCTCAGAGGTCAGAGGTCACAAACAACGAGCAAGGCAACACTGCCACCCGTGATTAAACTGTTTTTTCACGTGTGAGTTAATGGTCATACCATGTTTACCAACGATTAAGGAAACAAAAACACATTGTATTATGTATACATGTATGCTGAACTTCTTTCACACTGCACGCATTAAATTGGGTTCTGCACTTAATCTGGCAAACAATTCCAGCTCCGCGGATCAAAAGCACGAGTTTGACTGCCATGCGACAATCGCACAGCACAGTGTTTTTGAAAGAGCGAACCGTAACCGTGTGATGGGGAAAAGGGCCACGTGAGGGATTTTTTGGCAGAATTACTGTGAACATTCTCCTGTGCAGCTGCTGTGAACCACGGGTCCACACTGCTCTACGTGCACCGTGTGGACTCTTTGTCTCAGGTAACGAGACCGCAGTTGGAATTGGTGGGTGGGTGGGGGATCCATAAACGCTGAAGAGCATCCCCTGCTCAAATAAGTGTGGGGTGGCCCTCATCTCTACTGGTGGCCCTAAGCCCGCCATTGACACGCTTCGATGACGGAGGCCAGTCTCTATATGTCTCAATCGCATTTCCATCAAGTGACCAGGATGTGCACCTGGGCTCTGCCAAGTGCGGCAGTCGAATGCCAGAAAAGCAAAGGAAGGCACGAGAAGTAAAACACAGCTGCGTCACCTCTTCCATCTGCAAGGCCTTCGTGTGTGTCACGAGTGTCCGCAGGGAAGCTTCTGCCCGATATTTGAGGCAGCTGTCGGTTCTCCCTCCCGCACGCTGCAGCTGGGATTCGGGCGAACACAGCTGAGAGATTTCCCAAGCGTCCGGGGCGTCGGGCAGCAGCAGCTTCGGAAGAGGCTGCACCCTGTTAGGTAAGGCACCGAAGTCCAGCTGAGAGTCCTTCTCCGAGACCCGCGGCCTGGAATTCTGGAGCCTCTGCACCACCTTCCCCCTGACGAACGCGGAGTCCGAGCCCGGCTGCTCCGCGTGCGCGCATCGGCCCCCGTAGCGAACCAGGCGATTCTCCAACGCGGGCGGTTCCTCCGCGTCGACAGCACGATGACGCTTAGGAAGCGGGGGAGGGGACAGCCAGTGGTCTGTCTGCGAGGCCCTGTTGACGGTGGAGTGGTGCACCTTGACGGAGATCCTCTGAGCAGAGCTGGTGAGCAGGGTGAGGGAACTCTCATTGCCGTCACTGCCCTTTCTGGACTTCAGCAGGGCGCACAGGTCAGGGGCTACGGGGCGACAGAAACGTGCGCGCAAGATCAGCCGCGTGTCTGCCACTCTCGCGGGTGACTTACCATCACCGTGTGAAATGCATAAATACGACCGTCAAAATCACCGTCCCTTATCGAATACTTCCGAGGACAGGCGCGCGACGGAAAGCATCACAAGCCGGCGGCTCGGCGTCCTCTAGGAAAGGAATCAAAAAGGGGTGCGCGCGCCGCGTGGCCTCCGTATGAGGGCGACGTGCGGGGCGGCACGCACCGTTGTCCGGGCTGGGCGTCTCCGACAGGGACGTGAGGGACGGGGATGGCGACGTGGCCCCCACTCCGTGCCGCCCGCTCGACGCGCACTCCATCACCAGCTCCTTGCACTGCCGGTGGCAGTTCACGCCGCAGTCTGCCGTGGAGACACGTGGGGAAAGGGGGCACGGCGTCGACAAACACATTCGGTGCCAGCGGCGAAGTCACGGCGCACTCCGTGGCCCGGTTGAAGCGGGGCCGCCCACACCTCGCGTGGCAGCCTGAGTCGGGGGACATTCCACATTCCCGTGGCAGGTGGCCAGTCTGTGTACAGGAAGGCCATCGTTGACGTCCCAAGCAGAGGCACAGTCGTGTGTCCCCTGTAACGCCGCGTGTTTTGATAGCGCGAATTTGATGTGTGACGCGATTCATGGATGAGGGGACAAATTTTTGATAACGCGGACGCGAATTGGATATAACGCGATCGAGCGAACGGAACTACATCGCGCGAGGAGGAATAAGCGGTCGTACGGCCGCCTCGGCGTAGCATCGCACAAGGCGCTGGGATGCTGCTGGATGCTTCAAGATGCGAACCCACGCACCTCGGTCTCTGTTCGGCCTGCGTACGCATCTTACACCTTATCACGGACCGTGATTTTTCCATAATGCGGTGTTCTTCAGGAGCACAACTACCACCGCCGTGTTACAGGAGAACAGACTGTACTTTTTTTTTACGATGGGCCAACTTGTGAGTCAAGACTCTCACCAAGCACTCTGTACCCAAGCATCACATCTTGATACCCGTAATGCATCAGAAAAAAAACATTACGTTTGCCCAGGGAATGTTCAAGTCAAGGTTCAGTTTGTCTTTCCGCTCAAGCGTTCATCTCTGTTGGTGGCCTTAAGCCATCGTTGGAAATTCCACATTTCCATGGCTGGTAAACGGTACGTCTACATGGCCACTTTTCGTTATGACTTCGAGGAATTTTCCTGGCGTCCCATTCCAAACGTACACAAGTCGTGCGTATGTACGTTTTTAACTTCGTTTGCACCGTACGTGGCCGACCGTGCTAATCGGAGATAAGTTGCTTACATATTATCCTGACTTGACATTCGTAGCAGCCTCCGCTCAAAGGCGATACGATCCTTTTCACAGTCGCTTTATTCAAAGTGCTTTAAAGTTTGGGGGGGGGGGGGGGAAACAGGTTAAAAGGTGACAATTGAACACTGGATTACACATTAAAAAAGAGATAGGAGTTTACCTTTACACTTGAAGCCTTGCTTCACTAGGCCCCACAGCTTATGCAAGAGAAAGACGTCAGAGGTAGGGGCAACGTTAGTCACACGTACACGTGGCGAGGCATGCACTTGCCCCGAGCACAGCTTGCAAAAACCATACGGGTCACCCATATTCTCGTACAGGGAAATTGAGCTTGAAAAACGAATCGTCTATTCCTTTGTCTTTCTCCCTTGTGACGAGACTTTGTAGGATGAACGTTGAGATTTATAAGGGTGGCCGATAAGGTCTGAATTGGTCTGTAATAAGGTAGGCAGCACTGATAAGGAGGGGTTGACAGCTTCGTACAGGGGCGTCGGCAACCTTTCAAAGAAGAAGAGCCGTTTTGTTGTTTGTATTTAATTAAAATAGTTCCAGAGCGGCTTCAGAACGCAGAGCGACTTGGAACACAAACACAGCAGCAGGCGTACAGCGGGTGACAAGTCCCCACGTGTGGTGGAATACAACTACGTCTATTTGGTTGTTTGTACCCGTTAGTTATTATTTCACAATACTGTACAGTTTGTTGTCAACAAGGCATCCCATAGGGACCCCATTCCCTGCCATATTTCACCAATTATTTTTACGGAAAATTATGTTTAAGATTTACGGGTTTTTTTTTTACGGCGGCAAGGAGGAAGCCAAAGGGCAGCAAGGGGGAAGCTAAAGGGCAGCAAGGGGGAAGCTAAAGGGCAGCAAGGGGGAAGCTAAAGGGCAGCGAGGGGGAAGCTAAAGGGCAGCAAGGGGGAAGCTAAAGGGCAGCAAGGGGGAAGCCAAAGGGCAGCAAGGGGGAAGCTAAAGGGCAGCAAGGGGGAAGCCAAAGGGCAGCAAGGGGGAAGCTAAAGGGCAGCAAGGGGGAAGCTAAAGGGCAGCGAGGGGGAAGCTAAAGGGCAGCAAGGGGGAAGCTAAAGGGCAGCAAGGGGGAAGCCAAAGGGCAGCGAAGGGGAAGCCAAAGGGCAGCGAGGGGGAAGCTAAAGGGCAGCAAGGGGGAAGCCAAAGGGAGCGAGGGGGAAGCTAAAGGGCAGCAAGGGGGAAGCTAAAGGGCAGCAAGGGGGAAGCTAAAGAGCAGCACGGAGGAAGCTAAAGAGCAGCAAGGGGGAAGCTAAAGGGCAGCAAGGGGGAAGCTAAAGGGCAGCGAGGGGGAAGCCAAAGGGCAGCGAGGGGGAAGCTAAAGGGCAGCGAGGGGGAAGCTAAAGGGCAGCGAGGGGGAAGCCAAAGGGCAGCAAGGGGGAAGCCAAAGGGCAGCAAGGGGGAAGCTAAAGGGCAGCGAGGGGGAAGCTAAAGGGCAGCGAGGGGGAAGCCAAAGGGCAGCAAGGGGGAAGCTAAAGGGCAGCAAGGGGGAAGCCAGCATGCGGCTGTGCAGGCTGCCAAGCCCTGATCTCGGCAGTGGTCGTGGCGGCTGCGTCCGTGGTATTCACGCGCAACATCTGGGGTGGACTTTTTTTTTGTTGGGGCCCGTTTTCACATTTTCACCGCCAGCAGCGCTCATCGGCGTCACGGCTTGAGACAACGAGAATCCGCTCGGGAAAACTCGCAGAGCGTTGCGACCGCCGTGTGTCCCACGTATTGGAGAATGGCTGCACGAGACATTTCTCAGAGGCGGTATTGTCTCACACACTCTTCTGTGAGATGATTTATCGCATGACAGTTGATGCCATCTTTTGTGTTTTTTTTTATCGTAGCCAAATTGGGTGCACATCCAAGGGGAGCAGTGACCACGGGATATTTTATTTACGATGTTACCAGGTAAGGCCCACTGAGCTGTATATCTCTTTTTCAGAAGTGACCTGGGACACAAATGGTCGCTCAAAGAAAGTGGGCTAATCACGTGGGCATTTATAGCAGCAGCCGAAGACTCTAAACGCGTGGTGATGCTGATTATAAATGTGTGGAGGGGAAAAACCGGAGGACCCGGAGAAAAACCCACGCAACCACGGGGAGGACATGCAAACTGCAAATATACAGCAGGTGTCGGGGTTGGGATTGAACCCACAACCTCCTGTATATCAGGCGAGGGAGTGAACATCTCCTAGCCACCGCAGTACGGCGGGTCCCTGGCACGTTTTTATTACGATTATTTTTTATGGAGTCACTGGTGACCGGGCTGAAATCATTGATTCACTCCACTTGGCAGGCCAGTTGAATCACAGTTCAGAATCAGAATATGTATTCATCCTGGAGCAATCCGATGAGCTATGAAGCTCTTTTTCACAGAATTCCAGACATGACAGGAGTGAAGACTACAAGAAAGGCAAACAAAGCCCCCCAAACACAAACAAACACAACTGAACCATCCCCCCCCCATCCTACCAGACAAAGCCCACGGAGGTATTCACTTATCTTTCAGAAGCGATCTGGCCACACGCGATAGCCCAACAAAGCGGCTCATCAAGCGGAGTTTTACAGCAGCAAAATCGTCTCCATAATCCCAAGCGTTAACCTGTAGCACGCTTGCCCACGGCTGGGCGGCTGTAACCTGGATTGGGAACCCAGGCTTCTCGGCTCTGTACTCTTGGCCCGTGGGCCACGTGGCCCGCCTCTCTGCGGTGAAACTCCGGGTGCCATCGTGACGACTCACAAAGCCAGCGCAGTGCTCGCAGAAGGTGGGCTTGAGGTACGTGGTCTCCTGGAAGTTGTGGGTGAACCCTTTGCCCAGCTTGCAGCGCAGAGAATTCGCTCGCAGGAAGTAGCCCATCATCTCCTCCTTGCTCACCTGACCGATCCTTTACGTGCGCGGAAAAATGCGAGCGTAAGGATGTTCATGACCATGAAAAATAAGGATAGGTTTCACCCTTCCTGGCAATAAACGCAGGAGGTGTTAAGATCTTCTTTGGTTCTTTCGGTAAAGTAACGTAGAATGAGAATAAAATAATAAAATAACAATTAAATTCTCACGACGTTTCGGCCACAACGCAAGCGGCCGTCTTCAGGTGAAAGGTATAGACCTGTCGGGACGACAGAGCTTCAAGAATTTTATTGTGTTATTTTATTATTTTATTCTCATTCTACGTGACTTTACCGAAAGAACCAAAGGTGTTAAGATGTTCAACAAGCCAAATAAATTCCATTGGCAAGGAGTCAAGGCTGCATTAACCACGTATTGTACTTGTGGTGAACATGCAAACAAAACATGCTCTGATTATATGTGCTTTAAAACGGATTGGTCTACACCAGAGACAGCCTTCTTTAGGGCCTAATCTGACCAGTGTCAGACCACACAAAAGACGAACAGGAGTACAAAGCCAATGCAAGTATCAGGGCATTCCTAGCTCGGGTTGAGCAGTTATGTCTATGATATATATACAACGATGATATAAATCTATGAACTATGATATACAACTATGATATATATTTCTATATCATAGATGACACGGTAAATATAGTTACATATAATCTGTGATATAATCCTTGTACACCCCTGTCAACTAAATCATCCCATTCTGTTACCGTTTTTTAAGCTCTGTCAAGTGCCTTGAGTGAAGGGGGCCTATATAAATATAACTTAGATTAGAATGTGATGGTGATGATGGTGATGATGATGGTGATGATGATGACTCTGATGATGATGACTCTGATGATGATGATGACTCTGATGATGATGATGACTCTGATGATGGTGATGATGATGACTGTGATGATGATGATGATGGTGATGATGACTCTGATGATAATGGTGATGATGATGATGGTGATGATAACTCTGACGATGATGGTGATGATGACTGATGATGGTGATGATGACTATGATGATGGTGATGATAACTCTGATGATGATGGTGATGATGACTGATGATGGTGATGATGATTCTGATGATGGTGATGATGACTCTGATGATGGTGATGACGACTCTGATGATGGTGATGACGACTCTGATGATGGTGATGATGACTGATGATGGTGATGATGACTATGATGATGGTGATGTTGATGACTCTGATGATGGTGATGATGACTCTGATGATGGTGATGATGACTCTGATGATGGTGATGATGATCATGATGGTGATGATGATGGTGATGATGACTCTGATGATGGTGATGATGACTCTGATGATGGTGATGATGATGATGACTCTGATGATGGTGATGATGACTCTGATGATGATGATGGTGATGATGACTCTGATGATGGTGATGACGACTCTGATGATGGTGATGACGATTCTGATGATGGTGATGATGACTCTGATGATGGTGATGACGACTCTGATGATGGTGATGACGACTCTGATGATGGTGATGACGACTCTGATGATGGTGATGACGACTCTGATGATGGTGATGACGACTCTGATGATGGTGATGACGACTCTGATGATGGTGATGACGACTCTGATGATGGTGATGACGACTCTGCTGATGGTGACGACTCCGATGATGGACCGAGTCAACGCATGTCTGCCATTCGAATTCACAAACATCCCGTCCCCAAGTGGAGCTCTCGAACGGCGGCTCGGCATTAACTCCACATGCCGAAGAGAGCGGCTTAACCTTGGGTGGCTGACTAGGGCTCGAACCCAGGCCCTGTGAGCTCAGTCAGCGCGGAGTCGCGAGCGTCTCTCCCTCTCTCCGGCGTTAGCGCAGGCCGCCGGTGCCATCGCACCACTCACCGATCCCTCCTCAGGAAGCAGAACGAGTCCAGGAAGGGGAAATTGGCGGTGATGTTTTGGAAATCCTCTTGCGCGATGTAGCCGTCGTGGTCGTGGTCGTAGTTTTTGAACACGGTCTGGCGGAACGGAAAAGCGACGAGGCTTTGCTGAAGCAACGGAGAAGAGTCATAAGTTCAAATCCCAGTCGGGGTTTCGCTCAGCCTCTCGTTTTTTTGTTGTTGTCCTGTGGTCGGTAAACGGAGTACCGCTCTTCGCCGTGGGATTTTCACAGCATTGCTTGAGGCACGCCAACAGCCGAATGCCCGATAGGGGTGGGAGGTGCTTTGACTTCATAATTTGACTTTTCAACAGAAACGGAAAGATTCGGTGATTAGCAGGAACGTTCATCAGCAGCCAAAACGTGAGATTTGTAAAAAAAATAATAACCGCAAGTAAAAGTGTCTCCCTGTTTGCGAGGGCACGGGGCAACGCTCCTCTCCACTAATAGTAAGCCAGCAGTGGAAATTCCACATTCCCGTGGCACTGACTCCTGTTGACTGTCTATAACAGTGCGCTTCAATGCAAGGCCCGCGGGCCATTGGCGGCCGCCCCTGGTGGCCTTTAGTGCGGCCCCCAACAATACACAACAACAACAACACGTGACAACACCCCACCATCATCGTGCTGTCAAACCAAATGGTTTGAATTGCGTGACGTCCGTCGCGCTGATGGTGTCTTATCGGCACAAGTGAAGAACACGGCTCTATAAAGTGGCACTCGATTGATCAACCGAAGGACTATATTGGCCCTCAAGTGGGGCTTGTGCTCACGATCTCTCAGTTTGATGATGGAGCCACTGGGCAGGATTGGCGTTGATCATTCAGGTGCAGGTTAAAGGCGCAGCCGCTGCACATGCTCACGCCACTGCTGGCTGGAAAGACCTCCGCTAGCAGGAGCGCTGGAGAACTCCTCTCGGGGGTTACTTTAGCGTACACTTCAGGGGTGGGAGCACCAACACGCGGCGCGACGATTGACCGCTCCACCTCTTTATTACTGCCGGGCGGACGGAGGTGGAGGGGATTTAAGAAACCTGCACCACCGGCGACGTCTGGATCGTGAGTCCGGCGCGCTGGCCATTACACCGCCGGCAAGTAAAGCGAGAGACTGCCGGAGACAAACCTCCACCATCTGACGGATGTGGCGATTGATGGCGGCAGGGTCTGGCTTGGGCTGAGCTTCCCTGGTCCAATCCAAGGAGAGTTTCAGCTTATTTGGAGTCGAACGCTGATGGGAAAATAATGCGATACGCTTAGAACGAGACGTGAACAGGCCAAAACATACAGTGCGAGTGGGAGGTGGGCTCGTCATGGCTATGTCGGTGACACTGAGCAGGCAGAGATAAAAACCTGGGTTCAGTTTAACACGTAGTGAGGCTTTCGTGACCAAATATTGTCCACAATAGACGTTTTTGGGGTTAGATCGTGCAAATATAAATGTGTCGTTAAACCCGCCACCACCCGACGCAGCCAACTCGTCAGGTTTGTCACGTAAACAAACGAATCAACACGTTTTGTTTACGTGACAAACCTTTACTAATTGGCTGCGTCGGGTGGTGGCGGGTTTAACGACACACAAAAAGCCTCGATTATGAAGCTGGTTGTAAATCCGAGTTGCAGATTAAACTGGCCTCCCAAGTGTCGTGCGCAGCTTTGGCACAAATTAATGTGTGACATTATTGCAGACATTTCGATACTCTGCTTTAAATCGGCGCTTCCAGCTTTGAGGAATGCTCATTTTGCTTAATTTTCATGAACATAACGTTCTTGTACACGGTGGCTCAAGGGGCTAAAACCGTGTCAGAGCATTGAGCTGGCATCTCTGAGATCCTGGGTTCCAATCTCTACGTGCATTGGTGACAAACACTGATTATTGGTGGCCATGCACCTGGCCTGTAATCCAGCACTGTGGAGGCAGCGAGGGTTGGTGAATCGAGCTAATGCTGTGGAACTCGCTTCCCGTGGGAGTCGTGGAGGTGCCACACCCTGACTCACCAGGAGAAGGCGGTACAGCATAGTGTGGGACTAATGTCATCCGTCCCATCTATATGGGATAGAGTGTTTCCCCCTTGCATGCGTGGGTTTTTCTCCGGGGAGCTCCGGTTTCCTCCCACGTGTACGAACAGCAATTCGTTGCATAAAGTCATCTCAGCATAATTGACGGCCGACAACGCAACTGGGACAGTTTTTTGTTGTCGTGAGCGCACGGAGGTGGACGCCCGTGTCGGTGACGGGCGCTGACGGGCGCTCGCATTTGCCGAAAGAGCCATCGCAGCGACTCGAAGGAGCTCACCGTTGCCTTGCCGTTTCGAGGCTCCCTCACGACCGACAGCTCATAAATCTCCTCCTCTGTGTAATACAGATCCAGAGACACCTGTAGCAGTAGCAATCGGGCAGAGGGTATACGAGCGGTAGATTAATCATCTCAGAAATGAAGAGCGATAATATGAATTGCGGCGGCGGCGGCCTCAGCATGTTGTGTAGAATGGTCCAGACCTCCCTTTCCCTGGCGACTGACTCCGGGCACTATACACTCTACACTACACTATACACTACTATACACTACACTACACACTATTATACACTATACACTATTATACACTACTATACTATACGCTACTATACACTACTACACTATATACACTACTATACTATACACTACTATACACTACTACACTATATACACTACTATACTATACACTACTATACACTACTACATTATATACTGTACGCCTTTTGGCGTTCTCTGGTCTAACACCGTATGAGACGAGGCTCTAAGGAAAGCTGTCTCTGGTGTGGACCAATTAGTTTCAAGGACAATGCATTGATTATCAGAGTATGTTTTTTGTTTGAATTGTGACCACAAATATTGTGGTTAATGCAGACATGATTCCTTGTAAAAAGGTTTCAGTTTTGTTGCCAGAAAAAAGGGGAAAAACCTATTCTTATACACTATATACTACTATACACTACTACATTATACACTAACTATAGACTACTACACTACTATCCCCTACTATACACTACTACACTATATATTACTATACACTGCACTTGTATACACTACACTATACACTACTATACTATATACTACCATACACTACACTTGTATACACTACACTATACACTACTACACTATATACTACTATACACTACACTATATACTACTATACACTACTACATTATACACGAACTATACACTACTACATTACTATCCCCTACTATACACTACTAAACTATATACTACCATACACTGCACTTGTATACACTACACTATACACTACTACACTACTATCCCCTACTATACACTACTACACTATATACTACTATACACTGCACTTGTATACACTACACTACTACACTACTATCCCCTACTATACACTACTACACTATATACTACTATACACTGCACTTGTATACACTACATTATACACTACTACACTACTATCCCCTACTATACACTACTACACTATATACTACTATACACTACACTATACACTACACTACACACTACACTATACACTATACTATACACTACGCTCCACACTACACTATACACTACACTATACACTACACTATACTACACACTACACTACTATACACTACACTATACTACACACTACTATACACTACACTATACACTACTATACACTACACTATACACTACACTATACACTACTACACTACACACTACACTATACACTACACTACACACTATACACTACACTATACACTACACTATACTACACACTACTATACACTACACTATACACTACTATACACTACACTACTATACACTACACTATACACTACACTATACACTACTACACTACACTATACACTACACTATACTACACACTACACTATACACTACACTATACACTGCACTTGTATACTATACACGACACTATACACTGCACTTGTATACACTACACTATACACTACACTATACACTACACTATACACTGCACTTGTATACACTACACTATACACTACACTATACACTACTATACACTACACTATACACTACACACTACACTATACACTACACTATATACTGCACTTGTATACACTACACTATACACTACACTATACACTACTACACTATACACTACACTATACACCACTATACACACTACACTACTACACTACTATACACTACACTATACACTACCATATACTACACTATACACTACACTATACACTACACTATACACTACTACACTATACACTACACTATACACGACTATACACACTACACTATACACTACACACTACACTATACACTACACTATACACTACACACTACCCTATACACTACACTATACACTACTACACTATACACTACACTATACACGACTATACACACTACACTACTACACTATACACTACACTATACACTACTACACTATACACTACACACTACACTATACACGACTATACACACTACACTATACACTACACTACACACTACACTATACACGACTATACACAGACTCTAGCTCTCCCCAGGCGTTCCCAAACAAACAAATAATCGACATTTACCGACGTTCGCCAATCCAGTGCTGGGTGAAGGGCTCCCCGCGCTGTGCGAGTCACGGGGATGTTGGTTGACCATACTTCACCCCGTCGGTCAGTGTAGGTTGGGGAAGGGGAGCTCTGGACCCCGGTTCAGATATCACTCGCAGCTAATATTAGCCGTGCCCAGGGGTCGAACTCGGGTGGGACAGGTTCACAGTGCAGTGCATCAAACACTCACAAATGTCCCGTAGACCCCGATGTGTTCACATGCAGCAAAACCGACCATAGCGGGTTGATTCCTCACTGCAGATTCGCACGCCATGTAAGTGCTGTTAGCAAGCACCTGTTAAGGCCAGCACGGTGCACGAGCGGGCGGTGTGGTCAGCGCCACGGCCGACTGCCCAGAACCCGGTTAAGATATTGGCCACCGATGTTAGCCCTGAGCGAAAATCGAACTCGGGTCAACAGGGCGGCGTTGTGCGATGCACTGACGACTGCATCAGATAACCCCCCTCGCACAAACTGCATCATGAATTTGTCCACACACACGCGCAGTGTACGAGACACCGTCGAATGGGCAAGTTGGTCAGTGAGAAAAGGTCGAGACAGCCGGGCAGGAAGCTCTTGAACCTCGGTGAAATTCAAGATGAGAATCCAGCTGTTTTGAGTGCTAAACAGGAGGTGCCAGCGATGGGCCAACAGCCAAACGTAAAGGGGGTGGTTAATCAACTCATAAAAGGCTCTTTCATAAAAAAAAAAATGTGTGCGTCATTACTGATTTCATTCTGGGCCCATTGATCTACTTTTGGGCCCTAAGCATTTGCTTAGATTGCTCATGCCGCACGCTACCACCACCCACATACTCAACTAAAACTAAACTACTTTTTGTTTTACCAGGTAAAGCCCACTGAGCTATGTAGCTCTTTTCCAGAAGCGACCTGGCCACAAATGACAGCTCAACCACGTGGATCATCATCACGTGGACTTTTATTGCGGCCAAATACTCTAAACGCGCGGTGACGTTGATCCTAAAATGTGGAGGGGGAAAAACCCGGAGGATCTGGACTAAAATCCACGCAGCCACCGGGAGAGGGACCCGCAAACTCCAAATATACAGCAGCAGCAGCAGGCGTCAGGGTCGGGATCGAACCCACGACCTCCTGTGTACCAGGCGAGGGAGTTAACATCTCCTAGCCACTGTGATGATGATGATGAGAGAGAGACACGCAAACTCCAAATATACAGCAGCAGCAGGCGTCAGGGTCGGGATCGAACTCACGACCTCCTGTGTACCAGGCGAGGTAGTTAACATCTCCTAGCCACTGTGATGATGATGAGAGAGAGACACCACAAACTCAAAATATACAGCAGCAGGCGTTAGGGTCGGGATCGAACCCGCGATCTCCCGCATACCAGGCGAGGGAGTTAACATCTCCTAGCCACTGTGATGATGATGAGAGAGAGACACCACAAACTCCAAATATACAGCAGCAGCAGCAGGCGTCAGGGTCGGGATCGAACCCGCGATCTCCCGCATACCAGGCGAGGGAGTTAACATCTCCTAGCCACTGTGATGATGATGAGAGAGAGACACGCAAACTCCAAATATACAGCAGCAGGTGTCAGGGTCGGGATCGAACTCACGACCTCCTGTGTACCAGGCGAGGTAGTTAACATCTCCTAGCCACTGTGATGATGATGAGAGAGAGACACGCAAACTCCAAATATACAGCAGCAGGTGTCAGGGTCGGGATCGAACTCACGACCTCCTGTGTACCAGGCGAGGTAGTTAACATTTCCTAGCCACTGTGATGATGATGAGAGAGAGACACACACAAACTCCAAATATACAGCAGCAGCAGGCGTTAGGGTCGGGATCGAACCCGCAATCTCCCGCATACCAGGCGAGGGAGTTAACATCTCCCAGCCACCGCGCGAACCCTCCTGAGGACGGCTACTCCGCAGACAGCTCACCGTGAGAAGGTGAACAAGGTCCATGTTGGGTTCGATCTGCGGCGGGGTGTGGTGCAGGTTCATCAGCGGGCTGAAGGTGGCGTGCAGATGCTGCATCTTGGCGAGGTTGATCCTCTCTCCGCTGAGCCAGTCGGGCAGGGCAGCATGCAGAGACACCAGGTCCTTGAGGTGAACGGCCAGAACGGGCAGCCAGAAGCCCTCGCACTGAGACACCGCCTGCCGGTAGCTGCGGTAGTTCCCCGACACGGACAGCAAGTCCGTCAATTCGAGCAAGACCTAGAAAAGGAGGGAACGACATTGAGAGAGGCCTTAGTCATTGGAATCAACAAGACAAGCAACGTATGTATGTGTGTTGAATTTATTTTGCACCGTACGTAGCCAACCATACTAATTGGACGTGCGGGGGAAGGACAACAAACTAAAAAAATGAGTTTTAAATCTAGATTTAAAAGTTAATAGCTCCAATGGATTACTAATATCGGAACGAAGAGCGTTCCAGACGGCCGCCGATCCGCATCTAAAAAACGCGCGATGCAGTGACCGTATTTGTTCGAGAGTTTGCCAAAAGTGGCTGCGAGGATGACCGGAGTGTGCGTGATGGTGTACACTCCTTGACGAGACCAGCAAGGTATTGTGGTTCATTTGTGGAAAGCACTGAGTGTGTAATGAGTTCGACCTGATAATGTATTCGTTCAGCAACCAGAAGTACGTGCTGGAAGTACACATTTGGGATGGAATCTAGACCCAAACAATGTCTGGCCAGCAGGAACGAGTAGAATAGGCTGTAACACTCGCGAGAAATAATTATTGCTGCTGAGTTGGCAGTGATGCAACATACCACAGTTAGCAATAAAAAATAAACTCACATTCGTAAATAACACCGTCATAAAATACATATATACAAGATAGGCGACGTTTCGGGTAATGGCCCTTCTTCATGGCACATAAATAGAGAGGCCAGAGAGATAAAATGTATAGATTTTGAGACTGCACTTAACATAATGGCACCTCATGGGAGTTAAACTCAATTTGTTTTCTTGATAACCAGTTTTTTTTTAATTTGCATATAATTCGCTATTAGTAGCTAATGAGTAATTGACAAACCCTTGAATTAAAAAAAAACAACAATTACGACTAAATAAACTGATTGTACATTAAAGTAAAATTTATAAATGTTGCTGGCACATTGCATTGTGGGAAGATCTGTTCTTGTGAGAACAGGGCACAGCGGGCATAGCAACGCATGGCACTTTTACTCTGCAGAGGAGGTTCTCAGGAGCTCCCTGTACTGGAGATCCTTCCTCCAGCGAATGTCTTGGATGAGGTGGTAGTACCTACGGTGTGCCCCTCCACGCGTGACCTGCCAACAGACCGTGGCGAAATTCTGGCCGGACAGAGGCAGGGGATTGAGGAAAATCGACCATCGTTCCAACTGCAGGGAGATCGAACCACTGACCTCCGGATTGCAAGTCCAGCGCACGATCACCGACACCGCACCATCACCCGTTTGCTTACTGCCGGAAGAAGCTTTAAGGAGTAAGCGTGCACTGCGTTTCCCGCGTGTGGCGAAGCGCTCTGACGTTACCCTGTTGTCCTCGACTTGAAGGAAAGCGATTGTGTCGCGCAGCCTGGAGATGGAGCTGTGGTTGAGAGCCCCCACCACCGCCATGAGCGTGTTGAAGTTCTGTAGCCGCAGCAGATTCTTTGACCGACAGCGGCCCAAACACAAACGCAACGCAAATTAATGGACAGCGAGAGAGAGGACGCTCAAGAGGCATAAGCGCTGCCGCTCTCTTCCAACTAATGCTGGGGAGCAATTCTGAGTTAGTGCGGCAACTCTCTCTCTCTGTGTGTGACTGCAGTGAAAACCCCCCAAGTCAGGCTTCAGGGCATGCCAGAAAGGCTCCTTGAAAATATTATGTAATAACAACAACAGATCTTAAAGTGTAGCCCTATAACATATTGCTCACGCCTCTGCTGGCGGAACGGCTTCGACGAGAGGGAGCTCTTAAGAGAGCCCTTTTAGAGGGGGGTAATTGGCCTACTCTTCAACCATTCAGATGTCTTGGAGGAGGTGGGAGTAACCCACACTTTCGATGCTGGGGGGGGAGATGAAAAAACTTGCACGACAGTTTCAACTGCCGCGACCGGGAGATAGAACCGGCGGACTCTGGATTGCGCTAACCATGACGATGCGGCAGCTTCTATCGACATAATAAACAAACGCAGACAATAGACGATTTGAAAAACTCCAGCCCGAATAGTGTCCGCATGTTCATTCTGGACATTTAAATTCCAAAAACAAGAGAGCACAAGGTCGCCATTAACAGCAGAGCACGTGGCAGACTGACAGTCAATCGGTGAGCCCATCGCCTCGGATGACGCGGTATATACCACGCCGTCCGCTCGGGACAACCTTGCACTCTCGTTAAAAAAAAAAAAAGTCAGTTGTTAATAAATGCGTCAAATATCTAGACCGTAGGACATGCGAAGTGCGTAGTGCACTTCACACTGTGAATATCAATCCAAATGGTTTCGTCTCGTCAACGCCGCACCCTCTAACGGCGAGCGAAGTGCCTGTTCGAGACGGGCGGGAGCGCCGGCCAGGCCCGGTAGCGCAGCGCACCTGTGCGAGGCTGAGGAACGAGCGGAAGACTTGCGCCCGCTGGGCCGGCAGCGGCTTGCTCAGCACCATGAGCTGCACCCACTGGCTCACGCCGTTGAACAGGGAGATGGATCTCTCGAGTGCCGGGACCCCTTCCACGGAGCCCCGCACCACGAAGCTCCTGTAGTCCGCAAACTGCCAGAAGACCCGATTTCGGTTCGAGTTGTGCACGCCCGTGAATGGATTCTCTTCCAAGTTCAAGTTGGTTGTTTAGTTGAACCAGGAGAGAACTCAAGTGGCCAGGATGGAGAATCACTTGCAAGAGTGACCTGGCTCACCAAATATGAGTTAAGCAAAATAAAGAAAATAATGTATGGCAACGGAACCAACAGAAATGGTTCCACAAACAAGATATCTATAATGTTGTACTATCTATTATAATCTTGGTTCTTTCGGTAAAGTCACGTAGAAGGGAAACAATAAAAATATAAAACAATAAAAATATATATTTTTTATTTTATTGTTTCCCTTCTACGTGACTTTACCGAAAGAACCAAGAATATCAATCCCTGCAGTCACGAAAGCTTTAAATCAAAATGTATCTATCATAAGTCAATGTTAAATGCATTCCCTGTTGTGTGAGCCAGCTCGGGCAGATTATTTTTAGACTGATCATAGTACAATTACACACCACACAGACATCGAGTGACTATTGTACTATGTACCTATTTTCCTACATATAACCCGCGGGGTATACCACTTTTTACAAACAAAACAAGACCCTGCGGGGTATATGGAGGTGCGGGCTATCCCAAAAATATTTTACACGTGTGACATGTCATAGCTCGTTTAATGTTTGACTAAAGCACTGCTGAATAAACCACTCGCACTAAAGTTGCACAATGGGACAGGCTTTAACAAGCGTCTACAAGACGCGAATCATAATTGCTGTTTCCCTTAGGCCGCTGCTATTGGCCGAGCACTATACAGTCGCGACCATGAGCATTGTTTCAAACTTCCAATGGCTTTGTTGCCAGGAGACAACGGCGTTACCGTAGTGCCGCTATTGTCTGCGCAGTGCGCAATCTACCAGTGCTAAAGCTGTACAGGGGTAACTACCGGTCCAGTAGCTGTGATATGATGAGGTCGAATGCTGGTAAACCTAACAGTACGCTTACTTACTTATCTACCAGTTACGTGTTGCTTATTTATTGGATATTTACTTTTGTTACTTATTTACTGTTTTAAGTTCACTCGTTTCTGGTTAGTTTGTTCTCTGTGCACGTTATGATTGTAATGTTAACAATTGATAGTGGAATGTATTACAAATGTAAACTTTGCATTAATATGATGGAATCAAGCTGCGGTAACGACGTTAAAGATATGAATGCATGCGGGGTATATGGAGGTGCGGGCTATCTGAAAATTTGTTTCACACAAAATGCTATTTTTGCGGGGTATATGCGTATGCGGGCTATATGCGGGAAAATACGGTAAACATTCACACGCTTCTTCCGTTTGTACCGTCACCATTTACGGCAAGTGACTTGGCTGAGCGGTCGCGGGTCGCCTCTTACTTAATTTAAGTTTTTTTCCTCTTTAGGGCTTCGGTTATTGGGGAATGTGTGGAGTTTTTGTTGCCGTTATTATTCGTGCTTCCGCACCACCGCCAAAACGCAGATGCCACGAGCGTCAGTTTGAGTGTCTTACAGAGACACGACGGAAGTACTTGTACTCCAGGAAGGTGAGGAGCTCGGCCAGCTCCAGCGCGTGGAGGTGGTCCAGCAGCAGCGACATCTTCCTCCTCTTCTGCGGGTGCGGGCGTCGCGTCACCCTCCGCAGCCAATCGCACGACGGGCTACAGAAACGGCGCCGCTTAGATCTCGAGTTGCGCAAAGTTTTGACATCGGAAATGTGGTTTACTTATCCAGGAAAGTCGCACTGAGTCGGAGGACACTTTTGCAAGACGGTCCTGCTACTACGTTGGGTTTTTTTTTTTAATTGTTTTTTATCAAAATGTTTTCGACCAATTAATGCAAGTGGGAGGAAACCGGAGCGCCCACAGAAAACCCACGCGTGCGAGGGGACAACGCTCTATCCCTGTACAGAAGGAAGAAAAGCGATTAGACCACTCGTTGTACCGCCTTCTCCTGGTGAGTCAGGGAATGCCACCTCAACTCCCACGGGAAGGGAGTTTCACGACAATTTGTGCGGCGATCCTCCAACCCTCGCTGCTCCCTCCACACTTGCTGAATTATAGGTAGCCACGTGCAATAGCCACCAATGCCCGGCTATACATACGGTGCATTTTTTTTTCAAAAATACTTTTTGAGCGCAGGTCTAAAAGCCCAAAACGTCATGCGGCCAGCAACAAACGGCACGAGCGGAGTTGCTCAAAGATTTATCGCACGTATCTTAAATTGAGCAAGGTGGTCATCGGAGCTTGGAGAAAGAGACGATAGGAGGGAATTTCAAAGTGCAGCAGTGCACAGGAAGATGTTTTGTCACGGCGGTTGAACACAATATGGCTGGGATGAAAGTCAGTCTGGTAGGCCCGAGTCTTCAACATGGGTAAAGGATATTCTTAGCTCTTTCGGTAAAGTCACATTGAAGGGAAACAATAAAATAATAAAAAAAAATATTAAAAATTAAATATATATTTCTTTATTTTATTGTTTCCCTTCAACGTGACTTTACCGAAAGAGCTAAGAATATGAATTACTGCAGTCACGAAAGCTTTAAATCAAAATGGGTAAAGGAATCAATGAGTGAATTTCACAGGAATAGTAAGCCAGACTAAACTATTTTGTTTATTTTACCAGGTAAAGCACGCTGAGCTATGTAGCTCTTTTTCATAAGTCACCTGGGTATCACAAGTGACAGCTCAATGAAGGACTCGGAGAATATCCACGCGACCGCGCAAACTCCAAATATAGAGCAGCAGCAGCAGACCTCAGGTTTGCGATCGAACCCACGAGCCCCTGCGTACCAGGAGAGGTAGTTAATGCTTCGCCACTGCGGCAATAGAAGATTGATGAGGGGGCAAATGAGCACCGGTGAGCGAGTGGCTGGAGTGAATCGGTGAGAGCCGGATTAATCAATCTGACTGATTTACGTTGAATTCTACAAACCACAGTGATGTAGGAATTGGGTGCTCCACCTTAGATATAACATAAAATGATTTTTTAATTTAAAAAATCTAAAAATCACGACGGTCGAAACGGCGTGATTTTTTTTCATTTTGTTATTTTTCTATCCCCGTGACTTTACCGAAAGACCCAAAGAATATGAATTCCTGCAGTCACAAAAGCTTTAAGTCATCGTCAATAATTTCATGAACGAAATCAGCACCGCGCTGGTGACACCTTGATGAAGGCCTCCGGATTAGTGGGTGCCCACGACTGAGCGTTAAGAGAGCAGAGTCCTTGCCTAAAACGTCTGACACCTCCTCAGCACTGATTCAAGCATCATCATCATCATTCCCCGAGGAAGATAAAGTGAGTACAATATAACCCCTCGGTAATTGGTTCCACTGCACCGGTCGTCAAGTGATTTCGTCGTTAAGCGAGTCTTGGGAATACCCGTTAAAGGTTTCATTCGTCCTGACAGCGTCGGAAGTTACCCTTTTTCACCCCAAAAAACCTACTTCTTAACATTTAAACAATGAATATTAATGCATAAAGATACTAACAGCATTATAATATTAAAAGAAAAACGGTTAATCAACGCATGCATTAATATTTACCGTACCTACAACAGCCCGTCATTAACAGGGGAATGGTCAGGAAGCGAACACATTGGGCTCTATGGAGGCACTACACTACACTATATACTACACTATACACTACATTACTACACTACACTATATACTACACTATACACTACATTACTACACTATACACTACTAAACACGACACTATACACTGGGCTCTATGGAGGCACTACACTACACTATACACTACACTACAATATACACTACACTATATTACTACACTATACACTACTATACACTACTACACACTACACTATACACTACACTATACACTACACTATATACTACACTATACACTACACTATACACTACACTATATACTACACTACTCTATACACTACACTATACACTACACTATACACTACATTACTACACTACTAAACACGACACTATACACTATACACTGGGCTCTATGGAGGCACTACACTACACTTTACACTACACAACAATATACACTACACTATACACTACACTATACACTATATTACTACACTACTATATACTACTATACACTACTACACACTACACTATACACTACACTATACACTACTATACACTACACTACAATATACACTACACTATACACTACACTATACACTACATTACTACACTACTATATACTACTATACACTACTATACACTACTACACACGACACTATACACTACACTATACACTACACTATACACTACATTACTACGCTACTATATACTACTATACACTACTACACACTACACTACTATACACTACACTATACACTACACTATACACTACATTACTACGCTACTATATACTACTATACACTACTACACACTACACTATACACTACTACACACTATACACTACACGATACACTACATTACACTATACACTACATTACTACACTACTATACACTACTAAACACGACACTATACACTGGGTTCTATGGAGGCACTACTCTATACACTACACTATATACTACACTATACACTACACTATACACTACATTACTACATTACTATGCTACTTTATACTACTATACACTACTATACACTACTACACACTACACTATACACTACACTATACACTACTATACACTAGACTACTATACACTACACTATACACTACACTATATACTACACTATACACTACACTATACACTATACACTACACTATACACTACATTACTACACTACTATATACTACTATACACTACTATACACTACAATATACACTACACTACTATACACTACACTATACACTACACTATACACTACACTATACACTACACTATACACTACTATATACTACTACACTACTATACACTACACTACACTATACACTACTATATACACTACTATACACTACACTACTATACACTACACTATACACGACACTATACACTACACTATACACATTACTACACTACACTATACACTACATTACTACACTACTATACACTACATGACTACACTATACACTACACATTGGGATCTATGGAGGCCCGTCGTTAAGTGATTCGTCGTTAAGAGGGGTGGTCGTTAAGAGGGGTTCTACTTTACTGCAATACACTTTGTAGGGCGTCAACAGTGCTTGTTCTGCGGACAGACTGGTCCCACCATGGAAACGTGGAATGTCCACCCTGGCTCCGGGCCACCGACAGAGATGAGTGCTGCCCTATTGATCATTAATCTAATTCGATGAGACGCTGTACGGCGAAACCGGCCCAGGGTTTTCCCGTACAGGACCGAATCGATCCTGCTCAAATTATGCACACGCCACAAGGCCGTGCGGGTCGAATGGGTCGTGTAACGAAATGCTTTCGCGTATTGTACGCGCGGGTTTGACGGATAATTGTATTTCGTGAAGGGGTCGTAAGGCGTGCCCGCACGATCTACTTTAAAACTCCCCCTTACATGTGGGAGATGTCGATGAGGGAGGCGTGGTGGAGACCGCCGATCCGGCTGGCCACCTTGTGGAATTCCTGCATGGACTCGGCCAGGCGCTGGTCCAGGTCAAACAGCTCTGGGGTTTCCTTTATCCACAGGCTGTAGAACAGGAAACAGTCTTGCAATGTGGTACAAACAGCCTACAACAAGGTATGCAATATGGACTCTTTCTGGGATAATTTTCGAATGTGTTTTGAAAATGAAATGAATTGTTTTACCAAATGTAAGCCCCCAAGTGCACACTCACACACACAAAATAGGTTCAGTACAGTACCACAATCATGGGATTGCCTATGCCTGGCTTGACTATCTTATTACGGAAATTAAATGATTTGGTGATGTTGGTGCTGCTGCTTTGGCAGTGGTGCACGCACAAGCACCAAAAAAAAAACCACAACTCAACACATTCATAAACACCGTGGCCTTAATAATCATAAACAACAACATATAAAAGGCTACGTTTCGGGCAATGTCCCCTTCTTCACACCACATAAGCCGGGGGCAGTGAAGAATGACCGTTTCCTGAAACGTCCACAACTTTTTTTTACCTTTTCGTTTTAATGACAAACGTGTTTTGAGTATTTTGTTTTTGATCACGCGAATGCATTGTGACTCGTAGGACATTACTCCCCAACGCGGGGAGCGACGCGAGCGATGATAATAATCATACCGATGTCTGTGTGTGCGTCTTACTGCACGAGGTGGCAGATGTTCCTGCGGATGGTGGTGGCTCCCATCCCTTTGACGTCTTGGTACGTGGCTGGGAGTCAAAGCTCTAAACGAAAGTCCTCACTTTCATTGCAGCGATTCACTCACGTAATTATTTAAAATATAACTTACTTTTTTTACTGGACAAGGTTAAGGCCCACTGAGCTGTACAGCTCTTTTTTCAGAAGTGACCTGGTCACAAACGATTGCTCAGCGAGGTGGCTTATCGCGTGGAAATGTATGGCATTCAAATACTCTCTAAACCCGTGTTTCTAAATGCGCAGGGAGAAACCGGAGGACCCGGTGAAAAATCCACAGCAACCACGGGAAAAACATGCAGACTCCAAATATTCCGGGTCAGGGTCGAACCCAGGACCTCCTGTTAACCTGTCAATGAGATTGTATATATACACACACACACAGGGTGCTTAAAAAAATGTGAAGACTTCCGATAATTTGCAACAATACCACAATAAATGTACCTCCGGGCTCTGCACACCACCTGGAGAATATTCCAGGCAATGTGTTGACAATGATGGCGAACAAGTGGAGAGTCATTGACTTTTTGAAGCTATGAACATTCCATTTGTTTTCATGTTACAGTGCATTATCATCCGTTCTTTTTCCATTAAAACGATAGTCCCAGTGTTCACATTCTTTTTTAAGCACCCTATATATATACACACACACACGCACAGTACATTTACAAATCCTGTTGCGATGAACAATTTTCTTTTTTTGGTCGGTCACAGATTTCCAAGGATATAGCGTGAGGAGCTGAAGGGCAAAGTCGATGGAGGCGATGAACCATGGATGCAGCAGCAGCAGCATGCTCACGTGGGGCGAAGAGCCGTGCGGTGCCATGGGGCCGGACTCATCTGTGGAGAACCACCACAAGAGGCTGGAGACGATCGCCGCCGCACTCCCAATTCGTCTCTTTCCATTCATCCCGAGCCGCGCCGTCGCGGCCGAACAAACGCGCTGCTGCAAGGATTCATCTTCTTTGGTTCATTTCGGTAAAGTCACGTAGAATGAGAATAAAATAATACATCGATAAAATAAAATAACACACACTCCAGCGCTGTCCTACCAGACAGTCTCGTCCCTTCACCTGATGAAGGCCGCTTGTGTTGTGGCCGAAACGTCGTGAGAATATTATTGTGTTATTTTATTTCATCAATTTATTATTTTATTCTCGTTCTACGTGGTGACTTTACCGAAAGACCCAAAGAAGATGAAACGCGCCGCCTTCGACAAAAAAACAAAGAAATCGACGGGACGTGCGAATTACCCGACGGAGCAGTCCCCCTTCGCAAAGAGGCACGGCGTCCTAACCCCGTGGAGAGCACGAGCAGGCATTCGCGGCCGGCGCATGTTCGTGAAACGTACGTGTCGAGGGCGCTGCGAATCGGCTGTAGGTGCACGAAACTACGCGTGACATATTCCGTCCGATCAGCCGGTTATAATCGGGAGGCTGCTGCGAACGCGACGCCTTGATCGCAGCACACGGTGGCCTTCGCAGGGAAACGTTTTGGTTTTGTAAAACAATGCGTGCGTCAACTCACGCGAATTAAAAACAAAAAAAGGTCAACTTTGGTTCGCGACAAGCCGGGTCCGGTTACGACCAACCGCTTCGTGGTTGTCCCACGGCCAGGCTCGCTCCCTGGCATAGGGACGTGGAAATTTCCACCGCTGGTTCAGGGGCCTTTAAACGGAAGACGAGCACTGCCTCATTCGAGCAGGAAATCGCTTTGGTTTGACGAGTTTCTCAGTGGAAACCAGTTGAATAACTGTGGATTTAGGACAGCCAATGTCAGAACCCCATGCAGTCTCATTCTCTAACATGGCGGTCGTAGTTGCGTTCCTGAAGAATTCAACTACCACTGGTCCTTGTTGCAGAGGTTCGCAGTTCCGACCCAGCCGGCCGCCCTGGTTAATACTGCGGGCACATTCACCATAGGTGCGCAACATTTGCTTCAGGGTTTGGTGTTACATTTTATTTATGTAGTTTATTGTTAAAAATTCGGTCACAGTCCCCATGATCACTGTTACATTGCATTTATGGATTTATTTTGGTGATTTCGAAAGTTTTTGGTTTGGCCATGTTTTTGTTTATTGTAGTATGGAGTTAAACTGATGACCTTAATCTTAGTTGTTTTGTGGTTGTAGTTGTTTGACTTGCATCCCACTGGGATCCCACTGGGATGCAAGTGCTATTTCAGGAATATTTGATGTTTTTTTCCTGGATTTTCTGTTTTCATAGTCACAGTCACTTTAAGATGTTTTCTTGTTCATGTTTTTGTTTTTTGTATGTTGCGGTTGCACCAGAATCAAGAGCCGAATGGCTCACAGGGATATACCAAATAAATGGAACTATGAACTATGAACGTTATTCGAAAAAAGAACATGACATACTATGGTCCAAATTTGAAAAATGACTCCTCAGTTACCTAATTGGGAGAGAAAAAAACCCACACATAGCAAACTCACCCCCTACTTTCAGACTAATGTCCGTGCTTGCAGGCCGGTGCTGTGTACACTTTGTGCAGTGTTGGGGCAGCTGCCACTGGGGTTCATCTATGAAACTGCTGGACATCTCTTGAAAAAGAGCTTCATCCATAATAAAGGCTATTGGGTTAGATCACGTAAGAATAAATGTGTCGTAACCCTCCGCCACCCGACACGGCCAATCAGTAAAAAAATGTGTCACGTTAACAAAACGCCAATTAGTTACTTCCTCAGCCCACGAGTGTTTGAAGAGTGAATCCACAACATTTAGAATTTGAGTACGACGTTTTGCTGGTAATTACATCCAGCATCCTCGGGTGATTTGCCAGAATAGTGAAGCCATACACCTGCTCCCGATCTTAAACAGTGCAGGAAGACGCCATCATTGTTGAACCCCATCAGGTTTCGAGATTAGAGGCGTAGGTGGGGGGGGGGGGGGGCATTGTAATTATATAATAGATTAGTAATCAGTTAATTAGTATGTAATTCCTCTATAATGAAATGTAATATGTATTGTGTACTACTTAATAATATGCTTCCAGGCTGCGCTAAGTCTGCAGCTATCAGAGCGGTTAAAATTATTGGTATTTTTCTCAATTTCGATGGATTCTCTAATTAGTCCTGGCCAGTAATAATTAGCTTTACATAACACTCAACGATATCAAAATCAATTGAGTGTCCTTGTTGGCAAGCATGTTCTGCCACTGCCGACAGTTGTTTTTAATAATTTAATGTTTCTTTGGTGCTCTTTTAGTCTTACGCTGATGTTACGTCCCATCTGTCCAATATAACATATACCGCATAAGCAATTGATCCGTTATACACCTTCTGTTCATAACTTAGGTAATTCATACCAAATTTTACTTTAATGTTTTGCTTTTGCAAAACACGGGAAATTTGTCAGTTACTCCTGAGATATATGGTATTTAAATTGTTTTGATAATCTGATCACTTTCAGCAGTTTTGTGTTTCGGTCTTAGTTTGGCATTCAATGCTCTGTTAATTTGAGCATTATTGTAGCCATTCAGTCGTAGTGTTTCTTGAACATGTACACCCGTCCTTGGATGGGAAAAAAGCTAGTACTAATTAACTGATTACTAATCTATTATCTAATTAAAATACCGCCCCCACCTCCGCCTCTGATCTCGAAACCTGTTGGGGTTCAATGATGAAACTGTCCTGCACTATTTAAGACTGGAAGCAGGTGGATGGCTTCACTATTCTGGCAAATCGCCCGAAGATGCTGGATGTAATTACCAGCGAAACGTCGTACTCAAATTCTGAATGTTGTGGATTCACTTCTAGATTTGAAGCTTTCGTGACTGCAAGGATCCATACTCTTTGGTTCTATTCGGTAAAGTCACGTAGGTAAAAATAAAATAACAAAAATCACGACGTTTCGGCCACAACACAAGTGGCCTTCATCAGGTGAAGGGACCGAACTGTCCAGAGGACAACGCTGTCCTCTGGACAGTTCGGTCCCTTGTGTTGTGGCCGAAACGTCGTGATTTTTGTTATTTTATTTTATTTTTTACCTACGTGACTTTACCGTGACACATTTTTTACTGATTGGCTGCTTCGGGTGGTGGATGGTTGCGACACATTTATACTTACGCGACCTAACGCAAAAGCCTTTATCATGAATAATACTGGTCGTGAAAGCCGACGTGTTAAAGAGCTTCATCGCTCATCGGACTCCTCCAGTTTAAATAAATATTCCGATTCTGATTCTGTCCCCTTGGCTAGATTGACGCAGGGCGTTGGAATGGTTGAGTTGAGATGTGGCGTCCGGCGCTTAAGAGTTGCAGAGGCATTTAAGTGGGCAGTCGCTGTGAATACGAGTCCTCAGCATCGACTTTTACCTGTCTCCTGCTTCCTATTAGCACCCACGGAAGAGTCTTCCTGCAGGACATTGGTCGGACACACATTCATCAAAAGTTATATTAAAATATTATTTTCAATTACAACAAAGACACCTGATCAAGGATGACGTTATGAGTTCAAATCCCAGGTTAGGGGTTAACTCAACCAATCATCATTCCCTGGGGGAGATAAAATATCTAAAAGCCTTTGTGAGAAGTGAACAATGCTTGTCTTATGGAGAGACTGGTCCCACCATAGAAATATGGAATGTCCACCCTGGCTCTGGGCCGCCAACAAACATGACCGCTGCCAAATTGGTCATTATCCAAATTTGATGAGCCACTGAATGTCGAAATCGGTTCAGAGTCTGCTAGTGTTGAACCAACGCTGCTTAAATTACGCACTCCCAGAAGCCCGCGTGGTTGATGGGATGTGTACAAATTTATCTTCATGTGAAGGGACAGATAGGGGAAGGAGGCGAATTGTCTGCTAATGTATTCTACGCGACGACGTTAATGATTTTGTTTTCATTTTTCTAACTGTGCGATCGGAGTCAAGTTTGGAGTAGAGGCCCGTGGTAGGAGATATCACAGAGCTACTTCTGAGATCCCTGAAGTGACCTCTGATCTACACACAAGGAGCCGCACTTTCCCGTGTGTCCTCTTACAGTGAAATGTTATTCGCTTGGCACTCAAACTGATATATTTTAATTCTCAGAGCTGGAATTTTTGCCTATGTAAGCTCTCATCGTTCTGTGACCTCTGAGCGACGCAGTCATCTGCATCGTAATGCATTCTTACAAGTGTCTTAGTTCTGCCGTGAAATCTTCTGCATTCTGCCGCCTCTTGATTTTCCACTTGGGTGCCTGCAAAAACACAACCAGGGAAGTCAACGTGGGCATTATTCCATATCCTGTCCTTGACCCATGAAGAACGTTATAATTACTGTAGTGTGGTTTGGCTTTGAGT